GGCATCAAGCGATCCATTCCAAGGTTATATCAATTATTGGATCTTTAGTATTTATCTTCCAAGGTTCTAAATCTGCTACGTCACCTTTTCACTTTTCTCTGACTGGCTGGGCTTAGGCTTGCACTTTAATACTGGTAGTAGGCGGGGCTGGCAATCATTACCAGTGAGTACTGCCCAGGTGCACTGCACTCCAGCCTCACCCTTGCATGGTTTTCGGAAATTACTCCGTACTCACCAAGTAAGCCCTGGAGATAAGTAACTTTGGAATAGACATGCATGGTATGTTCATTATTGGACTCGGAGTACATGGATTGCAATCCTCCAGGTCTTTGATTAGGGCATAGTACCACAGTCTTCTAGAAGCTGTTCTCGAGTCCAAATATCCACTAGCTCGGATAATCACCCTGACGGCTGGACCAGTGCAGATCCACCAAGAAACTTGAATGGGAAATGGCATTGACAGCGGCCCCTCAGAAAACTGGATACGCCATCCAGCGTGGTTCATGATTGAGGGAATGCAGCGATAGGAACTCCGGAGTTCCCTGTCTGATATTTATATACTCCGTACCAGCCTCCAAATCTCCGGCACACAGTCTCCTTCCCCCTTTTCTTGAACAAAATGAAACAGGGTGGTTAGGGGGTGTCACACAGTTTCATACCGACCACTAGAGTCCCACCAATAAAAAACCGGGAAGTATATATAAGACCAATCAAAACTGCAATAAATGACAATACCATCAGTAATGTATTGTGATTACCCCAGCAGGCTGGGCGCATCCCCCCTCCAATATTGAACCAATATTGGAGGCTGTACGGAGTACATACATATACTGGGTACCTGCAGGTCATGATTGACATGCTGCAATTACAACTCGGACTGAAATAACGGATTTACTTTCCAAGGTTTGAAACATCGTGCCTGGCCGTGTCGAGTACATAGATAGGGTGGCGGTGGTGGTGGTGATGATGGTGAAGGGAGTAACTGTGGCCGTGGAGGACCGGATCAGGTTTATATTGTGTAGAATACTAGTATCGATAGAAATGAGGAATAGCCAAGACAGTAGGGTACATGTCTGTATGTACTCTGCTCCATACTTTTAGCCAAACAGTCGGTGTATGAGATCGACGAGGGGCGAGACTGCAGGAGGGGAAGCTAGTCAACGGAAAGGGGGGGCTAGTCAAAATAGTCCGTTTCTATTTCCTCTCCGGCCTCCTGACTGTGACTGTCCTGACTGTCCTAACTGCTTCGCTGTCCTCCCTTTTTCTTCACCTTCTTCTTCTTCCTCAACTATATGGTGCTGGATCACCTCAAGGTATGTTCCGTCCAAAATTGCCCTCCAACTTGCCCCGGATCTTGTTGTGCTGCTGCACTGGGCGTACCTGAACTAATCCTATTCCTCCCCCACACAGAAATGAAGCTGGCCTTGCATATCCCCTCAATCGTCCTATCATCTTCTTACCGAGTCTAATCGACCCGTGTCGGCGATCCTTTTACTCCCCTCCCCCATCCCCCCCCCATTTCTCAACCCGTGTGTCGCATTATGGAGAGCTCCGAACCCCCCTCCCCGGCGCCGCATGCTCCCAACCACGATTCCATGGTTACTGTCGCCCTCTCTGATAACCAGTCGAGCTCCGAACACACTCAACCAGAGTGGCGCAACCTGGATATTCCTTCAACCCCTGTGAACACCTCTCACCAAAGCGATTCGTTCGGTCCGATGGCCCTGCAGGATGCCGCAGCGACAACCCCTGTCCCTGTCTCCGAGCCATTGACCCCAACGGCAACGAGAGACAAGGACCATGTCCATGTCGAGGAGGAGACCGACAATGAGGTGGACTGGGCAAATCTAGAGAAGACCGAGGAGAAGGAACCACGAGGAGAAGGTTCAGATGATGTAGGTGACAAAGGAGAAATTGAAGTTTTGTTTGAACGGTCGCTGACATTCTTCCCCCCCTTCTTTGCACAGTCAACGGCTCTATTACTCGCTCGTCTCGAACAAGAAAACAATGCTCTGGCCACGAACCCTAAATCCGGCCTGTCCAACAATGTCCCCAAATCGCCCAGACACCAGCGGCAATCCCGCTCGCAGTCGCTCATTCAGATCAAACGGTTGATAAATGACCCGGCGCGATCAGAATTGCGATACTCGCAGCTGTCCCCACCGCCGATGACAGAGTTGGAATTCTGGGCGGCGTTGGTGGCAGACTACCCACAAACTGCGCAGCGATTGCCGACTTTGACCTCGAATAAGATTCAGGGGGGTGTCCCGCCGCCACTCCGAGGAGTTGTATGGCCCAGTTTGGCTGGAGCCCGTGATCCTACTTTGATCGATGAGTTCCAGCGACTTTCGGGTGAAAGTAGCCCCTACGATGGACTGATTGGAAAGGATATTGGCCGCAGCTTTCCCAATGTTGAAATGTTCCGGGACCCCAATGGTGAAGGCCAGCAAATGTTGGCCCGAGTACTGAGATGCTTCAGTCTTTATGATGCCAAGATTGGTTATTGTCAAGGCCTTGGTTTCGTTGTCGGACCCTTGCTCATGCACATGTCGGATGCTGAGGCTTTCTGTGTGCTTGTCCGGTAAGACTGCTGTGATTTTCTCCAGCTTAGATGCTATGCTAATGCTAATACTTACTACTTTCCAGATTAATGGACCATTACAATCTTCGAATGTGCTATTTACCCGATCTTTCGGGTCTGCATCTCCATGTGTACCAATTCCAGAACCTCCTGGCGCGACACCGTCCAGCTTTATTTGATCACTTGGAGTCGTTAAATGTCGAGCCAGTCTATGTCTCCCAATGGTTCCTCTCATTCTTCGCTGTCGCCTGTCCATTGCCCATGCTTCTTCGTATTTACGATGTCATTTTCCTGGAAGGAGCCTGCGAGACTTTGATGCGGGTTGCTCTTTCCCTCATGCAGCGCAACGAGAAGAGAATCTTGGCGTGCAGCGAATTCGAAGACGTCATGCAACTTCTTCTTTCGCGCAGTCTTTGGGATACGTGAGTTCACTCCTTCTCGACGCGTCCTCTTTTCTCTTCCACTCGCCGTACTAACACATATTCTTTCTAGCTACGCGTTCAATGCAGACGACCTGGTCAATGACTTTGTTTCTCTAACTTCACTGGTCACAAAGGAGAGCCTCCAGACCTTGGAAGCCAGTTACAACCAATCCCAGGGTGTTCCAACTGGCATCTCTTTCCCCCAAATGCAGGCCACGGCATCTCGTTTCCTGGGCCGCCTCTGGGCTGGCTCCGGTTCTCATACCTCGATGAAATCGCTCAACCCCAACTCGAGCCCCTCGCGGCCTGTTAGCACAATCCGCCGTTCCACCTCGAAACAAAGCTTGACTTCCACGCTGAATTCGGTCGAAACAACGTCCGACGCAAGCACTGCTCCGACAGAATTGTCAACTACTACGGTAGGCACGGATAAAACACGCGTCAAATCCAACATGTCTGCTCAGCACAAGGATCGCGACCTCCACACGCAGATTGAAGATCTTCTGATGGCCCTGAGCGATCTTCAACGCCAGCATGCCGATCTAACACGCGATTTGCAACAAGAAAGAGAGGACCGAGAGGAGGATAACGCTTTATCCAAAGAAATGCTCAGCCACCTTCGAGAACTGCCCATTGAGGATCAACCCGAAGAGCTGGTCTCCAAAGCCCAAGCCCGATTCTCATCCGACGAGCCGAAACAAACGTCGATCACCCAAACGAAGCACCAGCTACATGATGACATGACCCGATGGAAAGAGATGCATGAGGTAGAAGCCAGTCGTTGCTTGGATCTCACACGACGAATGGACGACTTTGAGCAGGAGAATTCATCATTGAAAGATCAGCTTCGTGAAGCTCGCGGCCGGATCCAGGATGGCTACCGCGATCGGCAGCGACTGGAGCGAATGAACCAGGAGCTTCGATCTCATAAGACACCGAGTCTCAAGACATTTAATGCAGAATCATCAACACCTCCCGAGACGACTACCTCTCCGACCGAATCTAACGAAACTGCGTCACCAAACGGTCTCCGACAATTGAGACTAGTGCGCACCAACTCGCAGAAGAGCCCAACAACGTTCAACAAGCGCTCTAGCAGCCTGGGTCTCCAAAGTGTATTGGCAACGGAGAATCACAAACCGGCTGCCGAAGAAACCCTCCTACTGGAGCTTGTCAATGCCAAGACCGCAGAAGCGGTTGCCAAACAAGAACTGGAAGAGGTCAAGGGCAAAATGGATGCTCTGCGAAAAATGATCAGTGCACCTCATTCCAATCCTGCCGCGAACCTCGGGAATCGGCACTCATTCATCGGTCATTCGCCCTCTCGAGCAAGTATGACAAAAGCTCCCACCGAACCGATCAAGACACCTGGAACCTCGAGCAATGTTGGTGCTGGTGGGGGAGGGTTCTTTAGTGGGTGGGGTCGACGGGCTGCCACGAGCAACGAATCTCCTTCATGAATCTGAATGCGAATGTGAACGCGAATGCGATTTTGAGTCTGTTTAAGCGCGAATATTCTGTAACATTATCTTTCGTTGAGGTGGATGACTTGCTTTCGTCTCAGATGTGAAATATGTTGGTGTTGAGCGGCTGTGTCAATATTTTTCTTACCACTAGGATTATCAATACTGTCTGTTTGAGTCGCTGTTCATGATGATATCTGAGCTTCAATTCAACTTTATGTAAAACTTCGGAAATTCATTTGAATCCAAGGTGTAATGGCTGATGATAACATACTATGATTCGCCCTTTGAGAGTTACAATTCCATCAATGTTAAACATTGAGTGATTGGGCGAGGTCCCGCTCGACTCGCGGTTCGGGCCTTGATATCTTTTTGTGCCACCAGATAGAGGAAAATTAAGTAGTCCTTTGAAAGTCAGGGGAGTAGGTACCAAGACAAGTTGAGATTTGAAACAGGTTCTTTTTTTCTTCGAAAAATGAGGATATGGCGTGAGCAAAGCACAAAGACAATTAACAGTGAAAACAATCCCCATAATCAAGCGGCCCATTTGTATTCGGGCAGATTGAAATCATCAGCGTGGGCAGAGGCGCCGCCAAAGAGCTTGTGCATCAACGTTGGAAGATTACTCCAGCAGATGAAAGCGAAGATATTGTTCCGGAGCCAAATTCCCCAGGCACTTTGAGGCCCCATGATTGCAGGCACTAACAGTGGGACTTTTTGCATCTCATCAATCAGTGGTCGCATCTGCTGTTCATAACCTTTCAACCCGGCTACCACATCATGGGGATGTTTCCCTATTTCTCCAGCCAGAACATAAGCGCCTGCGAGGGCAAGACTGGTTCCCGTGCCAGTAGGACCAGAGGCATACCCAGCGTCGCCAACCACGACGAATCTTCCCCTGTGTAATGTCGGGAGTTTGACTTGAATCATCTCGCTGCCGTATAGGTCGTCGCTTTTTATCATGTTCCGGATGATTTCTTCAGATTTCCAACCAGCTCCTTTGAAATACTGCGCCACATACTGCTTTAATGCTTCGGGCCCGAGTTTGTTGGCTTCACGGAAGGCTTGGACGGCGTCGGGTCCATTTTTAGGATTGATGCCCATCATCACGGCACGATTGATGCCAGTAGTGTCAGGTCCGATGGCGAAAAATCGCCCACCAGGGGCACTATGTGCTTGGGCAATTTGATTTCCGTTCAGAAGATCTTCCTGGGTGGTGAAATATATCACCCAGGAGTTAATCGGTGTGATATGGTCTCTGACGTCGCAGCCAAGACCTATAGCACGAGTTCTTGATGTAGCGCCATCACAAGCGACAACAAGATCAAATTCCGAAGCCGGAAACCCGTTCATGAACTCGACTCTTGCCGGCCCATCATCTTGCTCTTGGTGGATCGATGCAACTTGCTCGCCGAAGACATACTTGACATTTGGGTGATCCTTGGTCAAGTCGAAAATGATCCGCGAGAGGTCACCCCGGAGGACCTCGTATTCAGAGACTAGCGACTGTTGTCTAGAGTCCCCAGAAGGCTTAATGATTCCATATGGTTGACCGTCTTCGCGCACAAGGCTGATACCCCCAACTGGCACAAGGCTAGCTCGCACAGCGTCTTCCATTCCAGGGATTTTTCGCATTACTGATACACCGGCTGTGCGAATGTCGACGTTCTGACCACCGGATCGCAATTGTGGAAATCGTTCGATAACTGTGACTTTCGCGCCAATCTTAGCAAACCAGTAAGCTGCTGTTGGTCCGGCAATAGATGCCCCGACGACAAGGATTTTCAAATTGGACATGATAGTAGCGATAGGCCTGGAGAATATGATCCTATGCCCTATGCATTCAATCAGATTATATACTAACTGGCGGACAAGTTCAACCCGAGGAGGTAAGCTCGCTGATTGGTCAATCCCTCGGTGTCGGTCATTAGCTCGGCCATAATGTACCCGAGGTCTAAACCAATCACAGCGAGGTATTCAACAGGTATTCAACCTTGACTTTGATGATTTTGGATGATTTTGTCCCAGGAAACCCAGTCATCAACATCAAATTCAAAATCGGTGCTCATTGTGAAGCCCATAATATCGGATTCCATTGATGGTGTCTCTGCCGTTTCACTCTGGAATTGATTGTGTCTTGCCCCCTTTCTATCTTGTAGATGGCGAAGAGTCCGAATGAATGCTGGCTCTGCAGCGACATTATCTGACTGAGAGGAGTCCCAGGCCTTGAGGGTCAACCTTCGAAGTCCCACATACAAAGCTTCTCTGCCGTCAAAAAGCTCTTCATGGTTTTTGTACAGTTCCGCGACGCTGTTCCAGGCAGTTTCCGTCTCTTGAAGAGTAATCAAGTCGCGGCTTTTTGATAAAACTGTAAGAATAAAGATGAATGCCTCTCGTGTACCCCACAAAAAGAAAGGTCGGATGTGCCATTGAAACCTGCTGATGCCGCCGTGAGCATGAACAGCTGCATCGATACCCAAAGTTTTCTGTGCAAGATGAAACGCCTCCTTTCTCTCTTCGTCCGTTGCGCTCGGATCCCTGACCTGAGGAAGTCGGGCCCTGAGCCTCATAGCAGTCAACCCGGACCGAGCAAGTCCAATTGTGAGGAAATGCAGTGGATCAATAACATCGCAGTATCGTACGAACTTCTCCTCCACCTCGTTTTCTGCGGCGCTAATAAGTCTTTCCGCCTCATGATAGTCTGAAAATCCCCAGGGCGCAGCGCCGTTGATTGGATTTCCCGCCCGACTCAGATTTTTACCCAGATATGCGCGCGACAAACAAAAAATCATATCCGTGGCGCCTTTTTGCTCGGTTGGAGGTTTGATCATCCCAGGCCAAATCTGGTCATCATTGATATTGAGGGGAGGCTGAGTATCCCAGGAAATGGGCAAACCCATAAACTCGGTACCAACAGATTGGCCTGCTCTAAAGTCGAGCGGGAATACTTGACAGAAAAGTCGTCGTCGCATTTCAACCTCGAAAGGAGGTAGCCCGAGTTTATCTCCGTCCTGGTGAAGCCCAATCCGTTGTCCTATGCGTGATGCGATACCGGTCAAGATCCAGTAGGTATGCGGGTCATATGAGTGGCGGGCGGGCAGTAAGAAAAGAAAGAAAGCTTGGAGGACCGAGAATTCAGTTGTTCGTAAGAAAGACGCGTTCACAAGGGCTTGTCTTGCAGCATGGTGGTACTGCTGCATGATTGCGCTGCGCTTCTGTTTAAGATAATTTGCACAGTCTTCCTCCGACATAGAATATACTGCGACATAGTAGATCGCAAACAAGAGACATTCCTCGGTTTTTGAGGCTGTTTCAGGGTGTTGCGACGCCAGGTCCACCACCTGAGTTGTTGACGGAATGTGTAGGACTTTGCAAATAGGCTCCACGTTATCAACATATCTTTTCCACATCACCATAGCATTGGCACGGGTTGGGTGATATTGGGTAAGAATTTGATGTCCCGGGCCTCCAAGTAGCGTACCGGTCAATGGGTCTGAGTATGAGGTGGGAATTCTCGACATGGGGGTCCCTTCATCTTCTTCGTCCTCATCCGAAATGTTGTGGATCTCATCATCTGGGAGAGTGTACCAGGTGTGACTATCGACGTATCGCGATTTGCCTCGACCAGTCAGGAGTTTACCCGTTTTTGAGGTCCCTGGCTGGTGGCTGGGGTGGGCAGGCCGAGTTGCTTCGGAGGGCGTGTGTCCAGTAGGGGCTGGGGTCTCAGCATCCAAAAGCCCATTCTCTTGAAGTATGCGCTCATATCGAGCGAGCTTTTCCAGCGCCTCATCGCTGACTTTTCTTTTCCGTGATCGCGGTTGGGTCGTTGTCTGGTAAATGCATTCAAACCCACCCTTGCGGCATCTGGAGCAAATGGGCGCCACCTTGTCGCATTTGACTTTGCGTTTAGCGCATGTCTGACAAGCCTGCGGCATTGGTGTCAAAGAAGCGTTTTCATAACCTAAGCCCCGGGCACCATTTGCCGCCGAAGCTGGGGCAATGGGTATTAGTCCGTTGCCGTTTCGACGCACAATATCAGCCATCGGAATAATCCGGGAAGGAGAAGGATGAATGGTTGCTGGTGTTACCCCCAAATGGGCTTGGGTGAGGTCGGAATCAGGGATGACTAATCGTAATTTTACATGATTCAAGATTCTTGTACTTCTTCCACCTCCACATCCACGTCTTCATCTTTCTTGCGGGGGGGAGTCGGCAGCTCCACTTTCAAGCTTTCAAGTTTCCCTTCTCCAAGTGGGGTCAAATTAACAAAACGCCCATCGTGGGGATTTCCCATGAACGGATCTGCTGACCGTGGGGGCAGCATTTATCACGGAAATGTTTTACATAGCGGGGTTGCGAATGTAAATAGCTCTGTCTCCCTGGTTTTGCTTCGAGTCTGTTTCCATATCTCATTCAAGTTCTTTCAAAATGGGTTCAACCGCTAGACTCACCGAGAATGATGTTACAATAACAGGTTTCGAAGTCATTGATTTGAGATTCCCTACAAGTCTAGATGGCGTCGGCTCAGATGCTATGCATGTGGGAACAAACGGGTCACACCCTTACATCCGATTGAAGACCAACCAGGATGATCTGATAGGAGAAGGAATTGTAAGTTGTAGCAAACCTCTTTCTACCGAATTCGCTCTCATATCCTTGTTGTCTCTAGGCATTTAGCAATGGAAGAGGAAGTGAATTGATTTGTATGACACTTGAAATTTTCGCGAAAAGAGTTGTCGGGAAGTCCATGCACGTCTTGACCCGGAATATGGGTAAAACCTGGAGATATATGGTATCTGATTCGCAATACCGATGGGTTGGACCCGAAAAGAGTATTACACATCTTGCCGTGGCAGGTGTTTTGAATGCTGTTTGGGATCTTTGGGGTAAAATCCTTGCCAAACCCGTGTGGAAAATCGTTTGTGATATGAGACCGGAACAAGTTGTGAATTGTATCGACTTCCGATATATCACTGACGCGATTACACCGGAAGAAAGTATTGAGCTTCTAAAGCGGACACAAAAAGACAAGAATTCTCGCTTGCAGGAGGCATTGGAGAACACCGCTGTTCCTGCTTATACTACATCCGCTGGCTGGCTAGCATTCTCGGGCGACAAAATGCGGAAAGTGTTGAAGGAAACAATTGAAGCTGGATATGACACTTTCAAGTTCAAGGTCGGGACAAACATTGAATCGGATAGAGAAAGACTTTCAGCTGTCAGAGATGTACTAGGATACGACAAAGGTTACCAAATTATGATTGATGCGAATCAAGTTTGGAGTGTGCCGGAGGCCATCGAGTATATGAAGCACCTGGTCGAATTCAAACCCGTCTTTATCGAGGAACCTACAAATCCCGATGATGTACTTGGTCATGCCACAATCAGAAAGGCTCTGAAACCTTACGGAGTTGGCGTGGCGACAGGCGAAGCGGCCCAGAACCGCGTTACATTTAAGCAGCTTCTTCAAGCAGAAGCCACAGATGTTTGCCAAATTGATGCAGTGCGACTTGGTAGTGTCAATGAGTGTTTGGTATGTTGTGGCAAAGCTGATGCTCCCCCGAAGGAGTTGTCTTCGGAAAAAGCAATATTAACTGGATGAAATATAGGCTGTTATGATTATGGCACTGAAGTTCAATGTCCCATGTGTTCCTCATAATGGAGCAATGGGACTAACAGAACTGACCTCTCATTTGAGCACCATTGACTATGTTGCAATTAGTGGACGAAAATCAATGCTAGAATTTGCTGATAGCCACCGGGAAAGCTTGCGCCATCCTTCAAAGATCGAAAATGCACACTATGTTACGCCCCTCGACCCAGGGTATTCGACGGGTTATACCGATGAGGCCTTGGAAAAGTACACCTACCCAAGAGGAAGCTTCTGGGCGAGTGACATTGGATTGAAAATCATTGATCAACCTACTGGTGGTGAGCTGTAGCATAAAACAAGCTTAGATATCTCCTAAGGTACCATCTGAGAGCTATATTTAGAGCTAGACTTTAGTAAAGAAACACACATACATCAAAAAATCAAATTTCAAGTAGTTAGTAGTTTCATGGTCAATTATAAGGCTAGGGCTTGTTGAGGAGTACGGCTTGGTTTATCAAGTCCCTCACGGTATCCTCAAAAGCACGATATGTGAAACCAAGATCTTTAGAAGCGGTTTCTCCATCCACCCCACAGCTTTCGTCAATAACCTGATCCTCCTGGGTCACCCGCTCCTTTAGATCTGGCAACGCATCTGATATTACCCGTGCAGCAATCCCATAAGAAAATCTTTCTGGAGAGGCTGGGATATATCTCTTCCCACCTGCATTGATGGAAATGAGTGCTTTCACATGAGCTGTTGCAAGGTCACGGACATCGATCCAAAACGGCACCCGAGAAACAGGAAGAGGGCTGACACCACTTGCGATCTTCCATAGCATCGCGTTGGATTCATTTAGCTTGCTTACGCGGTCGACGGGGTGTACCACAGGGCCAAATGTCATTGGAGGACACAGAGCAACAATGTCGAAATCAGGGTTATGTTCCTGAATGTATTTCCACGCTTCCAGTTCCGCATACTTTTTGGAGCCTCTATAGGCAACAACTGCACTCGTGGCGGGGTCAATGGACTCTTCATAAGTGAGAGGATTCCAATCAGCACCGGTATAAGTAAAATATGACCCTTTGCGATTGATATCGAGTACGGAAGCAAAAGAAGAAGTTATGACGATGCGTCGAATTTGAGGGTTTGTTCTCGCAGCCTCTAGAATTGCAATGGCGCCATTGATTGCAGGAATAATGAGCTCTCGCTCGTTGTTGGTTGTATCATAGGTAAATGGCTATATATATATGGGGTCAGAGGTTCATTCAAATGAGAAAATCGCTGAGAATAGGGGATCGTCAGCTTACACTGGCAGTATGAATGATCCCATCCACCCCTTCAACCGCAGCCACCAAGCCCTCGGGGATTCGAGTCTCGAAATCACCAATCTGAACGAATTCAAGCAAGTGCGAAAATTGCGGGCGGGCCTTTATCATAATATCAGCCTTTTGGCGCGACCGTGTTGCTCCTCGCACTCGAATTCCGCGTGAGAGCAAAGCATCGACAATATGGGCGCCGATGAAGCCTGTTGCGCCCGTGACCAAAACGAATCTCGACATGCTGCTCTATTGGTTGATAGAATCTGTCTTTGAAAATGTGCGAGGCTTTCGATTCAAAAATTATAATTTCATACCGAGCCGTCTACACGCGCCGAGTGACTCCCTGGCGGGGATCGTTGCCGCCTATCCCCGTGTGGGGAAGATGCACATATGGGGTGACCCCCCGGATTTCTCCCATTTCTTGTCTCCACAAGCGGAGAACTAGCCGTCGTCCCCAGATTGCTGCTCGAAAGCCTCCACCTGATCACTCGACCTTGAGCTCCAAGATCCGGACCATAAAAGCGGTCGTTGCGCACGATTGAAACGCGATCCCTGACATTTTTCCTGGAAGTGGCCGAAAAAAGGATCGTGTCGTCCGGAATTTCCACTTTCCCAAGCTCTTTTGTCAATTGCGAATGAACCTCCAAATCATCTGAATTACGAGGCATATTATTGGTAGCCCCAAGTACTCGAGACAATCCAGGGGACTGAGCAGCTGAACTCGCTTCAACATTCCAAGGTTATCACCGGGAATGAGCTAGTCTCTCTTTGAAAAAACGTCTCAATTACCACTAGGTGTCAGGAAACGAAGCAAACCGGAAGCAAATATGGGTCTGCTTAACCTCTCAGAAGTTCTGCGTGGAACGTGGCTCATCACAGCTATTACTGTCGTAAATGCTTGGTGAGTTAACAAGCTTCAATCTTTATTAGAGGTTAATAATAACAAGCAAAGCTCCATGGCCTGGTTTGGGTATGACCAAGGTGTCTTTTCCGGAGTTCTCATCTCCGCAGGTGAGAGATATTCCCAAGCTTTATATGCTTCGCTCGGCCAGATTCTAACATTTTGACAGATTTCAAAAAGCACTTTCCTGAAACGAATGATTCGAATATATCTGGAATAACTTCAAGTTGTTTCTCGGTAAGCTTCTTTTCAAGCCGGTGGTTACTCCTATTTTGACAAATTCCCACAGTTGGGTGCTTTCTTCGGTGCCATATTCGCATTTGCCCTAGGAGATCGATTTGGTCGGAAAAAAGCGATAGTTATTGGTCTGACATGCAACACCATTGGGGCAATTCTTCAAGTTGTATCTTGGAGCTTGAGTCAAATGATTGTCGGACGCATAATCAACGGATTCGGCATGGGGTTGACATCATCAACCTGCCCCGTCTACCAGGCTGAGTGCTCGAAGCCTAATGTACGGGGAAAGCTGGTTGTTGTAGGCTCCTTGTCAAACACTGCTGCGTTCTGTCTTGCCAATTGGATGAACTTTGGTCTTTACTTCCAGGGTGAAGCTCTACAGTGGAGATTCCCTCTAGGATTTCAGCTCATCTTCCCTGTGATAGTCTCCTTCACCATGTTATTTGTTCCCGAGTCCCCTAGATGGCTACTGCTAAAAGATAGGCATGAAGAGGCTCTACAAACACTTGCACGCCTTGAGGGTCCGGCAAAGTCCATTGACGACATGGATGTCAAAGCACAGTTTCTATCAATACAGTCGGCACTGGAGATGGAAAGAAGAGAGCAAGCACCATTTATCGACGTTCTTACCGGTCGGGACAAAATGAAGAATTTACGGCGATTACTTCTATCATGCGGTACACAATTCATGCAGCAATTTAGCGGCGTGAATGCACTCGGCTACTATCTCCCGACATTATTGGTACAGAGTGTGGGGCTTGGAGAACAAGAGAGCCGTCTTTTGACAGCCATTAATGGAACGACATATCTCTGTGCTGCATTCTGCTGCCTAATTGTTATTGATCTTTTTGGTCGAAGAAAGTCAGTTTCGAAGATGGTAAATGTGTTTTGGAAATAATGTTGATTGATGTGCTCCAGATTAATGCTGTACGGGTCGGTGGGCATGGGCTCCTGCTACTTCATTGCCGCCATGTGTTTGAAAGCTGGAGAGAGTAACCCTATAAAGAAACAGCTGGTATGTCTAAAGGTCTTTGATATTCCCGTCCTATAAATGCTGAGAAAATAATAGATGGGTAAAGTCACCACCGCTATGTTCTTTCTATATTATTTCATCTATGGCACAAGCTTTGCCAAAGTTCCATGGGTGTACAACTCAGAGGTCAACTCGCTTGGCTGGCGCACTAGGGGTGCAGCAGCAGCCACAGGAACAAACTGGATTTGCGGCTTTATTGTGACACAATTTACAAGTATCGGGGTCAAGAACCTCCACTGGCGCTTCTACCTGAGTAAGTTCGAAGCTTCTCTCTCTTTATGAAAATGCTAATGAAAAAAAAAAGTTTTTGCTGTTATCTCCTGGACCTTTTTTCCTATTGTCTTTCTATTTTATCCAGAAACCTCGCGCCGTACCCTGGAGGATATGGACGAAATCTTCATTCGGAATCCGTCGTTGGTAGTATGTGGAAATCGCCAACTCACACAGCGGGAGAGACCGGAGGAGTTTGCCGAGGCAGAGAGGCAGAGAATTGCGGGTGACATTGAGCATGGAAAAGATGGTTTTTCGATTTCGACAACTACCCATCATGAACGGGTCTGAATGGCTCGAGAGAAGCGAGAATCAAAGCACAGAGTCAAATCAACCCGATAGCTTCTATATGTAGGATGCATGATGTGATATGATATAGTATGTTCTAGTATCGTGAATTCACCTCGAAGTTATTGTGAAGCAAAGGCTGGATGAATAAAGCTTTGTGGGTTGAGCCCTGGGCCCTGGCGGCCTGCAGCCTTTAAATTACCTTGATAACTGGAATAGAGCTCAAGTACGCCTAGTACTAGACAAAACAGGTAGCAGATTTTAGATAATATTATTTTCAAGGAAATAACGATGCTAGTAGTCTCATGGCTGGCACATCTGATCAAGCGAAACAGAATACGGCACTATGAGACACTACTTCAAATACGCGATAGCAGCTTGTGCTTCCTTTGCAGCTCATCCAGGATATTGATCACCGCCTCCAGACTCGAAAATGCCCATGGTCGAATATTTCCTAGAGCCTGGTCCTGCAACTCTTCGATATCGGCAACAAAGCCTTGAAGAATTGGACTCATAGAGGCTAATGTTAGAATAACAATGGCACCCAGTGATCTATGTATTGTAAGTGAGACGGTAACTAATGGAAGACCCGAGCCAGGAGTTACGTACGATATTGAAAAGGTCCATGTGTACTGGCTTGGGCCGGCCAATACCGGGGTGGTGCTGTGAATATAGCTTCGGCAGCTTTCAATGCAGATACGAGCCTTGTCGATAGTTTCACCTGAAGGTAAGCTTCCTGGATTGCTGATTATCTGTAGAAGAAAGGGTCGGTATAGAATATGACGAGCTGCGAAGTATCTAATTCGTAGAATGGCTTGGCGATTACTCGAGGTTGTTGCTATGGACTTAGGCTCGAGATTTGGGCGAGCTGCCTCGGGTATAGACGAATGCCAAAGTTCAAGCTGAGAGTGCAGCTCATCGCAAAATGATTGTAGAGCCAAATTATCGACGGGAGAAAGGTCATTGCGCACCGTCAGTGTAGTGGATGAAAATGCCGAAGGGGTTTTACCGCTTTGATAAAGCAGGTTGTGAATGCGATTCAATAATTTTCGCACCGATATTTCAGCTAGAAAGCTGGTTGATTGAATTATATCGAGATCCGTGCATGCTGGGAGGCTAATGGTGTCGGTTAACTGTTGCAGTCCACTCCGTGGTAGCTCAAGCTCAGCAATTCGGTCACATTCGACCAAAAAACAGGACCAGAAAAGCCGGATGATAGATTCTCTTTCTTGAGGTGTTCTCTGATATGAAGCGTGTCTGGCAGAGTTTAGAATTATATTGCTTGAAGATAAGGCCTCATACCTAGAGAGCTGAAGTTGGATGATTGTTGCAGCCGAATACACCATCCTCCAACTTCGAAGCGGGCGAACAATATACGCGTAATATATGCTGGACAGAACGAGCGCCTGTGGTAATGATAAATTGAATGAGAATGACCAAGATGATTGATAGAGAAGAGTAGGCATAGCATGTTTTATATATCGCATGCCAGGTGGCGATGTCTTCAGAGAAGGAATATCCGCTTCAGTCATGGCGGCTTCTCCAATTGCCAATACGACCATGCATAAGGCGGACTCAATGCTAGAATCCGCTCCGTTCTTGATAAAGCGGCTGTAGATACCACGGAACTCATTTTCATCTAGTAATGGGTGATGTTGGTGTGCAGATGAGAAAAAGGAATTGACCAATTCTGCGGCATAATTCTCATCAATCCGCCATGGCTGCTGTGGTGCTGGTGGGTTACTCCATTCTGTCTCAAAAGGTAGTTGCTCGGAAGACTCCAAACGGAAAAATAAATCTGGTGGATAGTCTCCAACAAGTGATTTAACCTGTGGAAGACTCAAAAGGTAGCTTGAAGATGTTTTATGTTCGGGCGGAATCGACAAGGGCGGAGTGTGCATTTCCGAATTGTGTTGAATATCTGCAAATCCCAGAGAGGGTGAAATAAAAGTATTTGATGAAATTTCTGCGATGGCACCAGTTGTATTGTGCAATGGCGATTCCATAAAATTTTCCGAAGGAGAGAACTCAGTTCCCTTTGGAAAATTTGAGATCAAGCTTGTTTGGTCTTTCAGCATTGTCTCGATCTCATGCAATTTGCCCATGATTTCTCTCGTGCCACCAGTGGTGTCAATCCTTGTTGTTGTTGTGAGATAGAGATCCATAAGGTTAAAAAAAGGGTTGACAAACCTCTGTGAAGGAGCCTCGACATAGTGGCATTCTATCTCCATTTCTATGCAATGTGAACATGAAGGTTTTTGAGCGTCACATCGCCGTTTGCTATTCTTGCGTTAATTCGAGAAGAGATGCATACAACTCCAGAAGCTTACCGACTGCGACAAAAGCTGCAGGCAAGAGGTACTCTCTTTCTAGTGAAACTCATCATGGAAAATCGGATGTCATAATCAGGGTACGAGGAACAGGGAGTGGAGGACGCGAGGTGATGTCGGGTTACCCCGTGGGGTCCCGCGCTTTGCACGTGACTGTATGATAGATTTGGATGGGGCTAAGAATAGCTGTGTTTGTTTTCATTTCGTATGTGGGCGTGCATTGTTTTGTTTAAGAATAGCAAATAAGGCATATAAGAATCAAAAAAAGAGGTTATGACCTAGGAACAAACTCCCTCGATAACCACCTTGATCACACTTTCTTTTCCTTGTCGAACAAGTTCGAAAGCTTCTTCTGCTTTTTCAAATTTGAAGCGGTTTGTGATCAGTCGCTTTACATCAATTTTTCCACTTGAGATGAGATCTACAGCAGTTGGATAGCATCCAACTGTGTACCGAATTGAGCCTCGAATATGCAAGTCGCGAATGCAGGCAGTCGTAATTGGAAACATCACATTCTGATTCTCCGTCAATTCCTTACTCTCATTGCAGAAAATTGCTTAAAACTTACCTCACGACCCATACCAGCTTGAACGTATGTTCCACCTTTCTTTGTCAAGTGTATTCCCGTTTGAATACAGGCCTGTGCTCCAGTCGCCTCCAACACCACGTCAGGACCTTCACCCAGACAAAACCTCTCCTTGATGATGCGGGCAACCTCTTCACTCCAAGCTGTCTCATCGGCATCAATAGGTCTGACAGGAGGAACAAATATGTCATCTGCGCCAAATGTGCGTGCAAAGTCCGCCCGGGACCTGCTTATATCTACACCAATAACTTTTTTCGCGGAGTATGCCTTGCTCACAGCTTGACAAAGCAGCCCTATAGGTCCACATCCAAAAACCACCACTGTCTGATTTGGGCGTACATTGCCAACTTTAGTGATCTGGACAGCAACTGCGACAGGCTCTACCAAAGCCCCTTCTTCCAAATTCATGTGCTCTGGAAGAGGATAGCAGTAGTCCGCTTGAGTAGTGTAGTACTTAGAGAGCGTGCCATCATGCGGTGGTGTGGCAGCGAATACGGTATCCGGACACAGATTATAAGATCCACTTCGACAGTAATCGCAGCTGAAATAGTTTTAGCCATGCTCATTCGAACTGTTCACATTGCTGCAACTGGGACTAAACATACTGTCTGCATGGCACACCGGGTTCAATTGCTACTCGGTCGCCAATCTTGAGGGTTTTCACAGCAGATCCAACTTCAACAACTGTACCAGAGCTCTCATGACCGAGGACAATAGGTGACTTGAGAATGAAATCTAGAGAACAGAGAGTAAGTTTTGGTCGGTGTTGAGTGGCTTCGCTATCGAATCTGGCTCACCTCCGATGCGTCCTCGTTGCCAGTAGTGCACGTCGCTCCCACAAATACCCGTCTGTGCAATGTGAACGCGTACATCCCAAGGATCCTTCAAAGCTGGAATCTCGCGATCCTCAAGGACGACATCTTGGACAGCTCGAAGAACGAAAGACCTGTTTTTCTCCCGAGTATTCATGTTTTTCTCTTGCGAAGAAATTACTGTTTGGCACCTGGGCAGATCAAGGTTTGCTTTTAGTAAAACCTTGTGACACACCCCTTTGAAGGATGCTAACTATAGGTATAAAAATGACTGTCTGTTGTATTTCAATCCCCGCACGACGGAGCCCCCACTCCGTCGCCGGATAGCCACCCCGCAGCATGTGATGGACTCGGAATAGTTCAGCATAATTACTGAGATTCTCCAGATATCTTGATTCGGGGTACTGACACCTGTGTAAGATATTCAGAGGGAAGGGAAGGAGATATAGTACTGGAAGCTCGAGAGACAAGTTGGTACGAAAACCCGCTATATCGGCTCTTGGCTATGAATCTCTCGAATAAACAATTTTGTGCCCTCGTGGAGCCTGGTTTCTGATCTCATTCAATCCGTCAAGCACTCCGTGTAAACCTCCCTCTCGTGCGAGAATGGGATGTGGCTGGACCTTGCGCTTTGCAACTAAATCCTCAGCAATGTCGCGCCACTTTTTGGCGAATTGCCCCTGAGCCACGTCGGCAGCAAATTCCATACCTGGGAACTCAAACCGCTCACCCGTCATCGAGTAGGCGAAGGCTGTAGTTGCGACCGCGGTTTTTTCCGGTCGCGATTCCTTGAAGACCTTTGGTAAGGGTGCTTTTATACTATGGTAATGTCCACCGGTCGGAGAAAGTACCTTGCTGCAGAATATGCTCGACTCTTCGCTACCAATGCAGTCCACTATATAGGTGATCGATGCCCCGATCTCATTGACCCTTTCAAAGCAGTCTGGTAGACTATAATCGAACCATTCATCAGAGCCACGGGACTTGACAAGCTCCTTATTATGAGCGGAACAAGTTGTAAACACGCGGCATCCAGAACTAAGGCTCCATGCATCGGAGGAATACTTAGATATAGGCAATAATTCGAAAGAGCCAATGCTATACTTACAGCTTGGCTAATTGGATAGCAATTGTGCCCGTGAGGGAGCTGCCTCCATATATCAGTAGGGTTGGGCCAGAGTTGACTGGGATTTTTGGAAATGGTAGAGGCAAATTCATGACCCAGTAGAGTGCTTGTCCAATGGTTGCGAGACCAACCCCCAAAGAAGCAGCCTCTTGGAAGCTGAGGAATTCTGGCTTGTGCATGGTAAGACTTTCTTTGGATGTAACGATATCGGCAAATGCACCATCTTCTGGTTCGATGGAATTGCCTGTCGGAAGCTTCTGTCAGCATGCAATTGATCAAAGACGGGACCCGGGCAACCATGTCCTATGTACCACCGTGGCATAACCCGTATACGTAGTCTCCAGGTTTGAATTCTGTCACATTTTCTCCGACTTCTAGAACCACTCCAGACCAGTCACACCCAATAATTGAGCCTGAACCGCCTAGTACGTCGATCTGATGATTATCGGCCGCGTTCAGTGCAAAGGCTTTGGTTTTGGCGATAATATAGTCTGAGCGAGAGCGGGGAAAAGTAACATTCGACTGAATTTCCGCGATTCCAGAACTCACAATGCGGATTGCAATCCGTTTCTGAGCGGTAGACATTTTCTTGGATGGGGAGCCCTGCATGAATGAAGAGATGGGTGATATCGATGTTAAGTAGGTATTTGATAAAATAGCGAACAAAACATCTCGCGAATTATTCATTGCTTAGAAATGAGGTTCGAGATGACAAAAGAGCTTCGCGATGCTGACTGAATTGGATCACCAACAGCAATAAGACGTGATGATTGGATGGGCGTCAACCAAGGCGGATTGAGGCAAGTGGGGGCCAACGCTGGGAACTCCTCCACCGTCTTTCAACCTTCCTGGTCCTTGCTGGCCGAGCCACAAAATGACTCTAGCATCAAAAAAGATCGAGATGCAGAGCTGCGAGAAACAGAGGAGATATCGCGCTAGTCGACCAAAGGTGCGGTCGGGCTGTGTGGTATGTAAGAGCAGACACAAAAAATGCGACGAAGGACGTCCATTCTGTTCGATGTGCACTAGCACTGGTCGCCAATGCGAATATCGTGAAACTCCTGACCGTCGAACTCGAGTCTCACGCATTGTTCGTGTCTCTCAGGGTGATTCCCACCAGATGAGTCTCTTGCAAGTCAAAGGGTCTCCTGTTCCGTCTTCTCCGCTCGTCCCTGGAGGACTGGTGGACTTGACGTCTGAGGAACGGTGGTATCTGACTTATTTTCAAAAAGTCACATCATTGCAGTGCTCATCTTACTTTTATGACGAGTTTTGGGAAAGGTTAGTGCATCAGGCCAGCGAGATTCAACCTGCAGTCCGTCATGCCGCCATCGGCATGGGAGCTCTCAACTGGCAATTCACACAACTGCGCATTGGTACGAATTCAGGGCCTCTTGATCGGAGATTCTCTCTCCAGCAATGCAATAGGGCCATCAACTATCTCCAGAAGAACCTGGCCGATGATCAGATGGGTCGCGCCAAAGTGGAGACTGCTTTGGTGACTTGTGTGGTTCTAGTGTGTGTGATCCTTTTTCAGGAGGAACCCGAAACTGCTGGTCGACATCTGCGAGCGGGCAAAAATCTTTTAAAGCAGTATTTACTCGAGAATCCCTGTTCGACTTCAGTTAGTAGAGCTTTAAAACAAAGCTTTGCAGCGACTCAACTGGTTTATACGACATTCGCCAACAAAAGTCCAGACAAGGAAGATCTAGAATCCCCGTGGCTTGTCCCTCACGAACCACAAAATAATAGCGACAATCTCCAGAAGTCATATGATTTCTTAGTAACACTATCCCGAATGGTTGTGCAGAAGGACCCTCGCGGTTTTCGAGTGATGTCATCCGACCCGGATCTCGATTTGGAGCCATTTGCAGTCATGACTAAATTGCGAGGATGGAGCACCCAGCTCAGAGCGACTCTCACTGTTCATAAAGATCTGATGGGCCAAAGAGATGTAGACGCATTGACCCTTCTCGAGCTATGGGGTGAGGTTCTTTCCGTATTAATCGCAGTGAATACGCGTGTCCAGCCACTGGAAATGAAGTACGACAGCCTATTGCTCCACTTCAAAAAGGTGGTCCATTTAGCAGAGATCTTATTAGCACATACTGGCCATGGCTCCAAGCCAACTTTCCCAGTCAACACTGGGATCGTCCCCGCTCTGTTCTTCTGTGTTTTCAAATGTCGGGACTGGCTAGTCCGGCAACAAGCACTGGACCTATTGCGCAAATGGCAATTTCAAGACGGGGTTTCTTCAATCTCCCCGATGGTCCTTGTGTTGCAACGCACCCTCGAGATTGAGATGCAGGGTCTCATGCCCGAAGATGTGATCCCGGAATCTTCGCGTATAGAATCCATTATTGTCGAGACGCCTCCCAAAAGGTCAGAGCTGAAGTTTTGGTATCGGCTACCTCAATATACAGACGCGAACGGCCACATTGACCAGTCATGGCGCAGCGAGTGGCTTGCATATGCGCCCGGTCAACCAAAGACCACGCATACTTGAGAGACATGGGACTTGACTTGAATTTTTGCATTGAAATAAGAGCTTTGGGGCCGAAAATTCCGATCGCGAAAGGAATATATTTCCTCTAGTCTTGTTTTCCGGCATGTTTTTGTCGCAGCGCGGATACCTGGCCATATTGAATCAACAAAGAAGTCTGGGGCTAGTCGAACTGAATTAGTTTAAGTCTGGTCGGTACTCTGAGAAATTTTCAGGTGAAGACTCACCCGTATGTCAGAAGATTTCTGACATTTTATGTGTAGAAAAGGCGACTGGCAATACTCGTAACAATTTTGCGATGTTGATTTGCAGCTCGGTGGGACGCGCGTAAATGCGAGTGTCAGGGATCCACCACAAATCGTCATATTATTGGCTAGTCTAGATTCTTGGGCTGATCAGCCGCCTGGTCCTGCCTTTGCTTTTACGCGGTCTCGAAGATCGTCTCGTTTTGAAATAATAATCACTTCGAAGCAATTCTCTGCACCAAACCACACCATTTACCATTACAATCCAATCGCAATAAAAATCATGCCTACACATGTCAACGAGAAGAATAGTGCAAATGGCATGTTCCCTGTCTTCAAAAAGCCCGCCGTTTATATCTTTGGTAGAGACAGTACAGCTATCCGCTGGTCTGTTTGCTAAATTTACCCAAAGAGGCAAGGAGCCGCTGCCTTCACTCTGTGCAATTCCACCCAAACCGAGGGAACATAGGAGGACACATCCCCCTCCAGAAGATATCCTAGTATACTATCTTATCCGACGCAATTAAATCTTCGTTCATAGATTGTAGACTTGTGTATTTCAAGTTTCCCAGCAGTATGTTCATGTTTATGTCCATTAATTATGTTCGGCGAGACTAACCTCATTGGGAGATTTCCCCGCGTTTTTGCCCCAGCGGGGTAAGCGTTGGCCAAGCCAAATTTCAGGGGAGCATGTTAAAGACCCTCGCAGTGAATATTTCTGCAAGAAGAGTCGAGTGAGTGATATGTCGGATACATCATTGGCCAAAGCGCCTTGCTCAAACTGCCGAGGTAAGGATTGGCAGGGTCTGCGATTCGTGCATAGTAGTCGTGACTGATTAGTGACTTGCAGCCCGCCACCAGAGATGTGATAAGCGTCTTCCAGTTTGTATTCGATGCGAAACAAAGGGCCTAAGCTGCAAGCCTGTGCAGAAGAAGGCCGTCTTCCGACATGGATCGACCGCCAATTTTGACACAAGCTTCACCCAGGGCCAAGTATGGGTCAACAGCAAGCCAAAGACATGGCGGCCGCCGAAGCAGGCGTTGAGCACTTTGCTCCGGCAGATCCATTCAGACACTGCGGCCTTTTCGCATGAGAAGCTAGCAGATACTACTTCCCCAACGGTATCTGTCTCAGTGGAGCACTTTCAAGAGAGCCCCTCGGCCCCCATTCGAGAGGCTCCAAGAGAGGCGTCGGCCGGATCCGATGAAGTGCAAATGGATGATTACCACAACATTCATCCAGAGAATAGGCAAAGTGAAAGCTCCCATCAACACCACTTATCCTTGACCTTGTCATCTCCGGCATCATGGTCCAGAAGCGCCCAGAACACACGTTTACTTCCCAGTGGAAGCGATCGCCAAAACACGGACCCCGGAACATATACTAGCTTACAATACTGGGAAACTGAGACGGATGTCGATTATTCCACATCTCCATCTTCGACCACTGACCTGGCCACTACGTCATCTGAAAGTGTCCAAGAGTCATGCCTAATGCGATACTTTATTGAAGAGTTGTCTCCATGGGTATGAAGCCCTTGTGTCTACCAAAGATTACCACGGCTGACAAAATCCAGTTTGATCATTGTGATGAGCTGAGGCAGTTTCAATTAATCGTTCCTCAACGCGCACGGCATTGTCCAACTCTTAAAAACGCTATTTGCGCGGTTTCCTCGCGGCGTCTCTGCCGACTACCCAAATATTCGACCTCCAAAGGAATACTATATCATGGACAGCTGCTACCTCGTTTGAAGAAATCAAGCGCACTAGAGTATATGCTCAAATGCATTCCGGATCTTGTTCAATTCCCTGAGATTCGAGATCCGGTGCAGCAAGAGAACATCATGGCCGCCACTGTGATTTTACGACAATATGAGGAGATGGACGAAGAAATGGATGAAAATGAGATAGATACAGATTATTATGATGACAGACATGTCAGCTTCTTGGCCATCACGCAAACTATCATTGATTCGATGATTGAGTCCCCTTTGGAAAATTCTTTGGCAACCGCTGCATACTGGATTGTCATAAGACAAGAGATCTATTATGCATTTTCGAGAGAGAGTATTCCACACATGAGATTCGATACCAATCGTTGGCGGAACACGTCTATAGCCAACAGCATTATAATGTTCGCTGGCGAGGTTGCCACTTGGTGCTGGGGACAAAAGCTTCCCGGGGAATGGAGTGAGAATGTTCCATTCCTTATAGAAAATGATTGTCACTAACCTGTCTTCAAAAGCACAACTCAAACTTCGGGAGCAACAGCTCGCTCATGACTGCATGGGTGAGATTGAGCCAATTCTTGAACTTGGCCCAGATCGTGCAAAAGGCAAAATATTTCCGACCGTGTGGTACAGCTTTGATGTTCAAGTAACTGCCATTCAACACTTTCGATTAGCACAGATGATCTTGATCGCAGAGAGTCCATACCTGGAGTAAGTCAGAAGGAACTCTTATCATATTCTTACATACTTATTCCATTTAGAAAAGCAAGCCGAGCGACACATCGCAAAGCCGAGGCTCAAGTACGGTCCATTGTTTTGAACCTTTGCGGCATTGCCTTAGGTCATCTTCGAATTCAGCCTGCATTGGTCAACGCCGTAATTGCAGTTACACTCTACGGAGAATACTTCACTGATCCAGAAGAGCGCAATGCTTTACTTGGAATCATCAATCGGACAAAAGAGCTGCATGCATGGCCGATGAGAAAGCCATACCAAACTTTGAAACGGCGATGGGAGGCAGTAGATAACGCTGAGCTATGATATCGTGTCTTCCGAAAAGGCGAGAAAGTTCCGGCTCATGTAAAGATAGAAATCCCAAGGGAAGTTAAGGTATACATAGAAAGGGCCCACTAGACAAGGACAAGTCTTTATTACAAGTTCCATTCAAAGTTCGTCATGCATCTAGTTGGGATTGAATAATGTCCTGATAGTATTGGTTTAGTTGATCTAACGACAGGTATATCCGCCGTCTACAATTATATCGCAGCCCGTTGTGTAGGTGCTCGCATCACTGGAGAGGTAAAGATATACTCCCTTGAGCTCGCGAGGATCAGCATCCCGCTTCAAAGGAGTAAGATTATACCATTCCTCCTTCATCTCAAAGGGGCAATCTTTGCTGATAGGTGTGTCGATGTAGCCAGGACTGACAGAATTGACACGGGCGAAAGCGGCCCACTCTACGGCCAATGATTTCGCCAGGTGGATGACACCTGCCTTGCAAGCATTGTAACAGGCCTAAAAGTTGTCAGAGCATCTTCGTGGACTATATCAGGGAGATGATCTGGTTTACCTGCTGTTGAGGAACGTTCGCTGCATGACCAGACATGGAGGCAGTGAAAATAAGATTCCCATGTCCCTGTCGACGGAAGATCTCTCCAGCAACACGAGCACAATAGTATGCGCCGGAAAAGTCAACATCTACCACCCGTTGCCAATCTTCTAATTTATCATCCAATGCGCCTGCCTTTGAGGGAATCCCAGCATTTGCGATCATAATATCGAGTCGGCCGAAGTCGCGCACCACAGCGTTGGTTGCTGATTGAACCTACTCAATCACACGTTAATTTCAACTGGATTTCATTTTTTTCTTCGAGCGCAAGGATTTTTATACATCTTCAAAGTTCTGCACTGAACACTTATACGCCTTCGCCTTTATTCCGAAGTCCTTTTCCAACTCAGAGGCCAACTTATCGGCATGAGAAGAACCGTGGTACCAGAGAGCTATGTTGGCCCCAGCCTCTGCTAGGCCACGAGCGACCTGGTATCCAATTCCACCAGCACCGCCAGTGATGATGACGACCTTCTCATCTAGTCGGAACATTTGGAAAATACTATCCGGGAGCACCGGATTTTGACGACGAATACTTTGGGAACCCATTTTCTGCGTTCCTCGAGTATGAGGGAAGAGATATGCGACGAGTTGAGCGCTTGCTTTCTGTTCAAAGATCAATTGAAGGACCTGCGACCTCATATATTTTCAAGGCAAAGGACCTTGGTATCCGCATTATGTTGCTAGCTGTCCCACTCACGAGCCGATGCCACCTGCAAAGCCGCTCTTCGGTCCCAAAGTACACTCTTCATGCCATGGCATTTCTTGTTAACCGGTGATATCGCCCAAACTCTCGGACAGCCCTCTCCGTCGGCGGAAGTGGATCTCCGTTTCCTCCTCCGCAAACCAGCAACCGTGATGTAGCAACCCCACGGGGAGAAGCGTGGGGTCCGAGTGGGTCCAAGAAACATGCGATGCGATCCCGTCACTTCTTGCCAGTTCTTTGTTAGGATATTAGGTTTACTGGCGGTGGATATATTACTTCTGAGCCGCCAGGTCATGGATGTGCATCTCCGATGAGAATTTCCACATCCTCTTACAACTTCGGACAACGATGAGAGATCAGGATATTGTCGGCGCGGCCTTGGCCTCTGTCTTGCCCCAACATTATCACCCCTGGTTTCGTGTCCCACATCTCTTGCAACTCAATCTGATTCTACTCGTCCCTCTTCTTTCGTCTGCGGTCGCTGGATATGATGGTAAGACTTTGACCTTTCTTTCTGTGTGTTGTACAGAATACTAACAAATTCAAATTGTACTAGGGTCTTTGATGAACGGATTGCAATCGATTACTGAGTGGAAGCGCTACTTCGGTAACCCATCTGGTTCAATACTCGGTATTGTCAACGCTGCGCAGTCCATCGGGAGTGTCATTTCATTACCTTTAGTTGGCATTCTGTCAGATAGAATCGGACGGCGTTGGACCCTACTGTCCGGCGCAATCGTGATCGTCGTTGCCTCGATCATCCAAGCTGCTTCGGTACAGTATGGCATGTTTGTGTTTTCTCGTGTGCTGGTGGGAGTTGGTTCTATGCTGGTCACACAGCCATCGCCCATGCTCATCACAGAGCTGGCCTACCCAACTCATCGAGGAAAATATACAAGTGCGTTCTGGACCTTTTACTACCTGGGAGCTATATTGGCTTCATGGGCTTCGTATGGTACGCAAAAGCATATGAGTGGGTCAGACTGGAGTTGGAGAGTGCCTTCAATTGTCCAGGCTGGGTTCCCTCTCGTCCAAGTCATATTCTGGTCCTTTGTACCCGAGTCTCCGAGGTATTCATTGACCGTTGGGAGAAATAATGGCTACGCTACTTCAACTGACTCATATTTAGATGGCTCATCGCAAAGGGCAGAAAGAAGGAAGCTGAAGATCTTTTGGCACGATTTCATACTGCTGGGGATACATCGCATCCTCTTGTCCAATTCGAAATGAGCGAGATCGCACGCACAATTGAGATGGAGAGCCGGGCATCTGAGACCAAATGGTCGACACTCGTCAAGACTCCTGGAAATCGCAAACGTACATTGATTGCTATTTGCATCGGCGTGTTTGCCCAGTGGAATGTAAGTTGATTATAGCTCATGAACCATGTGTCCAATGGAGAGACTAACATAATTCAGGGTGTTGCGGTTGTATCTTACTATCTCACGCTTGTGCTAGATACTGTCGGCATCAAAGACTCGGACACGCAGACTCTGATAAACGGTCTTCTCCAAGTGTTTAATTTTATTATCGCCGGTAGCGCAGCCCTTTTGGTCGATCGACTCGGACGCCGAACCTTGTTCTTATGGTCTGCAGCGGGCATGCTAGTCTCCTTTATCATCTGGACCGCATGCTCGGCCGTGTTTGATATTACAAACGCTGGTGCTCTGGGCAAGACGGTGATTGCGTTCGTCTTTATCTTCTACTTCCACTACGATATTGCCTACACACCACTGTTATTGGGCTATCCGACCGAGATATTTCCATATTCCATCCGCAGTAAGGGACTGACTGTGGAGCTGATGAGTGTCTACGGTTCCTTGATTGTACTCGCTTTTGTCAATCCAATTGCGTTGGATAAGATTGGTTGGCACTATTATATCTTTTACTGTTGCTTTGACGTTATTGTGCTTGTCGTAACTTGGTTCTTGTTTCCCGAAACAAAAGGCCATTCCCTGGAGGAAATCGCGGAGGTTTTCGATGGGTCATCTGCTGCGACGAGCAGTTCAGCTTTTTATCAACAGGATGACTTCGATGGGAAGGAAAAGTCTAGTACAGAGCATGCAGAACACGTCGCATAGCTCGAATTTACTTTTACTAGGACTAATTTTTGCTTAAGTGATGAGTTAGCTGTGCTGTAGCTACTGGCTATTAGCCATAAATAATTTCACAATTTCGAGTTCTCTGAATAGTATCTTACCTGCGACGAATACCTAGCCTTGATGAACATAGTCTCAACCCTTGTTTAAACTTGACCAAGTGGATATCTCCTCTCCATACTCTATCCTTTGGTGAATAAATATAGTCGAAAGAATCCAGGGAATCTAATGTAGACCATAGTTATACCCCACATTAGTTAAAGTCCGGGGTACTGCCTCGGCAACCCAGCCCCGGAAGATGCTGTCACCGCGATCAGCCCACCTCCAGGATGATCAGCAACATCAATTACCCTGCTATCAAAGTGGAGATTTGAAACTGAAACTGAACTAAAAACCGGTAATGGCGGGTCGGACATGGATGTCCGTGACGGAGTGCGCTGTCCGGCGGGGAAGGGTGAGTGTTGTCCGCTGCAGTATGAGATAACCACTTCAAGGTTTAAATGAATTTGTTTTTTGTCTCATTTGAATGATCATCTGCGTGTCAACAAAATGGTCCTCGCCCAGCCTGAAAACCAACACGTCTCCAAGGCGTTCGACCTCTCCGGTAAAGTAGCCATCGTCACTGGTGGTGCCCGGGGAATAGGCCTCGAAGTTTCTCGCGGTCTGGCCGAGGCTGGCGCAAATGTATGTTGTATTGGAGAAACAACCTCTTTTGCCTTCACCTCGACCTCTAATATCTAAAATACTGGATCCAGGTGGCTATAATCTATAACTCGTCCAAGACGGCCGATGCGACCGCTGCCGAGATCGCATCCACCAACAATGTCAGGGCAGCTGCGTATCAGTCCGATGTGACTATCCAATCCAATATCGAGGCCGCTGTGCAACAGGTTGTCAAGGACTTTGGCAAGCTCGATATCATGATTGCCAACTCTGGCATTGCATCTTGCGTTGCGGCTGAGGATTATACCGCCGACCAATGGAGTGACATTATGAAGGTGAATCTTGACGGTGCCTTCTACTCGGCACAGGCAGCTGCTCGTGTCTTTAAGAAGCAAGGTTTTGGAAATGTTGTTTTTACAGCAAGCGTGAGCGCAACGCTAGTCAATGTTCCTCAAAAGCAAGCTGCCGTGAGTTATCTCTAAGGAATCTGATCCCGAAATGTCCCACCTAACAGGTTGCTTAGTATAACGCTTCCAAGGCCGGTGTCGTTCAACTTGCCAAATGTCTTGCTGTTGAGTGGGTGGACTTTGCGCGCGTGAATTGCATCTCACCAGGTTTCATCGCGACCGATATCCTCGATATCCACCCCCTTGAGTGGCGGGAGAAATGGCTCAGTATGATCCCTGCTAATCGCATGGCGCAGACATACGAGCTCAAAGGAGTCAGTAATATACCAGAAATAGTTATTTCAAGGTCTTTTACTAAACAAAACACAGGCATACGTCTTTTGCGCATCCGATGCCTCATCATATATGACGGGTTCTAATATCGTGATCGACGGGGGATATACACTACCTTAGACGTAGATATATCTAATTAATCGGTCCCAAAATACTAAGGATAACCTTGGAAAACGGCATCTCGATTTCTTGGGCGTAGTATGAGTTTGGAGCTCTATTCACAAGTACAGAGCCTCCCTCCCGAGGTCTGTATGCTTCTCACTAAGCAGGTGACACGGCAGGTCCCTTTCCGTGGCCATATATCATTCAAAACCTGGAATTTGGTTCATGAAATCGGTGATTGTTGAGGCTTGGCTGTAGGATAGGTTAATTGGTGCCTGGATTAAGCGTGACAAACCACTTACAGAGATGTATCGAAGCCATCCATGTGTGTGATATCAAGACTTGGCCACATCAGTGGGTAGAGGTTAGCAATCTGTGTCTGTGGAGACTCCTCAGTCGGAGCCCCCCATCCATCAAGTGAGTAATTCAGATATTGGCCACAAACTGAACGAATTTTCTCCAGGAAGAGAGAGGCCGATTCAATGATCTGAGACATTGACTCGATTGTTCGCATAGCTTGACTAATCTGCTCGCGCCATTCGTCGGCCGCTGCACATTGCGGATCATTGCGTAAGCAGTAGATGGGAATAAGTACTGCCTGAAACAGAAAGTACAGCCCGTACCAACAAGCCATCGTGTTCTGATGCTCATTTGACCAGTAGGCCGAGATCAGTTGCACAGACTCACGCGCTGCCTGCAGGCACCTCTCGATGGCAATGTCCTCGTAGCGGTTGGTTTCTTCGCCATTGGTAGATAATTGACCACGTCGTGAAATTACACGTCGGATAAGAATTGGGCGATACATGAGGGTTCGGAAGTTTCGATATCGCCATCGCAAGATAGAATGGCAGAGCCTGAAAGTCACATATTGAGTGGTGTCTTCTTGGAAATAAGGAGGCAGGGATGATAGCCAATGTAAAATCAATCGGTCATCCGCCTCTATCAGCTCCGATGCGGACGGGAAATACGTGGAAATCATCTTCGAGTATATCTCGCTTGTTGCCATATGAAATGTTACCTGGGCTCGCATGTGTGTATATATCGTTGTCTCTGTGGCAAAATGTGGTGTTTGCCTTGTCCCCTGTGTGATGGCCTTTGATCAAGAGCAAGGACTTAGTACAAGGTTAGGATAGGTAAGTAATCAGAGAAGCCTCACCGTATCGTGCACATCCATTGGAAGTTCCGCATCAACGCCATTGGAAGGGAAGTCGAGTGGTCGTGAAAAAGTGATGATGGCACCGACGTCAAATATGTAGAGACAGTGCCAGATTCGGCGCCGCATTTCCCTTTCGAAAAGATTCATTGCCGGCGATTGTATCTCCTTGTGGAGACCGATGGCCATCGCAGTACGCCTAGCTAGACCCATGTAATGGTAGCCCGAGTTTGGCTTGTTCCGCTTTTGCATGTAGTTCGAGATGAGAGTCAAGGCTTGCACGAGATGAATGTTGCCAGTCTCTAGCATGTCAAACGACATGCGTGCCTTCGCGGCCTCGAAAAGACCCACATCTTCCTGTGAAGGTTGCATCGATGCAGTGAAAGCACCCACAGCAGCCACTACAAACAGGAGTACCTCCCAGGCCTTTGATTTTGGTCGCGGAAGGACGTGCATAAACTGAGCTCGAAAAGTGGCCTCGTGAACGATAGGATAGGATTTGTGAAAGACGTCGAAGTACTGTTTGACGAAAGGTTCCAGCTCACCGAGAGAGTCTGATGAATAGGGAATGCTCAAGGCTGGGATGCTTGACGGCTCGATATTCTGACCCGATGCGATCTGATCTTCTGGTCCGTTGGGGTTTGGGTCAGTGACCCGCAGTAATGCAGCGCCAGACGCAACGCCTAGTGGTAAATTAGTAGACAATCAAGTCGCACAAATGGAAGTTTCTTACCAAGATAACCGCCGCCGCCATTTGGATCACTTGTCAAACTGGCCATACCATCGACGAATCTGTTACCGTTTGGCCGGCCAGCTCGCTCATCCCATTCCCAGTTGCCGGACAAAGGGGACGATTCAAGAGGCATGTTGTTTTGACCAATCGATCTCTTTCTAGCACCTTCTCTCACTTCAGATGCCAGTGGAGTTCGTGTCATACCGACAGGGCCAGTAATCCGCGAGCTATGGAGAAGGGGTATTTGGTTGGTTACCTCGCACGACTCAGAGAGACTGAGGTCTAAACAAATGTTCGAGTCATCAGGAGCTGGCAGGTGTTGCTGAAGGTTGAGAAGTGCATTCTCCAACTCCGTCACGTAGCGACGAGTCAGAGGGCGACTCTTAGCTCCGTATTCGCACGTACGGTTCTTCCTCGTGCACAGCGTGCACTTGGGAGTTTCACGGTCGCACTTGATTGAATCAGAGTCAGTGTATGTAATAATATGAGAGATGAGGGTGGTGCATCTTCACCTTTGATTTCCTTCGACGACACTCTTTGCAGGACAACTCCGGAATTGCGCGGCGGTTGGGATCATACGACCCAGTCCGCCGAGTGAGACTGGCTGGTTCTGGTGAGGACATGACAGTATCCTGTATATCCACATCTCCTCTCATATCCTGGTCCACGGTCGGTGGGGGGTGTGGAGTAATACTCACGTCGTTGCTGAGGGTCGCCGGAGGATCTCCGATCGACACCTCATTTTCTAGGCAGAACACCCTTTGGAAGGACACAATGAAAGGGTCTGCCATTGGGACGAAAAGGCTGCAGCCCTGGTTCAAGTTGAAATAGGGTAAGTGAAAGATGAAGAGCACTGGGGAATAAGAAGTCGGTGGGGTGAAGGAGTGGAAGTGAAAGACGAAGAGGGAAGAGGGAAGAGTAGTGGATGGTCCAACTTGGAGGGTCGATGGAAACAAGAGGCAACCTTGGAAAAGACAAATTGAGACAACAACTTGACAGAAGAAGAATACAAAGATACTAGAGTACTACCAGGAATCAAATTGCGGATATTTAATACTACTAGTAGTAATATTCGTTTATGGCTATCGAACAAGGTTTCACACTATAAACATTGATAACCATTGCTTGATCAACCAGCATAGCCAATGAGTTTTGCTCTCAGGTGAAGCTCAAGCATGATAGTTGCTGATACTAGGGGGGGAAGATCCTCCATCTGAGTGCCCCAGCCACTCTCTTCGGATCCCAAAGTCAGTTCCAGGACTCCTCCTTCGGTCCAGAAGTCGTGCGTAACCCAGTTCTTCGTCCATTCCTTGCCATTCAGCTTGGCGCTCTGAATATAGATGGAATTATAGCTGGGGTCAAAGTTGACATTGCGAATGGTTGCTAGTTTGCCTGTGATGCCGTTGCGAATGCTCACTTCCTTGAAGTACGGGGGCGTAATCAGATAGACGTCCTGGCCTGGGACTGGCCAGAGACCCATCATGCTCAGGACCACATATGATCCCATCGCTCCACTGTCGTCGTTACCCGCAATACCAGCGACAGTGGTGTTGAATTGTGAGGGAATGTAGAAGTGGTTGTACTTGGCGGACAGACCGGGTCTTCCGGCATAATGGAACTGGTAGACTGGCAGGAATGCCTGCTCATCGCCCACATAGAGAAGGCCAGATTCATGGAAGTAAGTTAGGCGCTTCGCGAATTCCTCAGCACCGCCAAGAGTCTGAACAAGGGATCCCATGTCATGAGGCGCATAGCTGCGAATGAAAAAAAAATTAGCGATTTCCTTCCTTTTCTCTCGTTGATGATGCAAAGATGTCACCTACAAAGTATAGAGCCAAGCACTTCCCTCGTACGTCTCATGGCCGTCAGGGTTGAGATAGCAGGAGGTGAAGTTGAGCAAAGGACTGCAAAAGATTGGATCCTGGTATCCCCATGTTCCGTTTGTGTAGCGAGGTTGCAAGAAGCCGGTAAAGTTGGTGTCGGCGCCCTGAATACTGGACTTTTGGTCTGCTTTGTACATGTTCACCCAGTTCCCGGAGCGTCCAAGGTACTTCTCATAATCTTCCTTGTGGCCCATGCCGTGAGCCATCTCAGCAATACAGAAATCATTGTATGCGTACTCGACTGTGCGAGAGATACTACGAGTGTGCGTTCCAACTCCGTCAGGGTCATAATCGTCGGTCGGGATGTACCCAAGGCTCTTCCAGCTGTGCAGGCCACCGCGGCCTTCGACATTCCAGTTGGCCGGCTCGATCTCCGCATCCTTGACCACAGCCTCATAGGCAGTATCCCAATCAATACCTGGAATCTTTTTCAGGTAAGCGTCAGCCACCACAACATCAGCATTAGAGCCGCCCTGGGTGAACCCCTTGCAGAGCGACATGCGGCAGTCAGGTAGATAGCCTTCATTGCGGTAGATATCAATCAGACTTCGCAACATCAGGGACTGTGAAAGAGGATCGACCAAAGTCAACAGAGGGTGGATACTGCGATATGAGTCCCAAATGCTGGATAGTCTTAGGTTAGCTGGAGGATTGGATCGACCAATCTACGTGATAAATTTCTTACCAGTAATAACTGTCGTAATACGGCTCATCACTCTTCCACAGGGGGGTTTTCGCCCGTATAATCCTGAGGGCTGATCATGGTGCGGTAAGCTCCACTCCAAAATACCTTTTGCAAATCGTCGGAAACTCCCTCCGCATCAACGGAAATAACGTCCAATTTCTTTCTCCAAGCAGCCTCAGCGGCAGAGACCGTTCCCTCGAAGTCGAAATCAGGCTGCTCTCGCTCTGCATTTGCGCATGCTTGGTTGACGTTGATAAAGCTGACACCGACACGAGCAAAAATAGTGTTGTCCTTGGGTGCATGGAATCGGGCAAATGTACCAGCGGAGAGTGTTTCTGGAGTGTTGGTCCCATCAGCTGCGAGAGTAACGGTCTCGCGGCTGAAATTTGCGCGATTCTTAGTCCAGACGCCGGTATCACGAAGCTCAGCACCCTTGAAATCGACACAGAAATGAAGATCATAGCTTCCGATTCCAAAGCTGGGGTTGAATGTGCCATTGCCAGTCAGTCGGCCAGTTGATCTGTTCACGTCAGCGGTACCACTGGTTCTTGACTGTGGCAGATCGATCAAGTCAACCAAGATCACAGGGCTCAACGCGTCGGCCGAAGTCTCATCGAAGGTGAAGCGATATAGTGCCGAGCGATTGGTTGTTGTCATTTCGGCATGAACACCGTTGTCGAGGGATATGCCAAAATATCCAGGGCGAGCCTTCGGCGAGTCTCTCTTCCAAGTTGAGGCTCTATCGTTGAGCTGCCATTTGCATTGGTTGAGATCATCGTTCGGACACGCTGGCTGGGCAAAGATGGGGAAGTTTCCCATAGATGGTGACTTATATTGTTAATGTAAAGAACCTTTCACGGGGGAGGAGGGAAGCATACACCGCCAGTGCCCGAATCATGCATGTGTGAGAATCCAGAAACGACAGTCGTATCGAAGGCGAAGCCCGCCTGATTCTCGCCGATTGTATCGGCCACAGCCTTGGCCATGCCTATCTTTCTGTGAGCAGCATGCTCTCCAATTATGTCTGTTTGAGCGACTCACCAAAGGGCAATGTTGCGCCGGGGAAAACATGGCCTGAGCCAGGCATTAGCTGAAATATTAATCGAAGCAGAGCCACCTATCGAAGCATACCTCCATTCGCTGTCCCGATCAAAGGATCAACATAGTCCAGTGGATCAAAGTTGTCCGCCAATGTCACCTGCGTATTCAGAGCAACGGAACCATACAAAACCGCGGCGATAGCACCAAATGCCTCGACGCGGGGAAGCAGTCGTGGGCCCATGACGAACTGCAGGAAAAAGGATGTGCTACAAGAGCGCAAAGTCGATTCGCGAGAGAGAAAAGAAAGACCGAAATTCCAGACTGAGCGTGTGGTGCACGTAGGATCGAAGGTCTCTTATTTACTAGCATTCCTCGCGAGTGGATCGGCAACGCGCATACTGTCTTTGAGGACAAATCTCGGCAGTTTGCCCCTCAAATGAGGACTCAGGGATGATATGTAGCAAACAGCCCACCCATTGCAAGAGCGAAGGTAACATCGAGTGCATTGCCCAGCCCCATCGCGTGTGACCTCTGCGCGGGCAGCCGTGACCGACACCGCGTCCTGCAACGTGCGTCGTGCATTTTGATTTTCTCCGTGCCATGACGAGTGAAAAGCGGTATCGGCCGCAGGGATGAGCGATAGAGAAGCCCAAAAGAGCTAGGGCGAGCTCATAGCAGAAGGGGTCACTCGCCGGGTTCCTGGACAAGGTGCCGATCCCTGGCGAGTTGGGCGAATTGTAGCTCTCCCCCAGTATCTCCGAGCTGCGGGGAATGAGGCCCCGCGAAATGAAAGTGGGGAAGTAGTGGGAAGTGCTGGGCCCTCATGTAACCTTTTCGCGCGACGTCGGAATTGAAACGGGCAGTTGTTGAGTAGGGGTAAATAGGTGGGAGTGGTGGGTGAGTGGGAGTGGGTGAGTGGTGATTGTTGATGAGGCGCGGGAAGGGGAGAGAACAACAAACACAAACACTCTTATGGCAGTTGGCAGAGACCAGCAGCTTTGAAACAATATTAAAAAAAAATCAATTGATTCTTGTCTTACACGCAGATAACCTGAAGGGGAAAATATTAGACTCTTATCTACAGCACCAGCTCTTCCCATCCGCATACTAAGGTAGTATCCTAGTATGATGTATAAGATCCTGGATACTAAATATCACGCAAATATTTTACTATTCCCCGAATGGAGTTTCAATTCTCATTTCCCATCAGCGGACTGTATGAGTACTACTATGTAAAAGAGATGGGATAGATGGGGAGTCTTCCTATGCACTCGGCATTTTAAACATTTTTATTCCGAGGGTTGGCCGAGATCGGGCCGAATGACATAATCAACATCGGCCATCTTCACCTCACTTCATCTTCATCTTCACCTTCACCTTCATCTTCAGCTGGACTAGGTACCCCCTTAAACTCGAATGCTCGCGGCTTTGTCCTTGGTGGTCTACGGAATGTGGTACATGTGATACATGTACACACTATCTACCCCGTGCGCTATCGTCCCCAATTGACATGCCCTGAAGAAGAGGATCCCTTGTGGATCGTGGATGATCTCAACAATCGACACTCCTGTTAAATCCGATAATGCCCGGAGTTCCCTCCAACAAAGCTTGCGAGCGATGCAAGAAAAGGCATCTGAAGGTTGGTACTTGCTCACTTCTGACCCGCGCTGGACTGTGGCTTTCTCTAACCTCACCAGTGTGATGAAACTCGCCCGCATTGTGAAAGATGTGAAGCCGCTGGCGTGAAATGCCCTGGGTATGTTCAGACTCGAAAGTTCATCGATCAAGGAGCATCAGTACGCCGCCGCTATGCTCCTTATCAAGAAAGGCACGCGAATTTCGGCGAAGTGGGTCATATAACTTCGATCTGCACGAAAGAGAAAACTGACATCTGGACCAGAGCTCTGAAGGTCACAAAAATCAAACTCAACACGTAAATGTCCCATCGGATCCTCATGCTAGGCCATTGGGAGGTCCTCCGGACACAGAGATGACCCAGCCGGGCTTGAGTTCTCAGAGAGACGAAGCCAGGACGATTCCAGGCCATACCTCCCAAACGGCTCAAGTCGGCCCCTCGCTCCATGCTGAACTGGGTGCTTTACAGGGTCAATTCCAGATCCTTAATGATATAAGTGCTTTTCCAGCTTCTCATCTCAATCAATCCACCACCGGTGGCGCTTCTCAAAGTCCAATTATGGACTCGATATCGCCAAATGCTTCAACGGGGCGCACCCCGGCTTCTGAATCCACATACAACAAGGCCTCTGTTGGTCAATCACAACATGAAAGATATTTGTCATCAGAAAGTGTCGCGCAGCGGAGCGAGAAGGACGAATTCCAAGACATCTTCTCGGAACTAACGACGGGCTCAGAGCACGAACTCGCATTCCTATCTCGTCATTTCGTAGAGATAATCGCCCCTTGGTTGGATCTCTCTGATTCAACAAAGTTTTTCTCCGTCTACGTGCCAATAAGAGCCATTAACTCCCCCTCGCTGAAGTATGCCATTGCCGCATTGGCTGCGAAACAATTAGGCCGCGTGAAAGGAAATAAACTAACGGCTGGAGGGGGCATGTTCACTAGCTCAGCTACGACTGAGATGTATCCAAATGCTGCGGAGACTGACTGGTTCCTGAAAGCTGCTAACTACCATTATATGGCGGCTTCAGACATGAATAACTCCTCTTCTTTTGGGTACAGCGCACACAGCTCAGCAGTCTTGGAATCGCCTATCGAGATGGTCAGCCGATGGCTAAAAGTGTCCGTTTCGCAAGGAGGCGCACAAGATCCCTCCAATAACAACTTTCTTCGGAAGACCGAGGATATGTTGGCAACAGCAGCTTTATTGATATTTTATAAACTTCTTGATGCAGATGGTGATCAATGGTCCACGTCAGTATCCTGAAATCAGTACTGTCCGGGAGCTCGAGGCTGATATTCCCCTTAGGCACCTAACTGGTATTCGCGGTGTCTTTGAGACTCTAATGAGTACAGATCAATTGAACTTGACAGTCTTCACCCACGGCATTCGTGCTTGTTTTTGGAACTTTGCTCGTCAAGACTATCTTGGCTCTTATTTCACTCGATGTCCGACTCATTTTGACCCGGCAAATCTCTCCGTGTGGCGTGCTGCGGGAATTTCCATCGATGAAAACGAAAAGTTCCAGATCAGCTTATATGGCTCAATCAATCTCTCCCAAGAAGACCAGGCAGCGAACGGCCTCTGCTGGCTGGTCTGCAAAGTCATCAACTTTCTAGCAGAATCAAAACAGTCGCAGATTGCACAGTGGACTGGATCGCCATCTAATAGACCAATCGGAAATCAGGAATCCGCAGGAAGTGCTGATCAGAGCGCGAATACTTGGCTTGATCTTTCCTTTGAGTTTCAAACTTGGTTCGAGCGTGTACCCGAGACTTTTCGTCCGTGTGTGCGAATCGATCACCCCAGAGACTTCTCACGTCCATCTGAAAATATCAGGCTGCCCTTCCCTGAGGTCTTCTACAGTCTTTCTACCTGTGCTGCCACTATGCAGCATTACCATTTCGGTCGAATCGCCCTGTTGATAAACCAGCCTGCAGACGTTGTTAGTGCACCTAGTACTGCATTTGATCGCTTGCAGGGCTATCGAGAGGTCACCAAAAAAGTTGAATATCGCGCCCGTGAAGCTTGCGGCATTGCGTTGGGACGCCCACAGGGTGATGTACGGGTTCACATGGTTCCGGTACTGTTTGCGCTTGGACAGTGTCTCGAGGGTGCTGACGAGCATCAAATAATTATCAATCTCCTCCAGGGAGTTGAGGCCGATCTTGGCTGGGCTACGGAATACGCTGTTACAAAGTTGGAAGCGTCCTGGAATCGATGAAAGAATTTTTTTCCTTTCAGAAGTATCATCCGATAGACGGACATGCAGCAAACTCCCGACGATACTTGTTTCAGTCTTCATTGAATGCCATGATCATAATACGCGATGATCTCGAATAAATCCCATTTTCCGGCATCACATCGCTCTGAAACAAACATTCAAAAAAATGCGAGAAAATACATATACTATTTGAAAGACCTTTCGTCCAAAGTACTCAGTCTCTCCTCCCGGGTCAGTTCTGTCTGGCTTTCGAGATCACGATCGTACTTTATTGGTTTTGAAGACACATTGTACGCATGAGATAGCCGTCGGCGAATCCTTTGGCTGGGATTTTCTTCCTGCAACCCCTCTTTGCCAACCTCTACCGGCCTCTGTCGACTATTTCTAGTCTTCAATAGCGACCACGGACTGCGGAAGCCGAAGGAAATCAGGTGGCTGAGCACACACCACAGCACACCAATTGTGATTAGCAGTGCCACTGCTGCTGTGACGAGCATCGAGACGATCGTGGTACGACCAGGTATCCCGTTCATGCCGAACACACTCACAGCTAAGCCGACAGGCAAGAAGAAAACAGTCACGTATGTAAAAAGAGTGATATTTTCGGCTTCGCGAAGTGACTTTTTAGCCCTGATCGCATCCTGGGCATTTGTCACTAGTGCAATGAGAAATTCGATCCGCGCTGCAGCCGCTTTAATTTCCCGATTGTGATCTTCGAATTGAGCAGTTTTTTGCTTGATCGACTTTCGATATTTTTGCTCATCGCTGCGTGTCCAGCGTGGTCGCTCACGTCCTTGCGAGCTTTCCCTATTGTTCCATTGCTCAATGAGACCCTGTAGACTGGTGATATTATTCTTCAAGATAACGAGAAGTTGAAAACATTCTCGAAGCTCTCCGGGCTTTCGATCCTCGAAACTATCCTTAGAGAAGTATTTTTCTCCCGCATCCGATGTTTTCTGCCGAGGCCCTTGTTCAATTCGTCGAAGAATCGAACTTGTACTCGTGTATACTTTCTCCACAATGCAATTCATCAACATAAGCTCCAACACCTTCCTTTGTTGCCAATGCGTGGTATTGTCAAGTACATCATTAGTGAGAGGGGATTCAAGGTCTTTTGGATTTGCAAAATGCTGAGCAACATAGCAAGTCCAGTAACGATCGAAGAAATCACCAGATATGCGAAAACTGATGACGGCATCAACGAGGTATGCATGATCACCAGATATACCACATGTCTGAGACTTAAGTTGCCGAACAGGCGTCGGTTCTTGCGAAGGAATTTCGCCGTCGTTGGGCGAGAAGACCTGAAAAAATCGAAAGTGAACCTCTGTTATCCAGCTATTGAAGACTGCCGCGGTGTCATCATAGAGCCAGTTTGCGTGAACCTTCGCATGTCGATCAAAGAATTGCGCAATATGGCCCCTTTCGGACTCTGGGGATGCAACATAGCATAAAGAAGCGACAATGTAGTCCGGAGATTTCAAGTAAATTAGCCTCTTCTTGCTGTATGCAGCGTTTCGCCTTTTCTGAAGCCTGAACCATAGATCTTTGTATGTTAAAAGTGGATAGATGGCGGATTTCTCTTTGACGGACCATTTTCTCTGCTTTCGGTCCTTGCGCACATCGTTGATTGACACATAGCAGTTGCCGTGAGATGGAAAAGTCGTGTCTTTCGGGTCAACTGCATTGCTAAATAGGTACTTTTCCATGGCTTTCTTCATGTCACCAGGAGCCTCACTTTGAAGCAGATCGAGCGTCAGTTTATCCGCTGGTGGGATGAATGTAAGGAAGTCCTGTTGGCGATAAATCCATTCCTCGGGCACCTCAACTATGTTGCTCAAATCAACTAGCCTTCCGTACGGGTTTTGTCGTTTCAAGGTACGCTGGATTGCGAATGCTCTGCCATCTTGTGTATTGATATATCCAGGTACAGTTCCTACCACGGGCTCAGGCATTGGCGATAACTCTCTTGCCCTCTGAACTGGTGACTGTGGAGTTTCCAATCGAGGTCTCCTCTGCCCAGGTGTTTCAGAGGTTTGTTGCCCTGGCTCTTCTATGGTTCGAAGAAGGATATACGGCAGCTCAAAGCCGACGTGGAAATAGAAGTCGCGGAAGAGCTCGCGATCAAAAAGTGCAGGTTCTTTACTGAAATCATCCAGCTGTCCCGGGAAAAGACCATTTTCGGATGAGGATTTCAATATAATATCTTTAGCATGGTCGAACATCTCAACTGGTGCAAAGGTACGCTCAAGGCGATGTCCTTCTTTAGCCATCTCGATTGCCAGTCCATAGCGAAGTGGGTTATCCCATTGAGATTCGTCATTGCTCGCTTCATCATGCTGTGTCTGTGCCTCGATAAGCTGCTTCCATACTACATCTTCGCCAGTGAAGAATCCCCAATCAAGGCCGTAGTACAAAACAGTGTCTCTAGAATGCAGTAAGAAACGGGTTTCACGGGCGTTTCTGGTAACACTAAGCATGCGCTTCTTGAGGATATCATTCTCTATTGTAAAGCGACGGAGATTTTGTCGTCGTATTTCTTCGGCCGTGAAGTCAAGAATGAAATCATCACTAGACTTTCGCACCCCTCGGTGTGGAAGATGGCTAGTGATGCGAAGAAATTCCTTCAACGTTTCGTGGGGCATTTTGCTCTGTGTATTTTCGACATGTTTGATCAGCTCTTCGATCCCTTTAAAAGCCTTCCATATCCAAACATGGTCACTTAGGCGATATACTGGAATTTCCGAGTCATCCAAGTGCTGCCATGTCGGCGTGAGCGGGTTCTTGTCCATGGCCAGCTTTCGGAACCATTTCGAGGTGAACCCACCCAGCCAACTGCATACAAAGAGCAAGTCCTCGATATCGGGAAATACTTTAATATATTGCGTTGCTTTGATGATGTGGCCAGGCATATTGGTGGGGTTATCTGGTGGAAGTTCCGTATCACCGGATTCGTCGTCCATCTTTCTGCCATGAATTCCAATGTTAGAACAACAAGCTTCTTCAAGACCCAATTTCGACACCCATTCGAGGTGTCCTTTGCATATTGAATATATTCGCTTTCGTAGCTTTGGTGCCTGCGGGAGACTTGGATACATCTCCAGCATGAACATAAATGCAAAACTATTTTCGAACGTTAGACTTTGAAGCAGATAACTTTCAAGAAGAGATGAGCGAGCGTTAATTCTTACTAGCTTCCTGACACACTGATTCGATGATCACCAAAGTCGCCACATGTGAGGGCCACTGGTCCAATTCTGTCTTGAGATAGAGCATTTCGATGTAGAACATCCTCTTTGCCGTCTGGTGCTTGTAGTTTGATCATCGGGCCGGCGGGGTGCTCTGTTTCATCTTCATCCTCATCTTTTTGAGTAAGAAACATTTCATTCTCATCAACGCCCTGTTTCTTTATCGTCTTTGTCGGAAGATCTTGATTTTCTGTCTCCGCGAGCCCTGGGGCGATTTGGCTTTTGAAGATATGTGAATCCACTGGGATACTGCACACGGATAGAATGTGCTCGAGATTACGGCGAAGATGCCAACTCAACACCGTCTCATTCGACACAGAGGCATTTTGGTCTTCACCTTCGTCAATCTGAGCATCGAATATGAGATCTTCAGGTGGAATCAAATATGATTGCCACGGAGCACTGAAACTGCTCATTTGAATCTTCATAGCCACGGTGAATTCCACAATGTCCGGTCCCTTGAATTCATGTTTCAGGGTCAGAGATGAGGGTTTGGTATTTAGATTTTCCTTATTCTCGTCAAATAATGTTTTTTGAGGCTTTCCATCCTTAAACAGGCCCAAAAGCACGCAGAGGCGGTCTTGGTTAACGGGATAATCAGATATCTCTTCCAATGTAACGACTCCGAATCCATGAGGTCCACTGGCTCGACGCACACGTAATCTTTCTCTCTTTTTTTTGATAGTCAAGGTCTTGTAGACTGAAGTCTGCGCTTAGCTCCAGTTTAAGGGGCTCTTTCGTATTCAAGGTATTTGTCACCTGCATCTGCTGCACAACCAAGTTATTTTGGCACCATAGCCTGACAGTGATAGAGACCCCCTCGTTGGTTCTATACGATATTATCGGCCAGCGTTCTCCCAGAAATTCAACTGTTGGTGGCTCCGAGGACAGAGAGTTCAAAATTCGTAAACCAATTCCGTTGGCGGAAATCTGCGAACTCTCCAGAAACTGCGATGCGCGCCAATAGACATACCATGCCTCTGGTTCTTCGCCTGGCCCTAGTCCGATCAGACCTGAGTGGAGCTGGCCCCCCTGCCTGTCCTGGACGGGGCGGCAAATGCGTAGTAGCTGACCATACACGCCGGCGCTCGCTGTTATCCCGCGGTCGCCAAATGAGACATAAGGAGCATGACGCCTAGTGCTCTCTTGTTTTTCTCGTTGCTGGTTCTGGAACTGGAGGGTGGCAGGTGTGTGACGATTTGGGTCGGGACGCCGCGACGCTGTGAGGTTCAGCTATCAGGAACCCGACGCTGACGCGACCTGGTGGTCTTGAAGTAGAACTCACGGGAAATAACATATTGGAACTCGGGGCTGCCTTGTGCGGGGAGCCCTGGGAATTCAATAGCACTCCTGTTGTCCGATAGCTCTGGCGCCATCGTGGGCCTTGACTCCAAGGATGACAGGTGAAGACGTCTGTGAGCGTGCCATTGCGAGATGCGGCTGACATTTTGGCCCTGGAGCTTGTATCCTACAAGAGTCATGCACCTAGTCCAAGACGAACCCGGGTTTATAAGGATCCGAGATGGCCAGCCATTTGGATTCCTCGCAGAACGCCACTAGCGGCCATGCTAGCAGCAATGGAGAAACCCCTCGGCTTGAATTCCCTGGCGGGTACATTTGCTGCAGTCAGATCGAGGATAATGGCAATATCTTTGGATGTTCGAGTTCATGCCAAGAAACAGGCTCTTGGATGATAGATTATTTTGTTCGTACTAGTAGCCACCGTGACTTCATACCAACTGACAGTGGCAGTGATGACGCAAGCCTCGCTAGTATACTCCCCAGCTCTCGTTAATGGGACTCATAATCGGAACTTGAAGGCAACACTTCATTTTCAAAAATATAGATAAATGGCTCTACTTCCAAGGTTCTGGATCCTCGTCAGCATCATCTAGCTGTAAGTGAGGTGCCCAATCCTGCCCCAGCGTAGCGGCTGTCCACCTAAGCAAGCTAGATACTGGGTAATTGCAATATTGATTGATTGATTGAGGTGCCCAATCAATGAGGAACACCATATCGCGTCGCAACATAGTCAATCCATGTCGAGAACCGCAAATGTGGGCCACCTGGACAGACAGTCGCTAATTCTGGTCAGCATATGGATAGTAAATAAATAGTAACCTTTCAAAGGCACAAAATTGATTAGATTCTACGGAATCGGGGCGTTGCGGAGAAAGGAGGCGGAATGCCTCCGTGCAGAACAGCCCCTTTCGACTCAAAGTCAGACCTCCACCTCATTGGACTATCGCGACCTTCTATGGGGTTATCGTTATCTTCTCCCGTCAATTATTGAAGGGAAAGAACCCGCTCAGCTGTTGCTATTGACTCTGTTGAGTACATGGCCCATTTTCCCCGGCGGGTCGATGTCCCACTGGCACGGGATTGTAAACCATTGCTTGCTCCGCTATGTATGTTATTGACAGTGGAGGGCCAATAGTCATTGAAATTAAGAGAAAAAGGTGTTACGTTCCCAGTTTCTAGTTCATTTCATTACTGGTTCAGTAAATCAGAAAGAGGGAACCTCTAACTAGCTCCATGGAGATGGACTCACTATGCTTAAATTATCACTAGTGTCACAAGTCCGCCTCTACCATGGAATTACTGATATAGCGATCATAGAGCGCATTGTCAAATGCCTCATCACTGCCGAGTGCGGCAGATTACCGCAGGGTATTGCCGAGTAGTAGCAACTTTGTAGCAACGCCACCTGGGCGAGTAAAAGCGACCGAGGTGAAGATATCGTTGTGTAGGTAGGGAAGTGCGGGGATTTTGAAGAACCTGGGGTGGGAGAAGTTCACTAGTCCCTACCAAGAAACCGCAGTATCAATGCCCCTTATCAGAGCTGTTGAGTGGTTGGTTTGCGCCACTATGGGTTGCCACTGCGTGGGCACGAAAGCTTCCTCCTTTACCTCAGCACGGTCCTCGAGTCATCGGTAGATGTCGAATTGACAATCCCGGGTCAATTCCGCACAAGCAGGGGTCGGTCGACTCTTGGTCGTTTTGAAACATAAACTGATATGATCCCAGCGCGGTGCTGGTCGAGAATGTTACACAAGAGCTTTACCTGCTTGTCAGAATATCCCTCCTGATACCTACAAACCTTTGAGTGAATAGCGTCTAGTCGCGCAGATCAATCCACTATGGAGATGAACTATGATGAAGGTGTGAGTACTCGTACTACTCTTTTGCAAGTATGGCGTTGTCTCGATGGAGCTCAGACTGATCATTTAAACGGCTTAGACTCTCCATCAGTATGTGCTCCTAGCTCCCCCAATGTCCCTTCCCTTGCTAATGATTTCGTCTCAGAATCGAGGATGAGTTGGGCACAACCATCTATCCGGGCACGGAGATCATGGCCGATGTGGGCACGCATCACTTTGTCAAGTCTTCAGCGAAATCCGACCGAGTGCTGGTGCCACAGCCATCACAAGATCCTCATGATCCATTGGTAGGCCGATTGAATATATTCGTGTCCGTGTGTAATCAGCTCTAACAGAGTATACCTTCTAGAACTGGAGTCGATTCTGGAAAATGAGCGCGATGGCTATTGCTACGGCCACCTCCTTCAGCCAGGGATTGGGTCCGCTAGCATTAGCGCCTATGTTCCCACAACTCATGGAGACATTCAATTCAGATCTCGCTGGCGTGGTACAGTTTACTGGCATCTGTATCCTTATTTTGGGGTTCAGCAATTTCTTCTGGTGTGTCTTCAAGTTGTCCAGCATGAATGTTGCGAATCTAAGCTTACCGCTGAGTGATACAGGATTCCCATACAAACCTCTTACGGTCGACGACCTGTCCTGATCTTCTCAACCCTCATTTGCCTCGTGAGCAATATATGGCGTGCAAAGGCAAATACATATGGGAGTTACATGGGCGCTTGTGTGTTGAATGGGTTTGGTGCTGGTCCTGCAGAGGTATGTATTTTTTCGTAGCCCGCCCCCCCCCCCCCCGGCTCTCTCTCTCACTCTCTCTGTGGGTCTTGCGTGTCTAACGTGTATCATATCGAACAGACTTCCCAACCCGAGATTATCACGGATATAATGTTCCTTCACGAGCGGGGTGCCTATAATACCCTATATTTCACTGCATACTTTGGTTCGCTCATGGTATGACACTCTTCCCCCTCCCCATTCGAGAAGAACGTCAAATTGATGCTAGACATAGGTCGGCCCTATCATTGCAGGCCCAATGGCAGAGCACATCGGATGGCGCAGCTTCTTCTGGCTGAATGTCGGAATCCTCGGCATCGTCCTCCTACTGCAGATATTCCTCTTCCCCGAAACTAAATGGCAACGCTCTCGCCCTGATGAGATACATGAGACTCAGAATGCAGCGCAGAGGGTAACTTCTGAGCCAGAGAAGCCAGGTGCGGTACACCAGAAGGAAAATATCGAGGTGGAAGATGCTGCTGAGCATGATCCATATCTACACCGCGGCTCTCCTTCAAAGAAACAGTTTAAGCTGTGGCAACTTGATGGTAATAACACGAAGACGGTTTTGACCAGCTTCTTAGTCCCGTGGAAGCTGTTGACTTTCCCCATTGTTGAATTGGCTGCCTTTGTCGTTTCTTGGTCTGCTAGTTGCTTTTTGACACTGAATCTCACGCAGAGCCAAGCGTTCGCAGAGCCTCCGTATAACTTCAACAGTCAGACTATTGGGTTCTTCAATTTTGCCATTCTGATTGGCGCTTTCATTGGACTTGCGACTAATGGCCCCTTCTCGGATTGGATATCCATGAAAGCCACTCGCAAGAACAAGGGTATTCGAGAGCCGGAGATGCGTCTGCCAGCCATGGCTGTCTATGTTGTGATAATGATCATCGGCAATTTCGTTGTTGCTTTCGGTTATGAGTATAAATGGGATTGGCGGGTAAGATTCCCCGAGGAGTTACAGCCATGGCAATTGATCTGAAGGCTAACCGTCACAGGCAATTGTGATTATTGGTTATACCGCAGCAGGTATCCAAGTTGCAGCACTGCCGGCGATCGCTAGCACATACGCTGTGGATAGCTACAAGCCCGTGGCAGGCTCGATCTTCGTGTCCATCACGGTGAACAAGAATGTCTGGGGATACGGGTTTAGCAAATTCATCACCCCCTGGGTTGAGGAATCTGGATTTGTAAAGCCGATCATGCTGAACATGTGTCTGTGTACACTATGGTGTCTCTTTGCGATTCCATTCTACCTATACGGCAAGAAGTTCAGGGGATGGACAGCCAAGTCTTCTGTGCACAAGATGTAGGTGTCGAGTTTCGAGTTTCGAATTAGAGAGCATGCCGAGCAACAATCGAATCAGAAAGTTCCAACATTGTTTGTATTCGCGATTTAAGTAGCGAGCTAGGTTCTGAAAGTGGTATCATAAAAAGCAATGGCACAGCAAAACCGCTTTAAAATGCTCAGTCATCGTCATCATCAGGGTCGTAGAGGTCGAGGTCCAAAAGACCTTTGGGTTTGGGTTTGGGCGCAGGTGCAGGCGCAGGTGCAGCAACTGGTGGCGGGCGTGGAACACTAGCAGCAACGGAGCCAGCCTGGGCTGCAGCTTTCGCGGCCTCGTCTTGTCTCGTATCCGTTGTTGGGACCGGCGCAGGGGCTTCTGCTACCCCGAGCCCCTCTGCCTCTCGGATCAATCGCTCCACCTCTTTGTCTGGGTCTTGGCCAGCCGCCAGCTGAACTTGTCCCATCAATCCCATCCGGATGCGATCCTCCATTGGATAGGGCATCATATACGCCTCGCGGGTAACGTTTGCCGAGTCGTCCAGCCACTGAGTTGCGTTTTTGGTCACTGAAGACACAGGTTCCTTCCCATACTCTGCAGTAGAATCTTCATTTATCCCTGACATTTGCACATCCTTGTCCGGAAGCTGTTGGCGTGTAGTTTGGCCCTTCCCTACTGCGCCATTCGCAGCATCCGCCGCGGCTTCATGGTTATATTTGCTAATGCGGCGCGCAAAGTCCAGCAGTAAACGGTAATCGATTTCTTTTCGCGACAGGGGTTTGGAGCCCCGAGGGTTGTTTTGTTCGTCCGAGTCCGAGTCCGAGTCACTTTCGTCGTCGCAGGCTGTGTGGATTTCTCTATCGAATCTTTCAAGATCACCGACAATAGCCTTGACGCGAGTTTCCAATTGTTCTGCCTCGTTTCGTAGGTTTAAAATCTTTGCATAATTCTCTTGGTGTCGCCTGAGGGTTTCGATAGAGGAGGTTAATGTGTCGTCGGCATTGAGTAGGGCGACGGCCGCTGCTGGAGCTCCGGCGGCAGCGGGGGAGTGGGTGAGGGTAGTCAAGAGCGAATTGAGTTTAGATTCGACGTCTGCCAGAGAGGACTGAACGACGTTGTTCATGGTGAAGGCTGGAGGAAGCTCCTGCGGGGGGCCACGAGCTGGACTGAAGCTGTGAAGATGCGAAGATGCGAAGGTGAAGCAAACAAAGCGGAGCCACTTGCATCCAAGATCACGTGCCAAGCATCACCGCATGTCACAATTGTGTTTTACTATTTTTTAGATATTAATTTATTTAACGTAGTTCTAATCATGTAGAAAGAAGAAAGAAGAGAAGCAAAGAGTTGACTCAAATAAGGACTAAAATGTATCCAGCAGATCACTAGAATAGTATTGTTGGTTATGGGGTTAGTGCGAGTGGTCCACCAGTTACTCTCTAGAAGTGGGGAGATTCCCTTGTCAACAACCTCGGGAACAACGGAGAACTTGAACTCGCTGGTATTTTCACTGGTATTTTGCTATCACAATGGACGTCACAGCTGGATTACCCTCTGCCAAACCTGTTCAACTGGGCAACACTGGCAACATTGTTTTACAGCCTCCACTGTCTCGCTGTGGACAGGGACCAGGACTTATTCTACTTCGGCCAGTATCTTATGCGGGATACCAGCAACAAAATACCAGCCTGGACCCTGAGCCCCTCCAAAAATGGGCCGAAGAAAGCTTTGCGGTAGCCCAAATCACTCTTGATGTTGATCTGAGTGGGGATAAGGCAGCTCTACAACATCTGATACAAGAAGCTCAGGATGGACTGACGGCTCTATCGGAGTGTACTCAGGACCAGTTCGGGTTGATAGGTAAATATGGGAGAAACTCGTACTGTGATGCACAATTACTAACCTTTTATGCAGTGTTCGGATCCAAGGCCGACTACATATCTCAGTTCGAGGCCACCTTGCGTGATGTGCCGCTGGTCAAGAACGAGGCCTGGAAGGTTGTTGCGCTGCTTTCCTTCGATTCCTGGGATATTCAAGTTACCAATACACCACGGCTTGTTCACGCATCAGGTCCCGACAAGCTTCCACAGGAGGACTTACAGATACAATATCATTATGCCGATGCCTTATCCCCAGGGTTCGTGATCCCGGGCCATCCCGACTTTCAATATGCAACAGCCGGAGTCTCCCATACCCGCAGCCTAAAGTTCCTCAAGAAACATCTTGGTGGGCCAAGTTTTGACCTCGAAAGAATCTGGGACGAGCACACTTACTTTGAATTTAGCGACCGGTCTGTTGAGAAGACCATGGCTACGATGGTGCAGGAGCCCTACGTGAACCATGTCCCCACGGTAAACCCCCCTTGCCCCAGACTCGTGAAAATGCAAGGGATGACGCCAGCTAATAAAGATATGTTCGGGTATCACAGCTGACAGGTGGCATCGGTCGGGCTCGGTTGAGTCATTTCTACCTTCATCATTTCATTTTTAATAACCCCGACGACACGGGTCTTGATCTGGTCAGCCGAACCGTCGGTATAGATCGCGTGGTCGACGAATTTATTTTCAGCTTCACTCATGTGAAACAAGTTGACTGGTTGTGAGTGACTATCTTCTTTTTAGCCTTTTGCATTTTCTTCTACCGCTGTGGACTTGGAATCTCACGCTTGCTCAACATCTAGAATCCCGGGTATCCCGCCGACCGGCAAGCAACTACGCATTCCTTTCACCTCTGTAGTGAACATCCGAGGGGACCGATTGTACCACGAGCACATTGCCTGGGATCAGGCGACGGTGCTTGTACAGTTAGGCCTGCTACCTGAGTATCTTCCTTTCCCGTATCCACTGGCCGACGGGACTCTTCCCGCACCTGGGAAGCGATTCGAGTATCGTGTGCCTGCGGCTGGAATAGAGACTGCAGATAAATTGCAAAATGGTGATGATGTGCCTTCGAACGGGATGTTCGAATACAAGATCCGTGAGGTGGATGATCGTTGAGGAAGTAAAATGGGCGAAGCATCCGCATGGTTGTACTGTAGACCTCGTCTTAAAATTGAAAAAATTGAAATAAAATATAAAAAATTCAGAAGCTAGCCAGCGCTTTAGCCATCCTTTCTTGGGGCTTTGAACTAATCCTTGCTGCATAATCACGCATTCTCTCTGGGGTCTCCTTGGACGTGCGTTAATGATTGTGGAGAAGGTTTCCCCTTGCTTAGGGTCTGCATGGCGGGGCTTGTATCATCTAACCAAGATCTAGATGATGTAGATTGTGGGCCATTGGTGACTGCTGTAACTTTCAGGACTAAATTTGAAGGCATGTGCCTCGATTGACACCCAGTTTCTTGGTTCATACCAGTTACTACTTGTCTATTTTATAATTGCTTCTTCTGATGCGGAGGTCGCTTTCCCCGCCCGAAGAACCGTCGTATCAACAGTATTATGACCATCAACCCCCCTCCCAAAATCAGTTCATTCGGATCATATAAAAGGAGTCAAGTAAATGCAACTTCAACGCAAATCGGCACTATCATGACAGAGTGCAAAGCAGAAATTCTGAAGATCGCCGGATTAGTTGACGTCATCGGATGCGGCGATGGAAACGAGTGACGAAGAATGCTGCACCAAATTGCACATTTAGACCACTTCCAGGAACTCCCCGGCACTCCTATTGACCGCTGATTCATATCACCCTGCAACCTGCTCAAATTAAACTCTCGACCAGATGTTCTAAGCTCCACTTCTGCTGCATAAATTGGATTTCGCTGGGTCCTTCGGACGGCCCGGGTGCAACTCCACTGCAGCGAATGGGTCCTGATGTCCTGACAATTGAGAGTTCAAATAGTCGGTGCTGAGTTGAGTTGAGTTGAGTTGAGTTGGGTTGAGTTGAGTTGAAGTTTTCGTTTTCTCCTGCTGTCGATATGACCGCCATTCTACTGCTAGCCCTAGTGTCCCTTTGCTGGGCAGCTTTGCCAGTGGTAGACCTGGGATATGAACTGCACAGAGCAAATTCATTGAATGTAGGCCAGCTTTCTTCTGATGGATACAAGAAGAATCTCCAGCTAATTATTCAACCAGAACACCCATGGGCTGTACAATTTCAGCAATATCCGCTACGCAGCACCTCCGGTAGGTGACCTGCGCTTTCGAGCCCCCGAGTGGCCTAAGCCCAACCGGTCGCGCATCCAAGATGGCTCGACTGGCCGAGTTTGTCCTCAGGCACTACCAATCTGGGAAGAGGAGATTGCGCCCGGTTTTCTTTTGAGTCTTCTTGCTGGCACCAAGTTCAATTTGTCAACCGACATCTCTACCTATCCGTATATTCCGGATAAGCTGGATCCCCGGACAACCGAGGACTGTCTGTTCCTGGATGTTATTGTTCCACAGAAGATCTTTCAGCGTGCTCAGCAAAGGAAAGGGGACTTTGTCGCAAAGAAAAAACTTGCTCCCGTGATGGTTTGGATCTACGGCGGTGGCTTCGCGCAGGGTGACAAGACCCTATATAATCCCGAAGGGCTGATCGATCGAAGTGAGGCTCGCGGAGAAGAGATCGTATATGTGGCAATGAATTATCGAGTAAGTTTAGATTGCCCCGTGGTATCCTTTGTCCATTTTATCTTATACTTTGTTTAGTTGGGCGCATTCGGCTGGCTGGCAGGGAGCAGCCTCACAGCTGACGGCACTGCCAATGCCGCCCTACACGACCAACGCCTCGCCCTCAAATGGATACAAAAGAATATTCATCTTTTTGGAGGCGATCCATCTCGAGTCACAGTCATGGGTGAATCAGCAGGGGCAGGATCTATCATGCACCAGATTACAGCCTATGGCGGCAAAAACGGATCTGCTCCGTTTCAACAAGCAATCATTCAAAGCCCAGGGTGGAACTCAATCGTCTCTCCCGAGCAGCAGGAGCAAACTTTGCAGCAGTTTCTCGAAGCCTTGAATGTTAGTTCGGTCGAAGAGGCCCGCCGCCTGCCGTCGGCGGCTCTGATCGCTGGAAACGCGTATCAGATTGCCGCCAAGGCCTTCTATGGCAGTTTTATTTACGGGCCAGTCGTGGACGGCACATTTGCACCGGCCTTGCCAGGACAACTTCTGCTGTCTGGTGACTTCGATCGCAACCTCAGTGTCATGGTCGGTCATAATACCAATGAGGGCCTCTCGTTTGTGAATCCTAACGGGACGAAGAGCAACTTCCTTCCAAATATACTGAAAGATTTATTTCCGACAATTAAGACTAATGTGACTCGACATATTACTGATGTCCTTTATCCCGCCCAGTACGACGGCAAATGGGGCTACACCAATCCAATCGCCCGTGCCGCGCTTGTCCTGTCAGATGCCGCGTTTGAGTGCAATACCGACTATCTCAATCGGGCATACCAGAACCAGACATACGCCTACGAGTTTAGTATTCCGCCAGGGCTACATGGTCAGGATGTCCTATATACTTTCTTCGACAATGGCACCAGCACGGTGACCTCAAATCTGGGAGTGTCAGTCACCAACGTGACGGTCGCTCACGCGATGCAGGATTGGTTTGTCAGTTTCACCCATGGAGGGACCCCGAGATCATCGCTGACTCCAACCTTCCCGCGCTATGGGCCCCGCGGGCAACTCATGAACATTGGAAATGACACCATAGCCGCCATGCGCGATACGACTAATAACCCCCGCTGTCGGTTCTGGCAGACTGCTCCATACTACCAATAGCTTTGAACAATGGTGTCCGTGGATTCAGCGATATATACTAGTACACATTATACATATTTGTACATAGAGCGAATGATAACTAAGACATAAGAACAACTTTCTGCATGGACAGACCATTCTACAATTGGACCCCTCGTACTTTGTACATTGAAATGCGGTATTTGTAATACAATCAGCACTTCACTCACTCAATTGAGAAGTCGGACAGAACCTTACTGACCTTTGTGTTAGCCGTGTCAGCCATAAGGCTGTGAAAAAAAGGCGTGTGGCTTGGAAAAGGGCGGGAAGTTAATACGATGTCGGTATTGCACCATACCGGAACTTACAGACTATATCACAGCAAAATGTGTCGATTTAGTAGCCAGCTGCTAGTTAGTATGTCCATCTGGGAGAGTTCTTGTCCGATGGAATTGATCACGCGATAAGAAGAAACTTGAGCTGCAGGGCTTCATATGGTGGATGTAGGGGCCGGGGTCGGGGTCGGGGCCAGTGTTGGGTTCCGGGGGGGAGAAGGGGCTGTCGAATTGGGTCGGTACTTGATATGGCTATTAGGGGCCAAGGATAGCCCATAATAATTCAAGTTGCAAACACCAACTGCAAGACTCTGCTTAGTATGTACGGAGTAGTTTTAGCTCCCGATCTCCCAGCAGCCAAGGCGTCGGCTGCAAGCTCCCATCGAGATACGATGTCTCGGAGATCCCGCGGCTGCAGCTGTCTATAGAGAGAGAGAGAGAGAGCTACTCCGTACGGAGGAGAAAGAGCTACGAGTACAACACTCGGCATGCATTAAAAAGCTCGGCATGCATCAGGTTGGGACTGCGCCCCCCTTTCGGCTCAGGGGTAAAAAATAGAAGAGGCAAAAACCACCAAAAAGCAACTAAAAGTCTGCTACGGAGGTAACTACAATCAAGAATGAGACATCAACCAATCTAATCCATCTCAATTGAAAAAAAAGAGAAAAAAAAGACTAGCCTTGTGGCCCTCGGTTGCAATGGGGTGGGCTAGCTGGTTCCACTCCCCAGCAACGCCGTGTCGATCGCAAGAAAACCGAGAGAGGGTAAGGCGGTACTCGAACAGATTTAGCTTAGTGTGCTATTGACAATGCCAGTTCCAATCCAAAAATAATCTTGACTCCGCCAAGCTTCGCAGTTGTTGGACCCTTTCGTCCCCATCCAATTGGGGCCGAAAACCCCCAATCATTGGCCGTGCATCGTCGCAAGGAAAAGCTTGCCCGTCACTCTAAAACAGCCCAAAATAACCAGTGAAAGACTGAAAGACTGATACGGAGTAGTACACCGCAGAACCTTATTGTCCCATACCCTAATGGGCCCAGACTAGCTCAAACCAGGCCGTCCCATGTCTCGCCGAAATGTGGTGACAGGCATCCATATTTCACCATCTGAAAGTTCATCACGAAGTCCCAGATTAAAAAGGTTGCACCATCTCGCGTGGGTAGTTCAAGTTCCACTCGGTTGCTTTCCCTCGACTTTCATCTCCATTCAAGCCTTGTACTGGCCCCGACTTGTATTTTTATCTCATCCCCCCCCCCCCCCGGCTTCTTGGACCCGGGGCCAACCTACGACATACCCAACTACATACTAAACTGCTACTTTGGCCCCCTCTTTTTTTACTCACGCCTCTCTCGTTGGCTCTATTTATCTACTTCTCCCCATCTTCTGTTGGACCCTTTTTTTTTTTTATCTCTCTCTCTCTTTATCCTCCTCCCCTTCACGCCTCTCTCTCTCCGCCATGAAATTTCACTGGTCACCCATCTGCATCGCTGGTGCGATCGCATCGGCTCTCCCTTATGCCTCTTCTCACGAACTCCATCTACCTTATCTCCCTACCCTGGAGCCAGAAAATCCAGTCGAAACCTATATGGTAAGTACCAGGGAATAACTTCAACTACGACCTTTTGATTCTCTCCAATAGCCAGCAAAATTGACCATCATACAGTCCATCAAATGGGCCATTCAAAATGGCTCGCTTTATGCCAACAATGACCAGGTCTTCCCACCAGCCATGTCAATGCAGCTACATGCGCCCTTATATGAAACCCATCGCAATATTCCCATTGAGCAAGAGGATATCCAGGTTTCCTATTCAGTCAAAGCCCGTTTCATTCCCGCCGGTGACAATGGCTCAAAGAATAAGATTCTTCGCATTCACGTCGAACTGCTCGACCGGGAAGGCCGCCCTGTCACTCCACACTCGGTATCTCTCGATCTGCTTGATCACCCCGATGGTACTCATCGTATCACTCGCATTCGACTAGACTCACCCCGTGGCTCTCGCAGGCCGAGACCATGGCAGATGAAGTTCTGGCAATCTCAAGTCAACACCCTCTTCAACCAAAATAACAAGCCAGGATTGTCCGCCTCCGACCAATCTACAGAGCCAAAAGCCAAACCAACTCATTCTCAAGAAGCCACCAAGTTGACTTCTGAAAAAGCACCCGAATCCACACCTATACTGTCTAAACCTGAAACAGAAAGTGAATCTCAAAACCAAGTTGGGTATATCTTCTCTCCTTACTGGTCACCATCCACCTATATCGCCCCCTCCGATGGACGTGGCCACCGCGGACACCGTCGTCCCCACGGTCACCACCAAAACGACTCTTTCATGCGTCTTGTGCGCCCCGTCATTCTGCCCGCAATGCTAGGAGTCGGGGCCGGCTTGATCGCTTGCCTGGTCGGTTTCTGCGTCGGCCACGTCATTATGTCCGTCTCTGTTCGCCTGGGCCTGTGCAAGAAGCGTTCCGATCGTCGATTATCCTCCCGATCCATCCCAGCTTGCCTTGAGGAGGGAATTCTTTCTGAGAAGGCCCAGCTCATGGTTCCAGAGATCCATCTTACGCAACCCGATGTATAGGGTTGTCTCTTCTTCATGATTCATTTTCAGGCGCGGCGCAGGATGGCAACAAATTCTTCTTATTTGGTTTCTCTTTTTTTTATCCCTGGGCCTTCCGAAGCTCCTTACGGTGTCAGCGTTCATGATAAGCATATTTTCCTTGTGTCCATGTTGTATATTTTAGCTATAGACTTAACTATGTGTAACTACTTATCCAAAATACGAGAAACGTATTGATCCAAACCTGCATTACACACATACCATACGAGTAGTGGTTAACTACGATATCCCTTTAGAGAATTGGTCAGTCGATTATCATCCATATCGTTGATCAAAGTCCTCATCCTTCAGGCCGGCTGGCCCAATGGCAAGGCGCTTGACTACGAATCAAGAGATTGCAGGTTCGACCCCTGCGTCGGTCAACTTTTTGCCCAATGAGGCCTCTCAGGAAGGAAGAAGTGGAGGGCGAGTCAAAAATGAATTATTTTTTCTCTCTCTTCACCTCCCGGTCCGATCGAACCGGGGACCCACCGACCAACTAGCCTGGTTGAAAATGTTTCACCGAGGTTAAGCCTTTCTATTGTACATATGGGAGAGCCACTTGACCAATTATAGACTCGGTATCCTTATTCGATTTTGATTCCGATACGGGTTCAATACGGAGTGTGTAGTGGGATTACGATCGCGTCAAATATTGCCCGATTCCCATTGAAAGATGGCGATCGGCTGTTCGGCTTGGAGCAAACTTGTCTGCACTCCGTACTCCGTACATACTCGATTTCGCGATATCTCCGAGACAAGCAATGTCGATCTTCAATTTTTGAGGTCGGATCTAAGTCCCGTGTTGCTCATGTGGTTAAACTTGAACGGTTGGTCGGTGATGAATGATCGGCATCAACGGGTAAAATTTGACAGAGATTTACCGTCGGGTTACTTTGATGTTGCACCAGTGCTGGACTAATTTTATGCTGGTACCTAATCCAATACTGTCTTCAAGTTCTCTTCGCAACTCTGGAGAAAGCCATGCCAAGTACTACTAGTATACGCGTCCCACGGTTGTAGACGTCAGCCCTGGAAATGACCAGTAGAAATACATTTAAAGCTTAAGAAAGTTAAGGTTCAATTGTAGCTGTCAATTGGTTGACTAATCCTGCTGCCTGTCATCGCTGCTACTCTTAACGGTGTGGAGGGCTCGAGTGGTACGCAGGTGCCGCGGCGCCCGCGGGGATGGTAACTCGGGTGCCTTATATTTGTGGAGGTCGTTGAAATTTAATCTTGTACGGAATACAATACGAGTAGTTTATGCGTTGACTGACAGTCCATTTAACTTTGACTCGTAGCCCTGCAGGTGAGACAAACCAATTGAACTTCAATATATACTAGTGCAGTACTAGTTACGGAGTAGTGTACGAAGATTGCCGATATCAATGCCCGGGTGGTTTCAAGATCTCCGGTGTCTTTCAACGAACTACTAGTACAACACTGTTCCAACCTACATCTAAAGCGCGTAAAACAAATATCTGGATCGATGCCTCAAAGTGAGCTGAAACAAAACCTGACTACCGATACGAGGTAGTATTGCTCCATCCCTGGATAATGAGGGTCGCACAAATTTCAGCCTAGCGCCACCACTTCATCCCTGACAAACACAAGAAGAATGTGCGTAGAATGGTCTCAAAGGTCCCAATCGACTCGGAGGGGTTAAAATTTTTCAATACCGATAATTAGATTACAACTTGTAACTCTCAATTCTCAGTAGCCTTGCTATCTAAAACACCCCTTTTAGCCCGCCCGGCTGTGCACCACCCCATATAACAAACTTTGACCCGAACCCTTTGCCAGCCTTATCCGCCAGGCTGATTTCTCGGTTCCTCGGCAAAATCACAACATTTTCAGGGTATAGCTTGCCAAGTATGGCAAAGGCTATCAGGGGGCTCTCAATCGGTATGACATGGACGCCATTTTTCTCTGCGGTCAAGAGACTAGAGTCGGGGGTCTCCAGAACGCTCACTGCATTATGAAAAACAATAGAATGGCGAGGTTTTGGGACGACACTGCCATTGTTTGTCCCATTAACCGAAGACTCCGAGTCCTCGGTCATGTATGAGTACCGATGGCCGCGAGAGACTTGGCCCACGTCGACAGCGACACGCTTCCCATCCCCCAACTCGAATCGCATTTCTAATCGACAAAGTTGGCCAACTTTTGAACCGCCAACAACACAAATCGAGGGACCATCTTGAATCTGTATGTTTTCCCCAGAGAAGCTGGCTGGTTCGGAGACCACCTTCTCAATGCCAGGGGGAATCTCAGCTCGTGGGGCCGAGTAGTAATCGTCGAACTGATAGTCAAATACCGCATCCATCGCCGCTTCATCCACTCTGACAGGAACATACTGCAGTAGATGCAACGGGGTCGGCCCACCGGCCAGGAAAGCGGGGAGGACAATTCCCTGTGCATACTGAAAGCCATACCCAACACTATCCGAACGAACGAGTCCGGGCGCAAGAAGGGCCTTGGCAAATGTTACAACATTGCGCTGCGTGGTGTGTTTGGTCAACATATCTGCCAGGAATTGACTTCGTGCGGGTTCAAGATGGCGGAGGCCTCGCGCTTTGCGGTTGATGGGGATGAGGACATTCTGGTAATTTTGGAATGGCAAGAGCGCATCGCGGAGCAGGACCATCTGATGCATATACTCGTTGAAGAGCTGCATTAGATGCGATTGGCTGCGGTCGCCGAACATGAGATCCACGTTGGATGGAGTGAGAAGGTGGCCCTCGCAGGAGCTACGGAGTTGGAGGTCAACATCGATGGATCTTCTGCTGCTGGATTCTTGATCTCGAGCCCATCGTACTAGAGTCTTGCCGATTCGAATAGCCTGGCCATTCATCTCTTGCCGTGATATGTCGAGGGGCTCAGTAAGGCGGAGGGTGGCCTCGCGGGAGTTTGTAGCCAAATTGGCTGCGATGTTGTCTAGCAATTGAGTCCGAGCCGGCTTAGTTCCTCGTGGATCATCGCCAAGGTGGAATACAACTGTGTCGAGGAGAGGCGCGAAGCTCTCGACTAGTTGTTTGGGTGTGTAGATTCCGGATCGTAGGCCCCATGCCTCTTCCAAGGGCTGTGTATCGTGGATGCCAGCATCGGCACCAGCGAGTTCACGGTGTCCCAAGATGGGGCAGAGTAGATTAGGTAGGTGATGCAGGTGGAAATTGGGGACACTCATCATTGCAGCTAGCCGAGCAACCATGACATAGATAGAGATCAAGGAGACGAAACTGTGAATATTGACCCAGGTTGTCATGAACTTGGAATGTATGTAATTATTTCACCCGTGAACTTGGAAATATATTATTTATATTCACTGGCAAGTTGCGCCCTGGGGGGGGGGGCGGTAGTATCATGGCCCCTCCCCATTGCTGATGGCGGAGTTTGGTGGTCGCGACCATCCAACTCCGCCGGAGTTTCAACGACGAAAACAACAACGACTGATTATTCGCATCGGGATTGCCTGGTCGGCTTATAAATATACTGACACGAACAAGATGCCGAATTTCCGGAGTAGAGGGTACTTTCACTTCAGGTAAATTGCTGCAAAGCACATAGAATGATCAAATTCCGGAGTTCATCCGAGCCACCAACTCCAATATTCGAGATGAGGAGTGTCTGCAAATAGTCCCGTGGATAGCTTTCAAGAACCTGCTTAAGATTAAGACAGCCTAGGACGGTATTGAATGAAGATGAGGTATCTGCCATTGTCAAAGAGTTCTGCTCGCAGTAATCCATATTCAGTTCCCAGTCCATCTCCGAGCGCGTCGCCCACAAGACATGGCTGGATGGGAGTGGCATATTCAGGATCATTTCATCATCAAGTGGCTCATAGTATAGCGAAGGGGATCCACTCTCCGGATCGCAGTGGCCAAGGAAATGAACGATATTAGCCAGGAAGATCGTGCGTCGCGTGGTCTCCGCGACAGCCCAGTGCTCTAATTTCTGCGACCCCATCGGCATTGTGACCGACATGAGATCGGTATTTAGATCATGCATATGCGAGCGAATCAAAGTTTGAGCCATCTTGGCCAGGAATGGGGCCTTTAAGCCCGTAGAATATGACCGCTGCTTCCACTCTTCTCCCGAGCGACTATTTGACGCCCGCAGCTCGAGAATCGCGTAGACAAGCATCGCATGCAAAGCATCCCACTGTTGCATACACGTGTATGTGGGATACGTTTGGATTAGTCTTTGGCGCTCGACCTCCATCGCTTGCCGAGCAAAGCGTGCGCCATCTGCTGTCTCCATCGCACTACCACAGCAGACCGCCATGGATGTCCGCGCAAGCGTCGTCATGTTCGGAACATCCTGCTCGTAGAGGCTGCAATGGAGGAATGGCGAGGTGTAATCATCTCGAAGGAGACACTTTGGATATTGTTCCACAATGCGAATCAGGTCTCTCAGTGTGGGTTGCACAACGGGGGGGATTCGGATTCAGATTCACATTCAGGTCCGACAAGCTTGTTTCGGGGAAATTTAACAAGGGCAATGCACCCACTGGGCCAGGGCCAGGGCCATCGGTCGCGCCAAAGTCGGTTATCCCTTGCGTGGGGAGCTGCAGGACGGGAGGTTGGATGAGGGTGAAGCTAGGGGTGGATAACGGCGAAAAGGCATTGTCGTTGCTTGGGCCTAGCTGCGCGTCGGCAGAGCCAGAGGCATAAACACAGGAAACTCCCCGGTCGACACATCGCGCGCATGGGTGGGTATAGGTGCATTTGGATTTTGCTTGTACACAAGCGTCGCATGCCTTACGACGCGTCGATTTCTTCGGTCGGAGACAACGTCGTCTGTGGCGTTGAAGGAGGTCGTCTGTCTGGTCAGTTTTGATGATGAAACACCGGTCGCGTTCACCTACGGCGCTGATATGTCTTGAAGCAAGAGGGACAGATATGATCTCCAGGCATTTTTTTGTCAATCTTCTATCCGTATTGGACGAAGCTGAAAAGACGAGGCGGAGGAGGATCGGAGTGATGCATGGTGAGCTACGAATGGCGCAATACCAAATTCAACTTTACTTCAACATCGACTTAGCTTCACAGCGAAAATTTTCTACAAAGTACCACTGGTGTGAGGAGAATACCAGTATAATAAAAAATCCAAGAAGATCCAATTCGTGGTGTCCACTGCACAGCAACAGAGCTGTACCGCGTCCATGCCTCATCCTCCACTCAAGGAGGGAGAGCTAAGCTAGACCCAAAACAAGCAGAATCATACGATCAAGCTCAATCAAATCAAATATCGAAGCCAGCGCAGTCCCAGCCACAATTCAGCCACACTAGCGGTGACGATGGATCAATAGTGGCGATCGGACTACGTATCCATTGACTAGCCAGAGTTGGCGCTGCTGATCGGCACCACTGCCTTGGTTTTTTTTTTTCTTTGGCGGAGTACAGAATCGCGGAGATTAGAGTGAAGGATTTATTTCGGCCTTCCGTTTCAGTTTTAGTGCAATCGGTGCCCGATGGGATTGCCTGATTTCAAGTTGCACTTCAGTACCTTGCTCTCAGTTAGCCATAGGGTATCTTTAGTAATAAATAGAGTCTCTGCCTACAGGGAGTACTCGTACGGAGTATCATCCTGACCCATACCTACAAATATCGTACATACATTGCAACCTGGGTGGACCAAGAATACACTTTGATCTCTCGACCCATACTCACTACGATAGCTTGCTTCCCTTTGAGTAGAAGATGCGAGCTCCCCCCCGGTTTACCAGGGAAACATTAAACTCAAAAGTACGACCCTCTTCTCCACAAGGCCAGCATTTCGCTAATGATTGGCCTAGATCCACTTTATTTCAAATTGACTCCGTCATCAAATTCAATCTGATCTCACAACATTCGATAGTGGCTTATCCAGCCCCCTTTAGTGCCCTACAGGGACCCTGGGCAAATCAGACGAGCCTATAGGGATCGACGTCGGGGTTAGCATTGAGAATCCCGGACGATCAGTCCCCAATCGAGATTGAAGATCTGAGAATTCGATTCATTTCATCCGGTGGTACGGAGTACCCGAGAAGCCACAGGGCCAATTCCTGTCTACCCCTGCAACCCGATGACTTCATGAAGCCGGCCAGGAACCATTGCAGGACCGTGGCCAAATCGAATCGCCTTGCATGACCAGCCACGTTGGCCAGGTAGCACTCGATGCAGGCAGAGAGCAGGATGCAGGATGCTGCAGCACACCGCAGGAGGCAAAGGAGAAAAGCAAAAGCAAACAACAACAACACGATGCATCGTGCCGGGCAACTCGCACTCGCACACGCACGGCCGACCATGCTCGGTCGTGGAGACGCGAGCGTGGGTGCTCGGTACATTAGACGCTGCTAGCGTTGCTCAATTACCTTAAAGGGAATGTTTGGTTCTCAGCTCTGATTCGAACCAGATTTTCTTCTCTATAAAAGACCCTGCGCCGAACCCGCAAGTGACTGGTCTTCCCCTTTCTCTGCTTTCCATCTGCAACTTCCATCCCCTCCCTATCCCATCTCACATTATCCCTTCTTCCACCTTCACATCATCACCATCAAGATGAAGTCTTTCTCCCCTGTTGCTCTGGCCCTTCTGGCCGCTATCGGTATGGTCTCGGCCGCCGACATCTCTGCCACGGATTGCGCTGTAAGTGGATCTTGTGCATGTTTACTATGGTGGGACTGCAGATATTAACCTGACTCGCGATAGACCATGTGTGTCAACAACATGAACGACAAGGCTTCCGAGCTGAACTGCAAGTCCGGTGACATGGCCTGCCTATGCAAGAGCGAGGACTACTCCTTCGGTATCCGTGATTGCACCAAGGAGGCCTGCCCCAGTGACGACGCCGAGAAGGTGTTGAAGATGGCTCTGGAGAAGTGCCCTAGTATGTTTCTCTGCATTACTTGAATTTGATATCAACATGTCGCTGACCTTACTATTCCTAGACGGATCTGGATCTGGCTCTGGCTCCAGCTCCAGCTCCAGCACCAGTACCGGCTCTGGCTCTGGCTCTGGCTCTGGCTCCGACTCTTCCAAGACTGGCAGCGATAGTGACAGCACTGGCACTGCCACCGGCACTGGCTCAGGATCCGGCTCTGGAATGACCACCGCTACTGCCACTGGCAGTGACAGCACTGCCACCGGCACCAGCACCGACAGCATGACTGGCTCTAACGGCAGCGGCAGCGGCACCGGCACCGGCAGCGGCAGCGGCAGCTCTACTGTAAGTTCCTTGTTGATCAACTATTTATATTTACCGTACTAACTATTCACCTCAGGCCACCGCTACTGGCTCCGATGCCACTGGCACCAACTCCACCATGATGACCATGACCACCACCGGCTCTGGCTCCAGCTCGACCGAGACTGGCTCTGGCTCTGGAAGCGGCTCCAGCAGCGAGTCTGGCTCTGGTTCCGGCTCTGGCTCTGACAGCGCTCCCTCTACCAGTACTGGTGCTGCTCACCCCATGGCCACCGTCGGCACTGGAGCTGTCGGCGTTATGGGTCTGGCTGCTTTGCTGGTCCTGTAAGGGGTTGGGTTGACTGGAGATCAGAGAAGCTGTAATTTTGAATTGAATGAATACTTGAATACCTAGGTACCCAGCCAAGGATATATGGGAATGGATATGGGATAAGGATAAGGACTCTGTACTAATGTCGATCGAATGATCTAATGAAGTCATGCTCCACCGGCACGTGCCTGGTTGCATGTGATTTGTATATGCACCTTCAAGTTCTTTTACGTATATGTGTAGAGAGAGTATAGAGTACATCTAGCTCTATGCTATGTATATTAGCACGGTACAGAGTATAGATTAAAGTAGACGCATCTGATCTTATGCATATCCATCCTTTGTCCCGTCGGAAAAGTGGCAGTCTTGGGCTGAGTTTCCCGTTCACCCGATCGGCCGCCTCCGATGGGAGGGGTTCGGTGGTTGGCGGTGCTGGTGGTGTTGGGGATGCTGAAAGACATTCCAGATGTAGTAGAATGCACATTAAAAGGGAATCAAAGACAAGGGTAGAAAAGGAAGTCGTCAAGAGCGAATCCAGAAGTGTGAGTGTAAACAGCAGAGCAGAGCAGAGCAGAGCAGAGCAGAGCAGACCGAGCCGAGGCACAAATCGGCCGTCAATTCCAACTTTCGGCTTCGGTCCGCTTGCCATTTACTCCGACCTTGCCTTGTCTCTACCTTCTTTGGGCAATTCTTCTCTTCTCTTCTCTTCTTTCTACCCTCCGTTTTCCACTTCTTTTCCTCCTCCCTCTTCTCCTCTCTCCTCTCTCCTCTCTCCTCTCCCCTCACTCCCCTCACTCCCCTATTCCCCCATCTTCTCCCCGGATTCACAAGCTCCGAGCTTCCCCGCTTACCGCCAACCACCACCACCACACCAACACTGCCCGATCACAAAATGTCGACCTCCACCGCCCCAACCCAGGAGATCAAGGATGAAATCAAGGCTGTCGAGAAGAAGGCTGTGAACCAGACCATTCAGCAGCTGCGCTCTCTGGGCGCCGGTGCTGCTGGTGGTCTCTGCGCCGTCGTCGTGGGACACCCCTTCGACCTGGTCAAGGTCCGCTTGCAGACCGCCGAGAAGGGTGTCTACCAGGGCGCCATGGACGTTGTGCGAAGGACCGTTGCGCGCGAGGGTCTTATTCGGGTATGTATTGTCAAGTGATTGCTATAGAGAGAATTCGAATTGACCAGCGCATCAGGGAATGTACGCCGGCGTGTCTGCCCCGCTTGTGGGTGTGACTCCGATGTGTGAGTCTAAGCCTACCCTGACCTCAATGGCATGAATGAATGCTATCCTAAAGAATACCAACTGACATCTTTTTTCTAAACAGTTGCCGTGAGCTTCTGGGTATGACTTGCCTCCCCCCTCTCCAAAAAAAAAGAAAAAAAGAATTGGAGACCCTCCATACATTTTCATGTGATAATCCAAAGAAAAAAAAAGACAAAGATCTAACCTCTTCCACAGGGTTATGACGTGGGAAAGACCCTCGTGAACAAGCTCTCCACCGTGCCAGTGGTGAACAACACCCCGCAATACTCTATCGCCCAGATCTCCGCCGCTGGTTTCTTCTCCGCCATCCCCATGACCCTCATCACCGCGCCCTTCGAGCGCGTTAAGGTCCTTCTCCAGATCCAGGGTCAAAAGACCCTGGCACCCGGCGAGAAGCCCAAGTACTCCGGCGGAATGGATGTCGTGCGCCAACTATACAAGGAGGGCGGTATGCGCAGTGTCTTCCGGGGTAGTGCTATGACCCTGGCCCGTGATGGACCCGGTTCGGCCGCTTACTTCGCTGCGTACGAGTATATCAAGCGCAGCCTGACCCCCAAGGATGCGGATGGAAACCTCACTGGCGAACTGTCTCTCCCGGCTGTCGTCGCTGCAGGTGGTGCTGCTGGTATCGCTATGTGGATTCCTGTCTTCCCCGTCGACACCATCAAGTCCCGTCTGCAGAGTGCCCCGGGCAAGCCCACCATCGGTGGAACCATCCGCTCGGTCTACGCTAGCGGTGGTTACAAGGCTTTCTTCCCTGGATTCGGACCGGCCCTGGCTCGTGCTGTGCCCGCTAACGCGGCTACCTTGTGAGCATCCATCTCTTTTCGCAATTTCCATCCTCACTATGTACATGAGCTAACCTCCTTTCCTCCCCTTCTTAGCCTCGGTGTCGAACTCGCCCACAAGGCGATGAACAAGTTCTTCGATTAGATGAATTGTGGTGTCGCTTTGTGTACATATAAACTTTTTGTTTGTTTATCCCGGTCTTTTTTTTGCAGCGTTAATTCAGTCGTCCGTCTACGGATCGGATGCTCGCGACGAGTTGTGGGCCGATTGGCCTCGATGGATCGGATCTTTTTTTATGTGCTTTCCTTGGCTTAGAGATATCCCCGGATGTGTTTCGTCCCTGGGATTTTGCATAGAATGGGTTCCTTGAGTTGGCATCGAATTTACCACTAGCTTGTGCATCACGGGCATTATAAGGGCTGTAGATATACCAGGTATGCTACTAGTATTAGTATGTTTAGGCTTCGTTTATTGTACTGGCGTAAGGCATAGATAACCCCAAAGGACCCATCAGATAAGATTAAGCGTACTACTATGTACCTGCCCCAGGGTGGGACCCTAGTAGGTGGGTTAGTCAAAGATTAGATATGAGCCGTAGTGATGGTGATACTATCTACGATCTACTAGTCCTAGACTAGTACTGGTACTGGTAGTAGTAACCTTGGAATACAGTATGTATCAGGACGGCAAATCTGAATTGATGGTAAGGCTGGTCTAGCCTCATCTGCCAGTGGTTAAGAGGGGGGTAAAGAATGGATTAGTAAATATTTCCAACTCTCGGAAGTGTTCGGGAGTTGATTGTGGGTCTGGCTGGCTAGCTTCAATTTTTGAGGCTCAAGCGGAGGACGATTGGATCATCTTGCGAGTAAGCAAGCTCGTCATTGGGGCACTAAGTTGGCACTAAGTTGGGGCGGTTTGGGGGCGGTTTGGGGCGGCCATCGGGGCGGCATCGGGGCAGGTTAATGCCGATGGGTAGGGGGTTCTAATTATAGGAATGTAGTACACCTGGGCACCTATGACAATAATAGTTGTATACTGTTAGTGTAAGAATATAATAGTATTAGTAAAGTATAGTATACTCTATAATATACTATACTCTATACTACTCTATACTAGAGTAGAGTATACCAGTGTTAGTTGTTTCCCCCCCGAGGCAACAACAGCCCAACAGGGTTAGCCCGCGCCTGCCTTCGTCTCAGCCTCAAAAGAATCCCCCTCTTCTTCTTCTCCCTCCTTTCCCTTCTTCTGTTCATCTCTTTTCATCTCTTCTTTTCTTCCCCTTCATCCGATTTCCCCTCACTCACTTTCACATTCCCCCACCATGCCTGTCAGCGGTCATCTCGTCCGCCGCAGCGCCGAGTTCGTCGCGACCTTCAAAGATGGCCCCGCTATGAAGGTGGAATTCTCCCCATGGCTGATCTTCTTGGTTCTCACTCTTGGCCTGATCATGGGCCTGGCTGTCATGGCTGTAAGTTTGGATTTTCGCTTTGCTTCCCCTTTGTTCCTTCGAAGCCCATCAACTCACCCAAACAGGTCGAGTACACTTACGGTGGAGTGGTTGCCACGCTTGCCGCCGTCGAGGACTCCAACCCCGACATCTACGTCCGCATCGACCACCAGGACCCCACCAAGCCCTTGGATCCAAATGAGCCCGAGCTGGCCGACTCGGCTCGTCTGCAGCCCATTACCAGTGGCCTGCGATCCACCACCAAGCACCTCCGCGCCCGTGCTGGCTTCTGGTCGCGCTTCCGGGGTCTGTCCATCTACCTCGCCTTCATCTTCGTCGATGGCTTCCTCTCTTTGATCTCTACCCCAACCGGCTCCTTCCTCGGCCATTTCTTCTCCCAATTCTTCATCTCCTTGCTCCTTGCTACCTGGCAGATGGCCTGGGTTCACATCGTCATCTCTGAGCCCTCGCCCAAGCGCTTCTACCAGCGCATCCCCAGTTACCGCAAATGGATTCGCATTGCCCCAGCCGTGGCCCTTGAGACGGTACTGACATATGCAACCTTCCTGCTGCCTATGGCCGTGGCCCAGATGGCTGGCTGGACCGAGGTTGCCCAGGACCCTAACCACCCGGAACTGAACGCCCGCAGGAATTTCATCCGCTTCCTCAGCATCGGCGTCCTCCCAGCAATTCTCTCTCTGGCAGTGTCTGTTCCCGCTCGCGTTATCTTCATTCGTGTTGCCGCTTCCATGCTGCCCGAGGAGGATGAGTCCATTGTGCCCTTTGACCGCTCCTTCGGCGGCAAGGTCGAGCCCGAGATCGTGGGTGGCAGTGGCAAGATTGGCCTCATGGATGCATGGACTACCTTTGACTGGAATGCCCGTGTTCGGTTCGTCAAGGTGGTGGTCAAGACCGCGATGATGGAAATCGCCCTGATGTTCGTGGGTGCTTCCGTCATTGTTGGCATTATGTTGGGACTGGGACCCCGGGGCGTGTCGATGGTGCCTGCCGACGGCTCTTTGTAAACATCACGAACGAAGGGGAACTATTGAAACTGTTTATTCTGTGGAATCTGTCGGAAGGATCGAACGACCGGGAGAAAGTTGGGGAGACTAGTAGTCCTTGATTTTTATGCATCATTATAACACACTCTTTGTATGGGTCTAGCCCGCATTTACTGCAGTATTTCCTTGGTGATTGGTTTCTTTTATTTCTGAATAGCTCATCCACAATCCAACCTCTTATATCTTATACCTTCTACACTTACCTCAAGGTAGTACACTCCACTCTATCGGTTATCGTGGACCAACCCCCGCCCCCCCACCGTTCACCGCCTACATCGATTTTCACCCCTCACCTTCGTCGCGCCTCACTCTTCTCAGCTCCTCACTCAACTTTATTCCGACTTTGCTGCTTGGTCTCGCACTGCTCCTGCTGAAACTCCCTCCCTCCCCTCTTCGCTCCTCCAATTCTCCCCCGATGGCGACTTCACCCGCTGGCCGTATGCTCTCCCGGCAACTGCAACAAATGCAGTCCGATAAGGACATCCCGGGGATCAGCGTTGGTCTGGTCGATAGCAATGTGTTCGAGTGGGAGGTGATGCTCATGATCTCCGACGACGTCAAATTATACGGAGGTATGTATGCAAGAAAGGATTGGCGGCAAACTGCCCTAACTATGGACCATCATACCCCTCCCCGGTTGTTAGCCGGGGATTGATCGGTTGATCTATAATATCTCATCATACACTGCCCTGTCCTGCTTTTCACTGGCGGGAGATATAATCTCCCACTCTTGCCCTGTCATGATTGCTAACCAGCATTTTTAAAGGTGGTTTCTTCCGCGCTCGCCTCTCTTTCCCGCAAGAATACCCGCATATGCCGCCGAAAATGAAGTTCGAATCCTCCGTCTTCCACCCGAACAGTAAGTGATCAACCGAATTCCCTGAAGCATGACATAGCACATATAGACACCGTCATATTTCTTCAGCCTTTCTCTTCCATCCCATATTTTCTCCTCTCTTGCCCCCTGCTAACACTTCCCGCAACGTACTAGTCTACCCCAACGGCGAAGTCTGCATCTCAATCCTACACCCACCCGAGGAGGACAAATACGGCTACGAATCTGCAGCGGAGCGCTGGTCGCCCGTACAAACCCCCGAGACTATCCTGCTATCCGTGATCTCGATGCTGTCCAGCCCGAACGACGAGAGCCCGGCCAATGTGGAGGCGGCCCGATTGTGGAGGGAGGATCCGGCGGAATTTAAGAAAAGCGTGCGCAGGTGTGTGCGTGAGAGTCAGGGTGAGGAGTAGAGAATAGAAGGGAGTAGACTGGTTTCTACTTTCCTTCTACTTCTATTTCTAATTCTATCCTTTAAGTTTACATTTTCTGTGGCATCTTTTCTTTTCTTTTCTTTTTTTCTTTTCATCTTGGTCTTTATGGTGCATCTGGATGGACATTTTCGATTTCGATTTTCGACTGCGTTTGCTTTTGCTTTTGCCTCTTTGGTTCTTTTTTTTCTCCTCCTCTCCCTTCTTCATCCGTGTGTCGGATCTCGTGATCTTGTGGTGCTCTTATTGCATGATAGAGCGAGCGGTATTGGAGTGTTTTATATGATGGAAGGAACTAGCATTTAGGGCCGCTGACTTTGATTGCCCCTAGTTTCGGTGATAGGATTGGAATTTTCCACTATGGACTCACTTTGGGAATTTTTGTTTTCAGCTCTCCTTGTAGCGGACATCCATGGATGGGGATTAGCAGTGGCCATGCTGAAAGTCAGTGTAGTACTACTCGTACTAGGGTAACATGATCCATGGATGATGGGAGCTGCTGTTGTTCAGTGGTATTCATTGCATATCTATTCTGCGCTAGAAGAGAATAATATTTTGCTCATGCTTTGGTTAAACTCTATTAAATGCAAGACATTACGATCAAGCGAAGATCATGGTAGGTTTCGGAAATAAACAGAAGAAAGGGTTGCTGGCGAGAAAGAGACGAAAGGCATTAGGCACGATTCTTGTAGCCAGTGCGCATTGAAGGAAGGAAGAAGCCGGGGTGGAATAGGGTGAAAGACAAGCAGGCCAAGGCGATCATCCTGGGACTGGTTAGAAAGAATACTAGAAGAGGGGCTGAATACAACTCACATTCCGTCCAGAACAAGGAACTCGCTCTCCTTTTGCATGAGGGGGTTACCCCAGCCACCAGCCATCTCGGGGATACTGAATTATAGTGATTAGTACGGAGATTCGGAGATGCGTGAAGAGAAAGGAGGAGAGGTAGTTGCATACCGATAGATACACCGAATTATCACGGTGAAGTAAGCGAAGATCTCAGCTCCGAGGATGAGTTGCATCCGAGTGCGAGGGATACCAGTTGTCGTTTCGAGATCCTTTTCGCCTTCCAATCCATTACCGTGTCGTCTAACGGTCCAGAAGAAGTGCAGCGCAACAAAGCCGCACACGGCCATGGTCGCAACCTGGAACGCGATACCAGCAATGATAATGTCGTCTCCGGCCTTTAGCATGGCCTGGTCGGTTTTGCCTGCGGCTGCGGCAACACCACCACCTGCAGCCTGCAAAAGCAGCGAGCCGACATCACATCCGATAAAGATCCAGGTAAAGAGTCGCGGCTTCAGCTTGGAGTGCTGCGGGCCCAGAGCGAGGACAATATGCTTGAGCGTTAAGTAGATACCGGCAGCCACGAAAGTCGGGGCCAGCACCAAACAGACGATCTGTAATTTAAAGGCGGGGGCACTCCATGGGTTGTCGTTCATCAAGACTCGTCCGATATAGCCCGCCATTTCCATCAAGGCACCGATGCCGAGGGCGGTCATGAATGTCCATGTTCGAAAGTAAATACCGAGGCCGAGTTGGGAGATTCCCAGGACGCCAAAGAAGACGGCGAAGAAGACATTGCCGCCGAAGTTGGGATAGTAGCCGTAGGTGGTGGCCTGGACGGGGCAGAGGGGACCGACTTCGAAACAATCCGCGTAGCTAGGCATGGCGAATGGTTGTAATCGTTGTGGCAGTGGCAGTGGGCGAGGAGGGAGGTGATAAAGGGAAGTTCCAAGGGAACTGAAGTCGCCTGGTGGTCAGAGTTTAATAACCAACTGGCTTGGCCTCGTTCTCGCTCACGGAATACGATGCTGACAAGAAAAAGTCTTTACATGTTGTTGGATTTACACCAAGGCCCAAGGCCTTGGGGCCGTCTGACGTGGAGCAGAGCATGGCTGATTGCTAACAAGGAAAACGCGCCATGCCGCCAATAAGTGGAGCCGCCAATTTTAACGGTTCAACTGTGACTGACGGAGAATTCTCATTGGCTGTCGTTCTCATCGGTTCCCATCGCACTCGTTCTCGTTCTCGTGCCCGGCCTCGCTTCCAGACTCCGCGATGATCCGATCCACCCTGGAGATCGGAGATTGGAGATGGACGAATCGGGGAAATGCAGACACATGGCATGCTGGTCTGGAATAGATCAGTCAGCCTTTGCATCTGGGCATATTAAACTTGGCGAGATCCCAGGTAGAAGCGGAGATGTGAGGCTGTGTGAAGTATGAAGTATGAAGTTATGAAGTCGTGAGGATGTGAAGATGTGAAGTTGAGTGAAATCGGAGTTAAGAGTTAGTCAGCCCCTTCTTCTTCTTGAGGAAGGCGCAAACCCCGAGTCTGCAATGCCTCAAAACGGCAGGCGCGATGCGCAGCACTTTCCTTCTGTCGATATCGCGATCACCTGATTTCCGACCTTCAACTTCGCGAACTTCCTCTTTCGTCTTTCGTCTTTCGTCTTTCGACTTTCGACTTTCGACTTTCGACCTATTTACAGTTCCTCTGTCGAGCTCCCTGTCAATGTCGAGTTGACTCCGGCTAACCCAGACTCATGGCTCCTCGTCGCACACATACCAAGTCGCGCAATGGCTGTGATCAGTGTAAGCGACGGCGTGTCAAGGTGAGTACCAAATATCCCCCAGTTACCCCACATCTATCTAACTCCGGCAGTGCGACGAGAAAGGTCCCCCCTGTTCCAATTGTACCTCCAGAGAACTCCCATGCTCCTATCTAAAAGCACCCCCCCCGCGATAGCCATGGCGATGCGCCCCCCCGGCCAAATACATCAATCTCAACTCGCGACTCAGGAACCCCCCCGTCCCGTCGCACCCATCAGTCCAGCCGCTTCAACCCCGTCTACCATTTCCCCCGTGCGCGACCTTGAACTCATGCATCAATTCTCCACCGATACATTTCGCACCCTCTGCACGGGCCCCTCGGAGTTTGAGGTGTGGCAGATCACGATTCCGCGACTCGCGCTGCGATACGACTTTCTGATGAATGGAATCCTGGCCGTAGCTTCGCTGCACATCGCCACAATCGTCGAGTCGCCGACTTCCTTGGCGTATATCGACACTGCCCTCCAGTACCATAATCTCACCTTTGGTCCCTTCCGCATCGCGATCGACAATCTCACCCAGCAGAACTGTGAGGCTGTGCTGGCGCAGTCTATCATTACCACCGTGATTGGCATTGCTCTCCCGCGGCTTACCGGCGCGCGGGATGAAAGTTCCAACATGACCGAGAATATCGTGACGGTATTTGAACTTCTCCAAGGCGTGCGAAAGATTATGCACATCGGCCGGTCGTGGATAAAATTAAGCCTTTTTTCCCGCCAAAAGGAGCTTTGGGATTCGGGACCGACAGAGCTGGATTCTGAAACGGCCGTCGCGCTGGATCGCCTGATGACGCTGAACGATGAAACACTGGCCAGCATCGATACGGACCAATATCGCATCAATAAGGATGTTATCACGCACCTGCGCCACTGTTTTACTTTATTCGGTAACTCTCAGGACCCGGCCAACGTGCTTGCATGGTTAGCTGCCGTGGACAAGGAGTTTGTGGATAATGTGCGGCGACGACAGCCGCTGGCCTTACTGATCCTTATGCATTGGGGCGTCCTGCTCGGCGAGCTGGACGGTCAACGATGGTGGGCTCGTAATTCGGGGAAGGCATTGGTCTCGGAGCTACTTCATGTTCTATATCCCGTTGATGCTCGCTGGGCGGATTCATTAATTTGGCCTCGACACAAAATGGGCTTATGAAGGTCCAATACGAAAGTGATGACTGAGAACTCGAATATTAGGCCATATAGATGACCAAGAAAGCGAAGCGCGGCATGGCCGCGGCTGCTTCGACGGATGCCGGTGCACATCCAGAGATTTCCAGGCCCAAAACACCTTGGCAAGCAACCAAAAGGGCTAGGCTCGATCCTGCCATACAAATTAGGCAGATGCATTCCACTGCGGTTGGGCATGAGAAACTCGCAGCCCGCGTCACTGCGCAAGAGTTTCCACGCACTCGCCTGCCCTATTGCATTTGGTATGGACGCCGTATGCTGCTTGATAAACTAAACTATATCTGAGCTCCAGGATACCATACTGTTATCCTAACTTGGCAGGTCCCGTTCTGAGTTGACGAATTTTGAATTTAGCGCTGATACCCCGGATGGAATACTATAACAAACGATCCTATACTCGATACAAAAAACGTTTAGAACAAATTCGTAAATCACAGAAAGAACATTTGATTCAAGTTAACGTGTTCTGTTTTACACTAAATTGTTAATTGGGTATATACAAACGCTCAACAGCGGGAAACTTTCGAAGTATACACGGCCACTTTGGCCAATATCATGATAAGTAATATTGTAGTGAATTGTATGTATGTATGTATGTCCTAGGGGGGACTTGCTCCCACCACCACACCAGCACCGGCTATCCCCATCGCGCTCCACTTGAACGACAATGTCCATGCTTTGCTCCCGAAGGTAGTTCTCCGTTCGCTGGCGGACATCTTCAAGGTCGGAGCCTCGGGATGCTATCACGTGGATTACGCCGAAAACCTTCAGTTTCTTATGTTCATGCGTGTGGTCATTATCGTGGTCGTGGGCATGATCGTCATGATCGTGGGCGTGGCTATGATTGTGGCTGTGACCGTGGGCTTGGCTGTGACTGTGGTTGTGCTGATGCCCATGATCGTGGCCATGGTCACATCCTTCGGAATGGTCATGTCCGTGGGAGTGTCCGTCGGACGACGACCCGGTATCGTCGAGCCAAAATTTCGGTACTGTGTAGCTAACCACCCCACGCAGGGTACTCACCCCGGCCAGTGTTTCACGAACATTATACTCCGTGTCCGCGGGCAGAGTCAGCAGTAAGCTTTTGGCGGTACTAGTGACGAGAGGAACCGCCGAGGCAAAGATCAAGATGGCAATAAAGCACGATGCGAGCGGGTCGTACCCGGACCAGCCAGAGTAGTGCACCAAAATGGTCGAGATGACCACGGCCACGGAACCGAGGGTATCGGCGAGAATGTGTAGGAAGATACCGTGCATATTTTCGTTGCCGTGGGAGTGATCGTGGCCGTGGTCGTGTCCGTGATGGTGGTGGCCGTGCTCGAAGCTAAAGATGCCGACCAGGTTCACAAGTAATCCAGCGAAGCTGACTGCGAGAAGTTCGCCGATGCGGTGCATTTCGCTTCCTGATGACAACCGCTCCACTGCCTCGTAGATGATTTCCACGCTGATGATCCTGTTCAAGGTTAGCATTTGATGCTGGCTCCGTTCAGTGTCCGCCTTACATTAGAAAAATGCCGTTGGCGAACCCGGACAAAGTATCCACTTTGCCATAGCCGTAGGGGAATCGGGCATTTGGAGGCCATTTGCTCATCACAGCTGCACATAGCCCTACAACTAGGGCAAGGCAGTCGAAGAACATATGAATACTGTCGCTGAGCAGTCCAAGGGAGCCGGTCAGGAATCCGTAGGATAACTGGACAAGCATGAAGGTGAAGTTCAAGCTGTGATTTGTTAGTTGAGTATACACCGAGGAGCGATCGGAATAGCACTCACCACATGAAGTAGAAGATACTACGGGAGTCTTTCTCCTTCAGGATGCTATGGAGCAGGGGATAAGGCTCGCTGCGATGCAGGAGCCATTTTGTCACCGCGCCCACCTCTGTAGGGCCGTGGGAATGATTGTGGTGATGGTGTGTATGGCTGTGTGAATGCGCGTCCAGGCGCAAATGCTTGTCGTCCATCCTGGAAGCAAAGAAAGAAAGGCAAGCTAGAATACAGCGCGCAACATAAACCATCATAATATCATCATGGACGTGTGGAGAGGAAAGCAGGGCCGCGGAGCCAGTAGTCACTGCGAGGCCAACCTTGCTAGATGATCGGATACTAGCGGGGGATGAAAATACCAGTGCGGTTGCAAGGAGCCCGGCCGGGGCCAGAACATAGATCGAGTCAGCCAAAGCGAAAGGTAAGCCTCCGGAGGCAATCATGGCTAGAACGAGGAGGAAACCTCCCGATACCAGGGCGAGAGGAGCATCGGTCGTAACAATGACAGCAGAGTGGCTGAGACTAGAGGCTTTGTCCTTTGAAAGTGACTCGGCAACGAGGCCTGGCTCTGGAATGGGTCCTTGGCGGCGAAGAGCAGGGAAAGGGGGGGAGATGACGAATACTGAGAGTACCAAGGCAAGATACCCAGTCAATGGCCACGCATCCCACGTTTTGTTCAGGCCTAGGTAGCTTAACACAGTAGCCGTTCCCAAAAGCGAAATCGTGAAAATTTTCCGGTTGTATCTTTCCTGTACAGCAATGCGAGGATCCGAAGCGACTAGCTTAGGCACTCCGGTAGCCGTCGCAAGAAGAAGCGCAAAGGCGACTAGAAACCCTCCTACTTTCAGTGCTGCATATATGGGTAGCCCAACCGAGCATATCTGCAGGAAAGCAGCTTGAGCACCCTGGGCACTGGGCGTTGGGAATTTCACGGAAGAGAGGCCGTTAGAGCCACCGGCATGCCTGTTCAAGCGGATCAATTGAAGACATCCGAAGAGAAGAAGCGTAACTGAGGTCAATATGCAGGCCTTTTGTCCGACCTGTTCGACAATTCCGACAGAGGTTTTGTGTGTTGTTTCGGAGGCATCTAGATCACCTGCGCTCTGCTGCGCGCATTTCCTTGGGTACCAGGACAGTGCTATCCAGGGCAAAGCGATTAGGGCGCCGGCTAGCACTTCATGCCTGGGAGATGTCAGTCGTCACTTCAGCACGAGATTTCTGTATGTCCACGCACACTTGGTTGGAGCTAGTCTCTGACTTTACAGAAGTAGCTTGTGGGTTCATATCATGGGCGTGTGGCGCGTCGTGGTGAATTGATGACACGCTGTGGGTATGACCGTGGTGCGCAAGCGAATGGGAGTGGGAGTGGGAGTGGGAGTGGCTGTGACCGTGAGAATGGGAGTCATTGTGGTTATGCTGAGACCAGGATGGTTGGGAGGCGTGTCCGTATGAGCCATTGCCATTGACAGAGTCGGTCATGTCCGGTGGCGGTTGGGGGGGGCATTGGACAGGTCCAGCGAGAGAGGGGCCGGCGGGGGTTGGGCATAGCGAGATCGAGTATGTCCACGGCCACGACTGTGACCGTGTGCATGTGTATGTCCATTGACCGGTGCGATATCCGCATTCAGGGGCGGTGCCCCCGTCGACATTGTCTGGAGAAGGGGGGTGGAGTGGGTGTCGCACGTGGAATAGGAGATGGGATGGTTATGGGAGAGCCTGCTAAGCTCAGAGTGTGGGTAAAAGGACAGTAAAAACAGGCAGCATTGCGCGCAATAAATGTAGACCGAATGAACGTGAATATGAATGTGAAACAGAATTAGCGCAGCACAATGCCGAGCAGATCGAAGCTGGGCTTGACGGAGGAAGCTCGAACCGCTGGGGGCGGCCAATCGCGCGGGAACCTTGGGGGAGCCACGTGACCAGATATCTTATCGCGGGAATCTTCGGATCACGTGGGCTTATCGATAAGGCGGCCTCCGCGGGAGAACATCCCATTGTACACTTACACTTACACTACACCTACATCTACACTTGCAACTACTGTACAATGCTATTGTGATCGATAATTTCAACGAGGTCGAGCCTCGTGCACTAACTACCTACCTACCACCACCACCACCATGATTGAATCCCTTATCACCATCGCATTCTGCCTATCAACCGCCCTGACCGTGGCCATTCTGCTTCTCCCATCCCAATACAAGCCAACCTCCGACCCGAAGGAGAAACGGAGTGTGCAGATCCTTGTCTTAGGCGATATAGGCCGGAGTCCGCGCATGCAATATCATGCGCTGAGCATTGCCAGAAACGGGGGACGCGTGGTGATCATTGGTTATAAAGGTGAGTTGGGCGGCCTACATACCCAAAGTGCCACGAGGGCAGCGCAGTATAACTAACATTTGGAACCTCAACATTTAGAATCCGATCCTCACCCTGATATTGAATCACACCCCGACATCTCCATTGTTCCCATCCGCCCCCACCCCGCATACCTTCAAACAAGTAATAAGCTCTTGTTTATCATCTACGGGCCACTGAAGGTGCTCTTCCAGGTCGCATGTCTATGGAAGTGCCTAGCATATACTTCCCCACCAACAAGATGGCTTCTAGTCCAGGTATGTCGTTTGAACAAATATTTCGTCGATGCACCTAGTTAAGTATCTATCCTATGATCTGGACATTTGCTGATGACCAAATAGAACCCACCTTCGATTCCCACGCTAGCAGTCTCCTCGATAACTTGCTTCCTACGACAAACGCGCTTGGTCATCGACTGGCATAATTTCGGATATTCCATCCTAGCATTGAAGCTCGGCCCAACACACCCCCTCGTCAAGTTGTCGATTTGGTATGAGAAGACATTCTGCAAGATGGCTTCGGCCCACCTATGCGTGACCGATGCCATGCGATCCGTCCTCAAGAAGGACTTCCAGCTTCAGGCTCCCATCTTGCCGCTCCATGATCGTCCTGCCAGTCACTTTCAGCCCATCACTGATCCCAAAGCCCGTAACGAGTTCCTGGAAACTCTACCGGAGACAAAAGACGTGCGTCCCTTGTTAGAATCGGGATCACTCCGAGTCCTGGTCAGCTCGACTTCTTGGACCCCGGATGAAGATTTCTCGGTCCTTATCGATGCCCTGCTCCAGTATTCGGAACAGGCCGTAGCTCAGCCACGCCTGCCACATATTCTGGCTATCATCACGGGTAAGGGTCCGCAGAAAGAGATGTATTTGAAGAAGATTGCTGCTCTGGAAACTGCTGGCAAGTTTGAAAAAGTCACCATTCGCACGTCGTGGTTGACGGTATCCGACTATGCCCGTCTTCTCGCATCAGCATCTCTGGGAGTGAGTCTGCACACTAGCAGTAGCGGGGTAGATCTCCCAATGAAAGTTGTTGACATGTTCGGTGCGGGCTTGCCAGTGGTCGGCTGGAGTCGATTCGAGGCATGGCCTGAGTTGGTGACTGAGGGTGTGAATGGAATGGGATTTGGCAGTGCGACGGAACTATTAGACCGGTTGGTGGAGTTGTTTGGTGATGATCAGAAACTGGCGAGTCTTCGGGCAGGTGCTCAGAAGGAAAGTTCCCGCAGATGGGACGATGAGTGGGATCCCATCGCTGGGTCCCTCTTTGGGTTGACGTAGCAAAGCTACTCGATCACAATTCACTACATAAATCATAAAATCATTGTGATCTCAAGAACAAAATCCGGGCCATTTGTGCCCAAAATCGTGGCTTCCAGTCTCTCAAATACAATCCCAATTAGCTTTGTCGTAGAAATGGTGAGTATTAAGTGAGGTTGCTGCACTTGAATTTGGAGTTGCAGGAGGGACAAGTATCGAAAGCCCTGGCGACACCCATGAAGACGGGACTTATCGCTTCATCACGCAGGCGAGCAATCAATTCTTCATCCAGAAACTCTATCTGGCAAGTAGAACAGTATTTGGAGATGCCAGGCTCTTGAATGGCCAGGGACGTAAGTCCACAGCGTACTATATCAAACGTCAGATCGTTATCAAGAATTTCTGGCGTGATACTTTACTTACCAAAAAGATGGCCACTTTCGCATTGGGCCTCTGTGGTTGAGGCCCAAGGAATACCTGCTTCGCAAATATCGCACTTCTCAAATAAGTGACCCCCTGCTTGGGAGAGCTGGTCTGGCGATTTGCTCGATATTGTGGAGGCACCATTCGTACAATTTGATATTTCCTCGCTCAAATCGGCACCCGTCTTTACTGCTAAACGTTCCAGGGCCCTTTGAGCTTGAGGGCGAGTCGACGCAAGGCGTTTATCCACGATACTACAGCATGCGGCAGCGTAGATGAGTCTTTGATCCTCGGTGTTGATTTCATCATCCTTGTCGCACCGCGAAAGCAAGAAAGTGACAGGCTTCTTTCTTCCACTTCCTTCGGATTGTTCATTGTGATCGGGAACTGGCGAGAAGAGCGACTCGAGATCTGGGGATTCCTCGGTACCCTCGAATGCAAACCCGACAACGGCCCTCTCGTCGGATGCGACTTTGTATTGAATCATATTTGTCGGGTGGCGAGTAACAAGAACTGCAAGGACACCACGGTAGGAGGCTAAACCCCAAACTCGATTCATGGCGTATCCTTGCAGATCGTGGTCTAAATCATATTGTTCACGAATATTCTTGATTACCTTGCTCCACTGTGGCAGGCCCAGACTGCAATCGGATTCAGCTTCCTTTGTAATCGTTGTCTCCAATCCAATGACAGCTCCTAGTGCGGCCGAGGTGCCCAGGTGAAGCACACATGAATCATTTTGCTCGTCGGTCAATGTGGCCATGCCTGAAACTGTTCAGTTTTATTTTCAACCCCTGCATAGAAAGATTCCCATCACCTACCTGCGATGAGTTCCCAGTCACTTCGAGGCTCGCCGTCTTCAATGGGAAATGATGATGTAGAAGTTGGCCAGAATTCAAATCGGTCTTTGCCCTTCCCGGTGCCTTGATAAACAGCACGAGGCATAGAGATAGTAAGGAATCCGGTGGAGGTGCCAACTACCAAATTTATCTTTGGGGATTGGTTCTATACTCAGAGTCAGCATATACTTTGAGAACCAGTAGAAAAGAAACAAAATGAAACAAAAGATCAAAAGATCAACCACGCACCGTGTGAATCCATTTTATTGGGCCTTCGACCTGACAGTACGCCCACCTTGATGATGAATTTGCCAATGAATGGTCTGCCAGATCAGCCGTAACTTGGTATTCCGCAGTAGTATTAGTACCGTTGTCCGATCTACGCAAGGTGATGGTCGTCTTCAGGGGGTATAGCTGCTTGCCATACACAGCTGCGATCATTGCCGAGGTCGAATGGACGCCATTTTTCTTTGCTGCATGCAAAGGGGCCCATGGCCCGGTCGAGATTGACAGAATGCGTGATTTCAGTTGAAGGGTTTTCTGGAGAATTGACCCAGGACAAACCTTGGGTGTGTTCTTCTCCCCGGAAAGCTGATAAGAAGTCAACTTCTCGGTGTGATAAGACCGGGTAGATGATGTGGGGTTGGCGTTCCTCTTAATTTGTAGCAGAACGACCTCGTTGGCATCATTTGTAACAGACATCAACTGGATACCCCATCGACTCTCAGGTTCCGATGCCTGGTCAGAATCTTCGGGTTGTATTGGAGTTTTCAGAGGCTCGCACCAATGGAAGGATCGAATATTTGCCTTGCGAAGTAGTTCGCCAGTCAGTGTCGAGGGAGCCGAGGGGTCAGGATGCAGCGCATGATTGACAATCGCGACTCTTGTCCATATCGCTCTAGGCCCAATAGGTTCCCACAGCGACAGGATCAAGTTTGACCCCAGAACAGCCAATACACTGCGGCGGAATCGAGCCAGTCCTGCCGGAGACCATGCTAGGCCAATGACAGTACTTGTTGACTGCTCAGCACCAAGAGAGAAATCATCCCGATTTTGAGGGGGGATGGGTGCCCATTCGGCATTAGTGAAGGTATTGACGCGAATACGCGTGATATCCCAAGCATCTTTGCCCGGCGTGTTTGGTTTCAAGCAGCCAGTTTTGGGTGTCTGTCTTAAACGTTAGGATAGGCCAGGATGGACTCGCACAGGGTATATTGCACGCACTAAAATCTGGACATGCTCGCCTGCGGCCACAGCAAGGTCACCGTCGGGCGACCAGGAGAGAGCTTCGAAGCAGGAAGGAAGAAGCTGTAGTTCTATAGGATTGAGCATTTTGTTGAGGGCTCACTAAATGCGCAGCATTTTCAAGAGTGATTGATCAACTTGAAGAGAAAGAAAGGTGGGAACCTTGGAATGTTTGGTGATGGCTGGGCCTGCGAGCGATGGTTGGAGCTGCCCCGATCGGGACTAGCGCCATTGACGATCAAAATTTGAAGATCTCAGAGTATTTCAAGTTGATTAGAGGTTGCTACGAGTAATAATTAGGTAAATGACTGGTAATAAAGTTTCCTAGGTTCATTTTTATTTTGGACGAGAGGGTCTTCAAGTTGACAACTCATTCGAGCTTATTCAGGATAATACTAGTATGCAACTTGTTTTATGCATACCCAGGTGGGTACAACTCTCCTAAATATATACAGACCAACTTGGATAAAATCGAGTTGAATTTCCCAATTTGCATTTTGAATTTAACGTGCGAAGACTTTGAAGGAGGCAGGGGAGGGTATGGAGGGTATCATTAACACTGTAGACCACATAGGATCACTCAGTCCACGCGATCCAGCTTCTGTACGACCATGGCACTCGCCGCACCACCACCGTTGCAAATAGCCGCCACGCCGTACTCACCAGGCTGCAATTGGTGAAGCAGGGTGACAAGAATACGGGAGCCGGAGCTTCCTAGCGCATGACCCAGGGAGATAGCACCACCAAGCATATTCACCTTGGCATCCTGGAGACCAAGAATCTAAAAGGAAAAAAAAGAATATGTTAGCAATAAATCGCGAATAGTGGAAAACCGAATCCTCGTAAACAGCTGGATGTTTTACCTTCTCGTTGGCCTTGATAACAGCTGCGAAAGCCTCGTTGAACTCCCATACGGCAACTTGGTCCTTGGTGATACCGGCTCGCTCCAGAGCGATAGGGACGGCCTTGGCTGGGGCCACAGGGAAGTCAACAGGGTCAATGGCCGCATCAGCGGTCGAGACAATGCGAGCTAGAACCCGGCCACCAGTGCCAAATTCCCGAGCAATCTCCTTGTTGGCGAGGACGAGAGCCGATGCGCCGTCGTTCATGGTCGAAGCATTACCAGCAGTCACGGTACCCGTACCATCCCGCAGGAAAGCAGGCTTCAGGCTAGTCAGCTTGTCGGCACGCAAGTTCTCAAAACCCTCATCCTTTTCGATGACGGTGTCACCCTTCTTTCCCTTGACAGTGACGGGGGCAATCTCGTCGGCGAACTTGTTCTCCTTCCAAGCTGCCTGGGCTCGCTCATAGGAACGAATAGCGTATTGATCTTGATCCTCTCGTGAAACATCATACTTCTTAGCGGTCTGCTCTGCGCAGATTCCCATGTGGAACTGGTTGTACACATCCCAGAGCCCATCCTTGATCAAACCGTCCTCGAGCTTGATCTCGCCAAAGGGGGGGCAGCTGGCTTGATCGAGGCATGTAGTAAGGTACACGGGTCATGTTCTCCATACCACCAGCAACTTGTGCCTCGGCCAGTCCCAGTTGAATGTTCTGGGCGGCCAATGCAACCGCCTTCAGACCGGAGGCGCACACCTTATTGACTGTCATCGACTCGACGGTGGAAGGCAGACCGGCAAAGATGGAAGCTTGACGAGCGGGAGCCTGACCAACCGACCCCTGCAGAACATTTCCCATGTAAACATCGGTGATCTTCTCCACGGGGACGTTGCTTTTGCTGAGAGCCGACTTGATGGCGACCGCGCCGAGTTGGGGAGCCGAAACCGAGGCAAAGGAGCCATTGAACTAAGTAGGAAGGGTGAGCAATCTTGATTCGTTCTCCGGGAGAGACTGTATGGTTGCACAGCATTTCCGTACCTTGGCAGTTGGCGTACGGGCAGCACTGAGAATATATGCTTCTTGAATCTCCTTCAACGACGGGCGTGCGGAGCTAAACTGTCTCTGACTTCGGAATGCGGGGAGAGCAGCCCGCACGGAGCGGGTTGACAGCCTCGGGGCGGTGATCATGGTTGCTATGAGAGATATTACTGTATGGAAGCTACCCTGGAGAATGAGCAAGAGGAGGGACAAAAAAGCAGGAGGAGGAAAAGAAAGAAGAGAAGAAAGGTGCACGCTGAACAAATACAGGGCGGTTAACTGCGGTTGGCGGGTAGGCGGCATTCCGCGTATACCTCGGCTGGCGGGCTGGTGGAGATCACATGATATGACATAATCGTCAATATTGATGCCCGCAGGTTCAGGCAACAAATAATGACTAACATTCTGCCGCGAGTTCCCCCATCGGGCCGGGCCCCTCTTCAATTGATTGACCGTTCCCTCTCTCTTCTCATGCTTCATCTGGCGTGCTCGACCGTCACACCTAGATCTTCTGCTTCTGAAATTGTTGCAGAACTTTCTCATTGATCTTTACCAGCTCCTCCCGCTCACAGATTTATCATCATGTCGACCTCTGCCCGCCGCCGTCTCATGCGGGACTTCAAGGTATGTCGATGTCATATACTGCCGGGGGCGTCTACGGGGAAATTGCGAGATTGGTCACCCACCTCATTGCAGATACTGTTTTTTTACTTTCGATAAGCAGCTGTGTGAGAAGGGATTGATTTCCTCATTTTTCCGGAGACCCCCTCGCCCTTCTTTTGCCCCAGGGTCCCCCGTTATCGGTCATTTTGCCCCTCCCGCTAATCATTTGGTTTTTGTGACTTTAGCGTATGCAAACCGACCCCCCCTGCTGGTGTCTCTGCCTCCCCTGTTGCCGATAATGTGATGACATGGTATGTAAAGGTATATTTCAGCCTGGGGTTCCTTTCCTAACGCATCCATAGGAATGCCGTCATCATTGGTCCGGCCGATACACCCTTTGAGGATGGAACTTTTCGCCTCGTGATGAACTTTGAGGAACAATACCCCAACAAGCCTCCTGGCGTCAAATTTATCAGTCAGATGTTCCATCCCAATGTCTACGGAACCGGTGAGCTCTGTCTCGACATTCTTCAGAACCGATGGAGCCCCACCTACGATGTGGCGGCCATCTTGACGAGTATTCAAAGGTATGGTTTAGCTTATAGGCTTACTCTTTGCGCCCATCGAGTTATCTTTTCCTCTCCCTTCCCTTGCCTTCATCATACTGACTTCTTTCTTCTTCAATTCCAGTCTGCTCAATGATCCCAACACCTCCTCGCCGGCGAACGTCGAAGCATCGAACCTGTACAAGGATAACCGCAAGGAATACATCAAACGCGTCCGCGAAACCGTGGAGAAGAGCTGGGAGGACTAGAAAAAAAAAACTATCAAGGCATGACCTGGAGCTCAGTTTGTCTTTCTCTTCGCCTTGTTTGCTGCTTTGGACAAGCACGCTGGGGTGGAGGAAAGAGTTGGCACCGGAATCGGCTATTTGATCTGCACAGCGTGGGGTTTGGGCGCCTGGTTTACATTCTCTTCTCTTGTGTTTTCATTTCATTTCATTTCTGTCCTGGACGACTTTTTCATGTGCATTATGGTTCTTCTAATGTGGTGTCCCTTTCTGGTTTCTGTGATTTACCTTATTTTACCCCCATAGCTTATTTGCATTAGCCTTTGGACATTTGATGACTGATTGGTAGCCCTTGTAAATACAATAAAAAATATAAAGGTAAATGCCATGAATTAAAGTTGAGTGGGATGTACTCTGCAGATTCCCTGCAGACGCGGAGGAAGCGGAGGAAGCGGTCGGCCAAGAGAAACTCCCAAACGGGCGACCCGTCAACATTGGAAATCCACTTCGATCTTCTTCTTCTTCTCTTCCTCCCCCCTCCCTCTTCACCAGGGCCCTTTGTTTGCTTCTTTTTCTTTTTCTTTTCTTTTCCTACCCTGTTTTCTACTGGGTGTACTACGTGGGTGCAGTTCTCGTGGAGGTCACACACACACTCATACAGACCACCCCTATTCCTCTACTTCTCGACCCCCAGGATTTGTCTGCCCCTCCTTGGGGTTGTGTTTTTTTTGGGTTTGTTCGCGCGAGAGGTGATCATCGCTGAACCGTAAATATGGCGTGAGTTGACTCCCACAGCAACACATCGAAAATGAAATGTCTCTGACTCGATCTCTAGGTCTGCGGGGTCCAACACCATTAAGGGTACGCACAATGTGGAAGATGTGGTGGAGCGAAGACGGCTAACCCCCCCAACGCGTCTAGTCATCGCCCGATTCCGACCTCAAAACAAGGTCGAGTTAGCCTCCGGAGGTCAACCGATCGTTCATTTCGAAGGCGAGGAATCATGTATGATCACGGTGAGTCAATGGAGAGCATTCTGGCCCTCTTGATATCTTGAAACACTGACACGGGTTGCGGTGTAGTCCCAAGAGGGTTCGGGTGACTTCACCTTTGATCGGGTGTTCCCCATGGACTCGGCTCAAAGAGACATCTTCGACTTCTCGGTCCGACCTACGGTTGACGATATATTGAACGGTTACAATGGAACGGTGTTTGCGTATGGTCAGACCGGTGCGGGAAAGTCATATACGATGATGGGATCCGACATTGACGACGATGTGGGAAAGGGTGTCATTCCCCGAATTGTCGAGCAGGTCTTCGCCAGCATCTTGACGAGTCCGAGCAACATTGAATATACCGTGCGGGTCAGTTATATGGAAATTTACATGGAGCGGATTCGTGATCTCCTCGTGCCGCAAAACGACAATCTTCCCGTCCACGAGGAAAAGAACCGCGGGGTTTACGTCAAGGGATTGCTGGAGGTATATGTGTCGAGTGTGCAGGAGGTCTACGAGGTGATGCGCCGTGGTGGAAATTCGCGAGCTGTGGCCGCGACCAACATGAATCAAGAGTCTTCTCGTTCGCACTCCATCTTCGTCATCACTGTCAGCCAGAAGAACGTTGAAACTGGGTCCGCCAAGAGTGGTCAGTTGTTCCTGGTCGATCTGGCTGGTAGTGAGAAGGTTGGAAAGACAGGAGCTAGCGGTCAAACTCTGGAGGAAGCTAAAAAGATTAACAAAAGTTTGAGTGCCCTGGGAATGGTCATCAACGCGCTCACGGATGGCAAATCGACTCACATCCCGTACCGTGACTCCAAGCTCACTCGAATTCTGCAGGAGTCGCTTGGAGGTAACTCTCGAACGACGCTGATCATCAATTGTTCGCCTAGCAGCTACAACGATGCCGAAACCGTATCCACCCTGCGTTTCGGTTCACGCGCCAAGGCAATTAAGAACAAGGCGAAGGTCAACGCCGAGCTGAGCCCGGCCGAAATGAAACTCCTCCTACGGAAAGCCCAGACTCAAGTCACCAATTTCGAAACCTATATCTCGGCCCTGGAAAATGAGGTCTCAACGTGGCGCAATGGTGACAACGTCCCCAAAGATCAATGGACACCTGCGCGCGGCAACGAGATCGTCAGCGCGACCAAAGCGGAGGCTCGTGCCCCTCGACCCGGAACGCCATCTCGTCTTCAAGAAACTGCACGCGCGGAAACTCCACGACCCGATTCCCGACTTGGAGACCGCTCCAGCACGCCCAGCCTGGTGCTGGAGAAGGACGAGCGGGAGGAATTCCTTCGCCGTGAAAATGAATTCCAAGATCAAATCGCCGAGAGGGAAACGCATATCGTGAATGTCGAACGCAGTCTCCGCGAAGCTCGAGAGGAGCTGAAGTCAATCAGGGAGGGTGCCGGACGATCTGGAAAGGATAATGATCGCCTGACCACCGAAGTCAACGAGCTGCGTATGCAGCTTGAGAAGGTGTCCTACGAGGGCAAGGAGGCTGCCATCACCATGGATGGCCTGAGAGAGGCCAACTCCGAGTTGACCGGTGAGCTGGATGAGGTCAAGCAGCAGCTACTCGACGTCCGTATGAAGGCGAAGGAAACCACGGCCGCAATGGATGAGAAGGAGAAGAAGAAGGCAGAGAAGATGGCGAAGATGATGGCTGGCTTCGACTTGGGTGATGATGTCTTCTCGACGAACGAGCGTAAGCTGCAGGGCCTGATTTCGCGCGTGGACGCCTTGTACGAGGTCAGCGCAGCAGGCGAGACTATTGCACCTGACGACGTTCTCGAGCTTCGGACTAGCTTGCTAGAGACCCAAGGATTCATTCGCCAGGCAGAGCTGACGATGAACGACCGAGGCGAGTTTGGCGATCTGCAGGACAGTCGCCGAACGGAGCTAGAGCAGAAGCTGGAGGACGTCCAGAGGGACTACGAGGATCTTCTATCTCGTAACCTCGGCGATGGAGATGTGGAAGAGATCCGCGAAAGACTCGAGAAGTCCTTCATCAGCCGAAAAGATATCGAAGCCGCCGCCGTCGACGAACTTCGAGCTGAAATTTCCCGCAAGGACGAGGAAATGAACAAGCTGCGACAGAACCTCGTTGACACTGAATCACGCACCTCGACCAATGGCACTGCTAGCAAGACACTTCAGCAGCAGATTTCCGAGTTTGATGCCATGAAGAAGTCGCTGATGCGGGACTTGCAAAATCGTTGCGAGCGAGTCGTTGAGCTCGAAATCTCGCTGGATGACGCGCGGGAACAATATAACAACGTACTCCGCTCATCGAACAACCGCGCCCAACAGAAGAAAATGGCATTCCTTGAGCGCAACCTCGAGCAGCTCACTCACGTTCAACGGCAATTGGTTGAGCAGAATAGTAGCTTGAAGAAGGAGGTCGCCATTGCAGAGCGCAAGTTGATTGCACGAAACGAGCGTATTGCCAGCCTCGAGAGCTTGCTCCAGGAGAGCCAAGAGAAGTTGACCCAAGCCAACCACCGGTATGTTCTTTCCAGCAAAACTCTTATGATCATTTGGTCTCAAATACTTACTCTATTCACAGATTCGAGGCTCAGCTTACCGCCGTGAAAGAGCGCCTGGAGGCTGCCAAGCAAGGTTCCACCCGCGGCCTGCCCACAATGGACGGCAGTGGGAGTTTCAGCTTTGGAGGATCTCGCATTGCGAAGCCGTTGCGCGGGGGCGGCGGCTCAGATGGGCCGCCGCCCAATGCGAACGTCGCGGGTGTTCAGTCGCAGGAGACGACTGGCAAGCGCACGAGCTGGTTCTTCGGCCAGGACCGCAAGTGATCGCGATGGTCTAGTCACGCCCTCAGAAGAGTGCTCGTCCTTCGCGATGCTACTCTTGAAACTTGATGACTGCATCCCGTTCACCCCGGATATCTTTCAATTTGTCCTTTTGTCGCTGGCCTTTGGCTGACCTGACCTGATCTTGCTCTACTCTGCTCTCACCTAACGCCCTCCACGAGTCTCATCTATTTGTTTTCGTTTCTTTGCTTTGCCCGGGACAGGCGAGCCTGGTTCATTCCCCTCGTCCTTGCTGACGTTGCTCTTTTCTTCGTTTCCTTTTTTTTGTCCTATTTCAGTACATTAGACCGCGCCCTGCTTGCCTGTCGGGGACTGGAGATCCATGGATCTGGATCTTCCCGATACCCTTTGTACATCAAACTCAGATAGAATGCAGCGGAATTGGTATGTAGCCTACGATGAAGATGGCTTGGTATGATCAGTTCGACTGCGTCGAGACGATGGTGTTATGTTTACTATATACTGCGACAGTTCCACATTTCGTTGTTTAGTCACCAGTTGATTCCCATGCCTACAACTTAAGTCGTCGAATGCCGTTTAAGACGCGTCATAAGTATTTAGAATGGTATAGTTAAGTAGTACTCTTCCTAAAAGAATATGCCCAACCAAGTACAATTATTACTACTGCTAGTTAGTAGTAGCCTTCAGGCCACCTGTCTGTAGATCAAAGCTTGAACACTTCACTTCATTGACCCGTTGCTGCCTGATTCTACTACGTAGTTAGCAGCCCTGGAGTACGCCTCGTGCTAGACTGCCACTAGTAATTAGTATAACAAACTTGTCTTTCCAATGCTCCATCTTTAAATCCCTTCATATATTCCAAGGTTTGCATTTCACCACACAAGTTTGAACCCAATGCAGTTACTATCCTTCCCACAGGAAATAATCATCCTCATCGCCAGCAAACTAGAAATTTGAATTTTCAAGTCTGCTGCATATTATCATTTTCATGAGGAGATCATGCTATGCAACAAATCTGAAGCACAATCAATCACATTCTGAGCCCCATAAACAAGACCCACATTCTTTCTCAAACCACGTCATTTTCTGTGCTTCCACAACAAACCGGGCATTTACTTACCATTGATCTTGGAAACAGCTTGTGAGTGTGAATGTGACCGTGGAGAGGTCGGTTCGCCATCTCAATTGTTGAGAAGTGAAACTCCGAGGTCCAAAATTATGATGCTTGTTACTATCTTTCACGACCACGATAGGCCGCTAGTTGTCACTTCGTAATGGTATTGCAGCTTGCATGAAAGTCTGGTTTATTCTATAATAGGGTGGGGCCTAAGATCGTGCAATACTTCCTAACCAGGTTATTTTGCCAAGGACTTTATTAACACCTCTTACAATACTCAAAAATAGGCATTTTCTATTTAGGTTTATCAACTGTCGTGGTACCCACTTTCACCTGTGGAGGTCACATATACTCCTGGCACCAGAGAACCATTCATACGTCAGTCCGTGTGGCCCCCAATTTCGAAAATCAATCCCCTTTGCAATAAGGCAAATGGCAAGACTGTGTGCGAGATTTATACAGCAATTGCTATGCATAGCATTGTTGAAGGTCCGAATTTTATGAGAGTCAATGCAGTCCAACCACAGGCAATCCTGGATAGGATCATTGATTCGCAGAAACCTTCCATTTTGGGTACGTTCTTGTTGATGGCAAGGCAGATATGCTAAATATTTCGATAGGAAGTTTGTAGCTTTGCGAGGAAGCCTTGAAATTGCACGAACTCATAAGTACCCAGTCTTGCCCGGCTAGAAATTGAAGTTTGTACAACCATTCAAGTTGCCAATATTCCACTCTAAAAACCAGAACCAAACCACCGCTGTTCGGTTCCCTCGATATTTTCCTACACAAAACTCTTTTTCATTCAATATTACCTGAAAATGCGTCTCTCCGCCACAATCGGTGCTACACTTGCACTCTGCACTTCTGCGCTCGCGTGGGACATCTCGTTTTACACCGACTCGAGTTGTGGTCAAGACAATGGCGACTACGTACGAATTCCCATAAATTACCTTCCTATTCCCCTCGGAGATTTCAACAAATTCTTTGCTTCAGGGCTAACATGGAGTCTCATGATTCAAAATACAGGTCACCTATACTGGCAGTTCAGGCGGCCATTGCCAATGGCTGGGCGCTAAGCCCCCAAGCTGGGCTACGTGTAAAAAGTTCACGAATGGTGGGGTTAGTGGCCCTTTTGATTGCACCGCAGGTGATTTTACGGATGCCAAATCGTTTGCTATTGCCAGCGGCGATTTCTATCTAGCCGACGCTCGCTCTGCGAACAGCCGTAACTGTCAGACCGGATTTGGCAGTTCTCAAAAGGGATGCCAGAGTATCCATGTTAGAGGCTTTACCCCAAATTAATAAGCTTTACGATAGATCGTTTGCTTTTTACTGAAGTCTGATGACTTCTAAATGTGTTGAATTGAACCACTGTCGTTACCGTTTTGACTTCTGCCCGATACTTTTCCATTTTTCACACCTGTAGTCAAAGGAAAGTTCGCTCATATTATATATAGGAGATATGCGCATATGTGTCTGTCTAAGGCACTAGGTTAAATCACCCCCGAGTTCTGGAGACGGAAATGTTGGTAGAAAAGGGTCTCTATTTTTGAATATCCACCATACTGGTTCTCCTAGAGGACAGTTTTCTCTAGGTGTGATACTCCACTAGACTCACCATAAATATGTCAGTAAAGATACAATGTGTAAGCTACTGATTGTTTTGGTGTAATCTATCGGACCATTTGGAAAAGCACTCGGCGACTTGGATGCCAGATGGGTTTTAAGATGTTATATTTCTTATATTTCTTACATTTTTTTAACACAAGGCATTTTTTCAGTCATTCTTCAGAAGACTTACGCAATCTAAGTAAAAGTATTAGCTCTGCTATTTTTAATTTTGATTCTCCTTTAAAAGAGAAAGAACCTATCACGGAACCTTAAGGTTTGATCTTCTCTGTTTTCCCCCTTCCCGATATTCTGAATGACGGCTTCTTTCCGGCCAATTTAAGTGTAAATGGACATATGGAAGCGGTTGCTTTGCTTCTGGCGAGAGGGCTGATGTTAATGCTTGTGAAGATAGTGGACAGTCGCTGTTGAAGCTTAATCGGAGTATTAAACCGGAGAGAGAGCAGTTTCTTCTTGATATGGGAGCTACGGAGTGATATTATATTGAAGGAATGAAGTTGTTGATTGGTATTTTTGTCAAGTTATTCCTTCTTCTTTTTCTTCTTCTTGGATCTTAATTTATCCTTTGTGGAATTGGTTTGAGATTTGGACATGATTGACCGTGTGCGTGCTGAGACAGGGTCTTTGATTTCTGGTGTTTCCTCGCTACTATCTTCGCTGTCCGCAGCCGATATCCCCTTTTGGAATTTCGCTTTGAATCTTGTTTGGTAAGGGACGGGTCTTTCCACGGTACCTCGAGGTCGTCTGCGTTTCCCTTTCCAACTCTCGTCATCCTCAGAAGTTTCGGCATCTTCGGTGGATTTCCTCTTTCGTTTTGTTTGGCTAGTACGAGGTTGGGGCGTGTCTGGTTCCCATCGTTTCCGAGTGCTCTTGATGGTGGTTTCTGTAGGGTCCGGAATCGGAGGTTGTTGGATACCCCCCTCTATTGTGTCCAAAAAGCGAGCTCCTATTGAGCCACTTAAAAGAATACTTTGAAGTCGACGAGGAAAAGATTCATACGGCCTAAGGGATATTCGTTTCCAAACAATATTGAATCGTTTGAATGCCGTGATGGTTTTGCCCGGATGTATCAAGGCGTCGATGAGAGCTGTATCTAATCTTACCTCATAGAGGTATATGTGGTTTGGATCATTGAGCCAGTTGTGTACCAGTAGACGTGGCTAAATTGAATCAGTGAGAACTATTCCGACCCATGCCACTGGGGACTTCAGGGAAAGATGCGAGACACGACATACGGTTAGAGTCTCATTGGACGATGCACCATTGTACTGGAGGCGGTGGGTTTGAGCGATTCCCAATAATATGAAGAACAAAAATGGATCTTTCCTCCAGCTCAGCGGCGTATATGGACCAGAATCTTTGTCCAAGACTTTGTCTACCGAGCGACGGCGGCGCGATTGATATTGAAGACCTCGAAATTTCCACAGCTCCACGTAGTTCAGATAGCCTATAGCCCGGGGTGGATCCTCTGCTAGGTGTGCTTTGATGTGCTTGCGGTGACTGAATATCTTGTAATCCACCGGGGTATCAGCCGAGTCTCGACGGATCTTGACATTTTGAAAGAAAAAAGGACGCCCTTCGCTGTGAGTAGAGTTAGTTCGTCGAAGGTGTTTCCCAATGGGGTGATGAATCTCTTAGCGGATGGGATCTGTACCGCAAATTTGGAAAGGGGCCCTTTTCCCATGAAGGACCCCAGGCCAGGATATCCGTCAGACATTCCAATCGTGTGGGATGATGGGGGTGGATGGCGAACATCTCCGCCAGACTGGGCCGTCTCGACGCCGCCAGTCGGGAACAAGGTGCGTTACCCACCCAGTTATGATCCTTGTTGTGTTCCGCATAGTCTGGATCGATATTTTGAATCTGACACCCGAGTCTCCTCAGTTCTGTGTTGCTCCATAGCGAAGGGTATCGCCATAAGCCTGCTGCGGCAAGATGGCGACAGAGTGGTAGAGGTTTTGTATCAGCCATCTCCAAATTCAAAACCTCCGGCGCTTTCAATGTGTCTAAGGTTGGGAAAATAAGAAAATGGCTTGCTGAAAGATGTTATTAGACATATTATGAGGACGTGAAAAGGAGAGTTCCTTCTTTGAAAGACCCCTTTGTTGGTTGTCCTTTCAAATTGATTTTTCTTTGTTCACAACGGGGACAAACATTCAAGTTGATCAACCTACAGTGCTTGAAAGGAATTTGGATTTGGATTTGGATTTGGATTTACTACTAGTGGACGTCTTTGTTGTGGCAGACAGATTATCAAATATATTTTGGTTGTTACTAATAGTACCGCCCGGATATCTTCCCATTTTAACACAACGGTTCAACGGACATATTTGAGAAAGAAAGAAAAGAGTTCTCTCGAGCATGCCATGAATCGTCTAGCCATCATCGACTAAACTAATCCGTACTCCCGCCAGCCCCATAGTGGTTGCGATTCGATCCATCCAGTCGGTAGTAGGGGATTGGCGCGTTTCTGGAGTGACTTGCGACTCGATCATCAGTCGTGATTGGCCCGTGGAGTCTGGGGAGCCTGGGGGCGTCAGAGGAGGCGAGTTGTTCTTGAAGCTTGCGCAGATCCCACGACTGCTATCAGAGCTAGAGCCAGAGCCAGAGCCAGAGGCCATTCGATCCGAAACCAAGCGGTTCTCGGCCTCGGCCGCACTCCGTTGAGATGGGTCAAGGAGGATTATAAGGTAATTTGACATTAGTATAGCTGAGCGGATGCCTTGAACGGATAGGGTGGAGAATCCGTCAAAGAAGAGATGGGGAAGGGGTCCGATGAAGCCGGTTTGAGGCTCCCGGCCCGCTCGTAGGGTGGAAACCGACATGCTGAACTCGGTATGAATTCCCCGCAAGGCTGCCCGCGTGGCGAGAACATCTCGGAGAAGGGCTGGCTGCTCTCGTTTCTGCGGGAGATCCTGTAGATCTCGCATGCGCTTCACGAACCCCGGCAGTTTGACCACCTGGCGAAAGGCCCGCTCTGTGATATCTGTGTAGACGGAGGAATCGGGCTGCTTGGCATTTTCGGCGGCGATCATTTCGTTCAGTTCTTGCCATTCGGGGTCCTCTAAGAAGCATGCCTCACCGGTGACTAGCGCTGCGGTCACCAGAGTGTTTCGGATCGCGATGTACAGCGCACACCCGAATCCTTGTAAGTGCGTCAGGGGCCCACGAAGTCGCATCATTGCCCGGATACCGGCAGCATGGTGGATCCACCCATCTGGGGTGGTGCAGGCGTGCATCTCAAAGACGGTCAGGGCAATGGCGGCGGAGAGCGCCTCGTCCGATTTGGCGGTCTCCACCTGATTCAAGAGGTTGGAGAGACCGCGGAGGGAACGGTGGTAGCATTCGCGACTGGCGTCCAGATACCGGGGATCCTTGTAGAGACTGCCCGTATAGATGGTGGTCAAGCTGCGGATGGCCCAGTCAAAGGGGGGAGTTCTTGATGGTGCACCTCCCACCGACATATTCGACCCAATTGATGGGAACTCTCGTTTCCGTGGCTTTGAAATAGCAGGGGTATGCGGCCATCACAAAGTTGGTATATAGCTGGGTTTGTTGCGCAGAGACGGTTTTCGCGACTAGCGAGGGCGCCACCCTATCGTCCAGGGGAAGGACGGCGACATAGCGCGCATCTGTCCGACCGGGACGAGAGACGAGAGAATCCGTACTGCCAGTGCTACTCGAGGTCGATGCGGAGTGAGCGGAGCGTGATCGAACTGGTAAGGGTGGGGTTTGCTGGTGCTGGTGTTGCGACCGGGGGAATCGACACGGTAGTTGGGCGTCATGACATTGCGAGCAAGGGGGAATTCCCATCACACTGGGGCCAAGTCAGATTAGAGTAGAGTTGAGTTGAGTTGAGTAGACAGAAGGGTCCACCTGATGAGGCTCTGCAGAAATGACACGGGTGGCGGGGATAGTGGGATACAAGGAAGAGCAAGGTAGCTAGAAGGAGAAAAGGAGGGGCCCACCTGGGGAGAGAGAGAAGAAGAGGCACATCGCAGACAGCGGCGAGGCGCTGGGACCATACTGGGTCACGGCATTGAGTATTAAATTGAGTGAAGGGGGTGGAGTGAAAGGGAGGAGAGTAGAAGAGTAGAAGAGAAGAAGAGTGGAAGAGGTGAAGAGGTGAAGAGTGGATGAGTGGAAGAGTAGAGGGAAGAGTTGAGTGGGGGCCATTTGGCACACAGTTGAGTAGAGTAGGAGAGTTCCCCAGTATCCATACAGTAGTAGTATAGAGATACATAGATACAGAGTATACTATTCAATAGATATTGGAACTTGAATAATATGAATAATGAATAATGAATAATATGCAGAGCAAAGACCGAATTCATGACAATTGCGCCAGACACTCCCAGATCGCTGCCTCCTATACCAATCCATCATACAGCGACAGTGCGCTGACAATCGTCTCGTCCCGTTTACTCCCTTCCTTGAACTCTTCAAGGTCCAGACTGCCATTCTCGTCCTTGTCCATCATTCGGAAGATCTTGCGCACCCGCTTCTCAGGGGTATCCTCGTCCTCGGGCAGCTTGACCATCGAGCCGACCTAGAGGAGTATATTGTTAGCATGATGGTTCTATGCTCCAGGGTATATATATAAATGAGACTCGGACACACCATCTTGTAGATCGCCTCGACAATGGCCAGCATCTCGTCGTAAGTGATCTTGCCATCCCCATCAATATCATACAGTTGGAAGGCCCAGTCCAGCTTGTCCTCCATCTTACCCCGCGACGTCACCGACAGGGCGCAGATGAACTCCTTGAAATCAATCATTCCACTGTTGTCCGAGTCGAACACCCGGAACACATAATTGGCAAAGGACGACGGATCTCCAAACGGGAAGAATTGTCGATAGATCTTCTGGAACTCCTCCTTGGTCAACGTGCCAGAAGGGCAGTCCTTGAGGAAACCTGATGATGATGACGCAGTGGCATTAGTCGGAGTAGGGAGAGAGAGAGAGAGAGAGGGAGGGAGGGAGGGAGAGATGCGGTGACGACCTACCTTTATACCATTGCTGCAACTCCTTCTTATCGAAATGGGTTGCTCTTTGCAACTCGTCCAGCTGGGTGGGCGAGAGCTTCGATTGCCTGAGAGATCGGAGAGAATTAGCACTGTCATCTGTCATGTATTCATAGTATAGACAATAGACGAAGGAGGTGGAAAAACATCCGCTCCACGCTGACAACCACCAAGTCCAGTGGGAGGTTCCAACCGCGCCCAGCAGGACAAATCATCCATTGTGCATTGTTCCAGATTGTTCGATTGTTCCGCGGTTCCGGCGCGTCGGAGATGGGAGGGGGGTCGCAGGACTTACGACTTGCCCATGATCAAACACCCGTCACTAAAATCGATCAAGACAGTTGGTAGCGCATGCACGTTGGCTCGGGGATCGGAGACTGCCTCGGGTTTTTTGTTTCCCCCTTGTAACTTTTTTCGTGTTCGGGTCCGGAGGAAACTAAGTTGACGCGCGGGGTAGAAATGGAATCGGGGGGAAATGTGTGGCTGAGTTGTGGCGGGGCGGGATTGCAAGGGACGAAGCACGCGATCGGTGGGGGGACAAGCGTCACAAGGAAGAGCAGGAAGAAGTCGGACTTGTGAGAAGTTCAAGTTGTAGGCAAAGTAGGGAGAGCTGCAAGGGGAAAAGCGGAGTGGAAGTGGAAGTGGAAGTGGCGAGGGAAGGGGAAGTCCAGAACGTCGGGGCATCGGGGGTGCCGGGCTTGGCGGTGGACACTACAGTACAGCGAGTATACAGTGAGTATACTCTTTACTCATTACTCATCTAGAATAAATTTGAAAATAACCTTTTAGGAAGATCCTTGCTATGAACATGCTATCAAGACACTCCGCTCCAATGATCGGAAAATAATCAAGTACGCAGACCCCTGGATGCACCACCAGATTCACCACTAATCCACCTTGATCGATCCGTAAATACGGTGGATAAATGCCCAGCTAGCAAAGAATCCAATCGAGCCTAATGCAAAGGGAAAAGAAAGACAATTAGCATGAGTTCAGGACCAGAGGAGGGAAGACAAACCCGTGAGAATGAAAACGACGAATCCAATCAGCGCCGAGTAGCCCACATAGAGCACCGCACCCGTCAGTCCACCAAAGCTCACCCGCGTCGCCCAGAAGATGAGTGCGTTGAGGAAAACATATCCTCCCGTCATACCGGCTCCGGCAAACGCGCGCCAGTGCCACCGGTAGTTCTCCGCGCAGAGCAGGAAGTACACCAGCAGGATCGTCGTGGCCGCGGAGGTGATAATCATCAGCCCGTAACACAGGAACAGGAAGCCAAACATGTAGTAAATCTTGTTGGTCCAGAGTGAAGTCATGATGAAATACAACTCAACAAAGATGGCCCCGAAAGGAAGAATGCCCGTCAGGAAAATAGAGGGAATCGTGCGGAGGCTTCCGGACATTATGGGCACCTGACGGGGAATTTGGTTGGTTTTGGTCGGGCCTTCAAGGGGCTAGATAAGGAGAGAAAGATCAGTATGAGCATCCGTGAGAGGAACATAAAAAGGACAGAAAGATAGGATGAAACATACTGCTTGACGGAATCCAATCCAACTACCAACCACACTTAGTGGGACACTGATCACAAACCAAATCAAAAGCAGCGCAAGCATCGTGCCAAAAGGAACAGCTCCACTAGAGCCCTTAGCCCAAACAAACAAATTCAGGAGGAAGAACACGCCGAAGATGAATCCCGGGATCAGCAGCGGAGTCATGACAATGTTGCGCTTCCATGCCTCGCCGCCAAAGGCCTTGTACACACGCGATGAAACATATCCACCAATTGCGCCGAAGACGGCGGAGATCAAGAGAATGGCAGTTGCCAGGAAACCGCGGTTGGCAGGGGAAAGAAGACCCAAGAGTGCAAAGACTGCAGAAGAGTTGGAGTTAGCCAGAGGCGCATATATCTTTTAAGCAGCGGTAGTAATGAGAATTAATGAGCAGTTAGTCACTTACCAACAGTCACACCAGTCATCATGAAGAGCTGAGCGCCATTGCCCAGAAGTACACTCAACAGCAGAGGAGACTTGGGACAACGGAATACATCGCCATGGACCAACTTCCATCCGGAATCTTCCTGGATACCGTCCTCGACCGCGGCCGAGGTGCCATTAAGATCGTCCAGGCTGTACTCGAGTCGATTGTAGCGCGCAATATCCTTCTTGAGAGCACGAACCAGAATCATGCTCACCATTCCAACAAGGAAGACGACAAAGACGGCAGAGTTGATCAGCGAGAACCAGTGAATCTTCGGGTCGTAGACATGCAGGTACTTGTCCCAACGGGTGGCCCAGGCGGTTCCCGATTCTCTCCAGATCACGCTGTAGGTCCAAGTAACGGTAGTATCCCCATCCTCGCTGAGAGTCAACGGCTCCCCACGAGTGCCACAGTTTGCGTCTTCCCCTTCGGCAGCCCCGGGACGGGCATCCTTGCGGCTATCGGGCTGAACGAGCACTCCGACGATGCGGTATTTGTCCTTGCCGCCGAAACCGACACGGTGATAATCGATGATAATGTCAAAGTGGTTGTTGAGCAAAGCGACACCATTTTCATCTAAACTTCCCAGGGCGAATCCCGGGTTGTAGAATTCCGTGCCAGTGTTGGCATCCAGGTTCAGCTGGGCCGCTGGCAGTCCGTCAATGAGCCAATTGATGTTGTATCCCTGAGCAATACGACGGTTGGTAAATTTGGCATCTCGGTCCTCGAATGTCACTTGCTCGCACATCGCTTGACACGTCTCATTTTTGGCCATATGGACCTCGAGTGGAGAGGTATAGATGCGGTCTCCAAAGAGAATGCTCCCAAGCGATTCTCTCACATCCTTATAGCCATCTTGAGGGCGACAGAAATGGAATGCCGTGTGGTAGTATTCGAATGAGAACACGGAATGAAGCTGGTCATCGCGCGATAGTCCGGGGGTCAAGCTGTTGACAAAGACCGGTACGGATTGATCCTTATCATAGGAGGTGGGAGCAACACCGGGAAGATAAAAGGCGGATGATAGAGAGGGTATCGCGAGGAGAGCCGATGCGAGGAGGGGAATTCGGTCGGAGAAACGCATGATGGGGGGGGGGTTCAGTTCAGCCTCATGTGTTTGTTCCCTTTCCCTGATTATGGAAATGTGAGATTAGTCGTTAAGCATGCAACGCGATCAGAACATTCCAATTGCAATGGTAGGAATATCCCGCATGGGCGTATGAGTGTGGGTGGGTGAGAGTGAGAGTGAGTTGAGGTTGAGAGTGATGTAGTTCAAGAAGAACAGAGTAGTTCATTTGGAGATGCGATTGCCCATGACGAGTGGCTGATGGCACGTGATGAGATAATACACAATAGTCACGTGGTGATAAGAGGAGCTGGTGTCTCCTTTAGGAAGGCGGAGAGATTGGAAAATTGCAATCTCAAAATTATTTCCATCTCCTCCGAATGCAAAGAAGAAGAAAAGTTACTCGGTTCTCTGTTTGTCGCTCTCCAACAGAACACCCACTATGGCTTCCACAGAGAATGCGCCAGCCCGCGCTCGGAATATATCTGCTCTTCTTGAGAATCTCAACTCATGCTTAACTACCGCTGGCTCATCTCTGCCCGTCGCCCACAAGGATGCCCCCTCCGACGTTTCGATTGAACCTCCGCAGGATGGCATCTCCCTCCTCGACGCCAAAAGCGAGATCCTTCTCTCCTACCTCCACAACCTCGTTTTCCTGATCATTTTTCAATTGCGACAAAGCTCTTCCAAACAGAGCTCGGATGCTGCCGACAACTCCCTCAGTGATGATGCAGTGAAAAAGCTCGTCGAACTCCGTGTGTTTTTGGATCGCGGTGTTCGTCCACTAGAGGGACGATTGAAGTACCAGGTGGATAAGGTGATCAAGGCAGCAGAGGATGCGGAGCGCACAGATCGCCCTGTCAAGTCAAACAAGCCGAAGCAGGCCAAGAAGGCCAAGGGCTCGGACAGTGAAGGCTCGGAGGACGAGAGTGGAAGTGATAACAGCGAGGACGAGGAAGACTTGGATGAGATGGCTTTCCGCCCCAACATTGGTGCATTCGCCAAGGCCAAGGCTGAGGCCCTACAAAACCAGACCAAGCCCACCAGGACTGCCCAGGACGCCGAGGACGCCCCCAACGATGGTATCTATCGGCCACCGAGGATCATGCCCACCGCACTCCCCAAAACAGAGACCGAACGCCGCGAACGTGAAGACCGCCGACCTAAGAGATCTAATGTTATCGACGAATTCGTCAGCGCCGAGATGTCGTCCGCCCCTATGGCTGAACCCAGTATCGGAAGTACGATTATCGACGGTGGTCGCCAGACCAAGTCCAAGCGGGACCGCGAGCGCGAGAACGAGCGAACCACATACGAAGAGTCCAACTTTGTCCGACTGCCCAAGGAGACCAAGAAGGATCTGGCGAAGCGACGCGGCGGCCACAAGGATTCTACCTTTGGCGGAGATGAATGGAAGGGGCTCACGGAGGGTGCCGACCGTATCGAACGTCTTACCCGGCGATCGAAGAATGGCGGTGCTGTGCTAGACAAGAGCCGTAAGAGAAAGGTGAACGAGCGCAGCGACGGTGCTGGCATGGGTGACATGTTCGACAAGCGCCGCAAGAAGATTGATACCTGGAAGCGGTAGATTTTGTGAGATGGCGACATTTCAAGTTGCGACATTATCATTATATTTCTTGTTCATTTTTGGGACCGGATTTCGAGTCTAGGATCATTCATCAACGGAGTTGGCATGGCATTCTCAAAAATCCATTTTCACACTGATACTATTTCAGTTCAAGTTCTTTTTACCGCATCAAATACCAATACAAATGCACTGTATAACATGCGTCTTCACCAATCCCATGCGACCGGTTCATCCTACCTAGTACTATTTACACACTGCCTTCTCTCAGGATTGATGATCTGCTCAGTGTTGACCACTTTATATCAGTAGTAGGTAGTAGTACTCCCTGCCTACCACATTGACTACACCAAGGCTTACATCATGTTGTATCTAGAATAACCTTGGAAATTTAAGTCTGCCATATAGAATAGTAGTAGACAGGTCCTACTAGTAGTAGTTTTGTCCAGTCACATTCACAATGGAACTATTGAAACCTGTAACTTTCACATGCCAATGGAATACTGGTATGATGTCATTGGACCTCCCAACTTGATCTTCCCGACTTTCCAACAACATACGACTACAACTACAACTTCCTTGAAACTTCAAACTTGAACTATACCCTCTCACCTCTTTGAATCAACATTATATCATGGAGAACCCAGGTCAGTTTGTCTCTCCTGAATAGAGCTTTAGGCTCACCTGGCTGATCACACTTGGGTGTATAGTGGAAGAGATCCCGGTGGTCATTCGTCTTCTAACCCAATCAACCCCTCTCTCTACAAGAGAAAGCTCTCCAGCGATACTTCACTCGGGATGCTTCGTTTGTGCATCCCTTTTGCCGTGTTCCCAGTTTCGAGGGGAGCAGGTGGTGGGTGCTGAAGATCTTCCAATGGTACAAGATTATGTCCCCTCGAATTGAGATGGAGATTCATTCGATTGGTTCGTGATTTTCCTCTTCCTCTTCGACATAACTATCTTGCATAGCTGTCTCTAGTTTTACCTGCTTCCTTCTCTCCTTCATTGAAAGGCCGAAAAGCGCTGACCGCCCTCCAGCTTTCGATGAGAAAAATCTCAAGCTCTACATTCACATGTCTCAAATCTTCACCATCTGGATCATTCCATTCCATGTCGCACCCGTGACATTGACAACTGTTTTGGATCTCACGACGGATGCCTCGAAGACCAATACCCCAAATACCAATGCCCCGACAAATGGCGATTGCACGTTGTACTACATCGCTAAACAAGAAGATCTCTACCAGACTTCGGAGTTTGTCAAATTTGTGGTACCGCATATTGGCAACTGGATAGTATTTACCTGGCATCTGATTGCAACATTCTTCTGCCTGCTGGGTGTCACAATTTTGTGGCCGATGCTCTGGTTGGAGGAGAAGGGTTACTTGCCCAGTCGGCTTGCGCACGGAGGAAACCTGGCCTATAGTATTCAGAACAAGATTCCGGAGATCAAAAACCATTAAGTTGGGGTGGGAGTTAGTTCTTTAGATGAGGTACATTGTTACTGGTTTTACGATATCCACTCAGTTCTTAGTTATTCGAAAGTTTCCCATGTCACACCATGCTATTTTCGATCCTTGAGCTTCCTAACAAGCAAGTACATAACATTCTATTTTCACGCTCAAATAAATTCTTCGTCAGGTTGTCGTGTTCAATTGCTGCCATTAATTCAGCTTCCGTTGCTTGAGCAGCTCCTGGCGGAACGAATTCTCTTGATCGACGACCATCAAGGGCAACGAGCGACCCAGGCCAAAGAAAACAAACAGGGCCCACTTCCACCGGAACGGATTGACGAGGAGCACGAAGAAGTACCAATAGATCAGCTCTGAATAGGTAAAGAAGTCAAATGCATTCGTCGGTGCCAGTCGCTTCATGAACCGGGTGAAATCAATCCAGGTTTTCATCCATCCTTCCGTAGGGCGCGTCAGGGGATCAGTCAAGAACATGATCAGGAATCGAGTGTATATGCCAATGTGCATGTTTCCAACAGTGCCAATGGCATTGACATAGGTGCTGTTATTGGCACAGACGTCTGGGTACTTCGGCGGGAAGACTTGCAGATACCAGTTGGGTGGTCCGTAGGGTTCTTCGAAGACTTCATCGGGCAGGAAAGTCAGAGAAGGTCTCTTAAATCCAGTAGCCATGACGATAATGTCCGCTTCAACCAGAGCTTCTTTTCCAGGTCCTCCTTTGGGAACTCCCTTCGCGCGGTGGTTGAAAAGGATCCCCTCTTCCTCCAGAGAGACAATATCACCACGCAGCCAGCGCGCTTTGCCCTCTCGGATCTGGTTAAAGAGCTCTGAATTGGCCATCGGGGTCTGTGTGAAGATTCCATCGTCGGTGGGGGCAATGTCTTGTAGGTCCCGGTAGAAGAACTTTCGTAGGAGCCACTCGGGAATCCAGGAAAGCGATGTCTCCTGTCCGAAGATGTTGAACGCTAACAAGGATTGCACCAATATGTTTCGAGGAATGATCCATTTCTCTGATCGGGACAGAACATCAATTTCACTTGCGCCTGCCTTGACGGCAAACTCGAGAGCTTCAATGGCACTGGCACCGCTGCCAACAATGACAATCTTCTTGCCCTTGGCATCTTTCCCATCGAGTTTGGAGGAGTGAAAGATCTGGCCCTTGAAATTATCTTGGTCGGGGAGCGTTGGCATCTTCGGATCCCCGCAGACACCAATGGCAGTGAGAACTCCATCGAAGCGACCGTACTCTTCTTCGTTGTTGTTGATAATCCACTGGCCATCCTTGGTCTTTTTGACGGAGGTGACAGGAGTGTCGAACACGGTGCGCCTCTCGAGATCGTAGCGCTTCCAGAGTTGAACAATCTGGTCTTTGATCTGCTTCTGACTTGGGTAGGCACTGTCGTAGTGGACGGAGGGATGGAACCGGTACATCAGACTGTGCACCTGAAGTGCGGAGGTGGAATTGACTCTCTGTTTCGAATTAATATTCTGGGGCTAGTAGAGTCCCATCTGGTAGAAAAGGGAACATACACTCCAGATTCCACCAAGACCCTGGTCTTGAGGCCTAGACTCAAAGATCTGCACATCAAGGCCATGACCAACACAATGGGCCGCCGAAGAGATTCCCGTCACACCGGCGCCAATCACAGCGACCTTCCTTTTGGGCACATCCTTTTTATCGCCTGTCGTTGGAGGAGGGGGAACAGGGGAGAAAATGTATCTCAGAACTGCCTGAAGAATTAGATAGAACCAGGTAAAGGTCTCGACGAATGGGTGCCGTATAATGGCGGGGATGGAGGATTGCGTCGCCATTGGGGCGTTTAAGGAGAAAGATAGAAAAGAAAGAGGAAAGAAGAACGAGAAGGCAGTCCTCGTTCTTGTACTCCTGTATTCCTAGGATTTTGGACCAAATGGCGTGACGTGATCAGTGGAGCAAGCAATAAGGAACAAGTTAAGACGTTTTGAGATTTTTGTGGTTTGATTTCATGTGATTGTGGTTGACGCCATGATGTCATGGCATGTGAGAAGGGGAGAATACAGGATACAGTGACCAATAGATACCGAAATGGGTGAAGCTGGTATAAATGGACTGTGAGACATTATAGATATGTGTATATTATATTACTATCACTGTTGGCAATGTATGTCATGCTGCATGCATTTGTTGATCTGCAGCTGTAGTACTACTGTAGTACATCTACTACAATTCACTTCTCTAAAAGCACTGGCACCGGCTACGCACAGCCGCAAACTAAGTAACCCCTGTTCTTCTACATAGTACTACATCCATTGATTCAGTTTACCTAGTAAATGAACGTATATTTCCCCCAGAATATACCCTGAAATTATATTCAAGTTCAACTTTACCACTTGAGCGTCTGTATACTTCGGGCGGTGAATGGCCTAGACAGAATTCTGCCGTGTCCCATCGACCTTCCAAGTTACCTTCGAAGCTTCGGAGTCGCGACTCTCCTAACTTCAGACATCGGGGCCACATAACACCGTGACATAAGATGTACTGACCTCATCTGATCGTGTCGAAATGATCTGCACTTCACATTTGAACTGATTATTTGGAAATCGCTCGACCTCCTTCCGACCTCCCATCCTCCCATCCTCCTCCCATCCTCCCCGCAGTTCTGCGCGACCATGGCTGCCACGCCCATTCTCGACCAATTCCTCGGCAGCGTGGCCGATCTGATTCAGAAACGTGATGGAGCTAAACTTCAAGACTTCCTCCAGATTGAGCCGCCCCTTTCAGACATCTATCAGCAGATGATTACAGAGTTGCGCCAGCGATACCCACCTGGTTCCCAGAGCGACACTGTGCTTCAGCAGCGCTGCGAAGTCTTGGTCCCTAAGACCAAGGGTGGCTCATCATGGTCGGCTTTTCCCACATTTATGCGACTTTACTTCACCTTCATGCGTGATGTGAATGTCGAAAATCTACTCGAGACCTACAACCTACTGAAGACGCTCTTAAAGTGAGAGATCCTGGACAACCGAATGATACTATGATCCTATGATCCTATGAACCCGTGAACTCCATCGCTGATACTGCTGCCTCCCTCCGAATATAGTCAATGTGTTCTCGCCCTTGGTGATAGTCAAATGGGAGTTGTCGTTCTCCCCACCGTTTTGTACCTGTCGAAGGTATTGGCAAAATTAGCCATGGGATTGGACCGGCGCCCCGAATTGATCGCCCATATCCTCCGGATGGAAGGTGGAAATGATCAGGAAAGTGTTGAGAAAGTTACTCTCGTGGAAAAGTCGGCCAATGTGGTGCGCGAGGCTTTCATCAAATGTCTGACCGACCGTAGCGGCACGCCAGGCCCACAGGCGAAGCCTGAGGGCAAGAGGAAGGGGATATATTTGATGGCCAACTTGTGCCTGAAGCTACTTTTCCAGGTCTGTCTCTGTCTGTTTACACGTCATAGCTCTTACAACTAACACGAATACAGTGTGGAAAACTGCGCAATGCTGAGCAGATGTTTTCCAGTATCAGTGCCCAGTCTCCTCCACTGGCTCACTTTCCCGCCTCGCAGCGTGTCACATATCTTTACTACCTCGGCCGTTATCTTTTCTCCAACAACCTCTTCTACCCCGCACAAATCGCCTTACAGTCCGCCTACGATCAATGCCATCGTGAAGCACTCAGCCAGCGAAACTTGATCCTCACATATCTGATTCCGTGCAACATCGTTATGGGACGGTTTCCATCGCGACAACTTCTACAACGACCGGAAGCTCGGGGCCTGGCGGAAAACTTTGACCCATTGTGCCGCTTGATTATTCGTGGAGACTATTTGGCATTTCGCGAGCACCTTGCAGTCAAATCTCCGAGTGCTCAGTGGTTCGCGCGCAAAGGTCTCCTGCTCACACTGCGTAACAGATGCGAAATTCTCGTATGGCGCTCCTTTTGCCGCAAGGTATTCATACATGGGGGATATCTTGGGGATCCGCAAGCGCAGGCGCAGCGTGGTCCCCCGCCATTCCTATATCTTCAAAAATTGCTTGATGCCACCCGCTGGCTGCAACAACAACACAACGTACAAACCGTGAAAGGGAACGTCAACGGCCATACCGGAGCAGAGTCCCACGAGTATGGTTCTCAGACCCTTTCGCACGCGACAGACCCTGAATACTCCGGCCTTGCTGATCCAGATGCCGTGCTGGCCCCGGACACCGACCATGAAATTCTTGAAAAATACGGTGACTATCTAGCATCAGATGGATACTTCGATGAGGGAGGCAACTGGCAAGATAACACTCCTGGGAATCTGATTGACGGAAATCCCGAAACGGATTACGAAGGATGTGAATTCGATCCATATGCCGATTCAGGCTACGGGGATGAAGAAGATCAATCATCACTGCTCATGCAGGAGATTGAGTCTATCCTTGCGTCATTATTGACACAAGGCCTCCTGCGTGGCTATCTTACCCACCGCAATCCCCGATTTGCCATTCCCGGTGCTCGTGTACGCGGTGCCCTCCCGACTGGTTTTCCCAACGTTTGGCATACCATCTCTTCGCGCGAGAAGGAAGATTCCCACGTTCCTGGATGGGTGCGGATCCGGGAACCGACCGGATTGGGCGCTGCTGCTGCGCTGGGAGGAGGTGGTCGAGTGGTCAACTTGGCTGGGGCGCGGCCGGTGGGAGCCCAATAAGCTCGAAAGGAACCTTTTCGGCGTGGTTTCGATGAACCTGGCGTGTATGATTGTTTTTTTGGGGGGGTTTTTTTTTTTGAAGATACCTATAACTCATTTTCATGTACAATAAATAGCGTTTCTCGAGTGTATTAATTGATGATCGACATCTATCGTCTAGCTTCTAAACTTTCAAAACAGCCATGCTACTAGAGCCCTGCTCTCTAACATATGGAACAAGAATAAAATCTAGTTTTCTTAGCTCTCAAAGCCTGGGTCGCACGATCTCTGGCCGCCACATATCGTTCAGCAGTCGAGTTGTGTTGACCATCTCTGGCCGAAGCTGGTCGAGCGATGAAACTCCAAGCATCTTCATGGTGATTTCAACTTCCTCGGCGAGGACTGCAAAGCAGGTTAGTTTCCAATGATTCAAATCATATTCAAGGGCATATCTTACCATCCGTGCATTTCTCAATTCCCTCCATTCCGTATGCCGCCATCGCATAAAAGTACGGCCTTCCAACACCGACGGCCGTCGCTCCCAAGCACAAAGCCTTGAGCACATCTGCTCCATCTCGAAGTCCGCCGTCTAGGAAGACTTCCAACTTGTCCAGAGCCTCGGGGTAGTAAGTTCGGATCTCCAATAGCGTCATCAAGGCGCTCGGGGCCGAGTGAATCTGGCGTCCACCATGATTGCTCAGCAGCACTCCCTGGACGCCGTATTCCACAGCAATCTTGACATCCTCGACAGTCTGGATTCCCTTTAATACAATTGGACCGGTCCATTCCTGCTTGATCCACGCCAGATCCTCCCAGCTTAGTCCTGGATCTAGATAGCCCGGCACTGGTCGTCCTCCGAAAGCCGGGCTGAACTCATTCTCTGCCGCAGCCTCTCGTTCTTTCGCACCTTGATCCAAGGCCTCTTGAGCTTGCAGATATCGGTCGGCAGTACGCTTGCCCAGAACGGATGTGTCTACGGTGATCCATAAACTCTGGTATCCCGCAGCTTTGACACGTCGAATCAAAGATAGAGCCTTGGACCGATCGACAGGGAGATATAGTTGAAATGCCAACTTGGAAGGGCTTTGGTTATTCAGAAGGTTCTGCTCCTCTTGATGCGCATCCATGATTTCCTCGAGTGGTTTGCTTGTTGCTGTGCTCACCACCATATGTAATCCTTTGCGTGTCGAGCCCCGGGCAAGTAGTGGCTCTGCACCGGGATGTGCGTTTCCCAGAGTGCCCATCGCGGAGACGAAGAAGGGCAATTGACTTGTCTGTCCCAGAATCGCCCGATTTGTGTTTATTGAGCTCACACTTCGCATGATGCGTGGGCGGAAATTGATTCGTGACCAATCATCCAGATTCGCCTTCAGTGACAGACCCGAGGCCGCACTACTGGAGACATAGACCCATGATTTCTTCGAGAGAACCTCCCTTGCAGGAGCTTCAAAGTCCTCCGTGGTGACACATAGGGCCAGATTGGTGGATGGTTTCTTTGTAGTAGTAGTACTTGTCATGGTTGCTAGTAGGTGATTTAAGATGATGGACTGTAACAGATCAGAGTGGAGATGAGGGAAGCGGGTTTTCATTTTATTATATCCTAATATTCATCGTATATCAAGTCCCGATCTTCAATTCCTATTATCTGTATGATGGCTGCCAGTGGACATAGGAACCCGAGTCCCGATCTTTGTTCCCGATGTTTTCTCGGCTTCATCCACTTCCTCCCCCGTCGGCTATCGCCCGTTCGGGATTCAAGCCGATCGGCCACTTGCTGGTCTCGGTCATCTTGTCGGTCCCCCATGATTGGTGGGAAATCCATCTAAACTCCAAGCATGCTTCGGCTTTGTTCTTTACCGGGCAAAAAACCGACGATCTGACTCCGGGGCCCCGCCTCCAGAGTCACGCCAGCTGCCCACGAGATACCCCAGACACGCCGTCCTGGGGGTCTTTAAGGTGCGGTTCCCCGACACGGCCGAGAAGATCACTGCAAGGGACACCTTAAAATATCGCTCGTGGTGCCACTCGGTAACCTATTTTTCCATCTGATCGGCAATTGATCGGTCTTTGAATTTTCCTCCCAAGCAGCTGAGTATAGCGGTGACGAACGATGGTCTTCCGAGCTGTGGAAGATCGGCCCACGCCGAAGGAAGTGTACAATTGGCGCTTGTACATTGAGGCTATGGTCATTGCCACCGGTTCTTTGCTGTAAGCGCCTGTTCCTGGTGAACCTCTCGGTGTTCTCTCCGCTGACACGAAACTATCAATCAATCAGCTTTGGTTACGATTCGGCATTTGTTGGCACTACCATCTCGCGCGAAAGTTTCCTCACAGACTTTGGTATTACAGCCGCGAACAGCAGCGCAATCTCAAGTAACATCACCTCTGTCTTCCAAGCGGGAGCTTTCTTTGGGGCGATCTTTTGCTTTTTCTGTCAGTCTCATCTCTCAAGTCGTCATATCCGTTCATGACATCGAAATACTAGTAATGTCGGATCGCTAACACAATGCAGTCACGGAACGACTAGGTCGAAAATGGGCTCTGCAGATCAATGTTTTCATTTTTATCATTGGAGCAGTGCTGATGACCGCTGCTTCTCATCAACTTGGCCTAATTTGTAAGTTTCATCCCCCATTGATTGGTACATGCATAAGATACTGATGAGATATCTACCTCCCAGATGCTGGCCGCGTTTTGACTGGAGTTGGATGCGGTGCAATAACTGCAACAGTGCCTAGCTACATCGCTGAATTGTCGATTCCCTCGATCCGCGGTATTTTGACAGGATTCTTCGAATGCGCCTATCAGATCGGCTCCCTGATTGGTTTTTGGATCAATTATGGTATCACACAAAACATGTCGGCCACGAGCTCCACCAGCTGGAGAGTTCCTATGGCCGTACAGCTTATCCCAGGCTGTATCCTTCTCGTTGGTGGCTTCTTTCTTCACGAGTCCCCCCTTTGGCTCATGCGCAAAGAACGCCATGCCGAGGCGCATCAAGCATTGGAAACATTGCGCAAACTTCCGATCGAGCACGAATATCTCCAACAGGAAGTTCGTCTCATTCAGAATCGTTTGAATGAAGAGGCAAGTGTCGCTAGCAAGTACGGGACCGGATCTTGGGCATTCTTCCGGGGCGCGATGGACGAATTTTCTCGACGAGGCATGCGGAATCGCGTCTTCCTCGTTTTCTGTTCCTTTGCTCTGCAAAATTTTGCTGGTGCCGCAGGTATGTATAGCTCATTCAAAATGTTGAACAGTTGCTAATTGTCATGCAGCAATCAATTACTACTCCCCTACTCTGTTCACGTCCATTGGAATCAAGGATACATCGCTCTACACTGGAATCTACGGATTGGTGAAAGCAGTAGCATCGCTCATTTTCTACATCTTTCTGATTGACAGTATTGGTCGCCGCCGGCCGGTCATAGTATCCTCTGTGGTTTGCTCTCTCTGCTTATGGTATATTGGTGCCTACGTGAAGGTCGCCAATCCTGCGGCAGCCATCAAAGCCGGAGATGCCCTGTCAGACTCCACGACCCGTGGTGGACAAGCAGCGACGGCAATGATTATGGTATATGCTGTATTCTGGTCATTTGGCCTGAATGGTATTCCATGGATTGTTTCAGCCGAAATCTTCCCTGGGGCACTACGAAATTTCTCTGGTACCTGGGCCGCTCTTGTCCAGTGGCTCACTCAATTCATCATCAGCAAGTGCCTACCATACATTTTCAAATCCTTTGGATATGGGACATGGTTCTTTTTCGCGAGTATTCTCATTATCGCAACAATCTGGGCATTCTTCTTCCTCCCGGAGACCAAGGGCTTGACCATCGAGCAAATGGATATGATCTTGTATGTTTTGAACAACTCGTATATCAGACTCCCACTAACAACACTTTTAGTGGCTATAATCAACCCGGACATCGTGGTATTCCTCACACACGTGTTACCAAAGCGCAACTTGCAGCAGTTACAGTTGTCAATTCAGCCAAATCCGGCCAGACAGAACATCATGAAGAAGTTTGAAGACGTCTCTTGTGCTCTTGGGATTGGTCGTGTGGCTCTGGTGTGACCCCACAAATTTGCAAAGAAAAAAAAAAAAAAAAAAAGAAATTGTATAGTAACTAGGCTCATACACTGCCAATGGAATTTATCATATTGAAACCTACCTGGAACATAAAAACAACGATTCTAATTGATCAGTAGACACACTAACCTCAGAAGACAATGACCACAAGAATTTTCTGGAGGCCATTACTAGCGATTACGTTCTCGAGGCTGCAAGAAAATGATAACATTAAGATCAAATAAACACACAGATAGGTTCTCAAAGTACAAGATAGTGGGTAGCTAAGAAGTGATAATCATCCATTTCTCAACACTACCTCAATCATCTTTCCGTCATGAGCTAAACATTAAAACCTAATCATGCCATTATTAATCACTCATTTCTAAGGGAAAGTTCTTAATTACTCACATCATCATCATCATTGAATCCTGAGCATTCGTTGGTTTATCGGTAGGTTTTGCAACTCGCATCGAGGCAGAGGAGGTTGGAGTGGCCTCGGCCGTCGGGGTGGATCGCTTCATTGACATTGTCATAGATGACATGGACATGGACGAGCTAGAGGGTTGCTCCATGTTCTGAATAATACTGTTAGAATAATCCGAGAGTGGTATAAATATGGGAGCTCGAGGGGAATTATTTACTGCATGGTGGTGCTGCGAAATCATGTTAGTTCTGTCATGGCATTCGGGTGATTTTTAATCTCACCTCTTGGTTCCCTCCATGAGGCATGGCAAGTGCCGCGGCCGCAAAACTGGCATAAATAATGTGAAAGCGCATTTTGTGTTTCTATTAGTTTGTCGGGGCTTGGTCTTGCGGGTTGTCGAAAATAGAAGTATACTCTGTGTTGATGGCAGGTCAAGTTGTTAGTAGTTGCCGAATGCTACTAGTATCCTGTGATGGAGCCTCTACTAGGCCTTTGAACGCCCTTTTATATTTCCATCTCATACCGGAAAAGACATATCTACATTGCATCATCTCTTGCATACCTACCTACGTGTCAAGGTGAGAAGTAATTGCCTTGTGTACATAGGGAAGCACCAATGAAATTTTCCCTAGTTTCTACATAGATGCAGAGACCAGGCTCGCCAGCTACGATAGATGCAGTCCGCATGAGTTTCTAGTGCCCATTGAGGCCATGGTGATGTCAGTGGAATGCGGGGTGCCAGTCACTACATACTCGGTGACACACATACATTCCACTGGAAGTCGCTGATGCTTCTTGACCCGTATGGGTAGCAAGGAGTACTAACTAAGTCACCTACTAGTAAAGAGTGAATTGGAAAGGTACCAGAATTATTCCAAACTAATATAAGAATTTAGTCTTATAATTTTGAGTCTATTTCCGTGCACCCTCGCCGAGAATGGTACCAAGAAGGGGAAATTTAGTTAGGTATCATGTCTGTTCTGGAAGCTCTTCCGCCCTTGACTATACTACTAGTAGTAGCTCATGTAGGTGATGAGCATCAAACACATACTAGTACTAGACAGCATCGTGAAGCTCAGCTTATTCGATCATGTGGCCATGCTGAGAGCCATATGGTAGTTAGATATCTTGATGCTTCCTGCATGACTTACATGCGTTCTGTACTGTGTATAGGGCAAGGGCATACCGTTGTGGCAAAAAGTAACCCGGTAGTCAGTCCTTAATGACGCATCAAAATCGCGGAAATAGCAAGACCCTGGAAAGAATTAAACTATCTATACCATGCAATAGGTGAGAAGATGACGAGGTAATAATTCCAGTTGACATGCACACATTCTTCGCAAGGTGATCAGACTGACGAAGGAGGCCTGTGCTCAATAGTGAGTTCAAGGAAAGCGGTCGCGAATGTCGTCAGCTATGAAGAAGGTTATGATACCAGGAGGAAGGCAAAACTACCACATCACTCGACACAGCAGATAAAACCCGCCTATGATGAATGGTTTCATAAATTGTTTAAAAAGGAAATATCCCAGTATCGTTTCGAGGCCATTAGAATCATTGAACTGATTCACAAACAACAATTGAAAATGTAGCATAACTATAAAGCAATTACGATAAAGCAATCAATGAAGAGCAGTAGTGCAAAAGTATGAGTGTAAAAGTCTGAGATGATTTCCAACTCCTCAAGCCCCTCCTCCTCCTCCTCCTCCTCCTCCTCCTCCTCCTCCTCCTCCTCCTCCTCCTCCTCCGGCTGCTCCTGCTTCTCCCGGACGTGGACCTCTTCCTCCTGGCAGTGGTGCGTGCAGGGGTCCCGGGAAATGAGGATTGGCGAAGTATAAAGTGTCTCGATTCATTGCCCATTCAGGCAGACCACGCCACCCAGTTCTTGTATTCATCAATGGAATTCTCAGCTCGTCGGCTGTTGTATTGGCTTGATTTCGGGTTGGCAAAATTTCAGCTAGTTTACCAGCATTACTTGCGATACCCAGCCGATACGGCCTCTGAGGCGCTGATCCAACGTAAAACATGCGCCGTAAGTATGGCCCCCCCGATTCTTTCTTTTCCGCGGCGCGCTCCCTCCATAACATGTACAGGCCATCTAGCAAACTCTGTTGCCACGGTGTTTGGGGGCACAACATATGCGACTTCTAACATGACGGTATAACTTCGACTACGCATATTGTTTATTCCTCGAATCATCGACTGGTTCAACATTGGTATAACCCCCCGCTCGTTTTCAGATATTAAAGCCAAGTCGTCCTCGTATATCATTAAAACTTCAGCTCCTGTATCTTCAATGACTGATAGATTGATTCCTATGGCTGTGCTTGCAGTACCGATAGATCCTGGACGTTTAAATTGCAACATGTACTATATCAAAATCATGAGCACTCAAATCTTCGAGGATTCAAATAATGAAAGAAATTGGAAAAATACCCAGGAGCAGAACATACTGAACAGTATCAAGCCGGGTCATTTCCCTGCGGAAGCGTATGACCAATAGCTGGCGATGCGGAAAAGTCCCCGGGATTATCATGCTATAAAACCGAACAGCATTTAGTGCTCAATTCGACATCGGGTAGAGAAATTAATTAGATGGAGCCCTCACAATTTCTGCCCAGAATCCCTTTGGACCATCATGCTCTGAATGCAACAAGAGAAATTCGTCGACATCAAATTCCTTCGGGCCACAGAGGAACTTGCCATTCGACCAATATGTAACTTTACCATAGTCCCACACATAGCCACCTGCGCGGTAATCTTTCATGATGGCGTCAATGTTCGGAATTGCGTTGTACTTGTCATCGGCTTGGAGCAAACTACTTTTCACCGTCTCCAGTCTTTTCAGGCGTATAACCACCTCGAAACTAAGCCCCGCGGGCTCGCTACCCATCAAGTTCTCGTAATCCTTCTTCCGCTTTTCATATTGTTCTAGCTTCTCTTCCCACCACTGGGGCATAATTCCATCGCGTATCCTGTCGTTACATCTTTGAATCATGGCTTCGATATCGCTGATTTGGGGTGGTTAGTGACGCAGACTCGAATAGATACAAGGATGATAGTATCTTACTCTTCATGTACATCTGTGTCATTGGGGTCCCAATCTCCAGGTGCATTTTCACGTCTTCTAATCACGGTCCCTGGGTTAGAATTTGGGGTTTAAGTGGAGGGATCTCATCATCAGCCTTTCTGAATTTGCGTATCTCTTATTCTTCAGGCTCGTCTGTTTTTCTTTTTCTTATCAGGCCGCGTAGAGCAGTCTGTACTCTGTCTCTTTTGCGACATTTTCCTTTCTTAACTTCCTTGCCCTTATTTATTGACCCATTCAAGTTACTGGCGCGGCCCTCCTTTTTAGATCCATTGCTGGCGCGGTGGTCAGCCATGTTTCCACTGAATGTATATTAACACTTTGCTCTGCAATTCAGTCAAATATACTAGTAGATGGAAGCCCGGAGAGTGATCCTTTCTAAGTTATGGTGAAATCTCGATGTGTGAAAGTTCTGGAAGTTGCCCCTGGCAAAGATTTATTTAAGGAAAACTTTCATTTAACAGTAAGAGTATTAAGCTCAAAGAAGAACGGAAGATTTTGGCTGATTGGCTCGAGAAGGCCAAAGAGCCCTTTGAATTGTATTTCGAGGCTTTGATCCTTCTGGGAGGTGGCTGAGGGTTTATTGAAAGGATTATCCGATCTTCGATGAATTTCTTTGACAGGCAGATATTATTTCTCGTTACTTCGGCTTTGGATCACATCAAGTAAATATCCGCAAACGAGTTATTGATTCTAACACTAACTAAGAGTAAGTACTAGTGTATTATTACTAAGAGTGCGCAAATCTGCCACAACTATTGTAGGCAATGTGAAACCGCTGGCGAAGAACTTGAATAGGTCTGACAAAGAGAAATGATGGTAGATTGACTAGATCCACAACTATGTGGACTATCTAATGATAGGAAGACTTATAGTCAAACTCAAACTCATTTTTCAATGGCCTTTGAATAGATAAAATCATACACTGTTGCCTATACAGGACTGGTCTCGCATGGCGGAGTGAGGTCGGCCCTAGCGCTTTGCCTTTTTCACAAATGCGGAAACCTTTCAATACCGAAATGAAAGGCAAGATGACTTGATCAATGAAGAAAACCGAGCACTAGCTATATGCAACATGTAGCCTTCCACAGATGAAGGCAGCCCCATTGCTTGCCATAAGATATTGACGTTATCGTCTACTCTAAATGGAAATCTACGAGTCACATTTCAGAACCGCAGGTGACAACAGAATTCTTTGGGTTGATCCCATGCTATTCGACACGCACCCTCGCGGCCTTTAATGCCAATATGTGGGTATATCTAGAATTTCCTGAGGGGTTGGGTTATTACAATAAAAGTAATTCTGGGATCGGCATTCTATACGAAGCTGAATCAACGATCGGCGTTTGTTCATGCATGCAACAGCGATCGATCCTCGTATCCACGCCTCGTATTCATGCGCTATGGTTGGGTGATACTGCACCCCGTTATAGTTAAAGATGCCAGTTTCATACGAATAAAGATGAACTTCGAGTCTAGGTTTCATAATACCTATTGCTAAAAACATTGATTTCTACGTATTGAGGCTACCTTTATATCATTTGTTAGTAGATGTTTTTGTATTATGGAATTCCCTACTGGTCTCTCAAACAGCAGCATACAGACTAACACCGTAGAGACAGAAATGCTTAACCAGTCCAACAGGTACAGCTAGGGAATAAGTCCCCAAACCCCGGTGGTACCTCGTATTTAATAACATTCTACAAGCCTTGCTTATTCACATTTGCAATCAGGTTGCACTGCAAATTCACAGCGACTATCTTGAATCGGTTACGGGGAAATGCGACTCCAAAACCCTAATTGTGTTGGACTTCGTATTAAGCTTGGCATAATTGATTCTGATCTTTGCTTTACCATTTGATTGGGCTAAAAAGCCTAAGGATCACGCAGCCTCGTGGGAAATTGCTTTGGTTGTTGCCTCCATCAATCCATATTTCCGACTGTGATCCGTATGCGAAGGCATGGCTAGGCATCCAGATACGAGTTGGAATGCGACTAACTACATGCAATCCTATCAACTGATGAACCAAGGGGTGGCTTCATGATTTGATTGAAGATCTTGCAGCCGCAATGATCGACACGCCATGCGCTGTATGATTGGCGATTTAGGAACAACCAGATATTGCTGCAGCTCTGATCTTCTCAATACGAGGGCGCCTCACTCAAAACGCAGCTGTTCGCGCCCGGAGATCACTATTTTAAGATACGAATTTCTACATACTCCATAGTCCGGATTCACAAAACTATTTAAAGGCATTGCTCATCCCAGTTCTGGGAGTTCTTCAGCTACAGCATTACAAATTCCGATTGAGCATCTTCACAAACAACGCACTTTTTTCAAAGAGTCTTTTTGAAGTTTCATCAATCTTCACAACAGCAAATTCCATCATGAAGGCCTTTATTCCAGTTGTTTTAGCCGTCTTCGGGTAGACCTCCCCCCTCAAAATATCTTGAGATGCCAATGCTGATAAAGCTCCTAGCCTGGCCACTCAAGGCTATGCGGTCTCTTGTCAGTCCCAAGGTGGCAGCTGCTACGCCGGTGGGGAAAGTGACTGTCCAGCCAACACGCACAGCGTGTTTTGGGATAGTGGTTGCTCCGAGTCCCACTGGCCTTGGACAGACGACGATAGATGCTGCGTCCCCAACTAAGCAGTGAAGTGCTATTACCCGAAGTGGAGGTTTCTGGGAAAATAAGTGGAGAGGGGAAACTGGGGATTTCTTGATGACGAGGATTTGCATTCAGTGCATTTATGCTCGGACAATCGTTTTGGCAATTCTCGCAATCGCAATTCTTTCTTCTACTTCAGAGAGTTTGATAGAAATAAAGGACAAGTCATCCCCGAAGCTTTCGTCCCGGTTGGAGTTGAGTAAGTTCAACAGAGTTCAACAGTCCATGGTCATGTAGGTGCACATACGAGTGGTATTGGAGAGGCCCTTGTTCTTGACAAACCTGGCGGCTGTGGAGCCGACATTAGAATTGGGCTTGGGCAACTTAGTTTAGTCAGATATTCCAAGGCTAGAATGGCTGGTTCGATTGGTACTAAAGGGATGCCTGTTTCTTAGTGGCTACGCGAATGGAAAGATTCGCGGAAACGGATCCAGCGAGATTATGTGGTGTCACTCAAATGAGGGCTTAGGTCGGAAGTATTTCGGAGTTGCATTAGTCGAGTAATTGTGAAGTGGTGGGGTTCTTGGGGCTTTACCCAAAGCTACTAGTAACTATTACTAGTAGCTAGTTATGCCTAGGTATGTAGTTAGAATTTATGTACTATAAGTAGCCATAATGATATAGGTGCCGCCTATCTCGGGGCCTCCTGCCCTGCTGGTTAAAAGAGTAGTAGCCAAACTTGAATAACTACTCGTAGTAAATAAATAACTAGTATGTACATACTACTACTCATACTACTCATACTACTCGTACTACTCAGTCTTAGTCCGTGAAATAGCCCCACGTCATTGTAGCATGAAGGTTCTGCTGTCCAGTCAGGTGGGGAATGTCCGCCATGTGACAGAATAATTTGATTGAGAATTATACGGAGTCGCATCATTCAGAAATTCCATTTATCGGGGAGACCAGTACTACTGGCATTCCACTGATTTATTGATTTATTGATTCATTGATTCACTGATTGCAAGTTAGGGCAGGCTTACTTAAGCAGCATCACATGCGCGGCCGCTTTTACTTTTGCCTTTTTTTGCGCGTCTCCAACTTTTGCTTTTGCTTGTGCTTGTGCTTCGACTTGATCTCTTTGTTCCGGCCCTTTTGCTACATCGTGCCGGGCATGTCCTTCTAATAAAATACTACTCGAGGTCTTTACCCTTGACCTGAGATCGATCTCTCAAGATGGGTGAGGCGGCTTTCCCCAAGCTGTCTCCTCTCTGTCTAACTCCCCCCCCCCACCTCCTTCACATCAGTCGACAGCTGAATCGCCGCCCATTGTCTTTATTGCCAGGTATGTGGGGAGACTACAACTATTCAAGAATTTCGAAATCGCTAAACTCGCCTCTTTCTAGACATGGAGCGCGCCTCGATGCCGCAGATAAGGATTGGCATTTAACCTCTCCAACTCCCTACGATCCTCCTCTCTCGTACGGCGGCTGGCTCCAGGCTCGGGCCCTCGGTGTTCGCATCGCAAGTCTTTTACAAGCCTCTGAATATACAGGAACAGGTCCAGAAAACCGACCGGGTCCACCCCCGGTGCCAGACCTCCCGGCGCAACTCCAACCCTCTTCCGCGGAATCAGAATCCGACCTCTACGATCGATACAATGTCGTCATCCATACCTCCCCATTCCTACGGTGTCTCCAAACTTCAATAGCTGTTGGTGCAGGTATCAATCAGTTTCGATCGGGCTCCGAGGCAGAAGATGACCTTAGTGCCGCACCTCTGCCGATGATGGAAACTACCGCTTCCGACCCTCGGACCTTACTCCGCGTCGACGCCTTTTTAGGCGAATGGCTGTCACCCGACTACTTTGATCAAATCACCCCGCCTCCAGCCTCGGACCGAATGGTGGCTTTAGCGAAAGCAGAGTTACTTCGTCGTGGCGATATTATCTTCACACCGAGAGAGGGAACCAGAGCCTTGTCGGGCCACTTCCCTGGTGGCTGGGGTAGCCAGTCCGATCCACCATCCCCTAACGAGAATGATGAGCACCACCTACAATCACTAGGGTCCTCGGCCATCCTAGGGTCATCGGGGTCGCGACAAAGGGCCAATAGCGACAGTCTACAGAATCCTACTAAGCCCAACGGCGTATCGAAAAGGTTAGGTCGGTTGTACACGGATCTACCAGCTATTGCGGATTCTGCCTATGTGCCGCCGACGCCGAGCTATGCTGTTTCCCCCTCGGATCCAATTCCAGCTGGATACGTGGCCCATGCGCGGGACGCTTGCACAAAGGTTGATTATATGTGGGATAGCATGCGGGCGCCGTTCTGGGGTACTGGTGGCGATTACGGCGAGGAATGGAGCAGCATGCATGATCGAGTGCGTAACGGATTTCGACAGATGGTCGACTGGTACCGACAACCCAAAAATTCCCCCATGGAGCTATCTCGGGCAACTTCTCATGGCTTTACACGCAAGAATCGAAATGCCCAGACGGTGCTGATCATCATCACCCACGGGGCTGACTGCAATGCCTTGATCAGCTCAATTGCCGGTCATTCGGCCTTGCTCGATATCAACACGGCTTCTCTGACCATGGCGGTACGACAAGACCGGCTCAACAGCAGTACGCCCAACTCGGACCGACTGGCCAACCCTCCCAGTCGTCACGAGGGTCGTTCAGTGGCCCAGGAATATGCACTTCAACTGGTGGCGTCGACGGACCATCTGCGCGCGGGGGTGAACCCCTCTAAACTCACCTCCTTGTTGTCTCCCTCGGCCCCACCGTCGCGGTCGGCACCTTCAGTCCCCACCTATCGCAATCGCCTCGGCTCTCGTCCTTCCATGATGCAGGGCCCGCTCGCCATTCGACCTCATTCGACCTCGATGGTGACGACTACAACTGCAAACACGACCTCGACATCAGCTTCGGCCACAACTGCCGGAGGATCACAACCTCGCACTTGGTTGATGGCTCCACGTACATTGAGTCCTAGGCGAGGACCATCGGGTCTCTGGAGTTCCATCACCTCACCAACTGGAAATGAGGGGGAGAGTAATGATGATGCGGATGACCTTGTGCCCAATTTTAACGACCCCCGACCCGCTAGTCAAGACTCAGCCACTCCGGATGTTCCTGTTGCTGTTCCTGTTGCTACCCCTGTTCCTGTTCCTGTTCCTGTTCCCGTTCCTGTTCCAGCTGATCGGTCAGGCTGGACCAAGCAACTTCCCAGACGAACCAACTCCCAACGCGGTCTTTGGGGCAGCGCAGCCTCCTTGGAGGACCGTGAGGCGTCTGCGCGACGGCGATGGACAGTCGCTGAGCAAAAGCTATGATCATGCAGGCTGGCAGTTCAGGGATGTTTCTTTTCCTCCTTTTTTCTCTTTTTCTTTTTTCTTTTCTTCTTTCATTTGTTCAGGATACCTCATTGCATGGCGCGGGGCATTAGCACATTCAATTTACATTTGCACTTGCATTTCCATTTTCATTCCGATTCATGTTGGATCTTTCTTTGTTTGTTTTGTTTTCTTTTCTCTTCCATTCCATGGTACTATCTCAATGATGATGACTCGCTCACTCGGTCATGGAACACTTCCTGATATCCTCTTTTGATATCTCCATCAACTGGCCAAGTCTTGGCGTGGCTTCCCCGGATTTGCCCCGCCTTCTTTCTTCTTCCTTTCATCCCTCGTAAACTTCTCTCCTCTCCTCTCCTCCCCAAGCTTCCCACCTTCGCCACTTCTCAATTTCTTTTTCTCTCTCCCGCATTGTACTTCCATGTCCCCCCTCGAAAGCGACGGTATCTCCGTCACGTACGACTCGCATTGTACCCGTGTTCCGGATCTGCGGCTGCTCCACTACAATGATGTGTATCACGTTGAGTATGAAGGGCCCTATCTCTCGCCGATCCCCGATCGCCCGGTCTCCAAATTCACGTCCTCCATATGGGTGATTGCTAACTCCTTGGTCCCTCCTCCTCAGGTCTGGATCGGCCGAACCCATTGGCGGTACCCCGCGCTTCCAATCTCTCGTCAACTTCTACCGCTCCGACCCGCGCTTTGCCGGCCAGCCCGATGCCCTCACCTTTTTCTCCGGCGATGCCTTCAACCCTAGCCTCGAAAGTACTGTCACAAAAGGGAAGCATATGGTGCCATTTCTGAATAAAGTGGGCACGGACGTGGCTTGTGTTGGTGTGAGTAACGCAATCGGTTCGATTGGATATCGGGCGGTGATGGGATGGGAGTCCTACAGATGTTTGTACATTTATGGATTTGCTAACCCAATTAGAATCACGATTTGGATTTTGGCGTCGCACAATTTCGGCACTTGGCCGGCCAATGCCATTTCCCTTGGTTACTGGCCAATGTTCTTGACCCTGCCCTGGGAGACGATGTGCCCATCGCCAATTGCCGCAAAACATGCATGCTGACTTCGTCGAATGGGATCAAGGTTGGTGTGATTGGACTCGGTGAAAGGGAATGGTCAGGCACCGTCCCACTGCCTCGCAGATACAATTTTTGCAGGAGCTAACGCCGCGACCAGGCTCGGGACAATCAATTCCCTTCCTCCCGATCTGATTTACAAATCCGCATCTGAAACCGCCAAGATGTTGGCGCCACAACTCCGAGAGCAAGGGGCAGAGCTGGTCGTCGTCGTCTCCCATCAACGCGAGCCGAACGATAACAAATTAGCGAACAATTTACCCACAGGATTGGTTGATATCATCTTAGGTGGCCATGATCACTACTACGCCCACTCCGTGGTCAATGGAACCCATATCCTCCGCTCAGGGACCGACTTCAAACAACTAAGCTACATCGAAGCATTCCGCAAACCAGATGGAGCTCCAGGCTGGGACTTCACCATTACCCGACGAGATGTTATTCGTTCGCTCCCGGAGGATCCATCAACGGTCGCGCTTGTCGAGCGGCTCACTTCCAGCCTCATGGCGAAGTTGGAAAAGCCCGTGGGGTATACGGTGACCCCTCTAGACGGCCGCTTCTCGACGGTGCGACAACGCGAATCGAACTTGGGAAACTTCGTCTGTGATTTGATGCGATTCTACTATGCGGCGGACTGTGCTATGATGGCCGGCGGGACCATCCGCGGTGATCAAATCTATCCACCGGGCGTTCTTCGGTTGAAAGACCTGCTGAACTGCTTCCCTTTTGAAGACCCCGTTGTCCTGTTGCGTGCGAGAGGTCACGCAGTGCTTGAGGCATTGGAGAATGGTGTCAGTCAGCTGCCGGCACTCGAAGGCCGGTTCACACAAGTGTCCAACATCTCGTTCGGATTCAAACCGGATGCGCCCAGTGGATCGCGAATCACATTTGCCCACATCGGTGGAAAACCCATCGACCTCCAGAAGAACTATGTCCTAGCAACACGCGGATACATGGGCCGGGGCAAGGACGGTTTCTCGTCTTTGTTGGTCAAATCCGAGGGAGGCGAGGTCGAGGAACTCGTTTGTGAAGAGAACGGCGTTTTGATCAGCACCATTCTACGCCAATACTTTATGAGCTTGAAGGTTCTCGGTAAATGGGGACGCTGGAGTGCCAGTCTGCATAGGCACTGGGGCTCTGTGCATCGCAATTTGCACGGTGAGGGCTGGTTGAAGCCACCCTCTGCAGCGGTGTCTCCGGTCTCGGAAAAGGCACCAGTGCATCGTTTTGACTCGCGACCAGCCCTGAAACGAACTTCTCGATCCATTCATTACTATGGACGCTTCCCTGAAGAGGTTGACCATGGTGCTGCATCTCTCACTGCCAGTACCAATGACAGTGGAACCAATAGCGACGAGATGGACTCGGACTCGGACGATGATCCCGACATTCTAACCTCACCTCGCTCACGCATTAACTATGTGACCCAACCCGCACGATCTTCAGCCGACGAAGACTATCGATTGCAGTTGGCTCGGCGGGTGGTACGCAAGTGGATGCGACACGCTGGCCTCCAGCCCAACTACCTCAATATGACCGATGGGGAGGGCGAATTTACGCCCCCATGGACGTCTGGTATCTCCCCGCAGCTGGAAGGCCGCATTGTGATAGAGGGGTCATAACCTGGTAAACACCCTTTGCTCACACTCTCTGGCTCGTGCTTTCTCGCTTAAACCTTTTCATGTCTCTTTCGCATTTGCGCTGGTGGCCAGGTCTACTGGCATCTACGATTCATGACAACGCCCTTTCCATTTCAACATGTCTGTTTCATCTTCTTTTACGAACAATAGATAGCCCCCCCTTGCATAGACAGGTGTCTTTTGCTACAATGTCACTTTTCGGACACTCAATTAATCCCCTTGTAGAAGACGTGTGCTTCGAAAGAAGATCTATCATTGTATGAATTTCGTGTTATGTATCGTCTATGTCCAAGTATCCCATCCATGCTATAACTACAACGTGTGGCTTTAAGCAGCAGCCTCAACGGCTCCCCATCCACCACCACCAGCAGTCATAATGACAATCCTATCATGTGTCTTCATAGCAACGGTATTCTTACCGCCGATGTTAATTCGCCGTTCCTCGCCCGTCTCTCCGTCTTTGGTTATCCACTGGTTCAGACCAGTCTGCGCATCGCCACCACCCTCGAGCCCGTAAGGACGGTGCACACGTCTTTCAGAAAGAATCGAGCACTGAATCGGCGAGAGGAACTCAATTTCGCGAATCACACCCTCGCCTCCAGGATTCTTGCCTTGGCCTCCGGATCCCTTGCGCAGAGTGAACTGCCGGAGTAATGTTGGATAGCGCTTCTCGAGAATCTCTGGGTCTGTGATTCGCGTGTTCGTCATGTGGACTTGGATACCTGATTCGCCCTTCCAGGTTGGTCCTGCACCGCTTCCACCTGCGATGGTCTCGTAGTATCCGAATCCTGGTTTGATCACTTCGCCGCTAGAAGGGTCGATCTTGGCGTCTGTGCCGAAGGTAAGATTGTTGCAACAACCCTGGGAAGCAGCGCAGGCTTGGAAGGCCTTGAAAACCACGTCTGTGATGCGTTGCGAGGTCACCACGTTGCCTCCGACAACGGCGGCGGTCCTGGTTGGCGATAAGATGCTTGGTGAGGGAACTTGGATGTTGATAGGGGCCAGGCATCCTTGGTTCAGTGGGACATCTGCGTTGATCATACAACGCAAGCAGTAAATGATAGCCGAGTGGGTAATGGCAATCGGGGCATTCCAGCTACCATATACTTCAGGGCCAGTGCCATCGAAGTCGAAGATGGCTGAGCCATTGCTTCCATCGATGGTAACCTTAAGGCGGATGGGCGTGCCATCATCCATATAATCCACTGCTTCCAAGGGCTGCCCGCCAAACTTCTGGTATAGACCCTTGAGGAGATTGCGCACGGCTGTTTCAGCGGTTGCCTGGATGGCATACATGTACTTTTGGACGGTCTCCACTCCATATTCAGCGAACAGTGTTTGGATAAGATTGATGCCGCGGGTGTTGGCGGCGATCTGGGCCTTCAGATCGGACAGATTGTCGCTAATGCAGCGCGCGCCTGAACATCCGGGGTATTGTGCGGGCTTGGTCACCAACAATTCAATAAGACGTGCCTCGTCCAGGACGCCGTTGCTGACAATTTTGTCGCCTTCAATAGCAGCGCCCTCTTGCCAGAGCTCAGTGGATTTGGGAGGCATTGAGCCCGGGAGAATTCCACCAATGTCGGCATGGTGACCACGGGAAGCAACGTAGAACATAATTTCAGTTCCACCAGGTCTGTCAAAGACGGGGGTGATAACCTGTGGTGCATGTTAGTAACAAATAAAATAATAGTAATATAGTATGCATGACATAAGCAACTTACAGTGATATCAGGCAAGTGAGTTCCGCCACATGTAGGATGGTTAGCCACAAGCACATCACCATCTTTCAGGTTGCCCAGCCATTTCTCATGCTGGTAACGAACTGCGAACTGCATGGATCCCAGGTGAACCGGGACATGAGGGGCATTGGCAACTAGCCCACCATCGGGCGAGAAGAGAGCACATGAAAAGTCCAGGCGCTCCTTGATATTTGTGGAAACGGACGTCTTTTGCAAAGTCCGGCCCATCTGCTCCGCAATGGACATGAATCTATGGCCAAAGATGCTGAGGCGGATGGGGTCGACCTCTGAAGTCACCTGGGTTTCCGTGGTTGAAGCTTTCGCCTTGTCCTGCAAGTCAATGACAATGCAGGTTTCGAGGAGCTGCGCAACTGCGTTGGGGGCGACAACAATGGTCTGGGTCTTGTCGATGATGACTGCAGGACCAGTAATGCGGGAACCCTTCTCGAGTTGATCCAAAAGATAAACCGGCGTTTTGATACGCTCGGAGTAGCCATCGAAGTAAGCAGTAGTCGTATTAGCAGGAGCAGTTTTCACGTCATGGATATCAGTCTCCTTCATCTGCAGTAGAGGACTGCGCTCTTTGCGGACTTGGGTCGAAGCAATCGTGCGCACACGGATATCATCGACAAGAACGGGTCTCTCTGAGTTGAAATTGAATTCTCGGCGGTGGCGTTCCCGGAATTCGCTCATAAAATCGGATGATTCCTCGGGGCGCAAAATCATCAAGCTAGTGTCGGAGCCTTCATAGCGCATGTTCAAATATTGTTCGTGGCGGACCTGGTTAGAGGGGAAGCCTTGTGATTCCATATCCTTTGTTGCTTCAGATGCCATGTTGTCAAAGCGCTGGAGGAGAGTAGTATGCGAGGAGAGGTAATCAGTTGAGACCGGCTCCTGAGATTCTTTCACTACCTCAGCCAAAGCCAAGCCATATGCCGACAGGATCGAAGAATATTTATGGACGATGATGCGAGAAATCCCCAAAGAATCAGCCACCGAGCAGGCGTGCTGACCTCCCGCTCCACCAAAGCAGGCCAAATGGTGGGAGGCGGTTTCAAAGCCACGGGCTTCGGTGAGGTTGCGGATCGGTCGGGCCATTGACTCGTCAGCGACCTTGAGGAAACCGAGCGCGACATCCTCCGGTGTGTACTCTGACTGGAAACGCTGGCGACGTTCGACATTGACCTTTTGCGTCAGATCGTGGAACTTTTGTGCTGTGACTTCAAAGTCAAGGGGCTGATCCTCGTTAGGTCCAAAGATGTGAGGGAAATACTCGGGGAGCAGCCGGCCCAAGAACAGATTGGCATCCGTCACAGTCAATGGTCCTCCTTTGCGGTAGCAAGCTGGGCCAGGATGAGCACTGGCGGATTCGGGACCGACATAAAAGAGGCCATTGCGCCAGGTGAGAATCGACCCACCACCAGCAGCGACGGTGTTGATATCGAGCTGGGGTGATTGAATCAGGATTCCAGCCACCTTGGAGCCAAAGACATGCTCTAGGTGTCCATCAAAACGAGAAACATCGGTGGAGGTACCGCCCATGTCAAAACCAATAACTGGAGTTTTCTCAACAGAATCCCAGCTCGTGGCAGCGAAACCAACGACTCCAGCAGCGGGGCCAGACAGAATGGCCTTTAGTCCACTAAATTTGCGGAAATCGACCAATCCACCATCTGATTGCATAAATTCAAAGCGACATTGCTCTTGCTTTTCGAGACCACCCTCGAAACTGGAGGATATTGAATCGATATAAGTCTTGATGACAGGCGTGAGATAGGCGTCGGCTGCAGCTGACATGCCGCGAGGTACAATCTTGATCATAGGCTGCAATTTTGAGGATAGTGTGACAGAGAATCCCATCTGCTGTGCGATCTCCCCAATTTGGCGTTCATGTTCAGGGTAGGCGAACGAGTGCACTAGGGCCACGGAGAGAGATTGGTAGCCTGCCGCCTTGAGACGCTGTAACTCCGACCGCACATGGTCAAGATCCATTTCTTGCACCACACGGAATTTCTCGCCAGTGATGCCCTCCACCACACGAGCCTCTGAGAAGCAGTCAATATCTGCGGCAGGATGGCAAGGAACCACCCTCTCATTAACTTCAACGACCTCTTCGGGAAGCACGCCAGGGCGTGCCATGGTCAAGTCAAAGATCGCCGGACGAGACTGATCGCCAATCTTAAGTAGATCACGAAACCCCTTGGTAGTAAAAAGCACCGATCGCGCACCTTTGCGCTCTAGCAATGCATTGGTTGCTACTGTTGTGCCCATGCGAAGGCACCCAATCCGGTCGAGCTTTAGTGGCTGGCCACGAGGGTGTGACTCGCCAGTAGCGAGCTCCAGAATCTGACGGATACCCTCTGTGGGAGCATCTTGATAATGAGCGGGGTCAACTGAGAGGAGTTTCAAGATAATGTCAGAACGACCAGGCACAATGGCGTGAACATCAGTGAAGGTGCCCCCGCGGTCGATCGAGATGGTAATCTTCCCGGAGTCAGCCATCGTGAGTGAAGGGGTGAACGGGATAAAATAGAAAATGTGTATGAAATGAATGAAAATGAAAATGAAAATGAGGAGATCAGAAATGCCAGATAAGACCCTTCCTCTATTATACAGTCTGATTGCTCTGGAATCCCCCCGGATTTCACCATCGAGAAGAGATATCGGGCCGACACGTGACCTCTAACGGGAGCGTCGGGCCGAGATCGACGAGAGGAGATTCGGTACTACCAGTATGCATAGTATGTAGAGAGGAGAGAGAGTTTAGAAATGAAGAGGGAAGCTAATAGTATACTCGCAGCTTGAGATATGTGAGGTAATTGTCCAAAATGCAGACCTTGAATTACCGAAGCATGGGAGTAGCCGAGCCCCCGTTGTTGACCTGAGAATCGAGGATTGTTAACGCACTGGCATATCTGAGATAGGAACTATGGGAAGTCCCATGGGAAATACCATTATGGTGGGATGATGTAGTACATGGGATGCCACTAGTAGCTAGGTATGAGTAAATTGAACAGAGTGCAGATATTCTAATATTTTGTACAGAAAATAGATATTTAGTACTACTAGTACGAGTACTATATTATAAACGCTTCAGGGTGTTTTCGATCCAGTCGGTATCCATGTCAATATCGATCTGATTCAACGCCCCCTCCCACAGTGCCGGGTCATCATTCAGATCAAACTGGAAAGAAATGTCCTGGAATGATGGTAGGTCGGACTGCCAATCCTCCGTCGCTACGGTGGGATGAGGCTCAGGATCTGCCAGTGTCGTAGTACCGGTCGCATGTTCACCGTTGGGACTCGGTGGGAGAGCGAGCGCAACACTTGAACCATCTAGATCGTTTCCGGCGGGTTTAGGTCCGATCGAGGCCCGTAATTCCAGAAGAAGGGAATGGCGTGAACCCAAGTAGGCGTTACCGCGATCGGCCATACTTCGTAACAGAGTAAGAGCAGTCTCCATTGACCGCGCATTAGTCTCATTATGCGGGAATGCTGCATTCACCATGACGAGCAACAATGCCGCAGAGAAGATATACTCGCCATCTAAATAGCCATACGTAGCTGCCACGTGACAAAGTCAGTATGAACATGTATCTCAAACAGAAAGCCTCGCCACTTACCGACTAAGTTTTGTTTGGCGGCTGCATCCATGATCATCGTGGTGGCACGGGCAGCGGTGATGCAACTATCGATGACCGCGACTGTGTTCGGAGCCAATCCTTCTTTCCAGTCTTCAGCGGAAGCACCCAGCATCCCAGCATCTAGTCTTCGCTGGATGACATAGAACACTAGCGGGCGGGCGGTCATGTTCACGCATGAATAGAAATGCAAGTTTATAGAAACCGATTCTCGGTTGATGGGACTATCGAGGGTAGTAAAATCAATGCGAAGGCGATCGGGCACTTGTCGCAACCAGCCGGAGAGGTCATTTGTCATACTTTGAACAGACATGATGAGGTTCGACCCGGAGCGAGGTTTCTTTCGATAAATCTCTGTGCAACTAAATGTTAGTCTGAGAACCATGAGAAAGATATACAATCATTCTAATGCCTACCTTCACCAATTCGTCCCAAGATTCGAGAGAGCTGTGTGTAGTGAGTTAAGACAATTCCCGGCCAGGGGTCTGAGGTTGACCCATCCTATGAAGAAGCCATTAGAGCTTGGCATTGGGCTAGCTGTATGACCCGACTTACCAATGCAGCCGGCCAGGTGATTCCAATATCTTCGTCGTGGATGGTGATGGGGTTTCCGGATTTGACCGACAGGATTCTATTGAATAAATCAATTAAGGACTTCCGCTGGAGTTCGGGGCAGCCTACCGGTCCAGACTATAAACCGACCACCAAGCTCGCCGTCGGCGATTGCGGTCTGTCGGGGTAATGTCTTGGTCGGACACTTCTTGGTGAAGACCTAGTGAAATAGCCATGCGGAGAGCGAGTCCGATCTAGATATCTAAGTTCAGTTTGCCTCTCTTGTGATGGAACAGGTATTGCTTCTGACATACATAGAGAAAAGCGGCGTCTCTGCGGTTGAGGTTCTGCATATAATATGCTACATAGCACAGCACCTCGACGAAAAAGATCGAGCCCTCTTCGTATATATCGGGCAAGAATCGCAGAGCATGTTTGAAATACTTGAATCCTGGTGGTCCATCATCGCCAGACCACTGGTTGACCGAATACATCAAGCCGAACGCAATAACCAAAAGGGATTGGCAGTAGACGAGGCATGTTTCCCGGTGGGAGAAGTCAGGCGGCTGGTGGTAGACAAAATCAAGACGTTCTTCAAATTCTTTCGGATGGATCAGGGAGAAGATGGTGCCGATATAGGCATATTGTACCCAGAATAGGCGCTTCGCAAAGTCAAAGGGTGGGAGTTGGGGCAGAGCGCCCGCGACCGGTCGTCTTAGTGATGACGGATCATCATAAAGCGGGCGCACATCCCAAGCCAGGTTCGATGATGTCGGATTTAAACGCTTAGCCAAATGGGTGGTCGATGATGCGCCCACAAAGTCTAGGTAGGGTACCCTGTCAGCAAGGGACCGACTCTGAGGATGGTGAAGTGGGTGTTGCGCATACGATGTTCTCCAGATCGATTCAAGAACAGGTTGTCTGTCCCCTTATACCACCAGTCATCTCGCTCCAACGGCAGGATCTCGCTTTCCGAACCTCGAGTAGCGGTGGATGGCACGCTCGACGGGGTCGGTCGACTGGGAGGAGAGCCAACCTTGAGCTCTTCGGGTGTATTGGAGATGTCCGGGGTCTTCGAGGAATAGGTATTCGCGCCATTGGGGGTACGGGGTGTGCGAACCTGCGATTGCAATTGACGAAAGTAACTGGGAGTATGAGTATCAGCAGGCAGTTTTTTACGATAGTTCCTGAGAGGGTTAACAGAGTGGAATTCACCTCTCAGTGATGGAGACGCGTTTCTCGGCCTCTGAATAGATACACGGCTGATCGACATCAAGGCATGCAGCGCAAGGAAGAGGTGGGCTACCGGCGCATCGAGTTTTGCGATTGCGACATCGATTGCATCTGGTCATGCATGAGATCATCGCTAGTTAACTCATTCATTGCAGGAGGCGCACTTACGCTACCATGGACCGATGAACCTGACGGTCCTTTTTGGAGACTTTTCCATGGACCATTTCCAGGACATAGCATAATCGGGGGGGAAGAGGTTGTGGAAGTGGTGGAGGGAAGAAGTTGTGAAGGTGGGGAGGTGTGGTGGTGAGAGGAAGAGAAGTTGTTATCGCGAGGCTCCCCCACACTTTCTTATCTTCGGTCCGATGGAACTTCGCGGGGATGCCTCAGGGGTGCGGGACTACGTGATATCAACTACTCTAGGGTACTCCCATGTGTTACCATATGCTGACCAGTTCATTGAGTATTTACAAGGGATATTATTGACATGTTGAAGGCTTCACTGATGCCACTCATGCCACTCAGAAAATGGCTACCCCGTTCGGAGGGCTCGCCACTCCCCCAGGGACCTGTTGATCTGGTTAGTACAAATCAATGGTAATGGGAATCCCAGCAGTTCCAGCAATTGTCTGATGCTCATCTCACCTTTATTGGAACACTGCTGAAGAAAAAGGTATATCTTCCACGCTGACGACATTCCCGACTGAGTCGCTCCAAGTCGAAGAGCTCGCCGATTGGCACTCCCCACCCTGCAAGCAGCCACTCATGCAGGAAGAAGTCGGAATTCTGGCATGGGTACGCCTCAAATGCAGGCTGGTCACCGGCAACGGCGGCAAACCCATTCTCCCAGATCCAGCGAAGAATGGCCTCCGATGACTTGACTCCGATCACTGGAGGTGCCGCGTAGTTGGCAAGTTGCTCGCACTCCGCCTGGGAGAGCTTCTCGTACGCACGGGTCCAGCCGGTCCGGATGAACAAGATGTCACCGGGGCGAAAGGTTGTCTTCTGACTAGCCGCCACCTCCAGCAGATCATCGAGTGGGATTGACTGGGCCTCGAAGCAGTTGACGGGCTTTCCCTTAGCCTCGGCCCATGTCACATAGTCGAGCAACACTCCACGTCCGACGATACCGCCGTTGTCCGCCCAGACTATCAAGAGTTTATTTCATGTTAGCTAGATAATTTTCTCCTCGTGGCCAGAACTCCAGGGCCCACCTACCGTGGATTCCATTCCGAGTCGAGCTCTCGATATCGTGCTGAGAGCATCCATTGTAAAAGGATCCATCCTTGGCCCCAAAGTGCCGAAAGCCATCCCATTGAGAGCTACTCTGTGTGTTCAAGACCAGGATATCATCATTTACTGGGCGAGGGGCCTTGTTCTTGATGGTATGCTGAAATGGCGCCCGCCCAAAGCACGGCGTGGCCATACTATTGAGCGGCCAATCGGTGGAAACGCGCACTCCTTCGACAATCTCCTTGGCTGCGGCCGCAGTATTTTCCGGGGTGAGCAGGTTCAACATACCCATCTGATCCTTGTCTCCAAAGAGACCCCAGGCGTTGCCTCGGGGGCCATCGGGGTGAAGGGGAAGAGAGTCGAAGGTGGGCTTTGTAGGCATGGTAGAGAGAAGTAGTTCAAGTGTCTGGAGGATAGTACTAGTAATGTGCCAATAGTAGTATTAGTATTTAAATAAAAGCCCAGCTGTTAGATGGATCTCATACTAGTACTGATACTCTTCACCAAGTTACCCCGCAATGATTAACCACGGCAGTTTCACTGCATTAGCCGATGCATCGGGGTATACTCCGGGACAGGATCAGCCAAGACTCGGAGTAGTAGTAGTAGTAAAAAATTAGAGTCAGCATCAGACTAGTACTACTATTAGTACTAGCATTAATATTCGGCGTTCGCTGTCAAGTCCGATCTGGGGAGTCCTGGAGATGGACCTGTATACTAGGATATTAGTATACCAGTACTATATATATTCCCGATTACCCTCGGTACTAGTTAGTAGTAGTAGTAGTAGTAGTAGTACTACCTAGGTAAATATAGTAAATACCATAGTAATCCTGGATTGGCCATGAATTTTAAGCAGATTGATCAGTACTCAATACTAGTACCTACTAGTAGTACTACTGGTAGTACTACTACTGTACGCACCCGTGGACATTCATGTGCTTGATCGACATGCCAGTGAAAGTTACTTCAAGTTGTTACAAGTACTACTAGCTGTGTAAAGCTTCAATTTGCTCTAATACTATTACTAGTATTAGTATATTCTACTGGTATATGCTATATTCTCCCCATCTCCCCATCTCCCCATCCTATACTCGCCCACGTGACCACCTCAACGAGGCTCTTCAATCGACTGGAGACGCCCACTGGAGACTTCCACTTCCACTTCCCCTTCCATTCCCGCTTCACTTCCCCTTCCACTGCCACACCCACACCCACTTTTATTTCAATGGCCAGCCTCATTCCACGGTGGACCCTGGTGGGTCACGGCCACTTATTCGAAATGCGCCCCTGGGGCACGGCCGATCTTTACCCTCCGCCATTGTCGTCATCTCCGGCAATTTTCGGCCCCTTAGCCCGCGTCTGTGTGGGCTTCTGAGAGGAGGCGTTGTGACCCATGCTCGTTTTCAATGAGAGAAAGACACTACTATGTACTACTGGTAGTAGGTGGAAAGACAAAAGGAAATACACAAAGACTACCCGTATCATCATCTTGAAACTTGAAGGCCATGAATCCAGCTGTCCTGATGCTGCACTGCGTTCCCCTGGGGAAAGGGATGGCGAAACCGAGGAATCACAATACATTAGATGGGTCCCCATCAGCCTCTCCAACCAATGTACACTCACGTTGCATCGATGACCCGCCAATCCTCCTCATCATCGACGAGTCAGATGAAGCAACCAATTCCCCGGGCCAACTCGCACCCGCGGTACGTATACACACGCACACCACGCACGCCCAAGCACACCCACCCCAGGCGACAACTATTCTTGGTTCAGCAGCTGCTTAGCTGCTTACTCTCACTGTGGCAAAGGCCCTGGGCGCAGGGGAACAACGGTGCAGAGCGTGTCTCGGACGCGGGTCCCGGTGGAGTCGTTAGAGGAGCAGATGACGAACGACAAGCGCTGCTGATGCCTCCACCCTCCCTGTGCATCGCCGCCTCTGAAAATCTGCTGAACCAAAAATATCTTTTCGGGTTATGCTGGTGCAGCCTGGCCCTACTGTGTGCTTCCAGAAAAGATTCCCGCGTCCCTATTCTTAGCCGCGACCAACCTTCTTTGCGATCGCGCGTTCTCTTTCAACGGTTGAACCTCATTCCTCCTTCTGCAATTCCAATCCCAATTCCAATCCGCCCTCGTTCCAACGCCTCGCGCCATCTTTCTAGCCCACTTTTCTGACGGATCGCCCGATCTTCACAAGGCTACCGGTTGTGTCCCAGGAGATCTGGCATTATTCTCCCTGGATGTTCTAGTGCTGGTCCTACCCCCAAAGCAACTTGCCCTTTTTCTCTCTTCTCTTTCATTCTTTCGTTGCTTCTCTTTCTCTTTCTCTTGATCCCTCTCCCCGGGTTACGATATAACGGCGAGCTCCCTTTCGTTGAGCCACCCCCCCCCTCTCATTTCTCTCAGACTTCGTGACATCCCTCGATTGTCCCAGAAGCACCCCCGATTGTCGGGGAGCTGAGCAAAATGGGTCCCCCACAGCCGACCTCCCCTCATGAACCCCATTCACCTTACGGGTCGCCCTTCCATGGGCGTAGTGAGAGTGACTTCTCTTCCACTGCTCCTCCGGTAAGTGGCCATCCTCGTAGTCAGCAGCACGAGGCAAAACAGCTAACACGCGCCCATCGGATAGTACGAGGACGGATACCACCACCAGCAGCACGCTGAAGCACAACACTCTGATGCCGCCATCCCCTTCCTCGGCCACGGCGAAGAGGCGAACTCGGGCTTCTACCCCCAGCGTGGCATGTCGACGAGCCCCAACCCTTACCAACAGCGTCATAACGCCGCCAGTCCTGGCCCCCTCAGCGTGTCGGATTCTATGAACGATGGTATGACGCGATACTCCCTGCAGGATACCGGCGCTGCGATCTTCCCGGGCGGGCAGGACCCCAACATGGGCTTGCATCGCCGATCTGGAGTTTCGACTCCCGCATCAGAGACCCCCTCGGATGCCTGGCAGCAACGCAATGCGCCTGCCTCGGGCCTGCGCCGCTACGCGACCCGTAAGATCAAACTGGTTCAGGGCTCTGTCCTGAGTGTGGACTACCCCGTTCCCAGTGCAATCCAAAATGCCATTCAGCGGGAATATCGCGAGTCGGAGGAGGGGTTCCCGGAGGAGTTTTCTCATCTGCGTTGTAAGTATTGAACAACCACCCGGAATTGGTGCATATCTAACCTCGGATTAGACACCGCCGCTACTTGCGATCCAGACGAATTCACCTTGCGCAACGGTTACAACCTGCGTCCTGCCATGTACAACCGACACACCGAGCTTTTGATTGCCATCACCTATTACAACGAAGACAAGGTTCTCACAGCTCGAACTCTGCATGGTGTTATGCAGAACATCCGGGATATCGTCAACTTGAAGAAATCGGAGTTCTGGAATAAGGGTGGCCCTGCCTGGCAAAAGATCGTCTGTACCCTGGTTTTCGATGGTATCGACCCGTGCGACAAGAACACCCTCGACATGCTTGCGACGGTCGGTATCTACCAAGACGGTATCATGAAGCGATCTGTTGACGGTCGCGAAACGGTCGCCCACATTTTCGAGTACACCACACAGCTGTCGGTTACGTCGAATCAGCAGTTGATCCGACCCCAAGGCACCGAATCAACAAACCTTCCACCGGTCCAGATGATCTTCTGTCTCAAGCAGAAGAACAGCAAAAAGATCAACTCCCATCGTTGGTTGTTCAACGGATTTTCTCGTATTCTTAACCCTGAGGTTGTGATCCTGATTGACGCGGGTACCAAGCCTGGCAAGAAGTCTCTCCTGGCCCTCTGGGAGTCCTTCTACAACGACAAGAACCTGGGTGGATCGTGTGGCGAGATTCACGCCATGTTGGGTAAGGGCTGGAAGAACCTGATGAACCCGCTTGTTGCTGCTCAAAACTTTGAGTACAAGATCTCCAATATTCTCGACAAACCCCTCGAGAGTGCCTTTGGATACGTGAGTGTGTTGCCTGGCGCTTTCTCTGCTTACCGGTATCGCGCGATTATGGGCCGGCCCCTCGAGCAATACTTCCACGGTGACCACACACTTTCAAAACAACTCGGAAAGAAGGGTATTGAAGGCATGAACATCTTCAAGAAGAACATGTTCCTTGCTGAGGATCGTATCCTTTGTTTCGAACTGGTGGCTAAGGCCGGTTTCAAGTGGCACTTGACCTATGTCAAGGCGTCCAAGGGTGAGACTGATGTGCCCGAAGGAGCTGCTGAGTTCATCAGTCAACGTCGTCGTTGGTTGAACGGTTCGTTCGCTGCCAGTCTGTACGCCATGATGCATTTCGGCCGGATCTATAAGTCTGGCCATAATATCATCCGTCTTTTCTTCCTTCACATTCAAATGACCTATAACTTTGCTGGTCTAATTATGACCTGGTTTTCTCTCGGTATGTCCTCCCTCCCCTTTTTCTTGATCTTCCAAGTGATAGTCTTGCTAACACCTCCTAGCTTCGTTCTGGCTTACTACTTCTGTTATCATGGATCTGGTGGGAACACCAAGTGACGCAAACAAACATAAAGGCTGGCCTTTTGGTGATGACGCATCGCCCATCGTTAATAACTTCCTGAAATACGGCTATGTGTTCTTCCTGATGCTTCAGTTCATCCTGGCCCTGGGTAATCGCCCGAAGGGTTCGCGTCTCGCATACACTCTCTCGTTCATTTACTTCTCGATTGTTCAGTGCTACATTCTTGTTTTGTCCTTCTACCTGGTGAAGAACGCTTTCACCGGAGGTACATTGGATTTCGACATGAGCAAGGGTATAGGTGCTTTCTTGAAGTCCTTCTTTAGTTCGAGTGGAGCCGGTATTGTCCTGATCGCCTTGGTCTCGACCTACGGTATCTACTTCATAGCCAGTTTCCTGTACATGGATCCCTGGCACATGTTTACCTCGTCATGGGCCTACTTCGGTGGTATGACTTGTTCGATCAACATCCTGATGGTCTACGCCTTCTGCAACTGGCACGACGTGTCATGGGGTACCAAGGGATCAGACAAGAGTGAAGCCCTACCCGAGGCAAAGACGGCAAAGGATGATGGAAAGTCCAACTTCATCGAAGAGGTTGATAAGCCACAGGCCGATATTGATAGCCAGTTCGAAGCGACCGTCAAGCGCGCGCTGGCGCCGTTTGAGAACCCCGAGGAAGGTGATGAGAAGAGCATGGATGACTCTTACAAGGCCTTCCGAACCAACTTGGTGCTGTTGTGGATTTTCAGTAATCTGCTCGTGGTGCTGTGCATTACTGCCACCGGCATCGACCGATTCTGTCTGACCAACACCTCGACTGTACGTACTGCGAACTATTTCTCGGCCATTCTGTGGACGACAGCCGGTCTGTCCATCTTCCGCTTTATTGGTTCCCTTTGGTTCCTGGGCAAGTCGGGCATTCTGTGCTGTGTTTCCCGCCGCTAAACGGCAGTCGGTGGGGGGGGTGACTGTTGTACATACCAACGACCTCGATGATTGTGCGGTTGATTTTTTACGTCTTTTAAGGAGAAGTTGGGTCGGGATGGAGGATGGATTGGGACAATGTGCTATAGAATGGATTTGGGCTCTTTGATTCAGGGAAGGGCCCTTGAGATGATCTGAATGTCTGGAATTCGAGGATCTCGAACATTTTCTTATGTTTTGTTTCCTCCTTTTCCCCTTTTTCCTATTGTTTTATTTTATTTCGCCACTGCATCTGCTTGGCTGCGCGGTGGTCACGGACACACACCTGTATGATTTCTGGAGAAGGGAATGATCTTCACTGCGTGGCATCGGTTTAATTAACCAGAGCATATGAAAATAGTACATGATCTTATTTTATTTGAGTTCTTATTGATCTTCCCTTTTTTCTGTCTATCTTTATTTCTAGTTGCAGTCCGGGGGATCTGCGTAAATCGTGGAGAAGTGGGCACTTCTTTCTTTTTTATGGAGTTGATACTGGTCTCCTCCGAGTCCGAGTCTGAGTCTGAGATATCTCTTCCCCTTCTTCCCCCTTTCCCACTTTCAAAACCTCCCTCATTCTATATTTGTTTTGGCCTGTTTCCCTCGTATGCAGCTGATTTCCGGGATACCTTCTATCTTCAGACAGGCACGGGCAAATGGCGTTGGAATTCAAGCCCAATTCCACTTCCAAGCCACTCCCTCCCTTGCCCTGGGCTAAACCAGGGTGTGTGCTCGAGCGTTACAGTCGTAGTTTAGTTGGCCTCTTAACTTTCCGAGTCTCTTGCAGATTACCTTTCAACCACCGGAGGACTGCCACCCGAAACGACCAATGATTGCTTTGGCTTGGTCCGCCTCGGCGCCTTCGTCTTCAGCTTTACACCCTCGCGCAACCTCCCTTCTGCATCGCTCGTAACTCAATTTACCATATTCCCGCAATCTGGCCCGTGTTATAAACAGTATGCCTCTGCATCTAGCCGTCATGGCCACATTCTGTCAGTCTCCCCCCGCAGCGTTTGCCGATCGCTGGGTTGAAGGCGGGTCTGACTTGCACCACTCGGGACGTCTCTGTAGCTCATGATTTGTCCTTTGTTGTCTGATGGAGACAGCAAAAGCCTCTGGTGGCCGCACACCTTTTCTCCACCGACATGCGCGAAACATCCGGCTTGAAGCATCGGCTATGATGCCATTCCGTGTCGCTGCCCGGTTCTGGGCACTCGGATTGCGAGGCATTTCTTTCCGTCATCCAATCTCCCAGTTATATAAACCCCCTCGATCTAGCCAAATTGTTGTTTGATTTTATTTGAGTCTTCTGTCACTACAAATCCTCCCATAAAACACCAACTTGTTCAACAGATCGTCCCTCTTGACCCACTTCTTTCCCCGCCCCTAATGTCGCAGTACATCCCCCAGATATCCTCTCAGTCTCTCCAAGACAAGGTGGTTCTGATTACCGGTAAGTTCCGGTTCTCCACCTTTTACGTTTTGCTTTCTGGCCCCTTCCCCCTCGAATCACTCGCATGTCTGATTGCCTAGTTGGTGCTGACGAGAACTCCTCCCCTAGGTGGTGCGAACGGCATTGGAGCCAGCCTCGTCCAGCAGTGTCTGGAGAGTGGCGCCAACGTCTGCTTTGGTGACCTGGATAATATCGCTGGCGAGCGTTTACTTCGTAAAGGCCAGGAACAGTTCCCCACCAATGAGGCAGGGCAGTCATCGCGTCTCGTTTTCCATCCAACCGATGTCACCAATTACCAATCGGTTCTGGCTCTTTTTGACCACACCTTCAAGACCTACAATCGTATCGATCATGTCATCTCTGCTGCAGGAATAGTAGAGATCGGTAACTGGTTTGATTTTGGGTTGACCCTACAGACAGTCCGCGAGGTAAGTCTCTTGTGTCGTGCGGAACCTTGCACACATTGTAGTTGCGAAGCAGCAGAATGAAACACACCCCAAGCGGTGATAGAAAAAAAAAGAATGGAATAGCTCACAATTTCCATAAGACACCAACCCACAAAGTCCTGGATGTCAATCTCCTCGGCTCGATGTACGTCTCCCGCATCGCCTCCGTCTATTTGCGTCACAACCGCGGACCCAGCGTCGACCGCTCTATAATTCTCTTCTCTTGCGCTTCGGGATTTAAAGAAAGTCCATCTCTCTTTGTCTATCAGGCATCTAAACACGGTGTAATTGGTCTTATGCGCTCCCTACGCAATTATGTATCCTCCCCATACAAGCACAATCTCCGCATCAACGTGATCTGCCCCTGGATGACCGAGACGGAGGCTATTCGAAAGATCGAAAACCAGTGGAAGCAAGCTGATCTCCCCACAAATACACCTGGCGAGGTGTCCACTGTTGCAGCTAGTATGCTGGCCGACTCATCCCTCAATGGAACTTCTATGTTCGTCGAAGGCGGACGTGCCTGGGAGATCGAGGGGAATATTGACCGACTCGAGGCTGAATGGCTTGGCGAACAGTCTTCTAAGAGCCTTGCAGCTGGCCAGGAGCTCCTGGACGATGGAGCGATTTGGACTGCTCGTCCGCGTAAGAAGAGCAGCATCTCCAACGGTATCCCGCCTGGTGTTCCTCTAGAGAAAATCAACGGGCTCCAGGAAAGCGTCCAGAAGATGCAGATAAACGGCGTGACTAATGGAGCCCACAATGTTGTTGCCAATGGTGTGCACTAGACGTGCAATGCCTTTCTTTTTCTTGAATTTGATACCCCTATCCCTTGGTCGTGCAGGCCACGGAAACCAACTTGACATCAACACAACCCGCAATCTGTTTTAATCCATCAATGGTATATGTGAAATTGGAGGGGAAACCCTTTGAAAGATGCGAAATTGCTTTAAGCATGATGATTGATTGAAATCCATTGATTATGTTCCAACTTCTCTTCTTCCAAGCCATGGTTTTGCGATCGCCTGTAGTTGCAGCTGTTGCCCCGCAAGCGGATACAAAAGGTGAACACGAAACTTGATGAGTTGGAAATACATAAGTGAAAGAGGGACACAAGTAGAAATGATTATAATGATTTTCATTATTGGTAATATGTCATGTATGTGAAATGGAAATGCTAAACAACCCAACACCGAACACATGCAAAAAGGCTCCCGTAATTACATTATGTAGCAGACAGCTCTATACCCTCCCCGAACGCCTGATGAAACATTGCAGCCCCGTCTATTTAAAGGACTCACGAGTGTGCACACGGTCAATGTCGAGCGGGTTTCCCTCGTAGAGTGCGCGGACCTCGGAGCGGTGCGTTGCGACACGAGACAGCGTGCGATGCATGGATTGCGCGCCCACAGTGTGGACCTTGTGCGCAACGACGGGCTCTTCAGCCTCGGTGATAGAAGATCCTGCGGAGCTCACATCGGTCACATCGGCTGCTGTGTGCTCAGGCAACTTGGACTCGTCGGTCTCAGTCATCTCTGGAGCGGGTGTCTCATAGCCCTGCAGAAGACTCTGAACAAAGGCCTCGGACTGAGCGGAGTACTTGCAGTACTTGCGGATAGAAAGTCCCTTCTTGTAAAGGATGAAGGGGAATGGAACACATGCCAGGGCAAGGAAAGCCGGCACTGTTGAGGCCCAGTGAATTCCCAGGTCCTGATACATGTAGGTGGTGAACAAGGGGAATGCAAAACCAAACAAAGATCGCAACAGGGAGTTTGCAGCCAAGACACTCGCAGCGAAGATTGTATAGGCGTCGATTAGGTAGTTGAAAACGCTGAGGAAGACCAGAACCATGCCAAACCCGAATGGAACACCCGCCGCGATACTCGCCATCCAGTGAATCGAGGGATCGTTCGTCCAGGCAAACCAGAAGAGACCGATGGGAAGGGCCACGGAGGCAATCATGCATGGGGGAAGACGACTTTCCGGAGGAGAATAGCCGCCATTTTTCTCGAGCAGCTTTCCGTAGCGAGTATTTTCGGGAATCGAGTAGGCGATAGCACCAAGCATACCCACCATAACACCAAGGAATGCTAGAGCCGAGACACCCTGGCTCCAACCACGGTGAATCTCATAGACAATTGGGAAGGCACCGAAGAGCATATAGAGAGTTCCATAGATAATCGCGAGGTAGATCGAGAGCAATAGAACGATCGGCTCACGGAAGAGGAGGATAAACGGACGAGAAAGCGAAGTCTTCAGGGTTTCCTTTAGGCCCGGTCGACCCTGATCAATGTCCAATTTGCTGATATACAGTTTTCCAGTCATTTTTGACAGTGTGACTGCTCGCTGGCGCAGCAAGACGGGGGCATATGTCTCTGGCTTGAATGCGGCACCACAGAACCACATAGCACCACAGAGGATGGTCAACAGGCCCATAACCCACTTCCATCCCTCGTTTTCGCCAAGGAAACCACCGACAATAGGACCGATGACAGGGCCTAGGAAAGGTGCTAGAGCAAAGGCCGACAAGGCGAGACCACGCTCGCGAGCGGCGAACATATCGGCGATGACACCGCCGGAGTTGGTGAAGGGAGAAGAACCGAAGCAACCAGCCAGGAAGCGAAAAACGATAAGAGACTCGATATTTTTGGCTCCTGTGCAGGCAGCACAGAAGATCGTCAATCCGCAGTAGGTGCCAATGAAGACAACCTGGCGACCGAACATCTCGCTCATCGGGGCCCAAATGAGTGGACCAAGCTAAGTAGCCGTCCGAATTAATACCCAGCAAATTCATAAAGTTGATGATGTACTTACGGCAAAGCCCAAAACATAGAGGGAAACACCAAGTGTTGCAATCTCGGTAGTCACCAAGAACTGTTCCTCAATCTGTACAATACCACCAGTGTAGGCCGAGGAAACCAAGGCGACAACGAGAGTTTCGAGGGCAGCGACGAGGGTGATGGACCACTTCATCCCGGAAGAAAGCTGAAGTGGATTGCGAAAGTCGCGAGGCATCCACTGTACGACGTAAGGATCATCGTCAGTGCCGGAGCCCGCATACTCATGATCGACGACTTCCTGGGTGACAACACCGGGCTCGGTGACCAAGCGCCAGAAGGGGATCTTGTTAGGCAGGCCCGATAGGCGAGCGCCCTCGACGGAGGTTTCCGTCATGATTTGTGGTCGAGAATGCAGTTTCATTCGAGTTATGCGAGTATTGTATTCGGACCTGGCTTATAAGTTTGCGGTATATTCCAAGGCTGTCGCGAAGGACAGGGGCTGTAAATAGTTGAAAACAATCGTTCGTTATGACTGAAGCAAGTGAATTTGAATGAAGGGATCGGGATGATTTTGTTGCAGGATTATTCAACAATAGCACGGAGGTGTTTCTGCTTCGGGACGCTGATATTTTCGGACCCACTGGCCAGCGAGACGAGGATTTCGATGAGTTCGAGGTTGATAGTTCTAGAAGGGCTGCAAAACTCCTCTCTAGATTAAAAAGAAAGAAAGATAATGAGAGAATCTGGTAATAGTGATTAGTAAACCCATGTCCACTCTCCATCTACCAGAATTTTTCTCATTTGTTTATCGATACTCGTAGTTGTTGAGTGTACTTGGTGGTATACTTCTTTGTTCGTCGGCGTCGGCCCGACTCGTCTCGGAATGGACATCGCTGATTGGTCGGCGTCACGGCAGCGGGGCCGCTTTGCCAGGGCCGAGTATTTCTTCCCTTCAAAAAATGAGCAACTTGCCGAGGCTCGCAGAAAAATCTATCGCGATCTCGATCCTGTCATCTCCACACTAGTACTGACTGTACCTCGGCACTTTTACGGAACTTGAAAGTATTAATAGCAGTAATGCAATGCATTTCAGCATATTTTCTAGCCCTACGGAGTACATGCTGGTATTAGTTAGCAGTCGGGGGAATTATCTCTCGCATAAAGACAGACACAGGTGAGAAATGCCTTTATGTTTCAGGTATGATAATAAAAATAACAGCAATAAGGGGGGCTACTCGTATGTACCTGGGGCCAAGCTTCTATGCGAAAATTATTCTGACATCGGGATTCCCCCGCCGAAAAAGACATTAATACAACTGCCCGGTGGGGCGATGGGCTGATCGATTGGATGTTCGGGAAATTTCCAGTTCCATATTCCTGATGACTATTCAATGATTAGTACGAGTACGATCGTCGGCCGCTTCTACACCCAAATATGTACTTTCAACGTGATATCCCTCAATCCGTCCAGCTCTGTAAGCACTTATCATGCGGTACATCACGCCATTCCTGTGATATGATCCTAAACGCCGGCCCCAATCCCATGGCTCTAAGCTCTCAAGATGGAAAGCATTAATTAGTGCCGATTTCATGTTCGGCCCCTACATTGGCGAGCTTCTGCCTAGCCCAACAGAGCTGAATTACGCGAATATGATGTATGGACTATCTCCAGCAAGACTAAGTGAAAGCGGAATTAGGTCGGGGCCGATGGCCAATTCTATCGTGCATTTCATTTCATAACAAGTGTCCATAAGTCAAAACCACAGTTCTTTACAGGCTCTTCTCCAGCACGCCAACCTCCGCCATCACCTCCCGCACAGTCTTCTTGGATGGCTCACCCACGGGCTCGTAAGGGTGACGGGGGGCTAACTTCTCCTCAGCACCTTGGATGCCAGCCAGAGGAGCTGTCCACGTTTCGACTGCGAACTTGGTCGATGCGATGCCACTCTTGATGGCGCTTTCGGCCAGCGCCGCCTTGCCTTGCAGCTTGCGCGCCTCGTCGAATTGGCCCTTTGCGTACAGTGCATACACCTTCGAAGCTGTCTTGGGGAAGACATTGGCAAAAGCAGCGATGCATCCAGCGCTACCAGCGGCGAGACCACCAATGAGGAAATCGGACTGGCCACCGAATGTTGCGAACTCCTCGGGTGAGAAGGTTGCGGATAGACGGGTGATCTTACCCACGGAGCCGCAGGTCAGCTTAACGCCGACCACGTTGGACTGGCCATTTCGCTTGGAGGCCGATTCGCGGGTAATGGCGACGATCGTCTCAGAGTCCATGTCGACGCCGTTGCACACACCGGGGAAGTTGTACAATACGACGGGCAGCGGGGACTTGGCGGCGACTTCAGAGAAGAAGCGCTTCACGACATTCATGTTGGTAGCCTTACCGAAGTAGGCCGGGGGCAGGACGAGTAGGTAGTTGGCACCAGCATCGGCGGCATCCTGGGCGAGCTCGAGGGTTTGCTTGGTGGAGTGAGCGCCCACGCCAGCCATAAGGGGGAAGTCGGGGCCAACGGCGGCGCGTGCAGTGGAGATGAGTTGGGCTCGCTCTTCGCGGGTCAGAAGGAAGGCTTCGGAGTTTGTGCCGAGGATGACCAGGCCAGCGAGACCGGTTGTGGAGAGGTAGGCGAAGTATTTAGACTGGGCATCAAGGTCAAGGGAATCGGAGTCTTGGTTGAAAAAGCTGACAGCAGGGCACCAGACGCCCGAAGGAGGGACGTGAGGTTGGGGGGAGACAGCAGTGTGAGAGCCCATTGTGAATACTAGGTATATTAAATTATAGAAACGGAGGAGACGGGAGAGACCCAAGAGGAGTAGAAGAGAGTACTTGTAGAAGTACTCGTAGAAGAAGTAAATGAGTAGATGGGGAGGAGGGAAAAGGGAGGAGATCGGTTCTTTTCAACCATAAATGACCGAATGAGGGGGAGGGGCAAGATAAATCATGAATGATCATGATTCAACTGCTTTTCCATCGGATTTCTCTCGTTTCTCCGTTTTCTCTCATGACTTCGGGTCGGCGTCCCGACAGTCGGTGTGTGGAACCGAGTACATCTTCGCTCCCCACGGCCAAAGTATACCTCAAAGAGTGTCCTCTGCGTGATAAGAACATTCGGAGCTGATCCGATCGGCCTCTGCTGATTTGCTGTCTCCCCTCATTTCTCCATTATTCGCTCTACTGGCCCCCACCCACTTCTGTGTGCCCCGCGATAGCTTCATATTGAAAGAAGTGACCCACTGCGGTCACCGTGCCGACTGTCGGGCCACCCTCCGATGTACCTGTGAGCAATGGACAATAAAGAAGAAAAGACAATCCATGGTCGCGGGAAATGCGTATAACAAGCTTCTTTCATTTCGCCGCGAAATCATGACCTCTACTTCAAATGCACCATCCTGGTTTGACCAGGCTCGGTTTATTCCTCCCGATGCCATCTTTGCCCTAACCGCAAAGTATGTGGCCGACTCATTCCCACAGAAGGTCAATCTGGGCCAGGGCACCTATCGCGATGCCAACGGTCAACCCTGGGTTCTGCCATCGGTCAACAAAGCGCGTGAGCAACTACTGGCCAACGGCTTAAACCATGAATATCTGCCCATTCTGGGCCTGGCCGACTTTAGGAATGCGACAGCCAAGCTGGTCTTGGGATCTGATCTGTATTCCCAGAGAAAGAGTCAAGTGGCAACCTGCCAAAGCCTGTCTGGCACTGGTTCTCTGCATTTGGCGGGCTTGTTATTGCGCGCATGTCACGGCCAGCCTAAAGTCTACATTCCCTCACCCACTTGGTCCAATCATCATCAGGTCTTTGGATCCCTCGGATTCCCTTGTGAGAGCTTCAACTACTATGATCCCGAGACGCGGGACTTGGACGTGGAATCATACTACTCCATGTTAGATAATGCAGAGCCTAACTCGATCGTTATCATCCACGCCTGTGCCCACAACCCAACCGGCTGCGACCCCAGCAAAGAGCAATGGAAAGAAATTGCGAGGCGCATGAAAGAACGTCGGCTATTCCCACTCTTCGACTCCGCCTATCTTGGGTTCAACTCGGGGAACCTGGACGAGGATGCCTATCCGATTCGACTGTTTATTGGGGAGATGGAGATGGAGGCCGGTGTGTGTGTCTCATTCGCGAAGAACATGGGTCTTTACGGTAAGTGCCTGCCTCGGATGACATTGATATTCGCTGACACTCGCCAGGGGAACGAGTCGGATGCTTCCTGTTAGCCACCCATACGGAACAAGCGGCCACCAACACACAATCCATGCTGGAGATGCTCCAGCGATCCGAAGTGTCCAACCCCCCCCGGCTTTGGAGCCAAGATTGCCAGCCAGGTGTTGGGGTCAGAGGAGCTCAAACAGATGTGGTATACCGATATGGTCACCATGAGCGATCGCATTCGATCCATGAGGAAGGCTTTGTATGATCATTTACTCGCATTGGAGACGCCTGGATCTTGGGATCACTTGATCCGGCAGTCGGGGATGTTTGGGTTTCTAGGATTGTCGCCAGAGGTTGTGGTGAAGCTTCGAGGTAGGTCCGAGTCACCTGGGCACCGATGTGCTAGTAGGAAAAGACGGAGATGCTAATGTCGGTATTGCAGAGGAATATCATGTGTACATGGCCGATAATTCCCGGGTGTCAATTGCGGGTCTCAACGAGGGCAATGTTAAATATGTAGCGAGATCGATTGCGGAGGTGTTGAAGGCGAACTAAGATGAACCCGAAACCAACCTTCAGGTTGGAATTCAAATTCAAGCTCGATTGACGTTGCCCAGAAAACCAAGCCTGTGAAAGTTATTTTTGCTACTAGTCGTTGACTAGTTATAGGGGATTATGTAAATTTAACCCGGTTGTAAGATGCAATGTGAGTCACCAATGACTCGACTTGGACTAGTACTGCTCCTGCGTACTTCCTCGGCTCTTGACCTATCGAGCCCAGTTCTCTACTTTGACACAGGCTACATCTACGCAAACCCATTGAGGTGTGCTCCGTACAGGATACTGGGAGCCCCGAGTCATCCACAATACCATGTCACCCGCCATTTCCGTGTCCGAGGAACCGATGGATATAGACACTACCAAATGCTGTGAGCACGCCGAGATGCTTCACATTCGCCGCCAAGCGGAAGTGTGCCAAGAGCTCTACCCCGACGAGGATGTAGCCATCCAGCCGCTGCCGTCGGGTGGAATCGCGATCCGAACACGAGCCATTTTCCAGGGCAAGCTCAACCGGGCGGTAGGATGTGGGAATGCAAGAAGAATCGATGAGGAGGATGTAAGGGGGCTAGAAGAGTTCTTCACTGCTAGCGGGCTGACGCCAGAGATCCATCTGGGACCATTTGCCTCGTCGGCAGACTTTGCGTTGTTGAAATCGCAAGGGTATGAAGAAAAAAAGGAAGCTCGCGACATACTGGTGTGCAGTAGGCCAGCCCTCTCGGTCTCCCTCTCCTCGACATCAAGGGGGGTCTCGATGCACGCCGACCCGACCCGACCAAGGTTCTGGTGCGGCGTGTGGAGCCCCACGAGCGGGAGAGATTCGTGGAGGCGTCAATTGCGGGATTTTCATCAAACGGGCGATCGCGCGAGCTGTTGGGGGCACTGGCGGAAATTGCGACACGGCGCACAGACACGAGGCTATATTTTGCGGAGGTGGATGAGCAGGTGGCGGGGACAGCAGCGTTGGCCAGCATAATGACGGATAGTGACGGGGTGGAAGTGGGAGTGGCCCATCTGTACCTGGATAGTACTCTGCCAAAGTACCGGGGTCAAGGAGTGCAACAGGCGCTGATCGTCGGGCGGTTGGAGGAAGCCCGGAATTGGGGGTTGGGGCTGGCAACGTGTATCACACGGGTGGGGGATGGAAGCGGGCGCAATGCTGGGCGAGCGGGGCTGCGGGTGGGTTATACGACGAGTGTGATGGGAGGATGAGGATGAGTGTAGGTTGAGTGTAGGTTGAGTGTAGGTTGGGTGTAGGTTAGGCGGTGGCGGCGGTGGTGGTTGTGGTGGTGGTGGTGGTGGTGGTGGAGATGAAGGAGAAGTAGTATACCCTCTCGATAGCCCCTTGGGTAGGAATAGATACCTTTTGCCCCGGAGGATCCTAGGATATTGTGGAGCACAGAGTATGGTTACTCCAATCTGTTACTAATTCGACTCAATTACCCCATATAACTTTAATTGTTAAACTATAATTACGTGATATTCCAATGTGATGTGATGATGTTAGAGTATCCGTAGTTAACTATCCCATGGGCCATGGGTAAGTCTGTAGTCTGTCTGTATGTAGTGGATGTAGTGGATGTACTGTAATGTACTGTCAGCGGTGTAAGTTGGGTACTGCAGATCAGTCACATGACATCATGTCCCGTGTCATGTCATGTGACCACCCTGGGGCCGGCTTATCTCTTATCTCTTATCTCTTACACCTCCCGTCACGTGCCAGCACATCACCTGATTGGCCACTGCCAACTTCCCATCCACCAACCACATCAACCCTGATAAACTCAACCTTGTCAGCCCGGCTTTAAGCCTTGTTCAGCCAGGATTGCCAGATTGGCGCCGGGTGGCTGCGAAGCTTGTTCTCATCCTCATCATCAAATTTTGATCTTGATCTTAATCTTCATCTTGATCTCTTGAACAACTGGAATACTCGCCTCAAGAACTCTCCAGTTTTTTCCATCCTCATCCACCCTCATCCACCCCCGCATTCTCTCCACAAGGTCTCAGTCCCCGAATCTGGAGACAGACCCATCCAACCCCAAGGACTAACTGCACCTGGCATTTCTTTTACATAACAACCGAAACTTTCTTATCATTTTTCTCTCGGGCGTCTTGCGCGACATTCGTCTACGGGCCTTCTATCGCCCCTCCGACCCCCTTCGGCGGAGTCGCCGGCCTGCATCCGGCCCTGCTGTTGGCCCGCCACCTCTCCCAAGTGGATCAGCGTCGTACTCCACGTGTGGATCGTCTCATCAAACTGCGCCCGGGGGAAAGTCTGCGCCGCTTTTGGGTGACCTGAACGACCGACCACTGATGGCCATTCTTATCTCACTGACCTCCCCCCCCTGTTGACTGATCCTGTGCTCTCTCGACTACTTCTTCTCCTCTCAGCGCCTCTTTTCCTACCTTTCTCTCTCCTCATTCACTCCCTTCTCACCTCCATCCTCCCACCGGTTCCCTTCCGGCATCATGGGCTACGAGGACAACAACATCAACGGTCATGACCCCAAGGTCATCTCCGACTCCGATAATGAGAAGACCAGCTACGCCGCCCCACCGGCTTTCGACAATGAAATGCTGGGCGAGATGACCGACGCGGAGCGTCATGGCATCCAGAAGTTCAGCCGCCTGGGTTGGAAACGCCTCACCATTGTCCTCATCGTCGAAGCTATTGCACTCGGCAGTCTGTCCATCCCTCAAACCTTTGCCTACCTGGGTATGGTCGCTGGAACAATCTGCTGTGTCGGTCTGGGCCTGGTCGCCATCTACACCAGTTACATTGTCGGTCAGGTCAAACTACTCTTCTTCCCCAAGTTGCCAACTATCCCGACGCCGGTCGTCTGATGTGGGGGCGCTTTGGATACGAGTTGATCAACTTCATGCTGTGTCTCCAGCTGATCTTCTTGACCGGATCGCACTGTCTGACTGGAACTATTGCCTTTATGAATATCACCGAGAGTACTATCTGCTCTGTGGTCTTCGCGGTGGTCTCAGCTATTATCCTGTTCGCCCTAGCTGTGCCGCCCAGTTTTACCGAGGTCGCCATTCTTGGGTACATCGATTTTGCTTCAATCGTCATCGCCATCGGCGTTACCATTATCGGTACCGGAGTACAGGCCTCAAACGCACCCGGTGGGCTGGCTGCTGTTAACTGGTCTGCATGGCCTAAAGAGAATTTAACCTTCACTGAAGGTTTTATCGCCATCTCAAACATCATCTTTGCCTACAGCTTTGCTATGTGCCAATTCTCCTTCATGGATGAAATGCACACCCCTAAGGACTTTGTCAAGTCGATCTGGACTCTCGGTATCACAGAAATTGTGATCTATACCCTCACCGGCGCCCTTATCTACGCATTCGTCGGGCAGGACGTGTCAAGCCCGGCTCTTACATCGGCAGGAACCACTTTAAGTCGTGTCGCTTATGGCATTGCCTTACCGGTTATCTTCATCAGTGGATCGATCAATACAGTTGTCTTTGGGCGCTTAGTTCACGGTCGGATCTTTGCCAACTCCCCGATCCGATACATCAACACTAAAATGGGATGGATCACCTGGCTGGCTGTCATTGCGGCTGCCACAGTCATTGCCTTCATCATTGCCGAAGTTATCCCATTCTTCAACGATTTACTGTCAATCTCCTCGGCCCTCTTTATCTCCGGATTCACCTTCTACTTCCCGGCCCTGATGTGGTTCCTCCTCATCCGGAAAGGTGGCATGTTCGAGCGCAAGAATCTGTTACTGACTGTGGTCAATGGGTTCATTTTCGTTCTCGGAATGATTATTCTCGTGGCCGGTACCTATTCCAGTATCGACGACATTGTATGTTCAACCTTGAAGATCCCCCTTACCCTCTCGCAGATATCTAACAAACTATTAACAGATCGACAAATACAATACTGGCTCTGTCCGTGGCGTATTTACCTGCGCAAAGCCATCATAGATGATGCTATGCACTTTTAAATTACTCTTGTCTCTTTCCTACGAGATATCGGATAGACATACACTGAGACTAGCGCTGGATGTGACGCAGATTGCATGGCACGGCCCTGAGATACCTAGTCATGTGACTGATGTATTTGTACATAATATTCCAGATATCGGAGATATCCATCTTGATTTATACCTTCAGTATTTCTTGTGAAACCTGTAGTTTCTTGGTAGTGGATGCCTAGCATTCACTGGCCGTGTTTTCTCGCGATGAAATCAGCTTACCTTGGTGGGATTGACTCGCAGAATGTCGCCCGACCGCGCGAGCCTATTGATTCGTAGAACGAATCCATGACCTTCCATTCACTTGCATGCGATTGTCATACCATACCGACAACTGAGATATTTGCCCCTGTAGTGGAGACAAAAGAGCAGGCTCCACATCTTCTTCCAGAGCGTCGGAGCTCTCCCTAAGACAGTGACACTTGGCACCAACTCTGAATTCAAGTTAACAGAGACAGATATCATAGGCCTGCAATACGAATTCATCAGAGAAGAAGATTCCATGATTTACTCTGCACGCAGAGTTAGTCGGAGGTTCGATTAAGAAAGGGCCAGCTGCCCTCCGGATGCTGCCGTATCGAGGATCCACACAATAATATGAAAAACCCCACGGTATGACGGGAGCTAGTCTAAATATACACCATAGCTCCCGAATTTGAATAAGTACTCCTACCTTCTACATTGGCACTGGCAGTTAGTGCCTTTGTACGCATGTTTCAGCTGGAACTGATGAGTACTAGTCGAGATGGTATCCTCCCCCATCGGGCTATCCACCAGGTAGACAATTTAACCTAGCCCAATGGAGATCGGGAAAAGGTAAGTGGTGATTCCCAAGGTTATTGAAAGCTGTCATTTACGATCATGATACACCTTGAATATTCAAGTTCATGCCCAGGGGGACGGCTTTTTATTAGTATATATAGTAGTACTATATAACTATATATTGAATTAATACATTAACGTTAACCCTTGAACCTTCATGTTGTTGCCTGAATTTGAAGCTTTTCAAGTTTGAATTTAGACCACCGAGGCTCGTTTCTTATGTGAGGATATGGGCAGTTCCAGGGCCTGCTTGTCAGCGGTAAGTAAAGTAAAGGATTTTTAAAATCGACATTTCCAAGCGGTCATCTCGATGGAGGATTTTCCGCCGCCCAGTCTTTAAGAAAGGGGTGCCAAGGTCGACCTGAAATAACAGACAGCAGCGGGCAAATGCCCAAAATGAAAACAGAGCTGATGCTAATACAAGGCAATCTTTAGGGAGAGAAGAAGTAATGTCATATTGCCCAGATTCGGGACGGCCCTTGAGCATGCAGAGTTGTATCGCATCGCATACGAATACGGAGTACCGCAGGCTTAGGTTACGGGGGAGCGAAATCGACTAAACTTTTAAGTTACTCGCCCGGAAATACACAATCGAAACCTGTTTTTAATTTGAGGACTACCCAAGAGAACATCTCTGATTGGCCTTGACTCGGACTGGGAGAGACATGTGGATCCTCTCGCCCTCAGCGTCTGCTTTCTTCAGTGATCGCACCCGAGACATAGGATCGGTTCAGAGTATGGGGCAGACCCATGATTTTACCGAAGTTGCTAGAATTTCCCCGATAGTTAGATGATCGACATGCCGTTAATGGGAGAGCCTGTGGCAATTTACAAGTCACATACATAGTAATGACACATTCTGTACAATATACTACGAGAAGTCAATTATTTTCGTGGTGGTAAATGCAGAAAGGTTTGAGAATCCCGCGTTAATTTCCTCGGACATTGAATCAATCCCAGGTCCTCGAGAAAACGTCCATTGCATACTTGAAGGGCTACGAGTATTTTATCATTGCTAGCGGCTACTCCGGACGTAGGACCCTTTTGCCTGCGGCTAATTATAGTCCTCGGAATTCTGAAGAGGCGAAGCACAACCGGCCCCACTCCCCTAATCCATATGGATCTTTCCCTATTACTCGTAGATCAACATCCAAATTTGAGACATATGCCTCGGTAGAATACAGAGTAGCTGTATACTGGTTGTCTTTCTGCGAAGTAATCCCGATGCCTGGCAAGGTCGTAGAGTATAAAGGCATGGCCTTTTTCGACCTGGACTTGTAATTTCTCAGAATACATCCACCTCATCAAACACTGCTCCATCCTTCCTCAACCACTATCTTCCTTTTCGAACAATCAACATAAACAAAGCATTTCATCATGCAGCTCAAGAACATCGTCATTGCCACCGGCCTCGCGGCCACTGCCACTGCCACCCCCGCCGCTCAGTCCAGCACTTTCGGCGTCGTTGCAATCCACTCTGGGTCTGGTGTCCAGTACTCTGCGTTCAACGCCGCCAAGAGCAGCATCTTTGCTGGTTTGTCCACTCAGAATGCCAGCTGCGCTCGCCCCAAGGAGCAGGATGCCACCTTCTACATCAACGATGGTGCCCTTTACCTTTACGACAAGTCCGCGACTCCCCAGGAGATCTACGTCGACCGATCTGGCATGGGTAAGTGAACAAAGAGACACATTGACTTTGGAACAGCCATAACTAATGCGTGTCTTTTCAATAGGCCAGGGAAAGATCGGATACACCACTGGCGCCCAACCTGCTCCCAAGAACTCCGAGCGTGAGGGATGGGCTCTCAAGGATGGTCACCTGCAGTTCGCTGGAAATGACCTGATTGCCTGCCCCAACAGCATTGACGGCGCCTGGTCTATCTGGGCTTCTGCCGGAGTCTCAAACCCTGCTGGCAACAAGGACTGCGTCGGTATCGCTGCTCGCATCGAGAAGACTTCCAACCCCAATGGCTGCCTTTACACCGAGTAAATCAAGCTACTTGAGCCTTGATTCATCTTCACTGGTTACATAGGAGATTTCAACATTAGCGAGCACTTGAATACAACTTGAATAAGATACATTTTCATTAGGCTTAAATCTAACCCCAAAGAAGCCTCCGCCGGTAAAATCAAATTAATAGAACGAAATTTTTCAGCCGACCACGAGACTTTTGAGGCGGTCTTCAGCGAATCCGAATTGCCTCATGGCTTCACAACAGGCAGATTACCACTACCAATAATATCTCCATCTTCCTGTCGGCCTAGCTTTGCTCGATTGATGCGCTGCACGGAGGTTTTGAATAGCCTAGGCATTTTTGTCTCCTCGAAGGAAATTCCCTGAGAAATCATGGTGCTAGCTCCTGAGCTGCCAGCCAGATGACGGGCATCCCATGACCATTGAATCCGGCGATGATGAATTCGCTCTCTTTGGAAGGTACTTGGCCGATGTGGGGATTCGAATCGTAAGAGTATCCCATGACACCAGTCCAGATAGTATTCACCTTGGCACCCGTATCTTCCCAACCGAGATAGGTGCGCAGCATGTAATTGTCGTAGTATGCCTTGGCCGCATCGATCAGACAACCATCATCCACATTGTCATACCATTGCTCTCTGAATGACTTGAATCTTGCAGCAGCGCCCCCAACAACAATGCTTCCATCCGGCCGTGGAACCAGGTACGAGAGAGTATGGTCGTTGGCTCGATTGATGTATGAATTATTTAGCAATGGGGGCATAGTCCCATCTGGAACAGCAATTCGGCAGCATATACCTTTGCAAGGAATGATAGTATTCTTCGCATATTCTGGAAGAGTTCCCGAGACATAAGCATTGTTGGCATATATAACTTTGCCAGTATGTACATGTCCACGGGCAGTATTAACGAAGAAAACCCCGGTCTTGTCCGACTGAACCAAATGTACTGGTGTGTATGTTTGCAGATTAACAAACTTTGACTCCAACAGTTTCTGCACCAAGTGCATAACAAGCTTGAAGGGGCCATAGTGTCCCGGCAGTGAAAGAGGCACACGCGACTGCACACCCTTCACACCACAGACCTAGGGACAAAAGAAATCAGTTCAAAATCCCACAATGCTTATATCAGGGTTGTTGAAAGCCATAATGACTCTCAGGCTCTCACTCAACCCTTCCGCCTTATTTCCAGTATAAAAAACGACATCATCCGTGTAATCAAACTTATGCGCCCGCATGCTGTCATAATTGCCTTGGCAATTTTTGCCGCCTACTCATTACACCAGACATCAATCGATCTCGCCAAAGTAAAATCGCAGTCGATGTCCTCTTCCTCAATGAATCTCTTCAGGGCACGCAGGTTAGCAATTTCGAACTCCGCAATCTCCGCCCCAGCTCTTGGACCAGACTGCTCGATATACTTTGGGATGTGCCCATAAAAGTCCGGCCGGAGATGCCCTCCATTCCTTCCGGTTGCCCCTGAACATGCAGCTCGGGCCTCAAGAATCGTGATGGAGGGTGCTGTTTCAAGGTCTCCTTTGAATTCCCGAACCAAATGATGAGCTGTACTGACCCCGGCGAAACCAGCCCCAATAATGACAATGTCGGTCTCAACTGGTAACTCTGCAGTGGAGCGATGGTCGCTGAGAGGGTGGGTTTCAGTTTGCCAGAAAGATTCCAGGGGGTTTGCGACCGGGAAACACGTCGAATTCGCGTTGATTGCGGCTGTTTGATCGGTACAGGAGATTGGCGTAATGAGGGACTGGAAGAATCAATGGAAATAAAAGAAAAGGGATGGTCGACCTTGGTGGACGTCGTCTCGACTTTGTTCTTCATCTCACCGAGTTCTCTCAGCATTTCGACCCAGCAACCGCAGTCGAGTTCCCAAGTGGCACGACACCCCTTTCCATCACCGCCAGCCTGGCCGTTCAATCAACATCTTTTTATTCGCATTTTGGCATTGTGGAGGATTCGAAGGAGGTTGGTGTTATTCTGGCTCCCAAAATCCGAGATTTGGACCAACACTGGCTTCCCCACTGCCGCCGAAGGCCATGCAGATGAAGCTGGAGGATGAAAAAGTGATTGCTAGAGTTCACTCTCTGGAGTCAAAATGAGGACCTTGGCAAATATCGGCTAGGGCTTTACCGGTCGGCTTTAAATGACGTTCCTATTTCCAAGTTGACCCCAATCAGTGGTGGGTGGTGGGACTGGCGGTTCTCGCGCTATTGATGACACACTGAAACGAGCTACTCGCAGAAGGAAAAATACAGATGCGAAAAAGCAAAAAAAGCCAAAAAAAAACCGGCACATACAAAAGGCGCATGAATGTTGTTACATCCTGTGTGACAATAAATTTGACTTCGCATGGCACGCTCATAATGGAATCTGTACGAGTCAACCCCAAGTTGTCCGCTTTGCCGACCGAGAATACAATGAACGGGCGACCATGGAGAATGCCCAATCTTTAGATACGATAAAAAAGAAAATCGTGGGGATATCGAAATGGCCAGTGCCCACCTCGAAGAGGTTCACATTTTCAAACAAGGACTTCATCAACGACATATTCAGATGATTGCCGTAGCAGGGACAATTGGCACTGGTCTTTTTCTCAGTTCTGGTCAGGCATTTGCAGCGGCCGGATCTTTGGGGGCTTTCATGGCCTATTCTATCGTTGGTCTTAGCGTTTCCAGCGTCATTTTCGCTGTGGAAAACCCTAAAGAAATGGGTGCGCTCGTTCCACTCAATGGGGGTGCGATCCGACATGCAGAACTATTTTGCGACCCAGATTTGGCGTTTGCTAATGGCTGGAATCAAATCTATTCATACCTGGTATCCATCCCAGCTGAGCTTGTCGCCACTGCAGTCATTGTGGAGTTCTGGACAACGGTGAACAATGCTATTTAGATCACCATCTTCGGCCTATTGATGATAATAACTGTCCTTGTCTTTGTTCGAGTTTATGGAGAATTAGAGTTCTGTTTCTCCATGTTAAACATTATGTTGATCATTGCGATCAATATAATAGCATTGGTGATAACTTGCGGTGGTGGTCCGAACCATGTTGCCATTGGATTCAGATAATGGATCAAACCAGGCCCAATGGTCCAGTATTTTAGTAGTGAAAAACGACTAAAAGCAAACAAAATCCAATCAGTGATTCCGTGAGAATTGCGCCCCAGTCGGACATATGTTGCATCTCCCATTACTTTCATTGCGAGAGGAGATAATGAGTATTTCGAAAACTTATCCCCGAGGACTCAAGGTAACCAAAATGGAGGCCTTGAAATTGTGAAACTATCAAATACTGGCTCGGCCAAGGTTTGTGATATCTTAAATTACTTTTACTAGGAGTATAGTATATCTTTCACCTGGGCACCTGGGCAACTTGGAATATTCGAGGCTAGTAAATCAACCCGGTCAAGATTCAAGTTACTATGGATGTCTTAAATACAAGACTAGCTTTTCAGAAGAACATCCTAATCTTCCCAGGTTGATAAAATATCAAATTTGTAGCCATTACTAATCACGTGGAAATGGATGGTACCGTAACCTGCTTTATTTTGATTGAGTACACAACCACTTCAGATGTGCTAATCAGACAGAGCGAGATGTTAAATAATGGGAAAATAAACAACAGCCTGAGTAAATACCTCATAACTATTCATAACATAGCCGGGCTATTCATCGGGGCTCTGTTTGACCTCGGGGCGCGTTCGAAGCTCCTCCTCAGTTGGCTTTCTGGCCCAGACTCTGCGACTGAAACTGGTCATTATGAAGAAGATAAATTTAGACGAGGAGAGCTTACGCGAGTTCATAGGCATGAATGCGGGGATTCCTCAATTCGGATCTGACATTGGCTAGGTAGACCTGAACCTCCTCATTGCTCCACGGGGAGGGCGCTCCAAACTTAGTGAGCAGCCAGAGAGCCCAGCCTTCCAGAGCAGCAGTCCAATGGAGGTATTGAAGTTGACCAACTTCCTTAAGTATTTTGTCCTTTGGCCAGGGACCCAGAGGGATCTTGTAAAGCTTTTCGTGAGTATCAACGAACCCAGCCTTCTCCATGGAAGATCGCATTGTCTCCTGTGTTAGGAGCGAGCGACCGGCTCGCTCAGAGCAACCAATAAAGTTATCACCCCAGCCAGCTAAATAGCTATCGCTCTTCATGGAACCATCGTCACTATACACTCGGACGTCTAGTTCGATCTGCTCAATCCAGCAACCTGGAGCAAGAGACCTACATATCAAATACTATATTAGTCCATGGAGCTTCATAAAGTGTTCGAGGAATCAAGCGATACTAACTCATAGCACTGCCTGTAAACTTGCTGCCACCCTTCGGGTGTAAATGCTCCCAGCATCAAGCGAAGGTGAATGAAGTCAAATGGCTTTTCCCACGTCCATTCACGTAAGATGTCGTCTACTTCGAATATACAGTTTGGTGGCATCCAAGTCACGGGGGGTGGGAAAATATCAACACCACGGACAGTCGCTGTACGCGATTAGACTAGCCGCTCGAGAAGGGGAATAGGGGGCACCAACCCGACGGATATTGATCAGCGATGTCGCTTTCTCGAAGTTAGTAAAGCTCTATAAGCAAGGGAGCCGAAGTAGTACATAGCCCAGGTGCCTTTGCCGGTGCCAATGTCTAGGATATGCTAGAGGATAATAAGCATGGAGCAGCTTCTTAAACCACGTGAAAATTTACCTTGGGAGATTTTGGTAGAGGAGCTCGATGAAGAGGACATTTCTCCTGGTACTCTAGCAAAAGAAACATGAGGTGACTGAAGACTACGGTTAGCAGGGATTAGGATTATTAGAATGAACAGGTACTTCCCCAATCTCAAATGCCTCAAATTGTCTTTCATCGGAAGGACTCCTACATATTATTAAATGTCAATTCAAATGTTAAAGGATGGAAAGAGGGGTTGACAGACCAGTAATCGTCGTCCTTCATTGCCTGATATCTGCTTTCATGTAAGTAGAGGAACGCCCCTCGAATGGTTACTTCATGATAACAACCGTCTACCGTTTTCTAGCCTACCTCTTGCAATCGTCGACGCAAGAGATGTAGTTTCCCTACTAGTCCATTAGCTATAGAGGCGTGTTGCTTCACTATAACGGGGATCTTACGACTCGAAGTCAACGGGCTCCCAATCCTTCGTCAGGGTGTAGAAATCGGGGTCCTGGGGATTGAGTTAAGGAAATCGTAACTCTAACGCATTCAGATCACAACTTACAATGGTAATTTTGTCCGACATCGTGGTGGTTGAATGTTGAAATCAACAGGCACAAGAAGGGGATTTCGGTTTTTCAGAGGAAGAGGGAGAGGCTTTGAGCCATTATTAAGAGCGTCTCCTGGCTTTCATTGAGCCCCGCTCTGCTTTGCTGTTCAGTAATCACGCTAACTCAATACGGATCTAGGCACATTAAACATCACTCCAGGATTTTGCACTAAGCGATCCTGGACTGGTACCACTCAGGTGTGATATTAGGGTCGGGGTAGCCCCGGAGGCCATGCGGTGGCTTCGTCCGTACGAGTACATCGTGAGAGTCAAAAAGAACCTTAGAAGATGAACATGAACCAATTGAAGTTTTAACATACAGTAGTCTCCCTCTCCTGGCGATTAAGACAAGAAGATGGAATCCCGCAAGGAAAAATGCAGCTCTCGTTTAGTAAAAGCAATGAGACATTGAGCTAAGGCTGTTTGGCCCACAACTAGTACAAAGCCATTCACGGTGCAGGAGATTGCTAGCATGACCTGTGCTAAAAAAGGCGAAAAGCCGGAAATTGAATTAAATTCAATCCATCAAGTGCTCACAACCCTAAATTTGCCTAGAACACCTTTTCAATTTTTTCAATGACTGTACTAATAAAAGAAAGCAAGTACAACCGCCTGGGGATGCTTGTGGGTTGATTTTTCAGAGGCTTGCCAAGTCCGAATCTCCAGTTGATTTCCTGTGGGAGATTGTTATAATGAGGCTAGATTTTCTTGTGCCGAATGGATAACTTATCTGGTAACTATAGAAGCCTCCTCAAACCGGTTTGGCGTAGGGAGCAACTTTCCTCAGTGAAACGGCTCTTCGCGGTATCACCACGGTCGGAGGGCATCAATTTCTGGCAAATACACGATATTAAGGTGGAATTGACAGTATTCTACAATTAAATTTGCTTGTTTATTAGTATGAAATGACTAAACAATTATCATAAAATGGTATTTTAATTCCATGGCAAGACAAGAACAGATTCACGCACAACAAAACTAGAGAAAGTGGTTAAATTAATTAAAAGAAAACCAGGTGTGGAGACCGCGGACTAGTTACTACTCGTAGCCAGTCAGTTCAATTGATGTTGTAGGAGAATTGCGAGAATGAGAGAGCAAAATACCACTTCAAGTTACATCCCACATCTTTAAAATGTCCATCCAGGGAAGAAGAAAAATAGAAGGGGATGTTTTCTCCGGTTGGCACACCGCCACGAACCCGCATTTGATCGGTCGCAGTTGGCCTAAATAGTTGGAAGCAAAGAGACTCTGATGTCAGCCTAATTCCATTTGATGCAAGAGACAGGGGGTATGTGGCCTTGTGGTCTTGTGGGGGCCAAGAATTCTGCCCCTAAAACCACTTCCCAACTGTGAAACACTCCTTGGCTCTGCACCCCTTTAACTCCTTCAGCCCCCGCCATCACACCCGATCGACCTCAACTCGGTCCACACAAGCTGATCATCTAGGTAAATTATATCCCGAGCAAGACGCAATGGGGGGTACGCCCTGGCAATCAAAAGGTTGCCGGATGTGCAAGAAAAGACGTGTTAAGGTGGGCTGCTCCGATCTGATCCGATCCGATCGTTGTTGAGAAGATCCTAACAGTCAGCAAAAGTGTGATGAGCAAAAGCCAGAATGCTTGCGTTGTATTAAGTATGGCACAAAGTGCTCTGGCTATGAGAAAGACCAGAAGTTTGTGATTTATTCCGCAGCTGTGAGATCGCAAGAAATGATCCAGCGAGCACAAGTCCCAACTGTTAACCAGGGGCGATCTGGTCTACCGCCGGGGATCGCCTCGGGTCCTTCCAGACGTGAACAGATCTTCTCATCATACTTCAACGTATTCTTTCCGGTTCAGGCCGATGCAAAGTCCAGTGTGGATCTCTGGTACTATCTGGCGTCCAACTTCTCCGCGATTCCCAGGAAAAGCGAGATGTTGGAAAAGTCCCTGGCCGCATTGGCATGTGCCTGGCTGGGGAAACAGAATAAAGATGCCGGACTACTCAAATATGGTGTTCAACTTTACAATTCAGCCATTAAGCAAATGGGGAGCATGATTACCCGTGATGTTTATTCTGATGACATCATATATTGCACCGTCCTCTTTCAGGAAATCGAGGTAAGCGGACTTACTTCCAACCATTCGATTTTTCTGTTTCATACTAGTAGTTTTCAATCTAATGGACTATCTTTAAGACATATTACTGTCCAACCAATCTTCACGCATGGATCGCCCACATCGTGGGGACCAATGCGATCCTTAACCATTACCGTCATCGGCTAGGCCAAAGCCCACTGGTTCACACCATATATCACGAATATCAGAAGCAGCGTCTGGTACGCGGGCACTATATCTAACCTTTGAAGAAGCTACAGAGGCCCGTTGGCTAATGATTTCTAGGTAATGTCCGCCCAAGGAATTAACATCAACCAAGAAGAATTCGACTACATCACCCAGCCAAGTGAAGGCAACCCAACTGTGGAACTGCTTCGCCTTTACGCTAATTTCGCGCCAATATCCAATGCAGTGAGGATGGCTAGGCCCCCGAATCACAAAATCTGTCGCATGCTGCTTCGTAAATGCCTCGCACATCGGGAGAAGGTGACAGAGTGGTATGCCAAAAATGTCAGGCGGGGCCCGGAGGAATGCGCTCCAGGAGAGGTTTTAACCACACGAATTCCTCCGACAGACGACCTATTTGGTACCGCATACCGATTCCACTCCCTTGACAGTGGGAAAATTCATATCATGTATTGGACATTGCTTAGTATCATGCATGTGGTGATCTCTCGGGCCCGGAACCTTGTTTACGTCTACTATATTGATCCATTCACGCCGGACATTGATGATCAGTTTGGCGACCAGGATTATTTGATCTCGAGCTACTGGGGCGATCAGATTGCCCGAGCTATGCCCTACCATGCACAAGATGATAAGAAGGCATGGGGAATTCACTCGGCCACGTTTTCTCTTTGTCAGGCTTGCAAGTCTGCAGCTGTAGATTCTGGAAACCGAAAGAAATTTGATTGGTGTCAGAGCGTTTTTCGTGCATTTGGAGAGGCCGGGTTCGAATCTTGCTTTCGCCTTTGTGAAGTCTTCACAGGATTGTGGATGATGCACCAGGCTCATCAAGCAGGCATTACAGTAACTTCACCTTCGGGTGAGCTGCAAGCCGGCACTCCAGAGTCAGTACGGAAACAACATCAAGTCGTGGGTGGGGTTTCCGCTGTCCCAAATTTACTAGATCAGGTCGTCCAGCGGGATGCTAATCCATAAGAACTATGGATTTTCTCAGCACGAACGAAGCCAGCGTCTTTTGCGTGCCTACCTGAAGTCGTCTCCTAGATTGTCAATTTGATGGTTTTGGCGAAGACAATAGAAAGTCACTATTCAGAGAATGATAGTAAATAGTAGCGGCGCTTATCTCAGGGAATCTTCAGGGCTTCGCAGGTCCCCGTTATCATGACCCACAGAGAAGGGGAGAGAGAGCTCGGAGGGACAACCTAGAGAGACCTTATATATCACGAGACGGCACTTTTTTATGGGTCCTTTGAAGATTATGGATTGTAACACGTTTTTGACAGCTAGACGAAACTGATTTTCAAAAGCTCTCGAACCATGAATCTAATTTTTTGTATTTTTTATTCCGGCGTCGACGCATTCCGCATTTGATCTTCCGACGAAGACAACTAGTGCAGCCTCGTTTAGGTCAGAATCTGCGGCACTGTTTCTGAAGGTGGCTGTGAGGATGCTCAGATACTCACAGATGAAAGTACGATATAGCACACGATGCAATGAGGTAGTAACGGTTCGAACGAAAGTAATAGCTTGAGGAGAGACTCGGAGGAAGCTAGATATAGGTGTAGGCGTGGATTCCTAGGTGGACCCACAGGTGTTGGGCATCCACGACAATGGTAACAACACCAGTTCGTTACGGTGGCAACATACCTACCTTGCAACGCTCTTCGCGCCTTCAAGTTGTCATTACCGAAAGGGTTAGGCTATTGGTGAGGTTGGGGATTCAAGTCTAGAACCCCAAATTCACCTGGGCAAACGACAAATTCAAGATCAGTGCATGAATAGATTCTTTGGATTAGAACTGAACCCTTGGACTGATCATACCTAGGTATATCTTTTGATACCATCAAGGTCTATAACTGAAACCTCACTTGGTCTAGTCCGGACAGCTTTACCATGTTCTGCATGTAATCTGAGCATTGTGCGATGCATGTTCCATTTCCATGTCTCGTTCACTAACCAAAACCTCTGGTATATGGGAGAGAGGACTGATAAAAGGATAGTATGTACTAAAATAAAGAGCGGCAAGAGCCAAAGAAAGAGCCAAAGAAAGGCAAGCAAGAACAGGCAACATGACTTTTAGATTTGAAGGCACTCAAAGTAGCCGTCTGTTTCATAGTACCTAGGTATGTAATTCAGCGCTGGAACTTATCCCAAATGACTTAGACTATTGTCTGGATGGTAAAGTGCAAAAAAGAAAATTAACAGAGGATATTGCGAAGTTCCAATATTATGTGGCCACAGCCGGGCCAAAAGCTACATTAATGCATATACTTCCAATACTGGCCTGACAGCTGTGTTCCGGCTACGCTGCGGGGAAGCCAAAGATAAGCACCATATGAGTATGGTTCTAATCAAAATCCCCTTATTTTCGGAAATCTTTTTGGCCAAAAGCAACAAGACACAGTGCCCACAAAATGGATTCTATTGTTAACAAAACTTGTATTATGCTATAATAAGCTCCACAGTAATAATGTTTGTTCAACTCTGGGGCCCAGAGAGGAATACTATGAAACAATACAGTGGATTGAGCCATTCCCTAGCAAAACATGAAATCGTTCTGTCCAAAAGGGAAAACGAGCGACACTGGTGTGATACCCCCTAATGGCGCCAGCAGCTTTCCACTAGGTGCTGATAGTCACAGACGCTAGTTCTCGCCTGAAACGCAGTTCCCGGGCCACAGGTCTTCAGAACTGGCGTGCCGCCCACGGGGCATTCGTAGAATCGGTGGCAGTCTTGAGGGTCCGCCCATGCCACAGCACCAGTGGCGGCAGTAGTGACTGGCACAGCAAGTACTGGAGTCATGAGGATCAAAGCCACGAAGGCGTCAAATGCACGGTAGGCAAACTGCATAGTGTCGGCTATTGATGAATTAGGTATAGGTTTGGATAGGCAATCAAGGGATAAATGTACTTGGCTTGATGTTGACAAGAAGAAAGGGAAACTGCAGACAAGTTCGGCTTAATTGCTGTTGATTATGAAGGACTTCTGATGTTGGTAAAGAACGACTTGCGTAGTGAGGGCAGTTGGGGCTCTTATAACCCTGAGATAATTTTGTCTCGGCTAATTTTGCTTGGATGTTAAGAGGAAATATTATCCCTGTCGTCGGCTATTGGTACCCTCACCATGTTGAAGGGAGCGTGCACATAGTTGAGATACCCCAAATCATAGCATTCCTCCCACATATCGAAATCCGTATTGGGATAGTCCCTTGCATTGAACGACAGTGCCATGGCTCGGGAGAAAAGGAAAGGAAATATATCTAGGGGAATGGTGCCTGTTATGTCTCCCAATCAGAAACGACCTTTCGAATCATCTATGCAACTTTATTTCCGTTTTTCTATGGTTAGACCTCCAAATTGACCTATCATAGCTCTTTCATTCACGTCTACATTGTTAATACCACATTCTACAAGAGTAATTTTGAATTATGTTGCTGTTGGCCTTTCGGGCCTTTCTCTCTTTTCTTGGTCATTTTTGTGCAAGTGAACATTGGTTACTACCTTGGACTACCGGGAGGGAAGAATTGTTTACTTTGACTGTAAGGGAGTCTTCAAATACCCTCTGGTGGCCTTAGGGTCTGTACCCTGATTATGTTTTATCATGCGTGTCATGATCATCATAGGTATCATTGTGCTTGTATGTAAAAACATTGAAATCATCTAAAACATCGCACCATCCACTGGCCAAGGGTGGCTGTTCAATGACCCACTATGGTTTTCTTGCAAAGCGGCATAGAATATTGCTTGTCTTGGTCACCAGCCCAGTATAGAGTACTCAAACTCGACTCCCCAAACTCACAGCTATGTCCACGGGTAGGATTGAAATTCATATGGCTGTTTTCCTAGATATACAATTGAAAGAATGAGCATAGACTTGAAAAACGTCGGGATTAGGAAATTGAATGCATCCTAGTATCCAAAATATATTCTTGCCCAGATGAAATCTCTTGCTTGCGAAGGTGTCTTGGGCGTTTGTGCCACGGCCGCAAACTTAACCTGCAAGACTTCGCTCCATTATTCGGAAGAACTGGTTCATCGGAAATCACCAAGAGAGGTGCATGCTGATGGAAGATAGGAAAAGTCGTTGCAGAGTCAGAACGAAATTTCTATCCCGGTATGATTTCCTTTCCAGCGATAATGGGAAGTCAACAGCTAACCTAAAGCAGTCTCGTGGAAACTTCGAAGAGAAACGCCTTGCACTCGGGTCATCAATCGCTCACTTTTGTTCCAGGAAAGGGAAAGATAAGATAATAGATCGAATGAAGATAGCTGATTTTTTGTGTTTACGTTTGTGCTCATAATTGATGACTTTTGACTTGCTGGCACGCGGAATTTAGGATTGAGAAGATCTGCATCATTTGCAAAGCTCCCTCCTCAGTCTGCATGTAAAGTAAAAAACCCGAGCCTTTGAGAATGAGCGCGGCCAATATGAGATTTGCACTTTTTGACAGGCTCTCTCGATAGAAACTTCAAAAGTCGCACTCAATGACATTGCACAAAAACTTGCCCGTGACGTCGACAGGATTTTATCTCCATTATTGAGACCCGCAATGGCGGCTCTTGATCCTTGAACGAGACCAGATACGATTCGTTTATTGGTACTCGACTTGTCGAGCCCAAACTCCAGAATTTCCTGCATTGAGGTGGCCAGAATCCAGTCTTCATGAGCTACTAGGACATCTTTCAAGTCCATTGTTGTGCCTCGAAGCATGGCTCGGAATCCTTGGGACATGTCTCCCAGGTAAGGCCACAAGTACGTCAGCCAGTCACATGCCTGAAGCCTTTCTCCTCTTTGCCACCGTTTACCCATATCGACAATAATGTCGTCCAAGGGACTCATCTGGTCGAAACCAAATATACCGCTGGCTTTTCTCAGGCTACTATCGATCTGGAGAAGGTACACGCAACCGCGCATATAAGGTATCAGCTCTGCGTACCAGTCGTCATAGAAACTGCTTTGGGAATCGACTATGTCCATATGGATTCGCGGGCTGCTACCATAAGCTTGTAATATCGCATTCAGTCTGCCCACGAGGTAGTCAAAACCGCGAAGGCCAAAGCGATAGGGCAAAAATATGGAATAAAATTCTGCGAGGCCTATTGAACAGTTTGAATATAATACAATCCAGTAAACTGGTAATAGTAGGCTTACTTACCTTCAATGTACCACCCATTATCATATCCATCATCCTCGGGGTCCATAGATGAGAAGCTGTGGATCATCTCATGAGAGAAGAGAGAGACAAGCTCTTCCTCTGTTTCTTTGCAGATCGTATCATCGTATTCAAACATATAGCTTTCCAGACATGCGCTTCCTCCATACCCTCTAACCACTCGCCTAATAAAGATGCTGTATGAGGCTTTTTCTCTCAGAAAAAAGGCGGCTAATTTGAAGAAAAACGACACACTATATTGATTGAGAGAATGGATATTATCAGGTAGTTCCCCAAACCAGTTGATGTTCGCGCCGGCGAAAGGTCGCTTATTAGATGCTGGCTCAGGGTAACTCTTGATTGGTCCAACCATGAAGATCGAATTTGCAACTGTCATGGGGTAAGCGTCCCTGGAAATGGGACCAGGGCCCTCGCCATAAGACCACATCGCACGCGTGCCCAATGGTGCTTTTGACAAATCCCACTCAACGACGTGACGCCATACTCGATTTGCTGCAGGTCGGGGGAGGAACCATCTCCCACCACTGATGAGGCCCCCCCTGGTCGCGACGCATGTCGACACGTGGGCCCATCGGTGTTTCGATGTCTACATATCGAGGAAAGACTTTAAAATGCAATGTGACTTTGCCAGAAGTATTGCGCTTCACGCGCCATTCTTGGTCAGGCGAGTTCAATCTGGTCTTGGTGAAGTAAATAGGGAGGGGGCCGTCGTGATCGAAAGCTAACACATGTTCTTCGGTGAATTGATAAGCAGGAACATTCCCACAGCGCGTCTCAAATAAGAGAAGAGCCTCATGGGCAATGCAACGTGGTCGATGCAGGGTTTGTTGGATGGATAAAGAATATGCGCCTTGATGGTCAAAAAGCGGGGTAATGGAGATCCTGAATATAGGAGGTCCATCTGCGGGACAACTTTTAAACAAATCTTCCATGGGGAACTAATTCATTCGAACAGATTGTTTGTGAAAAGTGGAAGTCCACTGGCAGGGATTTTCTAGGAGAGGTGGAGTGGGGGGAGAATGGGGGAAGATGGCACAATTTAAATAGCAGTCACAGCCTTATGTTGTCATAACAGTACTTTGTTCGCCAATAGAGAAGGAATAAATTTCGGACAAAGGATGTAATGTCCGGCGATCCTTGCAGCTCCTCCATAGTAGTCACGATGCCCCATATAATAACCACGAGTATCGGGCTAAGATTCGACTCTAAGCGACTCACATCCCTACAAGTACCCGAGTCTTGTTGTTGCATCGAGTAGCATCTTCTTACAATAACAATTTTCAGGGTAGAAGCAATCTCTCAGTATCGATTTAATTGCGGTGCCATGGAGCTCTGCACAGCGTGCCGTTCTAGGGTATCATCCGACGCGCATAAGATACACTTAGCACAAAATTACGAGTCAGGTCAAATCCATAAAGGGAAAGGCTGGGCGCACCTGTGCCAAGAAATCTAAGCAATGCAGCTGGGCACCGAAACCCACTTTTTCCAAGGGGCCATCTAGTACGAGGTCGCTGCATCTAGATATATAGTCTGGCCGCACACCAACCCATGAGGTCTCGTAGGCGCGTTGTATTTATTCCAATATATTTAAAGATATTCATGGATATAGTTAGTATTTCTATAGAAATTCAGATTTTGCAATGAAAGCCTTACAGTTCTTCAACATTCTCCCTTAGCCCCCCCACTTAGCCCTCCTTTCGTTGTCGAGGATTATACTGTTTGCGTTTCGTATGACGAGTATTTCTCTTCTGCGGTTCGTCTCGGCTTGGTTAAGGCATGTCTGGTCTAACGGGCTGGTTGATTTCGTAAAACCAACTTCTGGGCTCAGGGACTCGGGAGAACACCACCATTCTACTTTTCGAACAGGGAATGGCATATGAACGGGCATGACTGCGTTGTCTCCCGGCGTGTAGAATAATATCTTAGCTAGTATTGGGTCCAGCGGTGAATCGGCCAGGCCGTGTGGATCCCATGGCCGATCCCCATGTGCGATCGACGGTAAAGGATCGTCCCGCGTGACAGGAAAGCTGGGAAATTTCATTGGCGGCGTCGATGCGTTTGACCCTGATGAGTATGTGTGGGGTATCTCTTCCATCCTGTCAAGCTTCTTGAACTGTCGCCCACTGCGAGCTCGTTGACTGAATTCACAAGGCACCAGGGCGCGCGTGCACCGTTGACACGGGTTCAGCCAGTCGCCGTCAGACAATGGCACGCACCGCAGTTTTTGCTGTCGACATCGATCGCATGATATGCGGTACGATTGTGCGGTGGGCCTGGAGGAGACTGACATTTTGACCGTAGGGTTGGTAAGGCTGGTCAGCTCACAATGCCAACGCTTGGCTGCTCTGATCGTCGTTCAGATGTGATGGAGCAGTTTGTGATCTGAGGACTTGGCAAACTTTGGCGTTGACTGACAACCAAGAATTTTCGGCGTTGGTGGAGCAGACCCGGTCCATGTCTATATAACTTTGGATTGAAAGTGCCCAGGTGGACGACAGCCTTGGGATCACGGTACGAGCGGATCTAGCATCGGACCGCGTAGAACTGGGCCTACTGGTGGGAATGGTAATTCAAGTTGCTTCAAATTGGCATATTTTGTCAAAGAATCATGCAGAAGGGATGCTATTGATTGATATCCCCCGCTTCCCAGTGCATCAATTGACTAAACAGGTGGAGCAGAGCATTTTGTCATTTGCTGAGTATATCTACCCCGTACTAGTATTGAATGCAACCAGGGGAAGCGTTCCTGCGTTGAGAGCAGAAAATAGCAGCACCGGTGCACCGATAATCGGAAACGATCTCGTTTATGGAGGCTCCAAGTTTGGTACTACTATGGATGCTGGGACTAGGCGCCTTCGGTTCTCCGGGAACTAAAATCTCTGGCAAATGCGACATTGTTCCGATAGGCGAAGTAGAGTACCCCAGGCATGATTTGGGATCTCACAGGAGATACCCCTGGCCTATGGGGGTATAACCCTCCGAATGCTTGGTATTCGGGCCAATACGGCTGACAAGTAAAACCCAGAAGCAATGAGAGTTGTCATGCCATGCGCCTTCTGTAGGCCATGTGTAAACGTGTAAGGTGGCCTGACAGGGGCAGTGATATTGTGCTGAGCCTTGGCAACGACGCGGCGGACGGATTGTGACAGGTTAATTCGAGATACCACCTTCCAGGGTGTAATGACTCTCGTATGTATTCCGCACTTCCTACTGAGAGCCAGTAAGTATCGGACGAACGTACAGCGCCCCTCATGTTTTGTCCACCACCCACTTGGCTGCTGAACGCTAGTCCCGGGATATTAGTCCTTCTTCCAAAACGAGCCTAAGTCACTTTTAGCTTGGAGCATGGATCGGGTCGTTTACAATAGTGAGTAATTATTTCATCATGTTATGAGCAAAAAAGCAAATCGTATTTAGGGTTTAGCCACATCTATAAACGATAATTATCTATGAACGTCTCGCAGAGATTTCACAGCGTCACTGTTGTCCGACTCCGCAGCCACTCTCCATAGCGATAGAACAAAATTGGCACGGGCGCAAATGCTAGTGCCCAGGAATCCTAACAGCGCATTACCCCATCCGTAGTTGAGAGTCGAAAACATATGCGACCCAGCAAGGGGCAAGAAGGCACCAAACATCGAGCGGAGGAGAATGTTGGCGCCTATCGCAGATGCCGCCGCATCCGACCCGAACAGATCTACCAGGTACAACTGGGAGGGCATGATCACGAAGAAGGCTCCAAAACCGACAATGAACGTCCCAAAGATCGAAACCCTTCAATGCACCTGGTAATATGCGGACCAACCATAAATGAACAATCCAGGTCTAATGACTGGCGGAAACCACATCATCAGGACCAGTCGATACTCGGGCTTAGACTCCTGGAAATTGTCCGCTACCATTTTCGCCTTCAAAAGCCGGTCGCTCAGAATGCCAAATGTGAGCAAGCCCAACAATTCGCCAAGACCTAGTCCCAGGTAGGCCAGACCAGAAATGCCGGTGCTGAATCCATACTGACCCTCGGAGACCATGTTGAAGGTGACAAAGAGGAGGTAAAGAAGGCCGAATATGATGACCACATAGATGAACAAGATGAGGACGATCGGCGAGAATATCAAGAGTTTGGTGGGGCGTACGAGGGCGGCGACAATAATCTGCTGCTTTGTGAGACCACGATCGAGTTTCGATCGGAGGTGCGGGTTCCCGGTTGCGCGTCGCAAGTATACGGCCTTGCGTTCTAACAGGGCGTTGGGATGTGTTTCGCGCATGAAGATGAACGCGCCGATACCCGCTGCTCCTCCCTGCTATTGTTAAAATTGTGGATATAAGTTGAAAGCAAGATCACTTACGAGGATCGCGACCACCCAAAAGGTCCATCGCTAGTCCTCTCTATCGGCGACGAAGCCTCCAATTACTGGCCCCAGAACCTACATGGGTTATTATAGTATAATTAGGTAGCGGATTGGAGTTACATACCGGTCCCAAAAGGGGACCCACGCCAAACAAGGCCGCTGCCGCACCGCGCTTGGAATAACACTATACTGTAGTTTTTCTACCCTGACTATATACAGTTTCTCTTATATAATTATTCCTAGATTTTCAGAACTTCTAAATCCTAAAGTAATATATTGAGATCGTAGAGGCTTTATGTATGGTCATTATATAAGCGGTCGGGAACTGCTGGCCATGATCTCTATAGATAGTATCGCTAATAGCCCTAGTACTAAAAATCAACAACCTCTTCTATTCTAGGATCTTATCTAGTAGTATGTTTAAATTACTATTATTATCGTAATTCTATAATAATAAGGCCAAAAGTATAAGTCTATAGCCTAGTATAGATAAATCCTATTTTTCCCTAAGTAGAAGATACTAAGAAATACTAATATTATTAAATCAAGATTATATACTACTACATATATCACAGAACTTATGCTAAAGAGAGTAAGACTTATTAAAAGATAATCATCCTACTTTATAATTAAACCCTTTGTATTAGGCTGTCATCGCTTCAAGTTGATGATAGGGTAAAGCTAAGGCAGGAGAAACGATAAGTCCATTTTACAATCGATATGCGTCGAGCAGGGCCTAGCTGAGAAACCGATAACAAGAGATTGGCGCTTCAGTACATACAGCAGTAATTAATCAGTGCCAAGAAAAATGTACAGCAAAGTGCTGCGGCGTAACATGAGCATTAATGAGGTGTCTAGGCTACGTTACATTCGAGATTCTATGCGACAAATTCAGACGTTCGGACGCCAAGGAAAGTAGTTCCAAGTGGATCAGAAGTCTAAATATTAAATTCTTGAAAGATTATACTTTCATTTCGGACATGGTGGCGTATCGGCAAGGGATAGTTAATTGTCGGAGCGAGTGCGTAATCATAACGAAATATGTATTTGCTGGAGTGGATCTCACTCTATCCTTCTCTTAGGAAACTAGGACTCGTAAGGGAATCTAGGTGCGGGTATGACTATTACAAAACAGGGGTACAAGCTCTGCTAAGCGTTAGGACAGCATGGCAGAAGTGCTGCATTTATAGTATCCTACTAGTCTTGCAACTATAGAAATGAATCTAATCCGCGAAATCGCTCAAAATTCTCTACGCGCAGCAAGCCCAGCGATCGTGCTACACCAAAATGCCTTGATTTGCTAATACCCCGCCTCAATTTTGGGTGCTGGCGTGAGAATCCCCCCCCCCCCCTTCCCAAACCGCCATTTAAGACTTAATAAAGCTCATTCGTCAGGGGAAGAATAAAGTGCCTGCGTTGTCTCCACTTCCCCACAAATTTCCCACACAGAGCCAACACGACAATGCGCAGAGATGTTAACAGTCTAGGTACCTCGGAAATTAACGTCACAAACAGGCATTAGAGGAGACCCGGCATCAATTTTCTTCCTGTACGAAAATTCCACGTGTTTACAGACTTGCTCCTTACGGAACTAGCCCGATTCTAATGAATTGTCATGTTAGTTAATGGATTGCGACTTTAGCCTCATCTAATTGTTGCATACCTAGTCGTAATGGTTTTTCGTGGTACGCGTAGCTCCCGCTTAACAATTCTCCCTAGGAATGTTGCTCCTTAGCCTGGAGGCACCGAAATCCGAGGCCGGCTATCCAAATTTTATGCCGCACGACGATGAAATAGCTTTTAAAGTCCTTGAGTAAATACCGATACTCCGCTTCTCCGTGACTCACTTGATGTCATCTCCGATCCACATAGTCGCAATTATAATCCCTACGTGGCAAAAGTGTGTGAATTCGAACTTGAAATAGAGAAACAAGAACGATGATGGAAAGAGAAAAGTGTTAAGCGCAACGTGAAACGAGGAATGGGGAGCTCGCTACCCGACAAATATCTATCTATAAATAACCCCAGATCCGGCAAATATCGCAGACTTTGTTTATGACAACCTACCACTCCTTTCTGGCTTCCAAATCTTTGATCTGTGGTGTATTGCTGCAACCCTTAATTGCAATGCGTATCTTCAAAAGACTTGCAGCGGCATCAAGTGCGGCGTTCATAAGTCATACTTTGGCCATTCCGTTTATTGTCCACCCTGGTGGTGCGAATGATGTTGTCATCATATCTCAAGATACTCTCAACGAGACGATATCCAACCACGGGCCTTGTCAGGCTACAACTCCTCTGTCAGCTGGCGATGCTGAGCAGCTCTCAGTCTCTGTGCAAAACAATTTCCAGAGCGATTCCGTCCATGTCTTTATCACTGGACTCGATTTCGATGGGAACATTGTTTGTCTTACACCTAGTGGAAGTTGGTATACTCCAACAGGAGATAGCAGTTCCACGACTCCCCAAGAAATTACGGAAGACATTGCCATTCCTATTGGTGCTTATGGAACAACTACTTCCCTTACCCTCCCGAGGTATTTTTTATCGGGCCGCATCTGGGTCGCAGATGGTGACCTGACATTCTGGACTGTGATATCTGCCACTGGTGTTCTATCTCTTGTTGAACCATCTGCAGTCAACCCGGATGATAGTAGTGCAAACGTCAACTGGGGCTTCGTCGAGCTCACAACAGATTCTAGCGGTATTACGGTTAATTTGAGCTATGTCGACTTCGTTGGTCTCCCGCTTGGTATCGAGGTTCAGGGTAGTGATGGCACCCAAACAGCTCTCGGTGTGTCGGCAGATGCTTTATCATCTATCTGCAACGACTTGGCTACACAAGCATCCTCAGATGGTCAGCCCTGGAACGAACTCTGCATGACTGACACTAGCGGCAATGTCCTCCGCGTTATCGCTCCTTACTACTACATAAGCCTAGAGCCGGACGCTTTCGATTCCTACTGGACGAGTTATGTATCTAATGTCTGGTCTCAATACGAGACCACGCCCCTGACAATCGACACCCAGGCTGCAGCTGGCCTGATAAACTGTACAGTGTCAAGCGGTACCTTGAACTGCGACGGCGACAATCGAGGCTATGCACAGCCAGACGCCAGCGATATCTTTGGTTGCAATAGCGGTTCATTTACAATTGAATCAAGTGACAATGACGTCCATAAAGCTGTTGTTCCGCGTCTCTGTGCCGCATTTAACCGGTCGACATTTTTAGTTAGCGGGGGGGGATGTAGAGCCGAGCCTCAATTCGAGCTCTTACTACGCGACATCACCGACAAACTACTACAGCAAGAGTGTGCACCAGCATGAGGCTGACGGGAAGGGGTATGCATTCGCTTATGATGATGTGACTCCTGACGGCGTGCTAAATGCCTCTGGTCTCCTTTCTGACCCGAACCCCACTCTTCTCACTATCACTGTTGGTGGACCAACGTCCTAATATTGAATCTCAACTAGTACTGTATAATACTGTCGACCAATCCTACAGGATTCAGTGTATATACTGCAAAAAAAGACTTCTGTTATTTTGTTCGTGTCATACGGGTTTGTAAATTACTACAACTAGTAGTTGTCCTTATTAGAGGCATGAACATATTGACAGCACATGGAGTGGTTACTTACGACTAGAAAATGATTCGATACACTAGAACCCATATTTCTTTGTGTTTGATATAGTGTAACGAACTGGTGTGTGTTCACACCATAGGGGGGCCCCCCCCCAACCCTGAGTAGGGTGCTGAGTCAGCATCCGCGCTGAGTAGGGTTACCACCAACAGCGTAATGTTTTGAAAAATATGCAATCCCTATATACTGCATTCTTGTTTTGCAGACTACTAGTTGCTCAAGCTAGATTACTAGTATCCAGTTCAACAATTATAAGATTGTTATGACGATCAAACAAGACCCTATATTTTAGATAAAATAAAAGCTAAAGTGTATTACTCACGATCTTAGGACAATCAACAGTATGACAAAATACCCCTTAAGGTACAGTCGCTAGGTTTTAAGAAACTAGTAGAATATCAGTAAAGCACTCTCAATTATCATTATTCTACTAGTAAATAACTGGTAAGCAAACTGGTGATTGAAGACTGTATCCGCGTTAGTCTTATCTATGTGTGGTAAGGGTATGCCAGTACTTGCTTTGTGCTCTTTGTACCACATAAACACAGGCTATATATGCCTATTCGTCAGTATCGGATAGTATTTTATATAAAAGAATACTTACATATTCCATATAGGATAGCATTTTGTCGAATATTGGGTTGGAAATAAGGAGGGGGGGGGGAGGTACGCGCTTACGAATGGGAAGAATAGAAGTGAGAGAGAGCTGTATGGTATGGTTTGCGGGTATTGGGAGTAGCACCCTACTCAGCGCGGGTGCTGACTCAACACCCTACTCAGGCTTGGGGGGGGGGGCCCCCTTTCGCTGGGATCTGACTGGTGTTGTTACCATTCGTGGATGCCTCACGGCTATGGCACCACTCTAGGCATCCACGCACACCTGTGTATCTAGTCTTCCGTCTTAGCTTCCTTCTTATTCTCCTCAAGCTATTACTTTCATCGAACGCTACTATTTCCTTTGCCTGTTACGCTACGTCGTACCTTGATCTCTGTGAGGCCGCTTCACCTTGGTCAACAACGTTGATAAGCAAATAATTTGTCAGGCCTAGCCCCAGGACAACCACGGCTCCAGGTAGACCCAGCCACTTGACCCGCCCTCCACCCCGAACGATAAAATTTCTTATTTCAACGTTAAATCAACAGGCTCAATACCCAGCAAAAAGCCGGCCGCCCGGTACGGACGTCGAGTGAAATCTCTGGGTCCGGCACAATGTACGCAAGTGGTTGCTGTCGAAATTGGGGTCGCCTCACATGATATCTACACCGACATTACTGAGGGGTTTTCCCCTTCCTACAACTCCACTGCGGGGTGGTTGCTTGTCTCTGTAGCTATCTCGTCTTCTCTCAGCCAGTAAAGTCTCGATTTGTCCTTCCCACCTTCCCTCTGTACCTAGAGACCGCTACATACAGACACATTGCCTCCCTACAAGGGAGCGCGGACGGGCCTTAACTGACACCACGGCCTAAGACCGCAGCGACAGGTGACCCGTTACGGCCAACTAAACACGTTCCTGATCTCTCTTGCTGGGCGAGGTCACCAATAAAAAACGCTCCTTTCCCGTCAATGAGGAAGGTAGGACTTTGCTCTTCATACCCCGAGGCCACTCGGGGTGACATCCGCAGGATAAGCTCTGCGTTACCAAGTGATCTTCGCAGGGAGGCGCTGCGTTATGAAGTGAGCTCTGCAGTTGGGATCTGTGATAAAAAAATACCTACAGGAGAGTGTTGCGTCAATAAGTTCTCCCTCGCACTAATGAGTCCTGTGATTGTAAGAGTGTGCTCCCTCACAGACGATAAGCCCCGTGACTGTAAAAATATGCTCCCTCACAGCCTTGAGCCCTGTGATTGTATAATCTTAAGCTTCCATACAGCCTTCAGCCCTGTGTTATCAAATTTGCGCTCGTTTCAGTGGCCCGCAGCGCCGCGTTCCTTGTCCTGACCCTTGAGGTACTTGAAGAAGCCAAGACCTGCTCCAAAGAATCGATAGAAATCAAGAATCCTCCAAGGATGCTTTGTATGTTATGCCGTTTAGCCTTGTTCGTAGAGTTCACCGTTCATATTTCTTGTTCACATAATGTATTTTTTAGCCTTTAATCACGCACTGAGTTTCGATAATGGACATTTTCTTCGACGTAGTGTGAAGTAGAGCATTGAGTCATGGGGCTGGTTAATCCCGGTGTATAATACCGTGGTGGCCAATCTGGCTGGCTACTGAAATCCAAAGTAGTCTCCATTGGTGTGAATTCTTGTCTCTGCTGGGTAGCAGTGGCGGCAGAAGTTATCCGGATGTAGTGAGACGCGGGTATTGTTGACGGTGAGGATGGATGACGCGCGCTGAGGGTGAGGATCGAAGGTGAGGTTTGGTGATGACTGCTGATATGTTGATGCTTTGTTGGTGGCTTGTTGATGATGTGTTGATGGTGAGCGTAGAGGCTGAGGGTTGAGGGTTGGTGATGACGGTGATTAAGGAGATGACCAAACATGCTGTTCTGAGCCGCAACGATGAAACTAAGAGAATGTTAAAGACTTAAGTTACACTGCCTGGTAATATATGAAGAGGGGCTAGCTCCTGGTTTAGGTGGGCTTTGTTGGCTTATATCACCCATGGGCAAGTTCTCATCGGTCGAGGACGATCTATTCCTTAGGGAGAGCCACTGCGTATGTGATAACTATGCGTGAGATACCGGGTTCGAATTATTGAATGAGTTATTTGATTAGATTCGCTTGAATCCGTGTCCAGTTCCATTTACCACATCTGAGATGTCTGCAGCAGGGACAATATAAACAGATCTGCCGGGACAGAGATTTGGGGGCACAACCGACGGACTATAGCGCATGGATAATCACAAGTCTTAAATAAGTCTCATTGGTCGCACCATTGAAGTAAACACATGTATTCTGAAGAGTAAAATAAGAATATGTGGAGAGAATATTATGTCGCATGCACTTTGTTACTGACTTGACTCCTTCGCCCGTAATTCCTTGGTCGCCCTAGAGCGGAATGCATCTATAATTAACTCAATGAGGCAAGGGAGCTCCAACAGCTGATCAGTGGTTAGTGGCAGATTTGGAGAAAGCCTCTTTTTGCATTATCGGTCGACAAGTGCATATTGTATTGCTCTCGCTGAGCAGCTGCGCGAACGATAGGCTCAAACGGCATGATGTTCTTGATGGTTTCGTCGGAGACTCACCATAACATGCGCGGCTCTGTCGCGATAGACCACCGTCATGAAATATGGCCCAACCAAGGCATACGTTTGCGTGACCTCCACGCTCAGATACCTGCATTGGATTCAGCGCCCCAGCCACCTGAGAATAGTCTAGCTACAGATTTTCGGCGGGACCAGGGATACTGTGGGTGACATTAAAATCCCCTCTCGGCTCGCCAAGCCTTCAGTCTCCAGGGCTGAATGAAGTATGAGGTAGCCGGAGGCACACATCATAATAAGCAACTATTTGTTAGTCTGTTATGGGCCGGTTTCGAAGAGCCGGAAAATCTTTTGTTCAGTGACTGCTGCTCTGTTCCTCATTAAGTGGCAATGAAGCTGAAGTAAATTGCTTTTTAATGAGCCCACGTTCGATTTTCGCTTGCTTGTTGGTTAATTATAGTACCACCCTCGGTCTATTCCGAGGCGTCTTTCCACTCGGCGAGGATCCGTGCTACCTCCTTGAACGAAACAGGCTTCGTAAGGAACATGCTCACACCCGCGCCCATGGCCTTGGACTCATGAGTTGAGCTGGCGAGGCCAGTAAAAGCAATAATTTTCGCTCGATCGCTTCCTTCCCGTTCTCTTTCAATAGCTCGAATAGCACGCGTTGCATCAAATCCGTCCATTACGGGCATTGACATGTCCATGAAAATTATGTCGTAGCACCCTGACATCTTGACTAGATTGACGGCTGCTTGGCCGTTCTCTGCTTGGTCCAGAAGTGGGACGTTTCGTTTCTTCAAAAAGGTAGTCAATAGGTTGAGATTGATCTGGTTGTCGTCCACTGCCAAGATTCGAGGTCCCGCTGGCCACGTAGGTGGTGTGTCAACAACGGCCGAATCAGGGGAGGATGTAGAGGAAGGCACAGGAATGGCGGAGGATGTGCCACTAGATGGAGGGCGCCATGGCTCTTCTGTCTTTGTACTTAGCTCAGAATTATCACTCCTGACATTCTGCGTGACATCCACGTCGCCAGCTTGGGAGACTGGCATGGAGTTGGAATCGTGATCTGGCCATCGTTGGAATTGTGATGCCGAGGCAATAGAATCCTTAAGTTGTAGAATTGGCTCTGTAATCTTTGGTCGTTCTGGGAGGATGCATGCTGGTCGGAGATCCTTTGAATCCGACGCAGATGTCTGTTTCATTTCAAGACAGCTCAAGATACCCCTAGCGAGCTTTTGTGGCCCGGAAGGTCCATGGATGGATGCCAAAGAGTCGGCAAGGTGTGACCATCGTAGGCGGGGGTCACCATGGCTGACCGACTCGTTGCAAAAGATAAGCAAGCTTGGTAATGAAGTTGGGAAATCCTGCTTCGTTGTTGTAAAAAGGTCGTCCTCGGTTGCAAATAGGATATCTATTTCCTTGTCCGAACAGGACACAAGCTGCAAGCCGTACCAATTCGTAACATAGCGAACGATCGAGGACCAAAACTGAGACTCATCCAGACGGGCATAGTCGATACCCCAAATTGCGGCACGTTTCCCACGTAGATCTGCGCCATCCAGTTTGGAAGATGGTGTAGGTTGATTTTTTTCAAAGCTTTCCGCTTGAAGAGCTGATCGTGGGGTCTCCTCCCGACAGGACGGTCGAAAGGAAGCAATACCTGAATTGTAGTGCCTTCTCCAACACAGCTTTCGACGCTTATTTTTCCGTTGAGCGCCCTCACAATGCCGCGGACAATGGACAAACCGAGGCCAGTGCCTACAGATAGTGTATCCTCCTGCGCAAATGGAGTATATAGACGCTTTTGGAGGTATTCGCTTGAGATCCCCTTGCCCGTATCTGACACAGTTAAGGCCACCATGTCTTGAAGGCCCTGGCGGCGAGATCTCCCTTTAGACATCTCGGTGGCTTTGATGCTAACAGTGATAAGACCCTTTTCGGTGTACTTGAGGGAATTCCCAAGAAGGTTCATAATCAGGCGTCTCAGTGATCCTGGTTGAACTTGGTACATCCAGTCGTTGTTGGCAATGTCAACAACCAAGTCCACATCTGAACGAGAGGGAGCATCTTCGACCTGACTTTGTGAGTTTGAACGCGATGTGTGTGAGGTGAGCGCGGGGCGATTAGTCGAAGTAGTGGACCTTTGCATGTGGAAATGCCCTAGAGCCACGCTATCAACAACATCCTCTGTTAGGATGGCCACATCTATTGGGACAAACGTGTCGAGTTGCGGGATGTCATCAGTGGGTTTTGATTTCCAGGGGTCTTTTCCCTTTTTGAACCTCCTCTTTGAACGCTCCAATGACATCATTTTGCTGAAATCCAGCACCTGGTTCATGGTGTCCAGAAGTGTTCGACCGCAAGCATTAATCGTCTCAAGAACAGAACTTTGGAAATCATTCAAGCTGGTATCTGCCATAAACTCAGCGGCGGCCAGAATACCATGTAAGGGACTGCGCAGCTCGTGGGAGATGCTGCTGATGAAGTCACCCTTTTGGCGGTCCGCTATCACAGATTCAACACGACTGTATTCTGTCATGATAGACGATGCAAAGGCAAAGATTGAGCTTAGATCAACGGCACGACTGAAAACTCGAGTCGGGTGGGGGGTCCAGCAGAAACATCCTGCAAACCATTGCGAGTCAGTGCCGTTCCATAGTGGGACGAAAGCGACCTGACATGCCTCAGGGAAATATGAATTCAAACTTGCTGTTTCAGAGTTTTTGAACCTCTTGTGCTGTTTCCGAGATGTCTCCCTGGATAGATCTTCGTCTGAAGTGGAGAGAGTTCCATCGTGACGGAAAGACCAAAGTCTACCTTTCGGATAGCGACGTGTCAACTGATTCAAAAAGTCATGGTCAAGAGTGACAGCTGCATTTGTCGCGGGAGATACTATCTGGCTTGATAGTGGATCATCTCCGGTGGAAAGCGCAAGAACGGGCGCAGGGTTGTTGTGCTCGTCAAAACCGCGACGGTTGTCCGTGAAGTTTTCCGACGAGTCCTCGCTAGTCCCCATAAACATCACGCCACCGGCACCATCCAAGTCAAGGCTCTGTCGTAAAAGATTTGCGGCTCGTTGGAAAAGCCAGTGCTTGCTACTCGTTGAGGCCGAGGAGCTACGGTCACTTTGTCGCAAGCTAAGCAATGATCCCGATGGACTCCATGGTGTACCTATATCCGATTTGTCGTTAGAATGTGTACTAGAAGACCGTATGTCGTCATACCCTTGGGGCGCATCACTGGTTGCAGTCCATGTGGAATAAGGTTCTTGGCCGGTGTCTTGAGGGCTCGCGGAGCGGCTTGTCCTAAGGTAAGGAGGGAACTCTGAACTCGAGCTAATCGAGCTACATGACCGAGAGGAGTTGGGTGCATTGTCGGCAAAGCTCGAGTTGCCGTCAACGAAAAGATGAAGACCATGCGACAGTCTTGAAGCGCGTCGGCCTTCGGTGGCCTGTCGACTGACCTGCAGATAATCCATGACTAGCGCTGCCACTGTTGCCAATGCATCTTTCTCATAAACAGATAGCCCCTCGCGTGGTTCAGAGTCCAAAACAAACAGACATCCGAGGTTGATGTCGCTGCCACTCGTCAGAGGTGTGCCGGCATAAAACCGAGAATGCGGCTCTCCTGTCACAAATGGCAGTTTTCTGAAACGTTCGGTCTTCTCAAGGTCTTTGACAATTAAAAATGGATAATCTTCATCCTGCTCATCTGCACGGATGGAAACTGTTTCCTAATCAAAAGAACGTCCAAAGTTAGATGGGGCACATCATGAAGTTATCGATAATCTGGACACACCTGGCAGATATTCCAAGACTGCGTCAATGTCGATGTGCCGACGAAAAGTCCATCTCCCTCCGCAGAAAGTTCCGAGTTACCGATGTTGGTGGTTTTCGTTGCTTCAGCCAATACGAACTGGAAGTCATGATTCAATATACTAAAAACGTCAACTCTTATTTGAACACTATGGAAAGGAATAGTAGTACGTGATGAAGGCACGCTGTGCATTCAAACGTAGAGCAGCAAGCTGCGCGAAAGAAGTCAACGTCGTGTTTGGGCTGCTTTGGGCGTTAGCCTTAGTCGGGGTTGTTTCTAAGGCTGAATATGAATTGTCTGAGGTAGCAGACGGTGAAAATCTAGGTGATTCCACTGAAGAGAAATGATCCCCAGATGGAGGAGGCCATGTTGTGTTGAGGGCTGCTGGATTTGCAGGCTGGAAGTAACGATAGACTTCACGAGATTGGCGATCTGCTTCGTAGGCACGAAGAATGTCATTTGTTGAACTATTCATTATGTAAATTGACAGAGTAAATTTTTGCTCGAAATGAGCAACTATGGAATCAATACTAATTACAGCACCAGCAAAGTGTTAAGTAGGCGATCTCAAATCCATAGAATCATTGAAATTCGACACCGATAGAATGTTTATGTAGCTATCAGCCACATACATCATAGTGCTTCAATTGCTCCACTTAATGACGCCATTTGGAGAATCCTCCACCAGTTCCGTACTGTTCGATATCAAGTCCAACCCTGAAACTCTTATAATTGCAACACAAGATTATCTTAGAATGAATTCACGATATATGTATTGCTAGCCTCCAGATTTCAGTCAAAATTGAGCCAATTGAGACGATTCTGGCCGGACCGCTCTGCCTTGAGTCATTTGATTGGTGCATTTCCTTTCCGAACCAGTCCAATTAGTAGTCACTTTGAGCGCTCACTGACCACTTACCTTGGTTCCTTACTCTCTATGGCTTGCACTGGTGGTTACCACATACGTATTCTCAATCATCTCTATTCTTCCCTTGGGTCGACGGGTAGGCCTATGGCTTTCTTTTTGCGATGGAAATATCGGTCAGAATACGTGCATCAAATCTGAGAATCCGTCAACACTTTTGAATATGCCTCTTTGATCATATTTCTCTATGCTTCCTAAACATGTTTCCACCTGAATTTTCAGGTAGATGGTTAGTAGACAAAAGCGGTGAGTGAAAAGCTACGGGTTAGAAATATCTTGTAATTATACAACGATGCGACCGCAGCAAGCTCCCTAATTGCATGATTCAGATGTTCTCAAAAGCTTCATGCAAGTTAATTGCAGTATGCATGCTCCCACCCGCTGATCAATTCCTAAGGGTCGGTTTCCGTCAGCATGTCTCTGTTGCATCGTTTGTTTTGCCCTACTTGCGAATAATCTCGGTTCTATTCCAACTATTGCTACACTGCTACAAATGAAGACGAGTGAGATATCTTGGCCCGCACGGGGCACCTGCGATCGTATTCTCGCTTTAATGGACAGCGCCGTCGTGTCCAGAGGAGAGGCTAAATAAAGGAATAGTTGTAGGTTATAAGTTATAGAGGAATAGCTTAGAAAGGCTTTCGATAGGGTAGACTCTATTATTTATTGCTGTAATAATAATATCAATACCTTTATGGTTTTGGTTAGTTTTGTTTCTCTCTAAAGTAAGGAGGATATAGTCTATAGTAGGGGAGAACCTAATATCTGCGTAGGTTAAATTGGTAGCAGTAAAGAATTAAGTATTTCTAAGGTCAGCAGCTGAGTATATAAATTCCCTGACCTAAAGAAAACCGGCGAAAGTAATACAGGCGGCTACGGCAAAATTAAGCTTCTTTCTCTGGGCCTCCGAGAGCCTTAGCAGCTGGGTAGGCAGGTGTGAGATATTCCCTGAAAGGGTTATAACTGAGGTATGTAGGATTAGATTGTGAATTTGTTTCTGGCGGAGGGGGGGGGGGGTTTGCAGTCACTGAGCACTATTGATCATGCGACGAAGATGCTTTGTGTGGAGGTCAAAAATTGTATCAGGTAGACCGTTGTTGATGTGATACGTGTGATGTGCGGAGAGCCGAGAGCTCGGACATGGCTATATCAGGCTTCACAGATAGGCTGTGAGCGATGCGCAGAGCGGTATCCTCTTTTGGTTCCCTCTGCGAGGCTATTCCAGACCAGAGTTATATAGGCAGTATTTATAAAAATAGGCTGGTAGGAGAACCAGGCTGGCAGAACAAGCGAAAGAAGCTTATCTACTATAGGTAAATATCAGCGATAATTCTATAGTCAGAACAGAATACTACATCAGCTAGCAAGGTCTCTGATCAAGGTAGCCAGTATAGCTAGACTTCGATATCAAGGGCAGCTACTATACTACAGAGTATAAGCAGAGGGCGATAAGCCGGCCCACGGAGTACCTGATTAGACAGGCCATAAAACACGACGGCGCTGTCCATAAAAGCAAGAATACGATGATAAGCCTAATAGGGGCTGTATAGGAGGAAGGCCTGTAGGATTACAGAGACCTCCTTAATGTTAATATAGGCCCCGTCGCTGTAGGCAGAGGAGGCGGCCATAATAGCCGTATAGGTAGAAGGTAGGTAAGATGCTACAGACATCCAGTCCCCAGCAGAGTCCCGTAAGGGCGTATAGAAGAAGAAGAGGTCCAGACCTGAGTCGTACGCATCTGTATAGAGGGCAACTAGGGGGCAGCTCTTTTCGAAGAAATAGATACCGTTGAATAACACGAGAGTGTTCCTCCACCACGCAAAATCCTCACAGCTATCATAGGATAGGCGGCGGACAGGGCGCTGGTGAGGCGGGAAGGATGCGAGGTCGCTATAAAGCGACTGGAGGCAGGTTCTGCCAAGACGGATGACCATTGCTTAACTCCTTTATCAACGAAGAATTCGAGGTTCTAATCCTTATAGATGTGCTCCAGTTCGAAGCCATCTAATAAAGCAATATCACATACCTGGCGAAATACAGTTTGAAGGCTATTATAAGACACATTTGATATAAGCCACTCACCGTATTCTTTAATAGCAACGTCTTTAAATCTGGGGATATTCAACGAACCTATATCTTTCGGTAGAGCAAACCCAGCAGATACAGTGGTTGTGGCCAATTAAGTATATAATGGATAAACATTAATATTGATAGGCGGATAGGGCGGTTTGCCACCGAAAGTTTTACCGCCTTTACGGTTTTCTTTCTCCTGCTTTTGCTGATCTTCTATGTAAAGCTTATCCTGAATTTTATCTAGAACGTCTTTGTGGCTCTCCAAGACACTACCTTTTTCTGTAAAGGTTACCAAAAGTCTAAGAGTCTGTGTACAAGACGATAATGCTTTTTACCTTTTAGATCCAGCTAGTAGTAGGGGCCTAAGTAGTATATAGTGTAATATGGGAACGCGCGCTGGCAGTCCGCGTTGGCAGACGGGTCGATCGCAAGAGGACAAAACCACCACACTCGCAGAGTGCAGGAAAGTAGTAGAGAAAGCGGTGCCCAACTGAGAAAACAGCATTCAGAGCATTCGAGCCCTTGCTCGAATGCTAGCAATCCGAAATAACGAAAATAACATTGGTGACCCGAAAGGTGGTGTGTAAGTTAACTATCGTCGAGGGCTTATATACTGTATGAAGGTAAGGCCTAAGGCCTACAACGTCACCTGACATGACCAGAGCGATTCCCCCACTACAATTGCTAAATTATATTTTATTAAGTTATAAATACAGCGCCAAATTACTTACTGTCTATATAAATTTTCTTCTGTATCTAGCTGTGTACCTTAATTGTTAAGTAATCTTTGTGTAACAGAAGATTCACCTCTCTTTTCTCCTTTCTGTCCAGTGGGTAGAGAAGTATAATCCTCAATATAGTTAAACGAGACCCTTAGCATAAGTCTTTTTCTACAACAGAAAAGAATCGACTATACCTAGAGCTACTTTCTGATTAGAGCCTACAAAATTTCAGTTTTATTAAAACGTTTAGTTAGATTATGTTTAGGCATCGCCAGAACCCACTATAACCCGGACCCAACCCAACCAACACAACCCAAAATGGGTTTTGGGTCGGCATCTCCAACCCAAAATAGTTACTTTTAGGGGTTTGAATCGCATTCCCCTAATGCCTGTCCAGTCAGGGCTTCTATAATCATATTTTTTTAATCAGCATAGTGAGCTTCGGCCTTCGCCCTTTACGTTGGCTAAATTTCACTCCTTGATTTTCGGAAACATGTTTTCAGAAATCCTAGAAGCGCAAATTTTTTTTCTGTAATTCTAGATAAGATGTTACGCACTTGCTAACTGGTCACTTGGTTAGTGGTCGACAGCTGGTAAACGTACCTTGTTATCGAGGAAAACTTGAGTATCGCGCGAAGTCTACCGATGAGAAAATAATTAGGCGCTGGCGAGTCGGGGAAGTCAACAATTCTCAAGCAAATGTGCATTCTGTACATAAATGGGTTTACTGGTCAAGAGCGCCGCAAGGTGGGCTTGACTATCTCCGCAAATCTGCTGGATGCTTTTAGAATTCTGTTGGATATCATGGCCACAAATACTTGATTAACTAGGTTGAGAAATCAGGTTGTAACCAGGCGACTACTTTCATATCCCAACTAATTGTCCCTTCAAAGCTTAGATCAAGTTTTTCTTAGGCAGCCAATTCTGTAAGCCGTGGGCGGTTCTCAAAGCTTCGCAGGTATCCTGGTCATACAAGGCCGACTTTTTCAATCCTTTCATAAGCATAAACGGATGTGGCACGCCCGTATACCGCCGGATTATCACCTTTGTTCCTGCTTGCAACAACTTTTGACCGTATGCTTCACCCTCATCTCGTAGAGGGTCACAACCAGCTGTCGCGATGAAAGTTGTACAGACTCCTTTCAGAGAAACCGCATCGATTGGACTTCGCCAGAAAAGGGGCTTTCTTTCTGATTCTTCACCTTCCAGGCTCTTGTCGATTGTGGCAGCGAAGAACATCATACGCCTCCAGTCTCAGGCACGGCGCCAACGCATTTTCTGCTATGGAAGCGAATGCGCAATCAGACGGATCTTTCAGGCCCAGGCGGGTGCTCGTACTAGGTACGGATAAAATCGCTGGAAAATCGACTTCTATCAGAAACATTTTCCTTTCACCATCAAACTTGCATGCTCGGAGTACATACCTAGCTTTAGGGGCAGATTCGCATCACGGGCAAGCTGCTGCACAATACAGCTGTAGAATCCACCTGCGGAGACTCCACCAATAGAAATAGAGTCCGATAGTCCGTTTATATCGGGGGCATGGGCATAGGCCTGCCTCACTGTCAGCTTACTAACTTTCTGAGATTTAATCTTGAATGAGAACGATGATCACCCATTGTAAAGCAGCCCAAGAATCCTCAGCACCTTTGCCAAATGGAAATTCTTGTACATCGTTAGAATCGTTAGATGGTATAAATCCACCGCAATACATAAATACTGACCTGGTGTTAGGCGGTAGTCCACGTCTACGACGATGATGCCGACCTCATTCCTGACAAGCAGGCACCACTCAGCCTCGCTGGTCAAGTCTCCAAAGCAAAACCCGCCCCCTAAAATTAACATGAGTTTGGATCCATCGAAGAGGACAGAAAGAAAGATTCATCGTACCATGAAGATTGATGTGGATAGGGAAAGGGCCAGGACCGAACCGCCCGCTATCTGGGTGATAAGTTCTAATCGTGAATTGGAAACCATCCCCAGAAGTGATTTTGATGTCGTTCACAAATGGTAGATCGGAATAATCCTTGCACCATGGCCAAGCAAATTTCTTTGGATTTTGTCGCACCTCTGCAAGGTCGACCGTATGAGTCGCTGGTTTGATGGCGATATTTTTGTTGTAATATTCCAAAAAATCCCCATCCAGCCGATCAATAAAACTGGGATGCACAGGATTGGGAAGATCTAGGATCGTTGCTGCCATAATGGAATTTGCTGAAATCTTCAGGGCTTCACTAAAGTTCGTAAAGAAATAAATGATTGCGTATTGCAAGAACACTAATCAATCATCGACAGAAAGCATGGTTTATATATGCATTGATTCTTAACGCACCATACTGGCTGTCTTCGATTTCAGCTTGATCGGCCAAGCCGATTTCCGTAAGTAATTGATCATACCTCGATCCAATACTACAAGAAACGCTTCTCATTACATGACAAAGCGCATGTATGAGTATCGGGTACAGTATCGGGTACAGTATCGGGTACATTGCAAAGGGTGCCAGGTGATGAAGCATGGCCTTTACGGGCAAGGCTTTCCCTATCTTGCCTTTGTTCTTTCAGAACTCTGTTTTTATTTTGCTACCTTTTTTGTACACCTCTAAGCTGATTAGGTTCACGTCATACTTGCTCCCTACTCTTGACGATATTCTCCTTTTAATGCCAACGCGCTCTAAATGCGCCCCGTGGTCACACAAGGAATGAACACAATGGGAATTGGCCGTATTTTAGAGCACTGCTGTGGCAAGCGAGTGCGACACTGATGAATAGAACATCAGTTTTAGAGGATCGCGGTGAAGCATTAAAGCATGGGGCAGGATCTTGCGTGGGTTTTGGAGGGCTTCGCAACCTACGTTGAGGTAAATTGCGACCCAAAGCTCTGCGTTTAAATTCACATGCAACATTAAAAGATGTTACCTACGAGCCTATTGCTCAAGTGAAGGTCGCTACAATAGCCTGGCCATGTTCTGTCAAGTTCTTGCACATCTTCAAAAATATCCGATGGTATTGTTTAACAATGATTTAATTTCAAGAATCACAATTTTGCTTTCTCGTTGTGCTGCAAAACCAGCTCAACTATCCGCATTACATCCGTGGCACATCCGTACGATGTCTGATACCCATATCCTCCATGGCCGTAGTTGTGCACAACCAAGACTTCGTTGATCTTCTCTTTTTCAACACGAGGTCCGTCGTGGCGTAGCGGCCGCAAGCCCACGCTATGTCGAATAATGTTGAGACCCTCAATCCCTTGCCCTTTTTCAACCAAGTTGGGACATAATTCAACACAGCGTTTCATGATTCGGATTGCCAAGTTAGGGTCTGGCAATGGGTCCCAGTTATTTTTCTGTAAAGAACCCCCTAGAATGGTACCACCCCCTGCATGATTGATCATCTGTATCAGTTGAACCTTCTATCTGTTTATTATCAATCCGAATTTGCTCACCAGAAGCACGCGCCATAAGGTAAGTGATCTCATCGTCTGCATCATCCGTGCCGGAGATGGTTTGCATATTGCCTGGATCATTTTGCACCACAACGATCTGGCCTCTGGCAGGCGACAGTGTGCTATCCCACACTCCCCCTAATGTTCTAGAAGATAACCCGGTGCAATTGATGACTATATCAGCTCTTTTACCAGACATATGGCTATCGGCAGCGTCTGTAACGTGCGTAAATATCGCTCTCTTGAATTCCACTCCATTCTTCCGGCACTGGCCTACCAGCCATGGCAGGTAAACTGCAGTGTTGATGCATACAGACGTGAATCGATTGGCGCTGTCGATGGAATCTTTAAGTTCATACTTCGGGACCTGGGAAAACTGTATTCGAAATTCGTCAGCTCCATCATACACCCAGCGAAGACTCAGTGGTCTATTGATATCTTACGTTTGGCACAACGCTCCGATACCAAGGTTCCGGCTTTGTAAGCTCTGCAAACCACCTTCCTGTTATCGATTCCTTGTCTTTGAGTCGATTATATACAACGGTATCTTATTTGACTCGATTGATTATTCAGGTGTTCATCAAAATATCAATGAATTTTCAGACCTTTCAACTTACCTTGGAACTGAATTCCAGCCTCCGGGAAGTTTTGCGCCAAATCCTGTAAATATGGCCAGGTTTCTCTCTCCCATTTACCAACAGCACTATCTTCCGCACCGACTCTAAAACTCGGTTGTAAGTAGCCGAAGCTGAGTACTGTCATATGCCAACTTGATGAAGGAAACCTACGGGAAATAGTTGGCACCAGCCCATGGTGAACAATATTCAATGTCATAATCCCCCGGCATATGCTTCGCGGTAACAGTTATCTTGTTCGAAGGATTCTTTGATAGAAGCAGTGCAGTGGTCAGCCCGGAAACTCCGGCTCTAAGACGTATTAGCTAGCGGTCAACCCCAATTTTCCTGGATTTACCCTAGAACCACAATCCTGCTGATGTCCATCACTGACATCAAATATCTTGATCGTGCTTTGATCTGTTTCAATAAGATTCTGTGTCACCTTGGATGGTGAGTATAATTGGGCAGCCCGAACCGCGTAGACAGTAAATTTTGGAAAACAGGCGTGATTTCTGTGTCTATAAATTGGGTAATAAATTGGATATGCTAGCGCTCGGGCCTAAGTGCTCTGGCTGTGGAAAGTTGGTATCGGCAGGAGGCCGGCTGGATGAAAAGCAAAGTCGGTATTTCAAATGCTTGCCCGATACAGCCGATACATCACCGAGACAAGTAATCGCATCTTTGGTACCCTAATAGCTATGCGTAATGAAACAATAAAAGATTAAGAATCTGGCAGTCCAGCTACTTCAACAGTTCTTCTAAGAAATTCGATACAGTATGCTGAGATGTCGTGTTTTCGTAATCTATATAACACCAAGTCCGGCTCTCGGGCTGGAAAGTTGCGAGACAGACGGATAAGCCGATCCGATACATGATCAGGAAACCCAATAATAAGCCCGTCGGCTTTCGCTTCTTATCTTTAACTTCTGTGCTTGATCATGATTTGCTTATAAAAAACAGGCTTCAAATTAGTTGGAGTATTGGTACTTGTTAGGTGTTTCTGGCTTCGGATATAGGTGTAAGTGAAGATTTATTAACGTCCGACTCCTCTCTCTATCACAAGTCGTAAAACAAGAAGTCAGATCGTCTCTTCCAAGCATTCGTGTCATTTAATTATCACAAGCTACTAAAGGCTTGTCCAGAGAGCCAATATGACGGTCAATGAGTCCAATGATGTGAAACCAACCCTCGATCCTTTCATAATCCAGGAAAATGCCGACAAAAGCCAGCTTTCGCAGGTTGAGACAGAGCTAGTTGTTGACTCGAGGGTTTCTCGGAAGCTGAAAATCAAGGCAGATTTTATACTACTTCCAACGCTAGCAATTGCTTATCTTTTAAAGTTTGTTCATATTTTGACTGCTCTTCCAGCATATCCAGCTGACTGTTTTCACAGTTCCCTTGATCGAAGTAACATATCAAATGCCCATACTGCTGGGCTAGCGGATGACCTTAACCTGGTCAGCAACCAATTCAACCAGGTCCTTACCTACTACTTTATCATTTTTGTGATAATGGGTCCTGTGGGAGTTTTGTTGACGAAACGTTTCTCGGCTCGCTTCTCACTCGCCGTTATGCAACTCGGATTTGGAACGGCATCCCTGGCAACGGGATTTGTGAAGTCATTTAGTGCACTAGTTGCCTGCAGAGTTGTTGTTGGACTCTTTGAAGCGGGGTATCTTGCTTCGTGAGTAAATGGCTTTGGACTTAATAAAATTCAAAATGTCGCTGACTTACTTCTCCTCAGAGTTATATACTATCTATCTATCTGGTACACGCGCAAGGAACTCGCCACCCGCTTGGGCATTTTTTATGCTGCCTTGGTTTCTTCCTCTGCCTTTGGGGGCCTTCTGGCGTATGGGGTGTTCCATATTCCGTCGGGCCCGTATCCATCATGGGCTTATTTGTTCTTTCTTGAAGGTTCACTTACAGTGCTGTGGGCCGTGGTGATTGTCTGCATTCTTCCCCCAGATTCTGAGCACGCCTGGTTCCTAAACGAGGCAGAGAGAAAAGCCGGTCGGCTGCGCCTCAAAAATGACTCTGTGCAAGGTCTTGACAACAAGTTTAACTGGAAGGAGTCGATGTCCGAATTCAGAACTTTTCATCCATATATTCGCGCGGCACTGGCATTCTGCAATGGCGTGGTGCTGACTTCCAATTCCACTTTCCTCGCTATGATTGTTGAACGAATGGGGTTTTCAGCGGTCAAAACTAATCTAGTAAGTCGTATTTTCAAGCAGGCCCTTTATCTAATCAAGTCTGCTAATCAATTTGTTGCTAGTACACCGTTGCTCCGGCGCTCACGGCAGCGATTATCCTCATTCTCTGCACCAAGTCATCGGACTACTTCCAGGAACGTGGCTTTCACTGCGTGGTATCTGGGCTGGTCAGTCTCATCGGATATATCATACTCGTTTCGGTGCACCCTGCCCAAATTGGTGTTATGTACTTGGCTATATTTCTCTGTACTGCCGGGGTAAGCCCGTATCATCATACCAAGCGCCATTTGTTGCCCACTGATGCTTTGAGGGTTTAGGCTTACCCAGGAACGCCTCTTGGTTCTGCATGGACGGTGGAGAACATTCCCAACCTAAATGCCCGTGCGATGACAAGCGGCATTGTGATATCCATCGGCAATTGTGGAGGCCTGGTGTCCAGCAACCTGTATCTGGCTAAGGAAGAACCACGCTACCTAACGAGTCTTCGCGCCAATATCTCATTTCAAGCCGCCAGTATCGCTATTGCACTATCATATACCCTGTGGATGCGATGGGAAAATCTACGCCGGGACCGGATACAAGAAGTGGAGAACTCCTTAGATCTGATGACAGTCGGGATCGCCGGTACAAGGGATCCCGGATTCAGATACCGGGCATAAAGCAGTGGTACGCATAGTGTCAGCAATTGCGCTATAACGAGGAACACCAGCAGCAAGGTCTTGTGGTAGACAGGTGGCAAGGGGGTTTGTTTCGCTGGTACTTAAGAGAAAGCTCAATTATTGGGAATTTTCGAGAAGAAACGAGCTAGATTATCATGGAATCCAAGTTGATAGTATCGTGAGGAACAGATGAATTCGATTTTAGTCTTACCGAAACCAGGTTACTTTAATATCTACGGGCATTTATGGAAACAAAAGCGGAGAAGGGTAGTTGCCTAATTGAATACGAGAATACTGATTATGTAACGACGGTAAGCAGACCTCGGTCCCGAGGTCTGGCCAGTTTTGACCACTTAACTTTGTCTTTTATCAAGTCTTTTGTCGGGTTGAGCTCCTGAACCAAATCAAGTGTATATCGGGTTTTGGTTAGGCCTCTGCACAAGGGCGCGAATGATAATGGGATCAAATGAGCGCAGAAGTCTGGCCAAGCGGACACCTCAGGCCTGTTTTGCCTGGTTAGCTTTTTCCCTCGCCTGATTTTCATAGCTTGACGATGTCCTGCTTATCGCTGACTATGCTAGCCGTCGACGCAAGACAAAATGCGATGGGAGGCGACCGTCGTGTCAGCACTGCTCCAGCCGGAATATCAACTGCGAATGGCATGAGCTCGATACTAGCCCACTTCCACAGTTCCAATTCGATAGACCGATCGCCTCGCGTCGAGAAAGCACACCGCCCTATTCCTCCCCCTCTGCAGCGCTAGCTGCTGGCGAGCCTTCAACCTCAGCCCTTCCTCCACTCCATTTGCTACAGCGATGCTTCGATATATTTTTCGAACGGCACCATTCCGAGGATTTCTGTTCTTTCTTATGTCGGCCAGAGTTTGAAGAACAGTGTCAGTCCAATACCTTTCTTGTGTACTCTATCATATCCCTCAGCTCTTGCTATTTAAGCGATGATGAAGCCTTCCGGGACTTCAATATGTCTACTGCCGAAGAGGTTCGAAGTAGCTTCTCGCTTTTGGCCAAAAATATGTCGCGTCAAACTTTTGATGAGCCAACTGGTATGTGATCCAGATAATGCCCTCGCTTCCCCTCTTAACTGCTATTAGTCACCAATATACAAGCCAATGTCGTTCTGGCACTGTCGGAGTTTCTCTCTTGTTCAGGGTGTGGTTATTGGACGTATTCGGGAGCAGCAATCCGAATGGCCCAAGCAATGCGGTTGAACCAAGATTACCATCAACGTCACTCTGCAAAAGATCAAGAAATTCGCCGACGGACATTCTGGTCTTGTTTACTCCTAGATAGATTAATTGCCTTCTGTCATGCGAAGCCTCAGACTCTTTTGATTGGAAACACCGACATTGCTTTGCCATGCCCGGAGACTACTTTCTACTATGAGGAAATTTCTAGTGGTCCAAAGCTAGAAGATATGATTCCCTTCAAGGGACGCGCGGGGCCGATAGGGATGAAGGCATTTTTCATCACAACGGTCCAATTATGGAGCTCACTGGCGGATATACATGTTCGCAATGGCAGAATGAAAGACGCAGCCCTCCCGACGGATCCAAACAGTGATTTTCACCAGCATGTTAGAAGGCTAAAATTGTGGAAGTCCTCGCTTCCTATGAGATTTGAGTGGTCTGAGCCTAATTATCGGTTGCATTGTAGTCTCAAACAAGGCAAAATGTTCGCAGCCATGCATTTCCTTCTACAAAGTGCTTTGTGTGTTGCCCATCAAGGGCACCTCCCGCAGACTGATGGCTCATGCCTTTTCATAGACAGTTTAGATGGTACCGGAAGGACACTGGAACACCGAGAGCCGGAATTGGTCTTGACCTGTGTGTCCCACGCGATGGCCATCGGGAGAATGATATGCTTCTTTCTCGACGGCCGGGATGAAGATAAAAAAAATATTCAGACGCCTTTTGTCGCCACCTCCCTGCTCTCTGCTGCAAGCACACTGCTCTGGGTTTATTATGCTGACAATACACCACAGTTCAGCGCAGAGCGAATCGTTGCCAAGGAATATTTTGATCTTTTTTCAGCCATCTTCCGGACCTGGGAACCCCAGTGGAAAGCTGCAAAGGCGTGGGTCAAGTCCTTAGAGGCCATCCATGTTTTGTACCAGCGTGCTTATGCACTTGTCAATGAGGTTACAGAACCTGTTGATGATGATTCTTTCTCAGCAATAGAAAACCACGCTTTTACCACGTTCCGGCCAAAGCCTGGAGATGGGTTTCCAAATACAGGAAACATCAATAACTTATACACCTCTCTGAGGTTGGCGATGGTCAGTCCAATAGATACGGGAGCGCTTTTCGACCCGCATTATATTCCCTTGACTGGCATGTGGCTCAATGACCTTGCCAATGACATATGTCCCGATATTGCAGGGACAGATAACTCTGTTCTTAATTTAAATAGTCGTTGAATTACAATTTGCAGTCTTCTTTTGAATCAAACTATTACCACACATATTATATACCACTGACCATATACAGAAAGCCGAATGTTCAAGGGTTTTAATACTATATATAATATCTATTATTACTAATATAGCTATATAAACTCTAAAATAATTAAGGAATATATATTATCTCTTTATTTAATATAATTTAATCTTAAAGAAGCAGAGATAAAAGAGCTACAGTAATACATTTTTCTATAGAAGATTAAGATAGTCTGAAAACTTAATATAGAGTATCTAAAGAAGGTTAAGGTTAAGAAAGAAAATATAGTAGATCCTAAGAAAAGAAAGAAAATACTTAGCTTAGATAGTAAACTTATACCTTAAATTACGAACAGGGATTTTATAATTCTAGAAGTTATGTAAGCTTAGTATATTTGTGTTATTTATACTAAAAAGGGGACCCAGTAGGTTCCCACATAGGTTTCAGGTTAAGGGCCTCAACCTAAAACCCATCAATAGGTTATATAATTAGACCCAAAGCCTATTTTGGGGAGTGAGGAGGGTGAAAGCGGGTCACAATTACCCTCCGTTGGGCGACAACTGCAATGAATGTTGGCTGAATTGCCGACGAGTTCCTTACGGTCAATGAATTAGAGTGTCTTATATACCGCAAATTGATTGATTCTTCTCATTTATTCTCTTCGTTCGGTAATATATTCACACGCCGACCTCCTCTTGCAGAGGGGGAAAATCGATATGCTCATCATTCAAGTAATTGCCGTTGATTCTGCCGTGTTTCTCATCCTCCGTCCAACCATCCCCAAGCAAGCCAGTTGGGTTATCATCCAGGTATTAATACTCGAAGTCTTCCCAACGGGGATTTTCAAACACCTTCATAGAGTGGACAGATAACCCAAGCCAGAGGACAGTGATTCGTCCTTCCTCACTTCCACCCTTATACCAGCTGCGACACTTACTGCTGAAGACTGTTCCTGAGAATTACTGATCACAGTACTTGGTGAAGGACTTGACGGCCTCCGGTAGGATGCTCATTGTGCGGATGTTGTCACGCGTTTGAGCGCACACTTCTTGAAGTAATCCAATGACCTTTCAATTAGGGTCAAAAATTTACCCTCGCCCAGCCCAGCGTTTGGTCCAAGACAGATGAAGTAGTTGGGGAGTCCATCTGTGGCAATTGACAAATACGTCTCAGGAGTCTCTTTCCACCGCTGCGCCAAGGTAACGCCACTCCGGCCCCTGATGGTGAATCGGGGAGTAAACTTGTATCTAAACCAGTGGCGCAGACAATCACGTCGATCGGTCGGTGCTTTCCATCTGCAGTGATAATACCGTATCGTCGACCTGGACGATCTCCGAGCTGATCATGTCGACCTTTTTATCCGTCAGGGCTTCCAAATAGCCAGGCCCTAGAGTCAGGCGGCGACAAGTAGGTGGAAAACCGGGAACGAGATCGTCGAACAGTTCGGGTTTATTAGCTAGTCGGCGTTTCATGTTTTCTGCGAACATGTCGCGCGCACCAACCTGCATTGGATGACCAATAAGGGTGGCCCGTGGATATACTGAAGCTGTAGCTCAACGGCTGTTTATCCGGTCAGATTTCTATTTCATGAAAAGTGTGTGGGATTGGAATTACATTTGCGGAGCATTTGATGTGCTTCGTGGTCCTTTTGGAACGTTTCAATGTCGTCGCAGGTAAATTCGACTAAGAGGTTAGTATTAGAATGCTTATTAGGTGTTATGAAAACCACTGACAGTTTTCTAAGCCCTCGCCACGTTTCTCAACTTCATCTCGTGCAAAGGTGGGCGCGATCTATGTCCGACCGCGGACGTAGTGATCGATAAGGGTCACTTTGGGCAAAATCCCAGGGACGAGCTGGATACCACTGGAACCATTTCCAATGACCGCAATGCGTTTATCCTGCCGATGTATTTAAATTGGCCTCATTGCGGTGAAATCCGATAGCATACCGTGTAATCGTATGTATTTCAAAAACATACCGCAGGCACATCCAGGGTACCGAATCTCATACCAAGTCCCTCCAACATCTGGGTTTTTTTCATATATACAAAAATCGACATTCGGGACTCTCTGCTTGAACTGAATAGAAACAAGAATACCCGAGATTCCAGCACCAATGATGACTACCCTGAGTGGGCGACTTTCATCAACAGACCTGTCTTGCACTGTGCAATTGATGTTATGTGGTGCAGCCACCTGTTCCGGTCTATTGAGTGGAGGAACTGCCTTTGGGGTATTGCTATGGGCACAGGGAAACCGCGTCATCGTTGATCTTTGTCGAATCCAGGAGTCGGGAATGACAAAAAAATGAACAATATGTGAATTATGTTTCCTAGGGGCCACTACCTCAGGCTTACGTCCGCCGATAGTTCAACTGCTTGCCCTTCTTTCGGTTATAGGTACAGCTTCTATGGCCCTATGGTGGATATGACCGGGCGGTGCTAGGCGCCGGGTCAAAGGAGCAGTATATTGTCCAAAGCCTGTCCAAGACTTATCCCATACCTCCACTATGAAACATGTTCGTATTCTCCTCCCCGGGAGATGATCCACAGTTGCCGCTATGGTCGACATTTTACGAAAAACAAGGTTCGGCTGTGGGGAAGGGAAACGGTGGCTCTCGGAAAACCCCCCCTCTACCACTATCACAGCCCTCCTCCCCCTCATTTACCCCCTCATTTACCCCATTCCCCGTGCCCGCGACTGGTCTGCCGTTGCTGGTTCCCCATGAGAGTGTGATAATTCCGGACTTAAGCGGACTTGGCGGTAAATACAGTTCCTGAACCATGTAGAACCTCCACGAAAACCAGCCTGAGAACAGAGCAAACTCGTTTTCGGTGCCGTGGCTAAATATGCCGTATGTGTGAGTTGCTGTGGTGTGTTGTGTTATATCCGTATATCCACGGGTCTTTCATCCCTCCCCAATTGAGAATAACTTAATTATTACTTGCCCTCTGACAACCTTCTACTATTTAGTCATACATTTGTTCCTCTTGGAGACAAAAGAGAACACGTTTAAACTCGGGAAAATGCCTCTCCACACCTACCATCATTCCTCCTCGACCAAAGGTCTCTCCAGCATCACCTCACTGATTGTTGGTGCTAAGGAGGCGATCTTGATCGACCCTCCCTTCTTGATTCCCGACGCTCAGTCTGTCATTAGCTGGGTCCAAGCCACAACCCATAATCCGCTCAGAGCTGTGTTTGTAACCCACCACCACCCAGATCACTTCTTTTCGGCAAACCCCATTCTTGAGGAGTTCCCCTCGGCCAAATTCTACGCCGCACGGCACGTCCTCGAGGGTATCAACCGCGAATATGACGATAAGGTGAAATATTGGCCAACTATCTTTGGAAAAGAGAATGTCCCCGAAACGCCCAAGAAGCCAGAAGAGTTCAACTTCAGCTTTTTCTTGTTGCAGGGCAATCCTGACAGCCCTGTGGTGCTTCTGGGGCCACTGCAGGGTGACTCGGTCGATCATACGATCTTCTGGATGCCAACTGAGAGGACGATTATCTGTGGCGATACAGTCTACGGAAGAAGCACACACGTTTGGTATGTAATCCGTACGGTTGTTCGATTTCAACAAACCTAACAACATGAAAACAGGGTCGAAGAGGTTGAAACCCCGGCTCTACTCCAAGCATGGATCAAAACCGTGGAATTTATTTCGACCCTAGAGCCGATTAAGCTTATCCCTGGCCACATGGAGGCCGGATGGGAACTGGACACTCTGGCCGATCTCGCTCATACCAAGAAGTACCTTGGTATGTTTGGAGAGAAGGTTACTTATGCTCCCACCAAGCCGCAAGTCCAGGAGCTGTATGATTACTTCCAGAATGCGTTCCCGCAGTGTAAGGAAAATCTGGATTTCTTCTTAGGCCACCTGTCCAATCAATTTGGCGAAGATGGGCAGGTCTGGGAAGAGAATCGGCATCATGCCGTGGATAAGAGGACGGTGGAAGGGCTGAATGGTTACTTGTTTTAAGCTTTGTCGTTTCTGTATGTAACAGTTTGTATAAGCGTAGTAACAAACAAAGAACAAAGCTCCATTTCTTCCATAGGACTCTCAAAGTGTAAAGATTGTGGATTCACTAGTTTATCTCTGAGATTATCTGCCACCATGAATATGCCGTGCAAAGTATGCGTCTACAGGTTAGGGTGGATCATGCCCAAGTGGAGTTCGGAGGATGGGCTTCGGTCGGGGACTTCCGGGGGTCCACCCACCCTGAACCCACTAACCAAGAGTCTAAAAACATCCGTTATATCCGGGTCCGTCACGTCTGGGTTCATTATATCCAGATTCATTATATGCGGACTCATTATACCCGGGTTCACCATAACTAGGGTTTACTGAACTTCCGCTTATTCGCCCTTTCTCTCGGCTCGACTTGTACGGATATAACGATATTCGGGGCGTCTGGAGTCCGATTGGTGGGTTGCAGCTCGTCCACTCAGCGCCTCATCCGGGTCTGACCGGGGAGAAGTGTCGAACCTTTCTTAGCTATCTCCACACACGGTTCGCGGGGGACGTCCGCTTGGAAAGTTCGAAGACCGAACATTGAATCTTACTGTAATTGTCAATTTGAGGGTATGGCGTCATCGACGCTTCCCCACAATCGGAGAAACCCCCCCTAATCTTGTCGAACACACACTTCCTCCAAAGTACGGGTAATTTACATAAACTTATTTAATATTAAGAACAGATATAGATAGCCGAGCTGGTGCCGAAAAATAAATAATACTCTCAGCGACTTGCTCTCCAGGCCTGGTCCGATGTCAGGCTGAACGAACTCAACTCTGCGGTCACGAGGCAATATGGCACAATTCTTTCCTAGCGTCACTGCAGATTCCTTGAAAAATAAGGTCATCGTGATCACTGGTCAGTAAGAATCTCTAGTAGTCTCATGAAGTGCTAATTTTCTTCAGGTGGCGCAAATGGAATTGGGGCTAGTCTGGTCGAATACTGCTGCCATCACGGAGCCTATGTCTGCTTTGGTGACAAAGCAGTCTCTGCAGGGGTCCAACTTGCAGAAAGGCTTTGTGCCTCGTCCGCTTCGTCCTCGCGCCCACAGGCTATCTTCTATGAAACGGATGTCATTGAGTACAAGTCAATCCTGAATCTTTTTGACGCGGCACTCGATACATATGGACATATCGACCACGCTGTTGCGGGAGCGGGAGTTATGGAGATTGGCAATTGGTTCGATCCAGGCTTAACACTAGAAGATGTTCGCGAGGTTTGTCGAATGCTTTTGACTCACAACAGTGATGATAGTTTCATTATGTATTAACGTCTCTCACCAGCCCGCTACCACCAAAGTCCTAGACGTCAATTTAGGCGGCTGTCTCTCTGTCGCACGCATCGCGAGCGTCTATCTGCGCCAGAATCGTCCAATGGACGCTGATCGCTCAATAACTCTGATTTCTTCCGTCGCTGGTTTCAAAGAGTCACCGGGCCTTTTCGTCTACCAGGCGTCTAAGCACGGAGTCCTTGGGCTGATGCGCGCTCTGCGCCTGTATCTTTCGAGATCACCACATCTGCTTCGCATCAATGCTGTTTGCCCCTGGATGACCACCACGGGTATGGTTCAAGGAATTGAGGAGGCTTGGCGCAACGCGGAGTTGCCTGTCAATTCGCCGATGGAGGTTGCTATAGTTACTGCAGGACTTTTGGTAAGTCAGCAGCTGAATGGAAAGTCGATGTTCGTTGAGGGTGGTCGGGCGTGGGAGATAGAAGCCAATATCGACCGGTTGGAACCACAATGGCTGGGGGAGGAGCCGTCAAGATCATTGGCTAAGGGACAGGCGGTGCTTGCAGATGGGAGCGATTGGACCAAGTCAGGAAGAAATGCTAGATAAAGAAAACTATAGCTCCTTAGATATTTGCAGCTACAAAGCGCAAGGAGAGGCATTCTACACAAGATGCTGATTACCGCTCCGCACGAATTTTCGAACTGTTCTGTTGAGGTAGGTAGTTGTAGTGTTCTTGTTGAGGTTAATATCAAAAGTGGGAACCCTATCTATTTAAATGTCCATCGCTAATCCCGCCATAAGCTTTGACCACCGTGATACTCAACAGATAATCATCACATGGTTGCTGACCAATATAGGGCGGGCCTATATTGGTTAAATGGACTGATGAAGACCTCAATTCGGTATGCTATTTTCGATGCATCCGCCATTTAAACTTCTCGCAAATCCAAAAGCGAAACTTTCCATTGCTTTCCCAACACGTAATCGGCGCGGCCTACCGGCGTTTGCCTCCAAAAGAGCGCACACAGCGGGCGCTCGCTGCTGCACCTGTCATTGCCAAGTCCCCGCATACCACAGGCCGTACCTCCCGAAGTCACGCTCGATATGTGTTCTCCAATTCGGAACAGGGACTGAGTCACCTCAGCTCAACAATCACCGAGATCGGATATATACCGCTGACCTGAAATGGCAATACCTCAAACTGGTACAATCTCCGACCAAACAGACCCACAACCTTTTACTTAAAGTTGGGTTCTTTCTTTTTATCACTTCATCTGGGCTTTATCCAAACAGGCCGGCCTTAGTCGATGTCCCTTCAACCATTACTCAAAGCGTGCGTAGATAATGGTGGCCTTGAGAAGCTTTCACTTGAAAGTATCGATAGGCAGTGTTTTGGCATTTAACTAACAGAAGGCTAACGAGACACAAAGTCGCCTGACAGATCTCACAAAGTAGGCCAGTCCATCTCAATAGGCTCCAAGTCTCCAGGGCCTCTAAATCCTCCAATATGTCTGCTTGTTCGCTCAAAAGATGCCGATCTGCCTGAGCCGTACCCACCTTCGCCAGTTCCCTCCATCGTGCCAGATCCTCTGGTTTCCTCTTGTCGCCGTGAGCGGCTTCATTCTGGGTCCAATGGCCCTTCGAAAATCCGAGTAAAGTTGTGATGCGTTTGTTGGGGATGTCGTAAATGAGCGAGCAGATAGTGCCTGTCTCCTCAAGCCAATTGCATTGCCACAGTTCTCCGGGGCGGATACACTGATAGGTTACCGCCTGGAAAAATAAACTATGCTGAAATTGGTTGAAAGGGGAACCCATTGGGTTTTGGGTTGGGTTTTGGGTCAGCATCTCCAACCCAAAATGGGTTATGGCGATGCCTAGGTTAATAGAATCTTGAATTGAATTGAATTGAAACGACCCTACCCTGACCCACTTCAGGGTCTAACCTTACGACCCTGAAACCTGCGTGGTCCGGGTCGCGGTCCGGGTCGTCAGGGTCACTCGGGGGTCGGGGCGAGGTCTTTTTTTCGGTCTAGGGATCAGTAGAGAATATCACATATTTTATAATGCCACTCTTTTATGCTGCCTAAAATGTTACGCTTCAGCGCGATATAACCCATGTCACGCCAGCACAAGGTCAAATTCCCAATCTAAGTCCCCCAAAAGATCTGGTGGCACCTGTATCAACCACTCTTCTGGAATTCCCACTTCCATAGCGTCATATCCCGTCGGCGCATCCTGAGAGTCCGCCGGTCCAAATTGCATCGGCGCCCCATTTGTCGGCATCGACGCTCCAACTTGCTGTTCAGCCGAGGCGTCATTACCGTGCTGCTGAGTTTTCATGTACTCATCAATGCGTGCGACTAAGTTCCTTAGCTTGTCGCTCGCGCCGGAAGCGTGCTGAATCGCCTCCATCTTCTCCAGCATCTGGGCCATGAGAAGTATAATGGACCGAATACGACTGTAATCCGATTCGCTGAGCGGCTCTTCAAACACTGAGCCCAAGATAACGCCAATGCCGCCGAGGTGGTGCAGAAGCGGCGCAGATATCGCAAGCGAGTACGCGACCGGTGTTTTTACAAGTGCGTCCACTACGTCGCTAGCCACCCGGCATCGGTCCTCGATGGAAGTATCCCCTGCTACACAAAGGACTATCCGGAGAAGCTGGATACTACCAGATATGTTGGCCGCTTGAAAGCTTACTCTGTCTTTCTTGATGTCGTACGTCATCTGGGGGATTTCCTTAAAGCAAGGCGGTAGCTTCATGTACATCTGGAGCACGCTATCTCTCACGGCTCCTTCGGTAAGTGTCGAGCTGTCCTGAAAAATGTCATGTAGGAATGAGCGACCTTGTGTGTGCGGTCGGACGTTGCGAAACCTGGTCAGTGCATGCTCAAGGATGCGATACAGGTCAGTGATGATGTTCCATCCGGATAGCCAGCAATCGGACCGCACTTGCAGGGATGGCCTGTCCCTTGACGATGGATCCGGTGAGTCAACGGTTTCAGGGATACTGGTTTCATCTGTGATGAGCTCGTCGTCCATTTCTGCGGGATACAGCACGTTACACTGTTCTTCCCGTGATCCAACGACACCGCCGCATACTGACGACGTGAATATGTCCAACGTGTAAATAGACCAGAACTATGTCCATAAGTTAGGGCGCCATGTGCACCACGCAGTGGGAGGTTAGGTGAATACTTACGAGTCTGCGTCTCTCCTCCCGCTCAATTACCCCGATTCCCGTCGGCCAGTTCGCCTCGTCATGCAGCCCATCAACTGCTACCAACGTCTGATACATCCCCAGCTGCCAGCGCATCTCGCGCATACTACCATTCTGAATGGCTGCAATCGCAAGAATGGCATGCGCCCGGAGCACATTCAAGCTTGCGACCATATCGAAACTAGCTAGCTGCTTCCTTGCTTCCGCATAAAACACCTCGGGTCCTGGCTGTCGTAGTCGACTCACGTCCCATTTCGGGTTAGTGGTGGAGCCATCGCGCACGCGGCTGCTTACGAGCGCACACATAGCCATAGTGGCGGTGTAAAGTGCCCTATCGCTTGTGTATTGCGCCCGGGAAATCCGGTGCATCCAGGATGGTTGGTGGAAGAAAGGAAAGATAGGGTATACGATTTCGAAGTACAGTTCGGTCAGGTCCATGATGACTTCCTGGCTGGCAATAATAGGCGTGACGGGGGGGGCCTTGCTGGCCGGCTGAATGCCGTGGCTCATGGCATTGCGGCTGGACTGCGAGGGAAGAGAGGCGCCGGTCTCGTGGCGCGTTTCGAGTCGCACCTTCTTGATTCCGGGGCTTCGCGCCTCGTTTGAGAGGCCGGCGGTAATATGTACATGTTTGCCCAAAGAGACGGCAGCTCTGGCACGCAATACCATTGGCCAAGGGGTCGCATTTGATGCTTCTGGCATGACAGTAGTCGCAGGCTTGCGTCACCCGATGTCGCTTGGATCCGGGCGCTTGCCCTGTGGTCGGGCCACCTTCATTTGTCATGTGTTCGCAGGCACGAAAGTCACAGTGATATTTGAGTTGTCGTCATGGGAAACTTATGTTGCAGAGTTGGGATGATGCTGTCGGAACAACGTGTCATGAGGTGCAAGTTCACGACTGGTACAGAGGCAGCCAATGTCACATGACATTACCGAGCTATCCAAACGTCAACCACAACGGGGTCTTTATACAGGTCCAACTTTATAATCCGAATATAATAAGATGCGACGAAGAAAAAAAAAACCATTTTTTTTCGTACATAAGTATTTACAATTTGGTAGACGCCATCCGTTGTTTAGTATTTCACTGGCAATAAGCAAAAAATCGTCGTGGCGATGTCTTATTTCGTTGTCAAGAGAAACACTTAATACATAGCTAAGTCTATAAACAAAAAAAGGGGCAAAAGTGATACACTGGTGCGTCATATTGCGATGAGTAATTAGAATCTTTACAATACGTCTGTAAAACACACCACCCCCCCCCTCCCGGTACATATATATAGCTCTCTATCATTTGCTCACCATTTATTATTAAACAGTCGCCCATCAATAACGTTAAGCAATGTTTTCACTGGCCGTAGCTTCTCCCCAGGTTCCCCAAAACTCATCGTCCTATGCATGAGATCCCTAAAATTGTTTCCTGGTGACGTTTTGCCAAGGATTTGCTCCTTGTCAGTTTCTACACGATCAGGCACAAGGATCGGGCGCCCAATGACCGCCTCCATTCCCTGCCATGCAAATGTGACGGCCTCTTTTGCATTAGCGGGGATCCCAGCATCGTCCATCATGAAGATGCGGGTTTTAGGATAGTTCGCCTGAATAAAGTCCACAATATTTGGATTCCATGACCCACCACCGCATAAAAACAGCTCGTCAATGTGTTGTGAAGGCGCAAATCTCTTGAAATGGTCGACGATGGACTGGGCCGTGATCCGTGTTATTGTTGCAACCACATCTTCTGGCGACCGTCCTTTCTTCTCCGCTTTGGCAATCAGCTCAAATGCAACGGTATCTCGAAAGTCTTCCCGTCCTGTTGTCTTTGGGATAGCTCTTGCAAAGTATTCATGGTTGGATAGAAACTCATCAACGACTTCTTGATCGACTATGCCGCGTTTCCCCATTTCCCCATCCTTATCGTACTCGCGCTCACCATTGGTGTAGTGACGAACCGCAGCATCAATGTACACGTTTCCCGGACCTGTGTCGAAATCGTAGCATCGGTCGACACCTCCATCGCAGTCTGGTGGGATGAAACACACATTGGCGATACCACCGATGTTTTGGCATGCTCGAAGTTTCGTCGGATGATGGAGGAGTAGGGCATCAAAAAACGCGACGAGTGGTGCGCCTTGTCGCCCAACAGCTACTTCACTTATGCGGAAGTCTGTGACCGTTGTGATTCCGGTACGGGCAGCTATAATTGCGCCTTCGCCCATGCTTAATGTTGTCCGAACATGTGAGGCGGTAGGACTGGGTGTATGCCATATCGTCTGGCCATGCGACCCAATGACATCCACGGTGGACTTGTCTATCTTGTTGGCGGCTAGAAATTCGTTTGCAGCTGCTGCGAACGTTTCCCCCAATATGACGCCTATTTCAGCCACTTCTTCGGGCGATGTGCGATTGTGGAGGATCAGATCCATTACTCGCGCTTTGATACTCGGGCCAAGTGGCGTTTCACCGTAGTGAAGAAGCTCCATGACGATAGGTTTGCTGGGTGATTGTTGTCTGAACCGACACAGAGCACAATCAATTGCGTCCTAGAATGAATCAATGACGGAAACGTTCCATCTTGGAAAAACGAAGACTAACCATGGATGTACCGCTGTTCAAGCCCAAGACTGTTAAGTCCAGAGGCAAAGACTTTGTACTGCTTGACCATACGCCTCCCATAGTGTAAGCTTGATGCCTGCTAACAGGACGACTTGCTGGGCAGCCGGAGACTTGTTTTGGGGGCCAGGGGCTGTATTTGACCAGATAAGCCTAGCTTATTCATCCACCAATGGTTGTGCCCAGTCCAATCAGCCTCGCGTGCCTATTATATAGGAATCCAAGACATTGAATCTGGCTTTCAATACATTTGAGGGGGTTACTCGCGTAAATACAATTCTGCCTTTTAAACGCTTTTAGCACCCGGCTGTCGCCTAAATCTAAGTCCGCAAAGGAGGTGGGTCTCGCCTAAATGTCAAAATAATAAACGGCAAATTAAGGCTATCGGGGAAGTGGATACTAAAGCATTAAGATAATGGCTTGCAGATGACAAATGGGGAAGTGGAACCCCGGGTTTATCTCAAATAGGCTGGGGTGCTTGCCGGGGGTGCAGGTTTGAAAGTTGGAAACGTCGCTTGACCAACTCGTTCCTAGTCCCTAATATTATAACCATTCCCGTGCCAGTGGCCACCGTAACGCGCGACTACGCCCAAGAACAAACGTCAACATGAGTCAATTCGCAAACCACTCTCCCATCGAGGCGGATGCAGAGAAGTCTGGCTCATCTAATACAAGCAACAACAACACGGGCCGTGCCTTCGATAGTGGTACAGACTTCAGCGAGGAGGTTCTTGTACTACAGGGCGCTGATCCCGCCATGGACAAGAAGATGCATTTGGTCAACAATGTAAATAACCACGTGTGCCGAGTTCTACATCACTACTAACCAGACTCAGACTTTAGATGAAATAGGTTGGACGACCTACCATTGGAAACTGTTCTTCCTCAGTGGCTTCGGGTGAGTATATATTTCTCAGCATTCGTGAACTGTAGCTCATAGCCTACAGGTATGCGGTAGATGCGCTGCAACTGAGTCTGCAGGGTATTATCTCTGTCCAAGCTGTGATTGAATTCCAGCCCTCGTACGCCAAAGGTCTTACCATCGCCCTATACATGGGCATGCTCGTTGGTGCTCTATTCTGGGGATTTACCGCCGACATCATCGGCCGGAGGATTGCGTTCAATATCTCTCTCTTCATATGTTCCGTCTTTACCATAGTGGCTGGCGCCTCTCCTTCTTGGGAGTCGCTCGGCTTCTTCATCGCTCTCGCCGCCTTCGGTGCCGGCGGCAACTTGATCCTCGACACGACAGTCTTCATGGAATACTTGCCTTCGAATAAGCAGTGGCTTGTTAGCTTGCTCGCTGCTTGGTTTGGAGTCGGGTGCACTATTGCCGGATTGGTCGCATGGGGTTTTATGCGTAAGGATCACACTCACGGCCTCCTGCATCTACTGACCATATATAGCGAACTTCTCTTGCGCAGATGCAAGCAACTGCACTAGGGCTAACAACAGCGGCTGGCGATACCTCATGTATACCATCGGCGCATTCATTTTCGTCCTCAGTGTTCTTCGGGTGACGATTATCCGGCTCCGCGAGACGCCAAAGTTCCTCCTCGGACAGGGCAAAGACGCCGAAGTCGTCCACATCTTCAAGGAACTAGCCGATCAATATAATAGGCCCTGTTCCCTGACCGTCGAGCAGCTTGAAGAATGTGGTGTCGTCTCTTCCGCCCATTCGCCCAATCGATTCTCCATCGGCGAGTTTCTCATCCACTTCCGCGCCTTGTTCCTCACCAAGAAGGTTGCAGCGACCACTATCCTTCTTTGGCTCTCCTGGTCAATCATCGGCCTTGCGTATCCGTTGTTCGTTGTCTTCTTGCCATACTACTTGGCCAGCCGAGGCGTTCAATTCGGCGTTATCAGTACCTATCAGACTTGGCGAAACTATGCTCTCGTCCAAGTTTGTGGCATCTTTGGGCCCATGGTAGGCGGTCCCCTGGCAAATGTTCGATTCATAGGACGACGTTATGCCATGATTATTGGGGCTCTGATTACGATGGCTTTTTTCTTCGCATATTCGCAGGTCTCGTCGCAAGATGCCAACGTCGCCTACAGCTGCGTCATTTCATTCACGCTACAGATTTACTATGGCGTTTTATACGGGTACACCTCGGAGGTACTGCCGGCGGCTCATCGCGCAACTGGAAATGGTATTGCCATCGCGTTTTGTCGATTGGCCGGTGCTATGTCTGCGGTTGTGGTGACATACGCGAACCCGAATACTACTGCGCCGGTTTTTATTTGCGCCGCTTTGTATGGAGGATTAGCGATCTGTGCTTTCATGTTGCCATTTGAGCCGTACGGGAAACGTGCTTCTTAGTATCTTGGGCATGATATTTATGAGCAATGGAGGGCTGGAGTTGTAGCTTACTTGGTCTCGAGCTACCTGCAACTTTGTGTTGTACTGTGCGAGGCACCCTTAGTCTGGTCGCGCAAGTTTTTGAACTGGCAACCTACGTTGATTGCGTCGCTCAACTCCTAGCTCATAGTCGAGTTTTTTCAGAAAAGACTACATGTACAGCGTATTGAATAAACTGCAATTTGCTGTACTACCAGATCGAAGCTGATAGGAATCACCATTTCGCACCGTATATCAACTTTTGAATTCGGGAGGGAACGAAGATCCCCACAATGACGGCGATGGGTGGTTCGGTGGTTATGTACCGTTGTTGACAGCCACTTCACCGCTCGGCAATCGCGCCGCACTGCACATCAACATATGTCGAGGTAAAAATACCACCGGATAGAGACTAAACTGTGCGTGCGCACTTTTTGGTCTAATGGCACGTTTTGACCCATTTTTCTGTCGCGACAACATGTGGACTCACTGGTCTCGCCCCCACCAATCACCATCATCACCATCATCACCATCCTTCAATCCTCACCATCAACCCGTCACCAACCCGTCACCAACACACCACCAACACACCACCAACAAACCATCAACATAGCATCAACATAGCATCAACATAACATCAATCACCATCAAACCTCACCTTCGATCCTCACCCTCAACGCGCGTCATCCACCCTCACCGTCAATAATACCTGCGTCTCATTACATCCGGATAACTTCTGCCGTCACTGCTATCCAGTACAGTAGATGATGATGATGATGATTTCATTTGCCCTGAAACGAAGGAACGGAGTGGAAGGGGTTACCAACCCCACGGCTGCCCAACGCCCACGTTGGCTGCCAAAAACACAGCGAGAAACACACACCCTATTTGCCCGCCAAGCCTCTCTCTCATTGGTGCTGGTTGGATCTTAGGTCACGTTTCCTCGTGTTCGGTTGTCTCTTAGTTATTTAAGATTCTGCTAATCAAAAACTGCATTGTATAAGCACTTTCCCCATGGCCGCTACAGGATGCCTTGAGTGATTCCAAGCCCACTGGGCGGTCCGGGTGGAGGAGATCGAGACTGGAGGTGTTGATTGATAAGTGATGCTTCGGTGTTCATATTATCGAGGGGAGTTTATTGTATACAAGTAGGCTGGTGGGCAAGTATACAGGTATGCACGTGATCCCAACCCCCATGATTATCTCAGTAACCGGGATATTCAACAGGAGGGAGCCAAGTGGCCCAAGCTTGGGTGTCCACATAAGCAGCCCGATAACCTTGGTTCAATTCAATTCAATTCAATTCAAGATTCTATTAACCTAATGCAGCCTAGCTAGTGAGCGCCGTGGCTATGTAGGCGTTCCCTCCATCGGGAACCAGAACCATCCTAACGCCACGCCCGCGGTAACAAAGACAAAGGAGATACGGCGTATTGCCATAGAAAAACAAGTAATAACTCCCACGATGACGGTAACGAAACGCTCACAATGAATGTAATCGGCTACTGCCAGCTCACGCAGCGCCCTGTGGCCACTCCCCGTGGCCCATCCCACTCTCCCTATCCCGCCACTGCAGGCATAACCTCAGTTACGCCCTGGTTCCTCCTGCAATTGTTCCTTGTGGGGACGTAGCTCCTCCGCCTGTCGACCTCTCGTAGTCGCCAGTTGATAGTATACTTCCTTATACGTAGCGTCTTTACCTCCTAGTGCCTGCTCCCCTCGAGCGTGTTTATGTTGGCATCAACCTCCACATCTTTATCTGCCATATGGCGGAATTAACCCAGAAGCCCTGTTTTGTGCATGAATTCGGCCATATAGCGAATAGCCTGCGAGTCCGATACAATCGTGTTGTAGTCGGTTGTGTGCCCTAGGTCGGTCTTATACCAGATCTTATTCAATATGGTTGCCCTCAGGCTGGTGTATAACGGGCACTGGAGGAGGACATGCCTGGGCGTCTGGCTGCCCTCGTCACAGTGATACTGGCCTATATTAAATTAATCGTCCTGTCCCCGCTGATTGGTGTGTTTGAATAGGAAATGCCTTAATCCGATGCGCTGTAAGTGTATCTGTACCAGGATTAAAGAGTAGGCCTTCGGCAGACCTTCGTACAGTTAGAGGACCTTCTTCAAAGGTACCTCTACCAACTGGTGATACTGCTTGGCTGTTTTCTCATTTGCCCACACCTTTATCTATCGTCCCTTAATCCGCTGCTGCACCCAGCGCTGTGCGGATGAGGCCAATCGGACTTCGGCACTACGATAGTCCGCCCTACCCCTATGCTCCGCCGCAAACTTAGCCTTGACGTCGGCTGCTTCGTTGCCCGGTATACCCATATATACAGGGATCTAGTAGATCTCGATAGCAGTAGGAATCAGGCTGTATATAGGTATAAGCGATCAGAGGGTTCGTATGTGCTTATATATTTGTCCGATTATATATTGGCCCGACGATTGCTTTAGGTTAGTAATTACTTAGATAGCTGCTTGGCTATCTACGAAGATAACCAACTTAGTCATATAAACTTGACTTGGCTCCAAATCTGTACTTTGGTTAGAACTTTCACAGACTTCTGTGCTGTGGCGAGAATTTTCTGTACTTCAGAAAGAGCTTTCTGTACTTCAGAAAGAGCTTTCTGTACTTTGGCGAGAACTTTCTGTACTTTAGTTCCCACTCTGAGACTGCTCCTTAACGAACGCGGCGAGCGCTATCTCGATACCGTTTAGCTCTGTAACATATACTGTTGAATCCTCGGTAGTCCCCAGATACCGGTTTAAATAGAGGCTTCCCTAGGCTCCTATCAGGCGGAGCGAAACCGCAGCGGCACCTATGTAGCCTTAATAGTCACTGCCGTTGGTGAAGAAGATCTCTATTAGTACTTGCTCTGGTATCTGATATGCTCAGAGGTATTACGGAAGCATTCGCTTAATTCCCTAATTAAGCAACTGCTTCTAGATTCGATTGTGTACAGCAATAGTCTTTTCCGCTGATTCCTCAATCATATAGGTAATTCGGGGTTCCCAGGGCCGCAGGACCCCTATAATACAGGTCTCCCAGGTCCCGTTCCCAGGCGTAAGGATATTCAGAACCTTATTCTTCTTCTATCGGAGGGCCTCGATCGGGCACCAGCCCCCAAGACAGCGTCTCTTGGGCTTGCATTAATGCTAAAGTATACTAGGTTGAGCCCAGGCTGGGCTGGTTTAGATTTAAATAGCTGTTTCCTTAATATTCTGCTGTATTTATAGATAGATAGGCAGGATGTAGAGCTCTATATCGAGCAGGGCACCGCTTACGCCCTGGAATAAACCAGAGATAGTGATAGCAGCCCGCTTTTATACTCAGGTAAATACTGCTACTATCCGATTATGCTCCTACGCCTTTATATTGCCAGCTGCTAGGGCGTACTATACTGAGAGACCGTATAGCAATTAAGGAATAACCACCGCCTAGTATACCTTACGTATACTAAGCAAGGAGATACCCTACGTAGATCCTATAATCCTCCGGAGGGCTTCTAGACTACCGTTGGCCTTGGCGATAGTATAGTCCCGGTGCTTCTGAAAAGACAGAGTTTTATCGAGCCAGATTCCTAGGTATTTGGCGTATTCTGATGGCTTGATCTGGCCCCCAGAGAATATAATTAGTATCTGGTCGTTGCCCTGCGGATAATATACATCAAGGTCGTAGGGGTCAACGTCCGATAGGATGCTGGTGGCCGTATTTTGAGCATTTTGATTGGTATCTTGTTCCCGAGGGTTCTTAAAGTGGATGAGTTCGAACTTATCCGGGGCGAATTTGGCTGTGTGCCGTTTTGCCCACAGATCTGCCCTGCCTAGGGTCTTTTGTAACAGTTGTGTATTGGTGTAGTAGGATTCCGAGACCACCATGATCGCTACGTTGTCCACCTATCCAAAGCCTTCAGTCATACTATCCCCAGTTTCCTTGCAGTATGTGTTGACCAGGGGGGGCGTTGAATAGCAGGAAGAGGATCGGGGATAGCAGTGATCCTTACGGGATACCTGTTGGTGTTGGAAACGGCTCGCTGAGGAAGCCAGGGAGCTTGATGCGGGTACATTGATTCGTTAAGAAGGCTTCAGCCCAGGGCACGAAGAAGCCGAGGCCCAGCCGGTATATATTCGATAGTATTTGTTGATGGGAGACGTTGTCGTAGGCTCCTGCTACATCGAGCAGTACCATAGAGGCCTGCCGGCCGCGGCCCCAGGCTCGCCGTACCCGATTAATGATTAATTGGATAATGTGATCAATGGAGATTCCTTTCCTTCCTCCGAGATAAGTTCCTGGTAGCAACTGGTGAACCTCCACTGCCTCTGAGATACGTGTGGCAATGATAGATTCTAATAGCTTTGCCATTGTGTTGATGAGGGCAACTGGCCGGTAGGACTTTGGTAATCAAAAGTCTCGGGGGCCGCCCTTCCGCAACGTGACGGTGATCGAGGCTTGAAAGCACCTTGGATTGTATCCCATTCGCATATATACGTTGAAGATCCTGGTGGCGATTGGGGTAAAGTTGCCGCAGTTGGCCGCCAGGACCTTCCACATACGGTTGGGGATAGTATCCTCGCCTGGTGCTTTGTCTGGCGGTGCTCGATGGACTGTATTGAGCACCTCTTATTTGGTGATTGGTGGGAATTTGATCGTAGGTTGGTGATAGACCCTGCTGCCCGGGGCGAGGTCTGAGAGGTTGGCCTCTGGTGGTAGTAGAAAGAAGGTTTTACAGAGAAGCTCTACCTTCTCTGCATCACTGGTGGCACTTATATTGCTATTAGGACCCTTTAACAGAGGAATCACACCACTGGTGGCTTGCTGTTAGTTGCGAGCCCATTTAGAGAGCTTCTAGAGCCCTCCTTTAGTCTCACTTACCTTCCGAAACCCACCGCCGGTAGCCCACGCTGAGTACCTTCTTGATAGTTCGACCCTTATGGTTCCGAACCGCCGCGTATATCTGGTGTTTCTCCTGTCTCTCCTCCTCGGTTTATACCTTGCTAATCTCTCGGAACAGCCTGCAGTATGTTAATATTGCCTCGGAGCACTCCTTCGTCTATCCTTCCTTTATAAATATAGACGGACGTGCCTATGGTACTGCGGCCTGGATACTCTGCTGTACAATTTATAACAGGCGCTCTGTGTCGTATTTAATTTATTGTATATTGCCTGGGATAGGGTGCCAGTGTTGGAGGTTATTATTCATAAATTAGATTAGTTTTGGCTTATCTATCGTCTTTCAGTTACAGCGCAGAACAGGGTCCTCGGCTACCTGTATATCGATATCTACAAGAGAGCGGATTGGGAAGTAGTCTGAGTCCGCATGGACCTTCATCTGGACCTCGCAGCTGATTATCTGGGTCTGTATCGCCGTGGAGACCAGTACAAGGTCGATTATCGATTCAGATCAAGTATCCCTGTATGTTATTGTCCCCTCCAGTAACCAGTTGTTGATTACTAACTTCTCTATCAAGTCTAGCAGCTCCTCCGCCTCTGTATCCCCCTTTACACCCTCTCCTCCCCACTACAGATGGTACAGGTTGAAATCCCCTATAATTATATATATACTGTTATCGTTAGTCTCCGGAAGCAGTGCTGGTAGCAGATAAAGTGCTATATAAGTATTCATATCGTTGTAGATGTTTAATATTCGCAGATTACCCGTAGGCATAGCAATATTAAGTTCCTGTATATCCTTGTTATAGACCGTATGTACCCATCCGGTAAGCTTCTTCAAGACGAATATACAGACCCTTACTCTCTCCTCCCCCTCTCCTCCTATCTCCGGGTATAACAGTTCATATATATCCTTCACAGGATGGTGTGTCGTATTACTAAATAGATTCTTCCAGGGCTCCTGGATGGCAATAATATCAGCCTTAATAACGGCCGGATCCCTCATAAACTAGGCCATAACGATATCCTTTGATCGATTAACGTTATACTGGAGGATACTGAGTTGATTGCCGTTTGTATATTGTTATAGTTGTTGTCTATTTATTAATATTTGGTAGAGTTCTTTAGTGCCTTGATGATACATAGGCTACTGTATAGCTTAAGTAACAGCACAGTCTCGTTATGGGGCTGCTTCCTCTTCCGGCTCTCTGTTCGCATATCTGGTAGTGACAATAGCTAGAAATCGGTGTTACTGCGTGCTCGGTCCTCGTTAAGCTGTCTCTCTATCTCCGTTAAGTCTATATCCCCCGCTGAGCTGAGGTCTGATTCCTGGTTGGTTTGTTCTAGTTGATCAATAAACCTTAAAGATCGCCGTGCCACTCGTTTTGTGGTCGGTTCACTGTATCGGCTCTGCTCCTTTTGCTTCTTAGCTATCGCTTTACGGGCTTTAGCAGTTCTAGCCCTTGCTGCTTCTTCCTTCTGGCTGCCTATAGCCTCTGACCCTGTCTCGGTATTGGCTCTGGTTCCAGCAGTTCTGGCAGCCTCGTTGGCAGCTGTAGTACTCGGTTAGAAGTCAATATCATACATTATACTGTTTAAGGTGCTGAAAATGCATGGTCCCTGGGTCGTTGCAAAGTTAAACTGCCGCGGGTTCCTGGGTGGGTTGACTCGGGGTGTTTGTTGCGCCTCAGGTGCTTTCTGGGGGGGGTTTCCTGGGACGTCTCCTTGACGCCTTCCATCGTATCCTCTGGGATAGTTACAACTGTGGTCTTCTGCACCTTCTTTGCCTATTTGGATAGTGCTTTTGCCACTGTTTTCCTTGCTAGCTTATCCCCCTGGATCCTACTGACGGTCTGATTTACACTGGTGCTCTGCTCCCCGTTACTGGAGCGTACGGCTGATACAACAGCGCTACCTGTCGTATCTGATTCCTCCGTTAAGGACACCTATGGTATTCCTATAGAGCTCAATAATAATGGGGCAAGGGATACAGAGGGGTTATTATAGCTAAACTCGGCCGGCACTGAATAGAATTACCTGTACTGCTTCACCATCGCCATAATCTGTTCTACCACCGTAATCCTCACCTTACAATCCTCACTCTACGCTGGATGCGCACCCTTATAATTAGCGCACTTCTTGTTCCTATACATACAGATAGTATAATCTCGAGACTGATGCTCCCTAGTACAGTACATACATTTCGTTTTGTTAGTACAGGAGGTTCCTATATATCTGTATTGTTAACAGTTAAAACATTACTATACACGGAGACTTCTGTTGTACAGGAGAGCCTGATACCAGTTTGAATCCCAGAGCACTCCCTCTTCGATAGCCTTATTCACTAATTGCAGCGTGCTGAATTCGAGGATAACTGAGGCCAATTTTGCCCCCTCCTTCGGCACTTGCAACCAGTTGATCTTGGTGATTATAGTATTCTTCCCCCAGTAACGAGAGTTTTCGGCCACCATAGCTATCACAATTGCTCCCTGCGCCTCCTGTAGGTCTTAAATCGTCGGCTTATCTACCAAGGAGCGTACCTGCACGCCGTACACGATAGCCCCCCCAGGTCGGCATATAGACGAAGGCTGTCGAACCGAAGCCCTTAACCTATATATCCCGATACAGCCGTATCAGCTATACTTCCCGGGCGTCTCATACAGTGAGCCGGAGATCACCTGACTTCAACTGGCAAACTGCCTTTACTATCACCGTGGCCAAGGTGGCGATCTAGGTACCCTTTGCATACTCCGCACACACCTTGTTAGTATAATCTTTCATCTCCTCAGATAGCTTACCGCGATATCTGTTCACCTGATCACAGTTGTTGAGGCAGACGATCATATCCCGGTTACGTACCGTGACTGGTGCGGCGGATATAGTATTCGATGATAGGGGTAGCGATAACTGATGGGCCGGCACTGGCGCTTATACCGCTGCCCGAGCCCAGGAGACAGTGCCCATACAAGATAGAGGCTCTATAGCCGCTTTTACAGCACTGTAGATCTCCTTAGAAAGGTCGTTGCAGAGGGCCTAGAGCTCCTGCTGCCAGTTGTATAAGGGGAGCAATAAGAGGTCGCTGGTGAGGGCTCAAACATTTTCGAGGAGTTCCCGCACCCTGTCTGGTTTCAATTGGGCTTTCGGACTGCTATTAAGTTCCATCAATAGCTCCGTGGCGCTGCGATTAACGTTCTGAACGCGTTCACGATTCGATGGCAGATTCTTCAGCGCGGCGGGCACGCCCCCGTAGGGGCGCGAAGCCACCTTCTCCACGCACGGCACCGGCATCTTGAGCTAGGCTATACAAATCTAGGCTCAAAATGTAGCGCGTGAAGTTATTTAAAACATGCAAAATACTAGAAGTTGTCAACTGGCCTGGTTCCTGAGATATAACAAAAATTCGATTTGCGTCTTGCGTTGTTGTTTTTTCCCCGATAACCTTGGAACATTGGATTTTACCCCGATTTTGAGCTAGTGGCAAATAGTGGCTCTTCAGGCTCGCATTTTTCTTGCCAATCCTTGGATTTCAATCCTCAGTTCCGCAGTTCTTAGATCCAAAAAAAAGATTCCAGGCCTGTCTCGATTTGAGGGTCTATGTGGCGGTAGAGTTTCTGAGGACCCGTTTCCAGATGTAAGGCTCCGGACACGTTCTAGATTTCACAATTTGGGTTTCATTGCCTCCTTAATGATGGCAACACCCCCCAAACCCACTAACCCGTTCTGCGTTCTTTCTACCCTACTCCTCAATATTGCTTGAATTTCGCGACCCGAGCAAGCACTGCTTCGACAAGCTTGCTTAGATGACCTCCAAAAAGATTGCTTTTCTGTGCATGCAATTTATGGCATCATGACCACAAACGATACAGATCCAGGGCTGGTGGTGGGTGTATGGATAGCGGCTGGGATCGCCACTGCCATTGTCGTTCTGCGCTTCGTTGCGAAAATCCGGATTCATCATTTGCATGCCGACGATGTGGTTATGCTTTTGGCGCTAGTAGGTGATTGATTGATTGAGAACATTTTTAACTACATCCACTGAATCATAATCTCATTACTAGGTCTTAGCTATTATCGCAACGGCATTGCTAACGGTAGCTATACACTACGGCTTTGGTAAATCGTCGGCGAATCTCAGTTTGGCCGATCAAATTCAGGCAATGAAATTTGCAACAATTTTGCAGACCTTCATGATCATTGCGACCGGATTGGGACGATGTGCGTTCATTCTCTATCTTCTGGGAATAGTAGGTACTGAGCGACTGCACCATATCATTCTCTGGCTCTTTATTGCATTACAGATCATTATCAATGGTGTCTCTGTGATTATAGCCTACACACAATGCTCAGATGTAAGAGGTATCTGGAATCCGGAGTTTTCGGCAGGTTGTTCGTTTGGAAACTTGCAGGGAGTTTATGGTATAGTTCAGACTTGTAAGGCCCGGGTTGACCCTGAAATCACGAAATCGACCGTTATCTGACCTAAATCTCACTAGCTTTCAACTCATTTACCGATCTATATCTAGCTGTCTTCCCTATCTTCAAATTCTGGAGCCTTAAATTGCGTCTACACGTGAAGATATGTTTGATTTTTCTCCTAAGTCTTGGCCTTTTGTACGTAGAAATATGGGGCTGTAAGTTCTCATTTGTATAATATCAACTGACTTTATTTCCATATCCTAGAGCAATGCTCGCCTCGATTGGAAGAACAGTCGAACTCAGCAAGTTGACAAACTTTACCGATAGAACACGCCAATTTATTCCACTCGCCCGCTGGACTATCGCCGAGTGCTATCTCATCATTGTCACCGCATCGCTGCCCTCTATTCGGTCTCTTTTGATTTTCTGGTTCCACAAAATATCCCGTGGCAGCTGATCGCGTCCTCACGAACTTGATAAAGTCCCGATTCGACATACAACGCCGAATCAGGTGTGCTACCTGGGTATGGACCAAAGATCTCTGACGGCAGCTTAATTTTGAAGATGGTCTCAACGACACAACAAGCTCGAGTGGCCAGTGAAAGAGAGCATCTACCAAGAGACTAAGCTAGACGATGATCACAGTTGCATCAACCGCCGCTGCATCATCATCAAGCGAATACACAATAATTTGGTACCCGAATAGGATGACCATGCCCATTCAGGGGGCTGAGGAGGAAGACAAAATACAGGAAAAAATGGAAGCACCTTTGGACGAAGGCAGACGCCTGCCTATTTGGAATTTAGACTGAACTACAAGTCTGCCAATACCATTGGTGTATGTAAACTTGGGGTTCAAATTTTGGAAATCCTTCCTGGTATCAATTCATATCACCAATTACCACTGATACAGGAGTGAGATGTAATAGAGGTGGGTCTTAGTCCAAAATGTATTATATTAGTATAGTTATGGTATGTCTTATAAGTTGATTAATCTGGCCGGGCAGCAGTTGTCCTATTGGATTATGGTCTTAAATAACACTCGCCCTTTGCTCTCCAAGCGGTCAATTTCTGTATCAGCAAATTTGCTGTAGTGTAGAAAGAGCTACAGTCAGTCAGCAAACTAGTTCTATACCGACCTGTATCATCTGATACGGCTGTCAGGTAGAGCGTTTGGCGGGAGTTCGGCGGGCATTTGACATGGAGTTAATTGGCATCTACTGAATGCACTGGCAGAGTATCGAGCCCCCCCTGCTATTGCAGATAACTTGGTCATGTCCGACCAAGCGTGGCAGCCTTGCTCGTATAGTGGTCAGACTGTATTTATTCTACAACCATCGGGCTTATGAACGCTCTGCTTTGAAAGTTCATAGAGAATATCAATATGTTACTATGTGATTTACCGATGAAAGAATGGCCCCCGGACGTGCGGTGGGTCAAGTGGGTCGAATCAGCCTTGAAAGCCAGCGAGGTCCACGTCACATCGCAGCAATTGTTCTTGGGAGTGCAGATGGGGTGATGCAATTTGGGGGATATCTTCGTAATGAAATCTGGTAAACATGGAACTGTACATAGTCTATGTGGTAGGTGGGAGGCCCTATCGGCCTTCGGCACGCTCCACCAATTTATCCTCCAAGCCCATCGGTTCCCAAACATCCTTGGCTTTTTTGTTCTGAACCCATACGACGTCTCCTTGTAAATATGCCACCACGCCACCGCTTCCAGTGACGCTCGCCGTGATCCGAAAGGCTTTTGCTACCATTTTATCTTACATTATGATGTCATCCAGCTCTCGCATGATCATTCACGTGATATTTATTGGGGTTTACTGGGCCCAAGTATCGGGTCCGGGTTGGGTCTGGGTTAATGAAGTTCGACCCGGACCCAGCTGTGATTGATAAGTGATACTTCGGTCTTTATGTTATTGAGAGGAGTTGATTGTATTGTGTTTTGATACGAAAACGCTGGTAGACAGGTATATGCATATGCACGTGATCTTAGTCTCATGATTATCTCAGTAACCGGGATATTCAACACAACCCAACGCCGCATTTGGCGAGATCTAGCTTGTAGAAGCGGCTCCTTGACGGGCAGCCACTTCACTAAGCAGTAGCATGGTGAGCTACTGAAGGTACAAATAGCTGGTTCTTTCATAACTTGAATAATTAGCACACTTGTACTGTACCTCATTCCAGAATCCAACTGTTGTGGCGAGGAGTTAGGCAGGTAAAAGAAGTCATGATCATCATTATCATACTGTACTGCACCCACCCCCTTGGTACAACTTTAACGCTTCAGGTTGGTTTCTCAAACGTCACACGACCCGACCGAGACCGTTTCGCAGTTTACATTTGTAAAATCTCGGAATGATGGTCATCAAAGAAACTCGGCAACACCATTTTTCTCGGCTGTCAAGTAATCAATCAAGGGTATGTGTTACGCACAGACTAACTGGTCGCTGCGTTAGTGGTTCGACAGTTGGTAATACGTACTTGTTTGTGAGTAGAACTGCGATTTGCCAAAAGGCGGCTGGAATCGGCGTCTCTTTGGCACCACGGTTAATCCTCAAGTATCGACTCGCAATCGTACCGTTGCTCTGCTAAGCCTTACACGGACTCGGATCCTGTAGAGTAACTTCGAAGGATGCGCCAGGTAGTGCGCCGAATAGGTCAGTCCGGAGAGCTCCCCTATTCGTAGTATGTTTGTCACAAGGGTTGAAACTGAATGAAGAATAGTCCGAAGAGTATACTGTAGTAACTTAGATTGATTGATCACGAAGAACTAAATACATGTGCGTGGACGAGTGTCCCTATATACCCAGTCTCCCTTGGTGTGGTATCTCGAAGGGTATGTCTGTTGGTATACCAGGTCCGACCCTTCCACCGACCCGTTGGTATACCCGCTAGTATACCCAGGGTCACGTGTTGGAGCGTGTCCGTTTCCGCACCTTGCTAACCGTATCGTGGCTTAGTGCAGTATTGTTTGACACGGCGAATCAGAGGCTGATTCTGGCCGTTGGTCACGTGTTACTGATCCTGCGTTCCTTCCCTAGGAACGTTTGGCTCTCGGTGGCCCATCTGTAGGTTGCGGCCCCTCATGTCGCAGGGTCCGTAAATTCCAGCCGCCTTTTGGCAAATCGCAGTTCTACTCACAAACAAGTACGTAGACCTTGCCAAAGCCCGCGGGCTTCTGGGCCCGGGCTAGGCCCAGGCCTGATTTTAGCGGCCCGTACAGCCCGCAGGCCGGGCCGCGGGCCTAAAAGTAGGCCCACAGGCCGCTAGTCCATAGGCTGCAGGCCGCTAAGGAAGCCCGGCCCGTGGGCTCAGGCCTAAAACTGAGGCCTGCAGGCAGGCCGGCCCGGCCCGCGGGCCTTCAAACAAGACAAATACTAGATAATTTAACAGTGTATAATTTTTTATTTTTTTTAGGTATTATACTGTAATAATTTAAGCTAAGATCTATATTTAATATTGTAAGATGGGAATGCTCGCTGGCACTCTGTCAAGCAGACGGGTCGATCACAAGAGGACAAAACCACCACACTTGCAGAGTGTAGGAGAGTAGTAGACAAAGCGTGACGCTATCGAGATACGACTAATAAGACATTCGAGTCTTCATAGACATGCGTAGGCATCGCCATAACCCATTTTGGGTTAGAGATGCCGACCCCAAAACCCAACCCAACCCAAAACCCAATGGGTTAAACCCAATAACCCAATAGATACCTATTTTAACTTATTTTTACATAATTTATTCATAATTTTTATGTAGTATATTTCAATACTTAATTTATCTCTCTTTTTCTAGAAGAATCTAGATACTAGGATCCTACATATATATATATATAGTATTAATTATTATATATCTAAATTTTAAGACTAAAATAGGTACCCACTGGGTTCCTAAATGGGTTATAGGTGGGTTTTGGGTTATAGGTGATAACCCAAAACCTATCAATGGGTTATGGTATTCAACCCAAAACCCATTTTGGGTTGGGTTGGGTTGGGTTGGGTCCGGGTTATAGTGGGTTCTGGCGATGCCTAGTTAGAGAAAGGTCTTTTAGCGTTGAGGATTAGCGTTGATATATATCGCCAGGAAATATATTTTGTTTAGTATTGATAAAATCTTATGTTCCCAGATATTCTGTTTTACTACAGTAGACTACTACTTAGTCTATTGTATATTAGTATCCTTATTTTAAGGATTAGCTTTTAGCTTCCCTAGAAGATTATTTAAACTAAGCTATATTATATATATAAGACAGAGAATCTGGATAATAGTTATATTATTTAGTAGATTTTTCTAGATAGCTTCTATTATTATTCTGTTATTTATAGTGTTATTAGTAGTAATACTATAGATCTAATCTTAGATCTAATATTCCTCTAGCATCTTAAGAAGTATATTACAGTCAACTCCCGCTTATGGCACACCCTGCCATCCAACAGAATTAGTGTGCTATAAGTGAATTGTGCTAGAAGTGGTCTGGTGACTAATAGTTCTATAATGATCGACATCATTACTTCCGCTTTGAGAGCCATGTCTCTTCCAGTGTCTTCTGTTCCCTCCTATCCACCTGTAGTCTAGTAAATATACCTATGAGGCCCTCTATCTGACGAATATTTTCCTCGGTAGTACCCTCTTGGTGCTGTGCCCATAGAAGTGTATCCTTCATGCTATGAATAACTGCTGCACTAGATGGTAAGTCTGGTGGAGGCCCAAATATATATTCCTCATCCTCATCATCACCATCACCATCACCATCACCGCCAGCGGTTATATCCAGGATAATATCAGATATATCAGGTTCATCAGCATTGTTTTCATCTGATGGGTTCAGGAAATTATCCAATGGCATAATCTCCTGAGCACTCCCAGAAAGCTTGCTAGTTAAGCTCTGATATAGATCATCTAACTGAAGCACTTCTGGTTGTCCTTCTATCTGACTAGTACGACCAGTAATAGTACTCTTATCAAAGCAGTTTTGTATAGTCTCATTGAGTACCTTATTACGCCATGCTTGGGTGATCCAGTGCAGAGTATAATTAAGGCTCATTTTCTTTTGAGGATCGATATTCCGATCAAGTATATTAACCATCCAAAGCATCCATTTTCTCCGATAATGGTGTTTTAGGTTCTGGATTATACCTTGGTCCAGTGGTTGGTAAATTGACGTTGTATTCGCTGGGAAGAAAAGAACCCTGATATTGGGAGGTGGAGGTGCATCTTCAAGCGCGCATAAATGTGCAGAGAAGTTATCAAGCAAAAGCAATACTCGTCTTTGCTTGCCAATATGCTTATAAAATGAGTGTAGCCATTCTTTCATAATTCCACTGCGCATCCATGCCTTCTTATTCCAACGCCAGGTACATCCAATCGCTTGGAAATTTACCCCCCGGAGGGCTCGTGGTGTCTTTGCAGTACCAATTAACCACAAAGGAAGTCGGTCTGAACCAGTAGCATTTGTCGCAACTACTATAGTAATTCGGGCCTTATCCTTCTTTTGACCAGCATATCCATCAGTTGATAGGCCACCATTTGGCATACGACGCCAGTAAAGCCCAGTTTCATCCATATTATAGATATTCTCCTGCTCATATTGGTCACAGACTGCCTGAATAGGTTTCATCTCATCATGTATTGAGCTCGGAACAGATGCAGCTTCACCATGGAAGATATGATATCGGAGAGAGTGACGTTGTTTGAACCGGGTAAGCCAACCATCAGAGAAAAGAGGCATTGGTAGTTTAGAATAATCCGGTATCTTTCTCCAGTATTCAATAGCTTTTAACCGAAGAAGTGGCCCTGTTATCGGAAAGCCAGAATCCTGGTGTCGCTGTTGCCATTCAAAGAGCTTGTCATCCAATATAGGCCAATGCGATGCCGACGTACGCATGTTTAGACTAGCTGGACCAGTATCAAGATGCTGGTATTTAGATGAAAGGATCCTTGAGACAGTAGCCCGATCAATAAGGCGACTAAATTGGGATTGAAACCATTCAACGCAGGCTCTCTGAGAAGGTGTAGGGTGCGTTTCAGATGCATAGACGCGTAGAGCCTGTTTCTGAGCGTCAGATATGCCCTTCCTGGCACGTCTGGCGGTGGGCATCCTAGCCGAAAGAGCGACCGAATTCTGCATTTTGATTGGTAGATATGTATGACTAAGCAACAGGAATCGGAGGAAAATTGTGTGCTTTAGCTGAGTGTGCCATAAGTGGTCTATTTATATGGCAGATAGTGGAAAAGTGGGTCCATCCACGAAATTCTGGTGCTATAACCGAATGTGTGCTAATTATGGGCGTGCTATAAGCGGGAGTTGACTGTACTTAGATTTAAACCACTATATATACTATATACTAGCTTAAATCTAAGTAGTATCTCTTAGTATATCTAATTTATATCTATAAAATAAGCAGTTACTGCTATAAATATGTCACGGGATTCGAAGTATACGATACCTAGACCTTGCCAAAGCCCGGGCCGGGCCTCAGTTTTGGGCCCGAGCCCACGGGCCGGGCTTTTTTAGTAGCCTGCGGCCCGGGCTGCGGGCCGCTAAGGAAGCCCGTAGCCCGTGACTAGCGGCCCGCGGGCCTAAGTTTTAGGCCCGAGCCCATGGGCCTACAGCCTGCAGGCTGGGCCGCGGGCCGCTAAAAAAGCCCGGCAGGCCTGTGACCTGCCTATTTAGGAAGGTAAACTGTGCATAACTTGTCAACAATACCATTAGCCTTATACGTTTTTTATGGCCGTATGAGTTTTGTTTTTATTTCATAAATTTTCCCCTTCTATAAGTATACTCTTAATAATTAAGGTATTGGTACTCAGTACTAGTATCCTATATGCTACATGATTTAAAAGAATTTATGTTTAGTGTAATACTATTTGAACTAGTCCTTATGTTACACTCTGCTGAAAACTGACTGTCTAGACCCTTAATTCTAATATCTCCTTATCCCCAACCATTGAGCTATTGTCATCGTAATCCTCTGCGGCCGTCTCACCAGCAGTAGTAGCTAGATTTATAGGTAGACCTGCCTCCTTACGGTAGAAGAAGGAATTGTTACCAAATACACGCTTCTCTATATCCTTTATGTTTTGATATACAATGAAAAAGCGCTGACAGGCAACCTTACGCTAGTTACAAACTATGGCCTGGGCCTGATCTAAATCTGGCCCAAAGAGAACATCAAGATCACCAGCAACTATGGGGCTTGTCCACTTTTACCGTCCTACTAAACAAGACAACATCTCTGTTATTGTTAGTAATTAGGCAGTAGCCGGAAAAGTATAGGCTATATTACTATACTTTGCAGATGTATAGCCTAATAATATCTTAGGGGCAGGCAATAGATCCTGATGGGCTACTGAGAGGTCCTCCTACTGTCCTGACTCTAGAGTATCCAAAGTTATACCATCGTTATATACCCGAACATACTACAGGAGAATAGTACGGCGAATGGCAGTTACTGGCCTAGTAGAGCTATAGGGGATAGTAGGGAGGCTAAGTCGTATATCCCTAGCTTTATAGACCTATTAGACCTAGTTAGTTAGTAAGGATACCGTATAATATTGTAGGGTTTTATATACCTGCTTTGTCTACTGGGTTTTATACTTTATAGTATCCCCAGGAGTCTATATAGTTGTATCAATCCTCTGCACTAACCTATTCTTTTGCTTTTTACCCTGCTTAGCACAACGTATTTTAACGTCATTCTATCATTCTCTGATATAGTAGTGTATCTTGGGTAAGATCTCTGTACAGTTTTGGTTATTTTTATCCGTCAGCGATACAGAGCCTTGTAAGATACTGCTGCCACGACTGGTCTGGACAAAATCATTAATATTGATATTGATATAGCGAAAGAAGGTTTTCTTGCTAGGCTGTATACTCTTTATATAATATAGGAATAAAATCAGTCGATATATATAATCGGGCCGGAAATAGATATAGCATAGATAGTAAGCTATATCCTGGTGAATAAGTTACTGGCCCAGAGTATACTATATCATATAATTCCACCTAAGACGTAGGCAGTTTGGTTGCTGGCGGAAGTGGTATTTGTATATATTGATCTCCTCTTGGATCAGAGGTATAATACTCTTAGGATAGTCTCTATCCTAATTATCAGAGAGGTAGCTGAATAGACCAGGAATAATGATTACGCTGTTACGCTGTATCTACTCTAGGAGCTGTTTTGCTAAAGCGCCCTAAGGTCCCTGGTTCATATTAGGTAAGATACGGTAAATTAGCTCAAGTAAAGTAAGCTAGGTATATTTGGCAAAGTTAGCGATCAAAGGCTGAGGTATGACATAGGCCTATCGGTAAAAGCCACGGTTGCTATCAGCGGTTAGGTCAGGTTTCGGCTAAAACTAAGGCTTATCCCTCAGAACTTAGTCAAACAAATCTAAATGACAGTATAGATAGCTGATACGTATAGTAAGCTGCTTATGACTTTTACTGTTGGTATTTATATTAAATAGCTTAAAGAGCTTAAATATATACTTACGGTAAAGTATCTGCTCGTTGATTATACTAATTAAATAGATTGTCTTCCTAATAGTCCGCAATATAACTAGCTTTGTATAAAGAGTCTCTGCCTTAACAGTATTATTAATGACCCGATTTATGCTACTACATCGAATCGTATATATATAATCAGTAGGTAATTTGTACGAGACCACTGCTACTGCTGCTGTAGGGGCTGATATAATGGCTATTGCTGGGGAAGGATCAGGAAAGATATCTTCTATCTCTATATACTCTGGCAGAGGAAGACCCTAGGTATCGTCTGCGTTGCCTATATTAATATCAGGGCCGGGGGTTGCTGTAGGTGTAGGCGATACAGTTCGAATACGAGGAGTAGGGTCGGTAACGTCACTATTGTTATCGCTGCCAGCACCAGGTTTATTATCGTCTCGATCGTCAGGGTCAATACCCTTGCCGTGTTTATAGCAGAAGCTATCCTGGCTGATCTGTATATTGCAGCTCTGAATCTTTCGGGCCCTGGGCTTTTTGAATTGACGTAGGTTGACGGCCTTCTTAAGATCGCCCTAGGTAATCTGCTTTTAGCTGTGGTTACCCTGCTTCTCTCTCCCAATCCGTTTGATTATAGTATTGTTCACTGTATTCTGGATATTATCAAAAGTAAGCTCTGCGTTGAGTATCTTACTAAGCATATCGAATATTGACTTTGTGTAGAGATAAAGAAAAAGAGACTGTACGCGGTCGCCCTATATAGTAAGTGCTCTCTGGCTGAGGGTATCTATCGTCTTCTGATTAGAAGCACGGCGTTGGGCCATCTTAGCTATCTCCTTCTATTTCTCTTCGAATTGGTGAATATTATAAGTGCCCTTGTAGACCTCAGAGTTCTGAGCCTAGGTATAAATATCACAAAGTACCTGCTTAATTATATTAAGCTGCTTAAATACAATATTACGGTAGTTATTAATGATCTGATATATATCTGGTTTCGGCAGGGAGCTTAGCTACTCAAGAAGCTCTTTAGTGGTCTTAAAGTGCTTTGCTCTGATAGTCAGGCTACCAAGGATTTCGGCAGAATCCGAGATCAGAGTAGATGCTGTATTAGTAGACTAACGTAGGGCTAGAGATATCTTGTTGCTTTGGCTTTCGTGGCTTTCGTGGCCGTGGTTAATATTATGGCTGTAGTGGCTATAGTCAGTATTGTAGATGGCTTCGTTTGGTGAAGCAGGGCGTCTAGAGACTGGGTATAGAATGCCTGCCTTAATCACGTCCTGGGATATAATAAAATACCCTTTTCGCGAACAAAGGATAGAGCAAAACGTATTTAAAGACTTATCTGTGTTAAAGAATCAAAGGTTTCGAAGGCTTTGAAGCAAAATGATAAAAGGAATTAAGCTGAAAGGAAGAAGTTTGAAGAAGTTAAGTTTCGAACAGTGGTGAAAGAAGCTCCTATATCCCGTACGGGCTTCTGATTAGCCAGCTTATAATGGCCAAAAGGGGAAGTTGGTAATCGAGGAAGGCACGCCCAAAGAGGAAGTCTTCTATAGAAGGAAGGCGCGATATAGGACAGGAGGGATAATGCCTTATAAACTAGGCCAGGCAATATCTTTCTGCTGAAAGATAATCTCCTAGGCAGCAGCGGCAGTAAGAGATATCTATATGGTGACGGCTACACCGGGAGTCCTGGCAGTTATTAGCTATAAACTAAAAAGGAAGCCTTGTATGTTAGAAGTGTATACCTAGCTAGTATTAGTCCTTAAAGATATAATAGTAATCAATATATTCACTGTCTTTGATTATTGTTGCTGAGATGCGTCTTTGATTACTGTTGCTGAGACGTATCTTTGATTACTGTTGCTGAGATACGTCTTTTATAATATATGCAGATCGATGTAGTCCTGCTTATTTTAATATTAGCAAGCCGTAGATAATTTATTTATATGATATCTAACCTTTTATGGCTGTAGGGCTAGTAATTCGGCTGAAACCTATTCTTTATAAAGATATCGTATGTTGCTAAGCCAGAGGGAAGCTAGTAAGAAAAAAGATAGAGAGACCGCCACAGCCACAATAAAATAAGATCTTAGCCTGGCTGCGGTCTATAAAATTATATAGTAATATTATGTTAGTTCTGCCTCAGGCCAAAGTAGGTATTTTACTCTGTGGTCAAAGATATATATCTCTTATAGATATATCCAAGTCGATTCCCTGGCAGGACCTACAGTATAAGACTTAATTTCCTTAACGTGGATATTAAATAAAATTAAGAATACCATAAAAATAAGAAAATTCTTGGGATTTATAATCTATTATTTATTTTACTATAGCTTTTTATCTCTAATATGTTCTCTTTAATAGAAGTTATTATTAAGTATTAGTAAAGCATTGATTTTAGGTTAAGTATAGGCCGTAGGCCTGCGGGCCGTAAGCCTATAGCCTATAGGTATATAGGTTAACCCTACGTACCTGCTTTATCTTAAGATAGTAGCTAATCAGTATCCTAGCTGCCCTACTCTATATCTTGCTTGAAGATCTTAATATATTCCCTTACCTAATCTCTACTCTGGTACCCTAACTAAAATTATAGCTCTTGTTACTGCCTACGACGCTATGACTCGTTTTACCCTTAGCCATATACTAGTTTTGGTACTAGCTATACCCTAGCCTACCTTTGTACCAATTAGGGTCTGATGTACCCTATTTATCTACTTCCCTACTTCCCTGAGCATATTAATTTAATATATAAACTATACAGCCTCGAAGTATTATAAGAAGCTACCCTAATCTTTCCGCCGAAAGGTAAGCTATGCTTTTCTTTCCGCCGAAAGATAAGCTATGCTTTTATTTCCGCCGAAAGATAAGCTATACCTTGCTTTCTGCCGAAATATAAGCTACATCTTTCTTTCTGCCGAAAGGCGCCCTAGGCTAGCGGGCTTTTTAAGGCCTATAGGTAGCCTGTAGACTTTAGATAGCCTATAAGGTCTGAGATATAAGCTATACGGCCTCGATATATTATAAGAAGCTATCCGAATCTTTCTGCTGAAAGACCCCCCTAGGCTAGCAGGCTTTTTGGTAGCCTGTGGGCTTTTGGATAGCCTACGGGCTTTTGGATATCCTACGGGCTTTTAGATAGCCTATAAGGCCTGCTATATCTTTTATTTTCCAGATGATTTAGGGGATTTTAGCTACCCCCACTAAATTTAATAAAATATTTTATATCTTTATAAATAGAGGTAAGGCTCTTAAGACTTCTAAGTTACTATCAGCCAGGATCTTCTTTTACTTATGTCTTAATTCTCTTAATTCTCAACAGATTAATTATCTGTATTTGATGAAGTTATTTTATTAGACCCCTTATCAGAGATATGATTACTAATCCCTACCGACCCCTTGCTCAGTAAGGCTTCCTACTTAATTCTACCCTCTAACGTACCCTCTGATATATATTCAGTTGCCCCTTTAGCTAGTAATTTATATCTTTCTGATCGGCTAGGAGACGTAAACTCTATCCTACGGGAGATTAAGTAAACTACTCTTTATTATAACCGTCGCTATCGTACTTACGCTATCTATAATATAACAAAGGATACTGAGCTTTTTTTAGCTTAGTGGCTTTAAACTGGCTATAGAAGGTCAAATAAGATACGCTAGGATACTGGGCAAAACTCTAGCTCTTGGTAGGGGTTTCAATAAGTTACAGAAGCAGATTTAGGTAAACTAAAGGTACTCTATTAATTATGTCGCAGTATCCTAAAGCATCCTAAATATAGCGGTGGTTTATCTACAATAGTCTGTCATTATAACGGCCTAAGTTGTAAGACTGTCTATAAGCAGAATACTATTAAGAAGTTTGTAAAACCGGTATACTATCCTATCTGCTATTATAATAACTATCTCTGGTTTACTAATCTAAATATATTTTATAGGTTGCCAACTATACTACTTAAATTACCCTTACTTTATAGAACGCTAGTTAATTATATTTTATCGCTTGATCCCGTCTCCTGTTTCAGCTACTTACCTATCCTGACTTTATTAAGTTGATCTAAATAGCTCAACAGATATCTTTAAAACTTCTAGTTCTAAGCCCTAAGGCAGCAAAGCATAAGCTTAGCCTTACAGTAACATAGTGCCAGAATGAGATACTAGGGTTACTTCTAAAGGAAAACAAGCTTTTAATTACCCTTGACTGCTGGACCTCGCTATTTCAATAAGCGTTTATAGTAATTACTGCTTATTTTATTAATACTGATTAGAACTATCGGGAGCTCTTACTTAGCTTTGAGCCTCTTTTAGGTGAATATTCAGGCCCTAACCTTACAAAGGTTCTTATTGTAGTCCTTTAGAAGCATTAGCTAGCGGACTGGATCTTAACAGTTACTACTGACAATATATCTAATAATAAAACATTAATACAAAGTCTTTATAATTCTGAAGAGCTAGAGCCTTTTCGTAAGCAGATATAAATCATCCGGATTCTATATCTTGTATATATAATCCAACTCATATTAAATCAGCTTCTTGGTTGTATAAAGGCATTACCAAAAAATAATATAACTGAGTACTGGTCTAATAAGAAGGACTATACTATCTGTATAAACCAGAGGAAAAGGGAGATTACTTATATACTTAAGAAAGTAAGTATCTATCCTTCTCTTATAATATAGGAAGGCTAGATAATAATATACTATATTATATTTCTAGGTTCACAGTCTTATAATCTTTATTAATACTAGCCTACAACGTCATAAGAGCTTTCTAGAACTCTAACCTGACCAACAAAAGATTCTTCTAATTCAGGATGTTAGAATACGCTGGAACTCAATATTTCTTATGCTTCGCTAAGTAAAACGTCTTCGCCTTTTTTTTGATTAATTTTGTCTAGAGAAAAATAGGCTATACCTTATACTTAATTAAGAACAATAGCGCTAAGTAGATTATCTTCTCTGGATTACAGATCTATTCTTTAAATATACAATAGCTCTCTCCAGAACAAAGGATATTACTATCTATCTAGTTTTTACTATTTACAACTAGCTTTTTGATTATCTTGAGAAATCTATTCTTTGATTAAAGAAGAAAAGAGTTCCCTGGAAAAGATTAATACTTACTGCTCTTAAGGCTGCACGGGAAAAGCTTGATAAATACTATACTCAGACTTATAACTCTTATGGTAATCTTTTTGCTATTGCAACTATCCTTTATTCTCAGAAGAAGTTAAGATTCTTTACTACCCAAGAATAGGTATAAGGAAAGAATGATCCTTTACCCTAGGAAAAAAGATATTACCAATGTCTACAGAAATATTTTGAGACTTACAAAGCTTACTAAGTTGATAATCAAACTGATAATCTATATAATTATAGCTCTGATTATAGAAGCTTTAATAATATTAAGTATTTGGTTAAAAGCTCTATAGTAGGGGATATATAAGAAAATAATCAGGATAAAATCAGTCGGTATCTTAACTTAGGTCTGTCTCTAATAATTTGATATTATATAAACTATTACTAACTAGCTCTAGGAACACAAAAATCAAAGAGTATTCTTAGTTACTGGAAGGATTATAAATAAGAATATCCTTTACTTATATGTTTTGTAAAGGACTTTCTTACTGCTCCTGTAACTGGTATAGGAGTTAAGCGTTTATTTAACTTAGCTCGTAATATATATCATTATCAACATAGCTCACTAAGTCCTACTATAATCCAGGATCTTATAATGCTGAATTATACCTCTGAGTTTAAGACTGAAACTGCAGATTTAAATATCCAGGAAGCATATCTCTTACAGCAGGAGATAGAGGCAGAGCGAGAGAAAAGAAGAGTATAGGGGGAGAAGGAAAAGCTAGAGCCTATTAGTGATAATAAGGAAGAGGATACAGGTCAGAATAAAAGAGCCCTAGTAGTAGCTTCAGCAAGCCAGTTACTAGGTACACAGGGGACAACCTTATATAAACCTAAGCCAGAGGAAGATAAGCATTCAGACTCAGTTTTACTTCCTCTACCAGAAACCTAGCTTCGAGTATTAAGCAGAAACCGTAAACGGGCAAGACGTAATGATGATATATTTATGCAGTACTAGATAGAAAAAATTCAAATTTTTTGGAAATATATAGAAGATAAACCATATCTGTAATTATTATAGAATAATTCTGTTTGAATATACGTATTAAATATAAATCTTAGCTTAAATTATTACAGTACAATACCTAATAAAAAATAAAAAATTATACACTGTTAAATTATCTAGTGTTTGTCTTGTTTGAAGGCCCGCGGGCCGGGCCGGCCTGCCCGCGGGCCTTAGTTTTAGGCCCGAGCCCACGGGCCGGGCTTCCTTAGCGGCCTGCAGCCCGTGAACTAGCGGCCCGTGGGCCTACTTTTAGGCCCGCGGCCCGGCCTGCAGGCTGTACGGGCCGCTAAAATCAGGCCCGGGCCTAGCCCGGGCCCAGAAGCCCGCGGGCTTTGGCAAGGTCTAATACTTAAACCCTACTATAACCTCTAAGAAGAAAGATTAAATAGTACTCTACTAGAGATCAAAACCAGTATTACTGATCTATAGCTATAGAAGGTTACTAGGATAATCAGGGGGCTAAGTAGGAGATAAGCTAGCCTTAGTATTTAACTTCTTTTATTATTTAATAATAAAAGCAGTATATCTCTCTATAGCTTAATCTATATTCTGTATATTAAAATAGAGCTTATACTAAGAGAGATAGACAAAGATTATCTTCTGAAACAATACTAGAAGGTAAGCAGATCCTTTGACAGCTATAGTCTTGCTTTCTATACCCCAGACAGGTACAGTACTATTAGCAACAGTAACAGTAGCACTACTGCCCTAAACTTTATATACCTAGTTAAGGATTAATTAGAGCTGGTATAAATCACTATAGATCCTATAGGGTATCTAAGACAAATCAGTATTAAATTAAATATAAATTAGAAGAGTCTTATACCTAAAAGCAAGTCTTCCTATCTCTTTTATATAGAGTATAGGTAATTAAGTTAGAACAGTCCTAGTTGTATTAGATTGTAGGAATAGTACTGGCAGGAGGACAAAGGGCTGCTTTGGCTATATACTTAATACAGAAGGCAAACAAAGGACGGATAATTTAATTGTAGAGGGGACAAAGACTAAGGACAGTACTGGCTATACTTCTAGGGCTATTATTATTATTACTACCTCTATCTGTAGCTCTAGTATAACCTTTGTCTTTAGCCGTACGATAACTACCCTAATAACTACCAGAAGGACAAACAGTATCTGTAGGAGGAGGACTACTGAATTCGGCAGCAGTAGGACTGGTAGCAGCAGATATAGCGAAGGATTATAATTTAACGATAAAAGAAAGAGATAAGGTAAGGTAAAGATAAGAGGAAAGTAAGAGTTAAGGATAGGAAGGTAGAAGATTTTATCTTAAAGATATCAAAGAGATCGTATTGCTTTATTTATACCTATATATAAACGTACCTAAAGCAGCACCTGCCCTAGGCCTTTGTACGAGATGATGCCATTCAGCTCAGATCGCCTAACCTAACTCTGACCTTTGTTGATAGTCGAGTCGACTATCTCTAAGAGAGAAGGATAAATTGTCACGGGATTCGAAGTATACGATACCCCGGACTTTCGAGGCCGATTTATAGATGAATCCCCTTTGAGTCACCTGTATATCGATATCCACCCGAACCCTAATGTATTTAAGATCCTATAAGTATTCTGGATTCTTGATCTTCTCAAGAATCAGTCTCTGTATCGACTGCCCAATCTGATCTCTACCGTCTGATATCCTTGCCTAGTCACAGGTCTCTAGCCTGACAACTTAGTAACCATTACAAAATAACTGATTATAAGGTAATATCTAGTAATTAAGTATAAGTAAAAGCTTTATATCTAGAGAAAGGTTTTAGAGGATAGAATTCTGATATATTTAGATAATTAAGTATAGACAGTAATGTATTATTTTAGTAGAGAGTATAAAGGGGTCTAATAGTATAGAGCGGCTAATATAGATAATCTTATAAAATATAGGATTTTTAAGTAGTTATAGAGATAGTTGATTAAGAGTAATAAATTAAAGTAACTCCTCTTCCTAGTATAATTATATAAAGAGGGTTTCTTTTATAATTTTACTCTAGAATATAAGATATATTAGTATTTAGTATATATATAAGATTTAGGTGTTACGGACCATACAACATAAGGGGCCACAGGGGCCGCAACCTACAGATAGGCCACCGAGAGCCAACCGTTCCTAGGAAAGAAACACAGAACCAGATCACGTAAACAACAGTAGGAATCAGCCTCTGATTCGCCGTATTAAACAATACTGTACTAAACCATAAGACGGCTAGTACGACGCAAGAACAGGTATTCTTTCTACTGTTACCAATACTACACTATAAGTATAAGTACCTGGTAAAGGACCTATATAACTAACCTAGTATAGGAAACGGCTACGCTTTTATATATTCTAGAATTATGCCTAGAATACGAGGACCTATAAACTTATATATAACCATAAAATGGTAGATAGGTATTTCGATCAATAGGTAGATTATACTAAGCACTATCTACTACCCTACTATCTACTATAAATACTATCTAGAAGGACTAGGATATATAGGACACTCTTTACATATATATATTTAGTCTTTTATAATTAATTAATCTAAGTTACTATAGTATACCTTTTAGGTTATTCTTTATTTAGTTTTATTTCTTATAATAAATATACTATAAGTAGGGGAGCTTTTCAGACTAACCTACTTAGTGCTCTACCTAGTATATTCTTTAAAGTTACTTAACAGGATCTGAGTCTGTATAAGGCTTAGTATAATAATAGTATAATTATAAGTTAATACTTAAGGATTATAAATAATAGTTATTATATATAACTAATAATACAGAGGATAACTAATAAGTTATTTACTAACGATCTAACTACTTACTATAATTAGTTAGCAATATATAATATATTGATCGTCCTATTGATATAAAACTATAAAGTTTAGTTACTATATTATTATACAGCAGTAGCAACAAAGGTAAGGTAGCAGAGCCTTTACCTCTGAAAATACAGATACGCTAACCGGATCTAGAATCAGATAATAAAGATAAAAAAAGAGTTAAGGAGTTAAAAAGACAGGTCTACCTCCTTATCAGTTAACTTAATACGTTTGGTTAAGGATATAATTATAATATAAACAAGCTATATAAGTCTATTTAACAGACTGATATACAGCTCAGCGTACTATTGCCTATAGTACCAAAGTTGCCTAAGGTAGAGAATTTTAACAGAACTTACTCTAAGTTATAAGGATTTCTTATACAAATAAATATATACCTTAATGTTAATAAATATAGGCTAAATACTAAAGTAAGCAAAGTTATCTTTGTATTAACCTACCTCTGAGGATAAGTATAGGATTAGCTTAAGCCATACGTTTAAGAATACTATAAAAAAGATAAATTAGAATAGTTGACTACTATATATAACATCTTCTTAAGCTACCTTAAGTTCAGAGAATACTTAGAGAAGATATTTAGCGATATTAATATAAAAAAGACAGCCAAACGTAAACTTAAATGGCTTCGATAAACAACCTTAGCTTCTATATATACTGTAGAGTTTATACAGTAAGTAGCTATCCTTAGATAGGATGACTATATATTAATCCTATACTATAATAAAGGGCTTAAATTATATATTAAGAATAAGCTAGTATAAATAGACAGACCTAAGACAATAGATATACTTATTAATTTTACAGTTTAAATTAACAACCGGTTTTACAACCAATAGATATAAAAATAAGAGGTAGAAGGATAGAGACAAGACAACAGACGTTTGCCTTACTAATACTTCTAACCTCAGTAATAACAGTAACAACCTAATTAGAATAGTAATCTGTATAGTCTATAACCTATAGAGCTTAATATAGTAAGACTCCTAGATAAAGAACAGAAATATCAGAAGGATAACAGACTCTGTTTTAACTATAGTAAGCTAGGCTATATATTAAAGGACTATTATAGTAAGAGAAGCGATAGGAAACTATAATAGCTATATATAACTTAAGAAAGAGGAGTATATAATACTACTAGGGTAGAAAAAACACAGTAACTCTATACTACCCAGGAAGATAGGCAACCTAAGACAACCCTCTTAGAAGAGGCTGCTTAAGAAAAAGCATCTAAGAGCAATACAATAGGAAATATACTGACTCAGAAGAAAAAGCAGG